AATATGTGTATTGTATATGTATTATTCAAATGGCATAAGGTAGAGGACCTAAAAAAAGCGAAATTAAATACAAAGTGCCCAAACGCGTGCCAAACGCGCTCATCAGATCAGATATAGATCAGAATGTATGTGCTGACTCAGATTAATAGTTGTTGATGATTATTTATTGCACTGAAATCTGCCTGACACTGTGGAAACCTGCCGGTGAGGCATCGGTGACGTATGTCGATATGCCGCCGGTCTACCAAAATACTACTAGACCAGCTGCGTTCCGCCTTGCGCTGAAAGCTGACCAGGTTTGAATCGGCGAGCTTTCAGCGCACGTTACACGCCAGTGTCGAGCACGAAAATGTCACTGCGCCAGCTGATTCTGTCAACACCTCCCCCTGCCACGCCACCACGCCCAGCTTGGCGGATCTCGGCTCGCCTCCGTGCGACTCAGTCCACGAAAATACCAAACTCGCCTTACGCCGGGCTCCGCCAGACGAAAATACAACTGCGCGGGGCTCGCCGCCCTCCGCCGCCTCACCGGCGCGAACGAAAATAGAGCCCTATATCTCTTTTTGTGGCCCGCTAGCCTGTGGAGTACCCCAAGGCTCTATTCAGAAAACAGAATTAATCATCCTTGGCTCCAGTGGGGCCCAGGTGGCACCTCTCAGGGAGCTAGACCCTCTTGTACCCTATTATAAACCCACAGTTTTGAATCTTGGTGTAAAAGTTGACAATGATTTTAAATTGGATCAACAAATCAACTCTGTTGTTAAATCCAGTTTTTATTATCTGAGGCTTTTATCCAAGATTAAATCAGTTTTATCTTTTAATGGTTTTGAGTGATTGGACACTGTTGGACTACTGTAATGCTAATTACATTGATGTTAATCAGGCTTCCCTCACACGTTTACAGAAGGTCCAAAATGCTGCTGCTCGTCTTTTAAAAGGTAAATAAAAACGTGATCATATCACTCCTTTTCTGGCGTCCCCCCATTGCCCTCCTGTTTATTTAAGAATTATTTAAAATGTTATTGTTTGTTTTTAAATTTTTTAACAGATAGGCACCACAGTACATCTCTGACCTCCTAAATGTTTATACCCCCCCCCCCATTCCTTGAGGTCTGCTGATCAGCTCCAACTCGTGGCTTTTAGCTCAGCATGAGAGTTGTGTGATCTCTGTCCTTTTATGTATTTTATGGTCCTTTTATCACTTTTATTTCTTGTATGCGTTTGTGTTTTTATTTCATTTACTTTATTTCATTTTAAATGTTTTTTTTAACCTGCTTTTATTTATTTCCTCTTGATATTTTCTGCAGTGTCTATTTTTTTATTTTTTGTGCAGCGTTTTGGTAAACTTTAATGTTTTTAAAAATGTACTATATCAATTAATTGGATTGGATTGCCAGTTACAGATGTGCAGACCTTTTTTGGAAAAAATATCCTCAAATTTCAAGACAATAATCCTGAGCATAGGAATAACTAACTACAGAAAATAAACTCTCACTCATTTGCTCTTCTCTGCTTCTTTCTGCCCAAGCCTTCATACTGAAGGCATCAGACATTCAAAAGTTCATGAAGTCATCATAAATTTACACAAACTAACCATATAGTGTTGCTCCTATTACAGTATTTGGACAGCTAGTTGCTGGGAACTGCTGGGTGGCTAAAGCTTAATTAGCCACTCTGCTGCTAGCTTAGCTAGCAGGCAAACTTTGATTACAAATTAAAGGCAGACCAGCCCAGGCCTTACTTCAGGACTTCTTTTTACTTTTCTCTATAGACAAGAATCAACATAACAACACAACATATATTCACTCATTTCTGCTCAGTGGTGTCAGTTTCTGTTCACCATCAAGAACTGCTGAGTCACCAGAGGATAACATCAGCATTAGCTTCAAGATAGCAGGTTTCTGTAAAATTTAATATCTGCCTTACAATGCCAAATCTCTAAAGTGTGACATTAGATATTTAACCATTGGCAGTAAGACATGGGCCACTGTCTGTGGTGAGAGTACAATGAACCACACCAAGAAAGCTCTGTCTTGTGGCGCTTGTAGGTACTGCAGTTATATCATACCTAAAAAGCTTTGACTGGGACATCAACCCAAGAGTCATGTCACAGACATACACCTGGGTCCCAAAGCTCTCAACCCAGCTTAGAAGAGAAAGGAGAGAGTAGGGAAATCAGACAAGTAATGAGAGAGGATCAAAGGGTTTGCTTTTGCAGCCAGTATGCACAAACTATTGAGAATACAAGGTGGGGAAGGCAGGATCTGAGGAAGTGCAAGTTTTTGGGAGAGGTCTTCAATGTAAACACTACCCCTCCCAACCAGTTTTCCCCTCAGCTCCTCCTCTCCCCTCACTCTCTGCTCCAGCAAGCCCCACCCACAAACAGAGACTCGCGCTCGTATCGTTCCAATTAAATTCAGATATAATGCGGATAAATACTTTAGATAATAACAAATGAAGCCCAGTCAACGTGAAAGTAAAAAGTATTGGTGCGACTGTAGATGCCAACAGACTACCAGCAAACACAGTGTTTGCAGGACTTCTACAACAAGGATAAAGTGACATACTCAAGGACCGCTAACAGTTTAGCAGCGCTACAACACACAGCAGGTCCCGTTTGACAAGAAACACTTCTGTTACAGACACTTGGCTTACTTTGTTAGGGCGGTTTACCTGTCCAGCCATAGACTGTATATAAGATGGACAACCTGGTTCCGCCTTCCGCCTGTACACGGATTTGAAGCCAAAAAGCTCTCGGTAATTCAGGGTTTTTCTCCACTTCCTTGAAACCAGAGCTGCGCAGTAGCGATGCGCACATTTGGCCGCGCAGTCGCCGAGAGTCCCTGTGATGACGCTCGGCTCAAACAGCGAATCACCCCGGGTGCTACGCAATCCCTGAACGCCCATAGGCTGTACCAGGTGTCAATCATAGAAAACATGAACCGCCTAATAACTTTTAAAAATGGAGCTGTACAGAAAAAAAGGACTTGGACACAAAACAGTCTTACAATAACTACATGTCAACATCACAAGCAGGGGGGAGAAAAATGTATGTTCTGTGTAATAAATTTCTAAAGTTTGTCCACAGTCCCATAAGCTTTGCTGGCGGAGGCGGGATTTATGACCTGTACTGCAGCCCACCATCAGAGGGTGCTGTTCTGGGAGTGGCTTCACCCAGCGAGGAGGCAGACTCTGTCCATCTTATATACAGTCTATGTGTCCAGCAGAAAGGTTACAGGGTCCGTAAGATCCTGAAGCCTCCCCTATCGTTTATGCTATCTTCATTGATGTTGACCCAGCTTTTTAGCTCTTGTCTGGTCTACCACTGTTTTAAGCGCCCGTTATTCTGCCAGAGTCTCCAGTATTTACTTTGTTTTCTTGCTTGTGTTGGCAGTCGTAGCCAAAGGAGGGTTCAGAAAATGTTCCGTACTTTCTGGTTTGTTTCTACTGTCCAATATTGTTGCATGCTAACTTTGTTTGGGCTCGTGCACATTACTCGAGGACATGGAGCATGCCTCACAACATGGGGGAGTAGTCTCTGCCTCACAACCAATCAGCAATAAGGAGCAGCATCTGCCTTACAACCAATCAGGTCGGAGAGGTGGAGAACAGCTTTGTTTACAGTCAGAATGAGCGACTGCTCCAAAAATTTTTAAATGTTGACTACACAGACATAAGAGAACACAGCGATATCATTATATTACCAAATCTCATCAATAACTAATAGCTACTGACTGATATTAAAAGCTTTTTTGTATATGCACCACAGAAATGATGCTTCTATAACGGATTCCTGCCTACCCCACTTTTAACTGACATAGAATCAGTGAAAGCCCATTTGAATTTTCTAGTCTGACCCATGTTTCATCTGTCATAACGGAAAGAGCAGGCCCTCATATCTAGACTGCATCCAGCCATCAGAGGTTGTCGTTATGCTGTTGATAATTTTATGCACTCTGTGTTGTTGGCTTTGGTAAAACAAAGATTTATCATTGCTTATACTCACTTTCCTATCACTGTGAACTCACTTTGGTCTGTTTGTGTCAGGGGGGGAATTCAGGTGAATATGCAGGCTGTGAAACCAGGGTTAGCAAGTCATAGCACAGATTTTCAAGGTTATATAACGCAGCGTTACTGTTGAACATTGACACAACAGCACCTGACGCGCTGCTGTCTACCACACTACAGCTGTGCTGTGCTGGGCTGCATTCCTGTTGCCACAGACAATGAGAACACATAAAATGGGTGGATCAGCATACACACAGAAAAAAGACATAATATTAAAGGCTTCCTGGGCACATTTCTGCAAGTTTTTGAAGTTGTGAACAAGTTGGTTTATATGTTACAGCTATAAAATGGACTGCATTGTGGGCTGTCCAGGAAATATGACAAGGTTTTTCAAACATTATGTTGGTTTTTAAGATGTGAAGTAGAGCTCACAGCCATACGCTGAGAGGCCGCCATGAACAAGTCTGTCCTTATTCAACCTCCCCTGTCTCCTCCCCTTCCCCTTCCCCTCCTGTCTCTGCTGAACTGCTGCTGAACTGTTGGCTGCCTTGTGCCCCGCATAACACCCACTTTCAGTCAGTCCCTGGGCTCACAGCCAACAAGTGTGCGACTATCGTGGCTTAGTGCCAACTTGTGATTATGGAGTTGTTTACGGCTGTAGAAAAGTTGCAACTCACTTCACTTCTTTTCATGTCAGTCTCTCTTTTTTCAAGCCTCACTCTCACTTTCTCGACAACATGCGCACACGTCACCAGTTTTTTTGCCTGCTGTGAAACGTAGTCCCCTCTATGTCCTCATGTAACCTCACCTAAAACGACCCCTTCAAGTATGAAGTCTTCACAGAGAGAGCCAGAAGTTTGTGCAAGAGGAAAATAAAATATGTCAAGTAAATCTATGCTATCTGTAGATCAACAGCTAAACTTAACTCACTCTGCCAGACCAATCACATGCTTGGTTAGATTGTTTACTTGCACTAGTCCCTTTTCTCAGCTCCCTCCCTCCCTCTCTCTCTCTCTCTGTGTCTCTCTTCCTCCCATCCAGTCCCTCTCACCCTCCCACTACTTGTTTCCTGCTCACTGTACACAGACGAAAACGGAGCGAAGGGCCAAAATAGCCCTTTTCTTTCCAGATTTTTCCTGCTGCATCTTCTAAATCCTGCAGTTTTACTCTCTTGCAACAACCGTGAGTATCTGCTTTTGCTTGATCAAATAAACAGGCTATAACAGGCTATATTGAAATAGACCCACCCCCTCCCTCTCCTGACCACACACAGCTTAGTAAAGAGGTGGACGTGCAGAAAAGATTGTAAACTATGGCACAGAAGAAAATGAGGGCAGATCAGAGCTGGAAGAACTTTCAAGAAATATGCAGCAGCTACATTGGAAAGGAGACAACAAAGGAGACAACCTGTTGCTTCTTCATTGACACTGGCACAAATGCAATATAATGTGCATTAAAAGAGTGCTCTAGCTGTCTTAAATCTCATCTGTTTCATGGTATGTCTTCCAAATGTCTGTAAAAGGAAGCAGTGTGAGGGCTGAATGACAGTCCTTACAGGCTGCAAACATTGCTCCTTGAAGTAACTGACAGTATCTCATGCAACTAAAAGAACAAAGCCACTGTTTGGTCAGAATGTGACAACGTCAGGCACAAATCTGTCATAAAAGAAGACTTTAAAACAAAAGTTTTCATTTTCGTGTTTACTCCTGACTTTCTAAGAAGGTCAGCCCGGACTCTTGATTTGACAACCTGCCAATAAGCCGCCATTTTCATATCTCTCTGAGTGTGTGAGTGTGTGTTCATGTTTGCGTGTGGTAGGCCAGAGAGCGACTAGTGATAGGACACGTATGATCAAAAGCATTTCAGTGCAATAAACTTCTGAGACAGTCAAACTTCCTCATTTCAGACAAACCTCAGTGACTCACCGGTTACATAAACATAAAACATAGTAGATGACTATTAGAGACATGACAAACGAGATGACAGAAAACTGAATTTCCCTTCGATTCCCTTCAATGAAATTCTTCTTATTTGTATTCTTAAAATCTCTCTTTATAGACAAAGAAATATGATCACAGAGTTGCATGGTACGGTATTGTGTTGCATATGAATGGTTGTCCTTTACTTGTGCACCTGTTTGGGACACAGTTTACCTCACGTCTACAGGTGCTCATTTTAACAGTAAGGCCATTATGAGCAGACAGATAGTCAGTTTAAATCCCTTCACTAATCACATAATAACAAAGAACGACGCCTGAAGCCATCCTGTCTTCACTGGAGCATCAGTGATGAGCTGCTTGGACTTGTTAATGATATTTTTGAAAGATTATATCATCGTATTATCATAAAGGTCACAGTCTTGACAGTAATAAGGAAGATACCTTTTTTTACACTGCAGTGTTTTTAACAGTCAAAACTAATGAAGTGGCCAGACTGGCCAAGCAGGGATTTGTCATTCAACCTTTTAAAGCACTTAATGAGCTTCCCTGTTTTGAATAACAGCACATAGTGACATAAGTATGTCCACTCTTTACCCTTAACGGAAAATCAATAGCCAATTAAACACCCAAACAAGAACAACATAAAATCTAACAAGCAATAAATATACTCAGAATCAGTGATGAAGAGCATGCATGTAAGTGTGTGCATGTGTGAGTGCAACTGTGGAAAAATAACCACATTTTTGCTGCTGTTGCCTTAGTTATTGCCACCCACAAGTGCTCCTCATGAATCCAGCTCAGCGCTTTAGTCTTGTTTACATTGGGATTTTTCTCAAATAATAATGCTCAGCATTTTCTTTGCAAAATTAGTAGTAGGGGACAAATGGAGACTTAATATCTGCAAAAACTCAAAACTGAGCACCTGTGATTTCATGTAAAATGATCTCATTAGATTTAACAGTTGTTACATTCACCTAACAAGTCCAGATGAACATCTTCAGTTAAGATTCAACAAGTTAGAAATAAGAGCCAAATAGGTTTTTAGTGAGTAAAAAGAAAAAAAAAGGCAGGAAGGGTTTGTTTGCCAATTTTTGTCATAGAGGTGAAGAGCCTTGAAATTAGAGTAATGTCTCAAGCCACAATAACCAAATCTACTCATCTACTTTGACAGTATTTTACTCATCATAAAAAATTTTGGTCTTTTTGCCTTGTAACAACTTAAAATAAAAGATTTGCCCAAGTCTTATTTTGACATTTTAACAAGAAATGAGCACTTTTTTATTTTTTATACTTTATAGCTTCATACTGTTTTCCAAATGATTACACAAACAATTTAACACTGTGAATGCAGGGAACTTGCAGCGAGAACATCCTTCACAGGATGACTTCCATTGGCAACAGATGGCAGCATTACAGACACAGAAGCATAAAAAGACTTTTTTTCTATCCAATTATTATTGATGTTTCCTCATGTTCTGATAGTGTACTGTGCATAAACAACCACAAAGACTTACTGTAAGTAAGTAAAATATTTTATAGAGAGTTTAATTTGTCTTGTAGTGGTAAAAGCAAGTCACCCCTCTTTGTTGTATTGAAGCCATTGACTGTATTTTGGGAGGTCAGAGGTGGTACATTTTGAATAGTAGTGTTTTGACAGGCTGCATCATCAATCTTTGTAATTAAAGTAGTTTATTCCTCTCTATTAGTGCATGTGTTTTATAATGCTAATGAGGAGATAATATCAAGAACTGTCTTTTCTTACCTTTCTGTTTATGCTGACGTGTTACAGATGCTCCACCTGTCTGCACGGCGTGTGGGAAGCCTTCTGGCCAGGCGTGCTACAGCAGCCTTATCCACCAGCAGCGCAAGGATGGCCAGCCATGGTACAAAGACATCAATGTGCTTTTCATACACCCTTTGAAATTAGAAGAGACTTTTTTATGTTAAAATGAAGATAAGTCGCTACCAGGTGAAACTTAACACCTGCGTTAAGAGAAAGGGTCAACTTCTGTTACTGAACATTTGCAGCCAAATCAGGAATTGAGGCCCTTTGGAATATTTTTACACTACTGCAACTATAAGCCCAATTCAATAAAAGTTGGGATGCTGTTTTATAGATCAATTATAAAAAATAACACACATTATGATGGTTTGCAAATCGTTCAAAGCCTATATTCAAGACACAAAGTTTCCTCTTCACAAGGCAGAGCTTTAATCTGCATTGAAGGACAAACTGTTAACAGACAGTGTTTTAGAAAGTGATTTTCAGCCCATGCAGTGATGTCCACAGCAGAGTCACGTCTGGTTTTATTCTGTGCCACCGAAGGACCTGCCGATCACAGCAAACAGCCTCTGAATCTTTTTACAACAAAATGAACTGTTAATGCTGAAATCCTCAAATTTTAATCCGAGGAACGTTATTCTGCAGCTGTAAAATAACAATCTGAAAGATTTAGCCTTCCTCAATTTTCAACGATAAAATCACAAAATGAGCAACATTTTTTGTAAAACTTTTCCGTTTTAACAATTGACGTGTTTTTTTTTTTTTTTCTTCAATATTTTCAATTCAATATGTGGTTTGCAAACCATCAAAATTTGTTTTAATCAGTATTTGTGGAAAAAAAAAAAAAAAAAAAAGAGCACCCCAACACTTTTTAAGTCTATAGTAGTTCCCGAAAATAGCCTTATCCTTACAGGTTTAGAAATGTTGTTCAAATTATTTTCCTTATAGCTAATATGGGTGATTGTGGGAGTGGCAGCAGACAGCAGCATTGTTTGCAGTGGCAGGTTCAACTGCAGTGCACCAAATTTAGATTACCCCAACAAGCAAGACATCGTCAGTCTGATGGATATTTGTCTACCACTCAGAAGGCTGATGTGTCTGAACAGGAGGCCTCAGTCAGTACATGTGGCCTCAGAACAGCAGGGGGTGCTGTTGTACCGTTATGACAGAATCATCTATCGATACAGACAGCTCCTCTGTAATCACGGTGAAGGAAACATGACTGGAAATGTTGAAGTGATTCACAGCTGAACTCAAAATAACATTTCCTGAATCAGTATTTTGCAGTATTGAGTTTTGAAATTCATCGTTCATGTCTCTTTCCATCCAGATGTGGCACAAGCGGCAGACATGTCTCAGCCAATGTACTGGGACCGTCTGGACACCCCTCTGCCTGACAAACCCTTCAAAGACGTCCTGACTGCTGCTGACAAGAGCCTGAAACAGAAGGAGAAGGGACCCTGGAGCCAGCTGACCAAAGAGGAAAAGATTGCCTGTAGGTTCTTTTAGACTTGCACATTTGCAAAGAGTGTGTCCTCTCCCTTGGCTAGTATTGTCCAGCACAGGCATAGGCAGTGTTTTCTAACACTCATAAAACTTGTCAAATATACAAAGCCCCTAAAGTCCTACAAAAGTGTTCAATATTTATCCTGTGCACAATATAATGAGCCATGATGAATGAAGCTTTTGCTCTTTCTTTAGTAAACACTTGAGTCAATATGAAGTTGAACTAGAGGGTGCTGGTGTAGTTTTAGCTTCAGTTCAACTTCATATTGACTCGGGCGCTACATGGCCTAACCAAATGACACATTGAAAAGCACACAAAGTGAAATTAGACAATAACCTTTCCACTTACTTCTTTGCTCGTCTTCTTGCCGCCGTCTTCTGTGCCTAGATCATAAAACACTGGTGCATTATGATTATTGGTCCTTGGCAGCTCACTTCTGTTGTGGCTTTTTAAAATTTGCATCCTTTTATTTTCGGAGTAAGTGACTTCTTTTTTTTTTCCATCACCACTCATTTTCATAAACTTTTGTTTCGGCTTTTTTTTATCTGCACCGTTTCTTTTTTTATATGCAGTGGGCTTTGGTTTCTTTTCTCTTTTTTTCGGATTGGTAACCTCTGTTATGACTTTTTTAGTTTTTTAATACTTTTTTCTTTTAGCAGCAGCAGCAGCAGTGGCGGTTCTCGGCCACTGTAGTAACCACTTACTGCAGCGTCCTTTAGCGAGACATTGAACCTTAAATCGCTCCTGATTGTTTATGTAACAAACCACGATCTGTCATGAGCCAAAAGGAAAAAAAAAATGCAGACAAAAAGGATTTAATAAATAAAAAACTAGGCTAGAAACAAAACAAAAAAAATACAAGGAGAAAAAAAATCCAACAAAAGACACTGGGAAAAAAAACAAAAAAACAAGAGAGTAGGGACTCACATATCAGGGATCACAGGGAACAGGCAGACATACACGCTTACAATAAACCAACAATGACAGAGGAAGGAAGACAGGGACTATACACACACACACACACACACACACACACACACACACACACACAGGGAAACGAGCAACAGGTGAGGCAGACGAGACAAAGGTGAAACTCATGGGTGATTAACAAAGGAGGGAAAACTAGGGAAGTAAAAGCAGATTGGAAACAAAAGGAATCAACTACTATAGTAGTAGATTAGTTTTCAGTGTTTCCTGTTTTATTTTGTATACAAAATAAAACAGGAAACACTGAAAAAATAATAAAACACAGAGAACAGGGGCCTGTTCTACGTAGCAGGATTACTGCTTAGCGAGGTAACTTCGAGGGTAAGTTCGAGGTTTCCTGTTCTACGACGCGGGTTCACTTCTTAGCGAGGCGAGTCTCCATGGCAACATACGCTGAACAGCTAACCTGCTCCGGGGCAGGTTAGGTTCCAGATTGAACTCACTGAGTATAAAAACCCCGCCCACTGACCAATGAGCTCTCTCGAAAAATGGCTTGTCCATTCTTGGAGGATCCTATAGACCTCGGCGCTCGCATTGTCCGAGGAGCACTCCGGCGCGCAAGAGTTTTCAGGGACCACATGGAGCTACTTCTTCGGATGACCACCTTTATGAAAGGCTCATATGGCCTACATATCACACAAAACATGTAAACACAATAGGAATGAACAAATGAATGAATTCATCTTGGGAATGAATGGGCATGGGCTGCGCGATCACAGACATCTCGGTACTATTTAGTAGCAGCGCACGCCCCTTGTAATAACCCCCGTAAATACTGTTGTTCAGGACTGCTTACTTGTGCTTCCTACCTACTGTAATAACCGTAGTTCTAGCCGACATGCAACATTTTTGTTCTCATTTTTGAACCACTTAAATCGGGAACATTTTTGGGGACAGCTTTAGCTGGGGACAGATCATCCAATTCAGGGACGTCTGGTCACCTTAGTTAAAAGCGCATGTTGAACAGTGCTATTTCAGAGAGATAATGGCATCATAGATTACTTTTCTGCCAGCATTCCCTCCGTGCTTTTGCAGCAGCGACGGTGTTGCTTTTGAGGTTTATGATAGATTTCAATTCTTCATATTTTCTCATAATCGCCTCCTGCTCCTCGTTTGTATAGTCCGTGGTCCTTCGCTCTCTGGTTTGCTCTGACGCTCCAGATTGGTCCATGTTCCCGATTGGTCAGATGCATTGAGCTCCGCCTTACATGCGTGCACGCGCTCATAGCTATGCTGGATCCACTTACGAGGTTGATAACCAGCATCGTAAGACCGTTTAGCGAGACCGCTGGCTACCGCGCTAAGTTGAGCGAGGTAGCTCCAAGGTGACCTCGCTAGGTTGAACTTGCTTCGTAGAACAGGCCCCAGGAGGGAACCAGGGTCAAACACAAACTGAAAACTCACAAGACTGGACTACAGGGGAACAGGAACAATAGGGAACGGAAACACTCAGGACAGTGCACAGAAAATACATTCAAATAACAAAACCGGTGAAAAACTAAATCAACAGAGTATATCATGACATGATTGACAGTATTTATAAAAAAGAAATTAACATCTTGCCAATAATGCCATTCAGTTAAAAATGGAGTAATTGATGGAGAGTGGAGTCAGCTTTACTGCAGAATTTACAAAGATGTGCACAAGATAAAAACAGTCACCTCCTGAGATCTCAGGGGCTCTGAGAATTGCATGTTATTTCATGAGTTCCAGTGTTGAAATATTCTCGCTGAGATCAGTCAGACTTGGGGTTTTTCTGCACAGTGGGTATAATGTGGTTCAAAGTGGGCAAATGTTACACACATACCTGACTCCTCCTGATACCTGTTTAACTCCTTGATCATGTTCTAAATGTGTTCCACAGTGTACAGGATGAGTTTCTGTCAGACTTACCCTGAGATGAAGCAAAAGACATCTGAGTGGAAGACTGTGATAGGAGGGATGTTCATCTTTCTGGGTTTCACAGGCCTGGTGGTCTGGTGGCAGAGAATCTATGGTAAATCTCTCTTTCTTCTTCAAAAAGCACTGATTCTCTTTAAAGTTTAATTCAATAATGCAGTTCAAGCCTAAAGATGACACGTTCCATGCTTGGCACAAAGCTTTTCCACGGCAGACAAAGACATAGCACACCTGGAACTAATGACATTAACGAAGGTTGTGGCCCCTTTAAGTATCCCATTAGACCAAACCAGTTAGCCAGCATGCACAAGACCAGAGCCATCTCTACAAAGCCTGTTACCAAAATAAGACATCATGCTTGCTTTTCGACGAGCACCGTGTCAGCTGCAGGTTTTTGAATGTTGATTCTGCAGGGCTTAATTCACTGAAATGTTATTCCTCTGTGTTCTCTAGTCTACCCACCACATCCCAGGACCTTTGACGAGGAGTGGCAGGCCAAACAATTAAAAAGGATGCTGGACATGAGGATCAACCCTGTTGAGGGCTTCTCTGCCAAGTGGGACTATGAGAAGGGCCAATGGAAGTAAAACCATACCTGCACTGTGGCTAAGGTGGCACAGAGTATGGACCTGTAACTTCAGAGCATGGCTACGTCCCACTATAAATTAAAGTCAGTCCATATGAATGTTGTAAAAACCACTGAAGACAGATTGATTTCTCTGTCAACATATCTGAGGTAAATTTACTCTCTGCCACCTGCAGCCTCTTCTTCAGCCACTGCAGCCTTCCTGTCATGGTGGAACCTGTGTCTGTACTGTTGTACCCATATCAAATAAAGTTATTACGCCTGAGTCTCTCTCAAACTCCTTTTAAACAATCTGGATTAAACTTTGTTGTAACATTTTGTAAATGCAAAGTCATGCTCAGAACCGTGTATATTCCAATGAAGATGTCTACCAATTTACTGAGGCTCCTGACAAGTCATTACATACAGTTTTATGTATTAATTCACTTATTTTTTTACAAGCTAGTTATTAGTGAGAGTAGCTCAGAAAGGTTTAAGATATCAAAAACTATAATATTAAGAGGTTTTAAAGATCAAATTTTTTATATCAATTTCAGTCTCTTACAATTTCAGTCTCTTACAAATGTCAAAAAACTCCTTATAGGAGCTTTAATGGCCTCCATGGCCTACCAAAAAGAAGAATAAAACTGACCCCTATGTCTAAATGCAATCACATTAAAGATGGTTTAAGTCATTCAAGTTACTTCCCCCCTGTTTCCACACATGAACATGAATAGAAAAGCCCTTCTTCATGTGTGGCTGTAGAGACAGTTATGTCAGTTTGTCATCTGGCCCATTGATTTATCCCAGACTCAAACATTTCAACAGCTCTTTAAGTGGTTGCTGTAAACAGACATCAAAGCCCCAGGGTGGATTTAGAGCAGTGATTTTTACCACCACAGATCTGACATTTTGTTTTTTGGAGAAACGCATTCAACTCAAATGGAATTATCTGTTAAAAATGTGTTTCAGTCATGTTACCAGGATTGACTGTAATCACACTGATTTTTCATCATCCTCCATGTCTGATCTAAATTTAGACGTTTTCTTAAAAGCCTTGGTAAATGGCCAAAGAGGAGGCTTGCAAAGCTAATAACATTATTATAAACCTCTGCTGTGATATTTGTACATTTGATGTTAGCATGTGAGCATTTCGGCACACTGTATTAGCATTTAGCGTGTACACTTCCTCTAGCATGGCTGTCTTCCTGCTAAATGAGGGATAATTGATACTGGTAAGATTGGTTTATGAGGGTAAAGAAAGGTAAAGACCCCCTCTTTATAAGAGCGGTTGTATGAGGTACCTGTCAATCATAAGTGTAATACAGGGGATACACGTCAGCTGGTCTACTTCGGTTGAAAACTGGCAGGACAACAGAAACAGAAGCAGATGGACTCAACTTTACATCATTAAGATAATAACTTTACTGTCAGGAAGCCTCTGTATTTTCACTCTAGCCAATTCTTCCTCCTGTAATAATGAACTCTACTGAACAGTTTTATGTGGAAATCTTCTCACTGACAAACAGACCAGCAAGTTTGTCTTCTTCACCTTCCATACCTAATTTCTGAGCCAATCAGACAGGAGCTCTGCAATCAGTGTCACCTGGAGCTGAATGAGACTCATCAGTGACTCATAAAAATAATCAACTCTAACATTTACTACAAACAGAGACTACAAACAGTCAAAGACAATGCAGCGACCAAACCGACCAAGGATGTACAGGACCTTCAACATGAGGGACAGAGAGATGGGGGCACTCTGCAGGAATGTGAATCTGCTCGCTGGACTGCTGCTGAGAGAGATGAACCAAAGACTCTTGCTCAACCAGGAGTTGAAGGAGACAAAACAGCAGCTGACCAGACAAAAGACTCTCAAGGAAATGTATATTAACAGAGGGAAGGAGATCAAAAAGGAGCTGGAGATGCTCAAAAAGTACAGTTCAAAGGAGACCCTCTCCAAACACAGAACTTCTCTGAAGGTGAGGGACACAAGCCAGAAGAAGAAGAAAGATTACGAGTGACCGAAAAAAACAAGGTCCTCCATGAAGAACAGGAGAAGATGAGAACCTCATACCAAGAGCTGAACTTCCAGTATGCAACTGACCTCACTGCTGCGAAACAGGAAGAAGGGGACCTTCAGTGTGAGCAGCAAAATCAGGCTCACCATGATGGACTCTTACAAGAACAGACTATCCAGACTCTGAGAGCTGAACAGGACGCCATGTGTCTGAAGATGACAGAGGAGATTGCTGTTCTGCAGCAGACAGCTTTTGAAATGGAGAGGAGTTACTGGACTGAGCTGGAGGAGCTGAAACAACAGCTCCACATCCAGAAAGTCAGTATGATGGACAATGAGGAGCTTAAAGTGGCCCAAGAAACCAGTTTTAAGACGAGGACAGCAGAGCTCCAAGAAGAAAAGACCAGAACCCTAACCCATGGGAGGGTTTTTGCAAAAAAAAAAAACTGAAGAAAACTAAAGACAAAAAACTCCCCAAAAACCCTCCCATGGGTGGATATTTTTTGCAACAACAAAGAAAGAACTGAAAGAAAATCAGAACAAGAACTCCCAAAAAACCCTCCTGTGGAAGGGTTTTTCCCCATGGGAGGGTTTTTGCCAAAAAAAAAATAGATAAATAAAATACTGAAGAAAAAAAACTGGAGGTTCCATCAACGCTCCCTCTGCTTTTACATGTAACCGTTTGCTGAATAAATGTAAATATTTTGGACCACCACACTGGCTTACTATACAATAGGCCTGTCACCCATCACACAGCCTTCTACCATCAGTGAGTTGACTGTTGAGAGAATACAGTCTGACTACAAAGGGCACAGGACAGACGACTGGTTGCAGAGCTGGAAGTGACCAGGTAACATTAGTGCCAGGCAGCAGCTGGTCTGTGTCAATTATACAGTCTATGGTCTTGTGTGATATTTTATTTTCTTTTTAGAAATGAAAATTGAAAAACAAACCGTTATATGACTTTTCCTTACTCATTCCAGACAACAAAAAAGAAAATCAAGCTGTATTTCAATTTTGGTCTTTCTATCTTAAAACAAAAAACAAATAACCAGTCATTTCTCTTTTTTTGATATCTGTTTCCAAACATTATATCAAATTACCAAAGAGACACTGACCATTTACCCTGACGATGAGAGGTCTACTTTAAACACAAGATTCTTAAGATACTTTAGCAGAAACACTTACTTCTCTTTTAAGACTAACATGAAAACACATCAAGTTCATAATAAAATTACACTGACTGAACAGACTTCAAAAAGAAAAACTTCAACATAAATGCTTAGTCCTGAGCAAGAGAAGAGTAGTCATGAATCACACTTTAATGGTTTTAGGGTATTTAGATGATTTGAAATTACTTTCTGACTACATTCTGCTTTCCATGTTTCTTTAGAAAACATGATCTACATTTTTTGAAGCTGTCAGAGATTCACAGCTCCAAAATAAAAGGCAGAATTAAGCACTGAAGTATTTAAGAAGAACAAGTCTGACTTTGTTTCAAGTGGACATCTAGAGTAAATCAAGAGTTTTGCTACATACATTCACATGCTTACTCCAAGTTGGACGGAAAACTTCTCTGCTGTGGCCATCATGACCTCCACTGAATGAACAACCTGATCTGAGGCACAATAGCGCTGTGTTTGCTGTACATTTAATGGAGTTGTGCACAAGCACGGCAACAGGCCTTGGACAAAACACATACAGAACTACGGAAGCGTATTGCATTCACTTACAAAAGGAAACTGTTTTTTTTTAGTTGTTTTTTTTATTTTTCTTTGCTGTTTTTTGGACTATTTTTTTCTTCCCTCTGCTTTTTCTGACTATTTCTTTTTTTTCTGTTTTTCGTACTAATATTTTTCTTCTCTCTCTGTTTTTTAACATTTTTTTTCCCTAACTAAGCTAGATACTTAAAAATCCTGAGAGAATCTCATACACTCAGATAACGTTAACCACCACGGCTGCTCCAAATCAGCGGATTCTCCAGCTCCTAGATAACTTTGACTATGGGGTCAATGAAAGTAAAGCATGTTATTAGTTAAACATAGGATATGCAAATCCTGAGGTGTCTGAGCAAAGTAGACAAACTTATGACGATTCCATCTATCTGACTTAAAGAAAGGAGTACCTCTAAGTGTCTCAAACCCAAAAGAAAGTAAAATTTGATTAAACTAAAGGAGAGGGCCATGTTTGCTTCCAATAAATCAAGCAAAGGGGGATAAAGGCATCTGTTTTTAAATGATCATGATCCCAAAGAATAGGAAAAACTATTAGACTGAAAACAAAACAAAAAATTAGAAGAGAAAACAGAAGAGAATTTTTTTCTTTAATAGAAAAAAAAACTCTAAAAAACAAATTAAAAAAATAGTCCAAAGACCAGACCAGAAAAGAAATTACTCAGAAAAACAGAGCTTTTTTTTTTTTTTTTGTAAATGCAGTACGCTTCCATACAGGACATCATGAATACAGTTTTTAGAAAATGAAGTGAAATCAGGATCAGACTCAGGATATTTCTGGGTCTTATGAGGGTTTAGCACCAGAGACAATCGGCTCCATGATGCTCCCATAATTCATGTACAAAAGAAAGCACAGCCAAGGCAGAGAACATCTTGCAACATGGGCTTTATTAGGTATCAATGCAGTTTAAAATTTTACAATGGCATTCTAAGACACACACAGACCATTGGACATGGTTGCAATCTTTAACTTTGCTCCCTCTATGACCAACAAATTTTCTCAGAGACCTAACTTCTTGAAAATATGACTTTCTTTGCATTTTCTTATCTATTGGCAGTCCAATAATCCTAAAAAACACAATGAATGACAGTTCACATCAATGCAAAGATGGAGTTTAAGGCCATTTGAAGGGGCACATTTGTACATTTTTACACCAAATATAAATAATGTTTCAAAGCCATCAGTTCAGTTTCTCTTAAATATGTCACTAAGCTAAAGTTCTAGTCTAATCCGTTTAAATAACTAGCATATAGGGTTGTGCCAATGCTGTTACACCTCCTTCATTTGTGCCTCCTTCAAGAACATTTTGCCACACAGGAATTCACACGCATGCACACACATGCACACACACACACACACACGCACACACACACACACACACACACACACACACACACACACACACACACACGTGTGTAAGGAAGGGAACTTGTATCAGTGAGTGCCAGAACAGCAGAGGAAAGCCTGCGAGCAGCTTCTTGTTGGGGCGTACACTAGAAAAATATATATTTATTTATACTGTACTGGAATGTATGAGAGCAGACCTTGGCTAATAAGAGGCTCAGGACACAAGCATTTCGCGGATTATACTCAGATCAAGTCACTGCTGTTTGTTTCCTTTTTCTTTGTTTGGTGAGTTTTTTTGCTCAGTGGGTACTAGGCGGGACTTAAGGAAGAGAAATTTGGATGTAAAAGATTTAAAATTATCATGAATGTGTGATATATGAGGAGGGAAAATGAGAGAAATGAGTCCCAGTTTGGAGATGAAGGAGCAGGTGGTGGCTGGACAGACTGGCAAAAAAGTGATGGATGATTCACGCATTAATCCCCCCTTCCTTCCTTCCGTGTTTACTCCGCTCTAAACGAGTGAATCTAACACTGAACCTTGTTTTAAATCACAAATAACCTCAACCTTTTGTCCTGCACCAAAGCTACAGCATCATTTCTATACCCTTTTGAGGAGCTGCTGTGTCGTGAAACAGATCAGGACTGTGCTGTTGCTATCTAGAGACAGTTTGGGGGTAAGATGAAGAATGAAACTGAGAACAGTACACTACTGAAGCTGCCTGTAGTTGTGTTGGTACATCAGGCATCAATCCTGGGACCTGAGCGTTAAATTAAAGATGTTTGGAAACAAAGACACAGTCTCCTTTTCCCCGTCCCCGTATCGCTTATGGACTAACTCTGACTGACAGGTGTGTACATTGTCAGAGTGTGTGCGTGCTGATGTGTGTGTGTGAGGCAGCAGGTGGGCCAGCTGTGAGTGACACACGTGGCTAGGTGCAGTGACAGCTGAGGGACCACAGCGGAAGAGGTGGAACCGGATGGAGATTTGACAGATTTGAGGTGTCTGCTGGGGGAATGATGGAGGAGGAGGAGGAGAAGCTTCTGTGTATGTGTGTGAATGTTTGAGAGTGTGTACGGGTACAAAGACTGTCGCTGATTCACTGAAGACGGTAAAGAGACAGATTTCTAATCAAACCTAACACCTGAAGCAGGACTGTTGCCTCTTCAAAGACAGCTGCTTCATCAATTTGCTACATAAATCTTCAAAAGGCGATGGTGATGCTGACTGAATATGAAGTATAATGTCAACGAGACATGTGCGTGTTAAAATAAGAAAGAAAAGAGAACTAATGGCCGTTAAATTATCACCAGGAGGAAAAAATAAAAGGGGGGGGGGGGGGGGGTTGTTTCCTTAGTTTCCTGAACATCGTAGCACACGATGAAGGATTTGGAAATTTCTTACTGAATTAACAAATATTGGGTTTTTGTTTTTTTGACTGCTCTGTGTCTCTTAGCTGCATGTGTCAGTTTCATTATCCACGCCTCTTTTCTTCTGTACTATTGAACAAAATTTTGAATACACTGGTTTGACAAAACACATTGAAGCTTTTTGATTGGTTGGAGCTCCAGTTGAAAACCCCCAAAATATTCGTCTTTTTACAATGAAACTGTGATTTGAACTAATGCATTCATTCCAATAACAGAAAACAGTTTCAGCTCTTTGTACAGTAAAGAAACAGCTCTGAAGATACAGCCATGAAAGTTTGAAGAAAAAGAATTTTCTGTGATGTCTGATGTGATTTTTCAGCATTTTTTAATCAGCAGCTACAAATCTCAGCATTAGCAGATAGCAAATATTCATCAGCTGTTTATTAACAGGTCATTATCGTACAGAGCTGCAAACTTCAGATCGGCATCAATCCTAGAAATACCTGTCTACATGTGTTTTCAGGTGTATTATACAGAGCTCCTGAAATTCCAAAAAAATGACAATATCATCTTGTGCACATAAAAGACTTCAATGATCTGAAATATGATCTTGCGGGGAGAAGAATTTTAGCTTGTGTGCATGAGACATGGAGTCCTGCACAAAGAGTTAGAACTTCGGCACAGCAGAGAACAACTTGTTCCACAATAGTTCTACTGAGCACACAAGATAATGATGAACTTTTCTCACGGTTGTTATCTTTTGTGCATAAGATGACAACTAATGTGACCAAGATTATTATACTGACTGCAGAAGGTTAAAATTTTTTATTTGACTTTTTTATATTATGTTTTTTCAGTGTGTGTGTGCACAATATCAGAACAAGTTATATTTTGGACTTTAGGGATCCTGTAGTATCCTTCACCTTCTGTCACATGTTAAAATTCGGCATGAAAATGCTGCTTTGAATGGGTTGCTGGAGTTAAAGTGATTCCAAAATGAAGTCTTTTAATTCAAATTGTGAACTTTTCGAGCCCAGGGGATTATGTAAAGTCTGATATTGAATGTCTCTGTGAGCGGTGTTGCTTGTATACATGTATGTGTTGCTACAGTGTTTGCTGCATTCTTCAGCTACTGCGGTGTTAACATAGCCTGGCAAAGCCTAACCATTCACCAAGTGAGCATTTGTCTGGGAGCCCTCAGTTAATTTTCCATCTTAGCGGAGCAGTTTCAGTCTCATTTCTCTGGAAATTTAGAGAAACAAAGCATGTGATGTAAGAGTTTTAGGCAAGGCCCCAGGCTGGGCTGAACTATTTGTAACTTCTGATTCACAAAACTCAAAGGTCAACGTTTCAAAAGGAAAGTTGTCAGGGCAAAACTTAGTATTCAGTACTTTCACTTTGATTACAACATAAATTGAAATCTAGTCCATTCAGCTGTGGCAGAATCGGAGCCTGACACATCAGGTCCAGCCCTCATGGTTTTTGAAATGCCACATATGCCATAGCAAAAGCTCATAGATTTGTCTGGTTCCCAGGCTACATTAAGGGTCTATCCAAAAGTGTCCTTCTTCTCTCATGAACTGCAATAACTCTGGTTCTTAAAACTTGAAACACAAAATGTCTAAATACAATGAGGATAAAAAAACAAAAACAAGGCCAAATAGAACTATAAATCACAGATCAGTGATAGTAGTAGGGTGTTTTTAATGATTCACAAATCCAAAACCAAGCACCAACAAACACAGACAACCAGAGGAGTTGATTTCCCATCAGGTTTAAAGTTTAAGACTCACTTGCTTCTTAGGTTGGGTCTAGATGGTAACCCAGGATTTAGAGAGGTTTGCTTATATGCACCCTCTCTCTCTTTCACCAAGTTGACCACTGTTCATTGTTTGTATTTTGTAAGTATCTTTGTAGCCCAAATTGCAGTTTGGACTCCATGTTTGCAATGATCAGTTGCATAAGGTTTGGGCACCAAAACCACTTGATTGTGCAGGAAAACGACATAGTTTGGTTAAAAAAAAAAGCCACTGACAAGCCATGATACACTAAGTAAAAGATGTGTCTTTAACATATTCATCCCTCTGTGGAATCTGAAGCTCAGTAAAGAAACAATGTGTTCAACTTTGTCAGGGTTTTTCCTCAAATCTAGGATTACCCTCTACCACCAACCATTCTCCTCACTTTGACTCCTTATTCATTTATTTCCCATACAAAATAGATCAACATAAAGGACATGACAAGACAGCACAATCAGAGCATGGACTCATGGAGTATGGATGTGTTGGTGATGAGGATGGCAGACAGGAAACAAGAACAACAGAAGATTTTTCAGAGGCAGGTGCTACATCCTCGCCTGTTTTCACTTCCTATATGGCACATACAAAACTGTGGTTTAGCCGTCTGTGGGAACGAGTGAGAAGCTCTAAGACGAGATGCAAACAGTGCCCAAAGCCCCATGAGATGTTGATTATTTACCTCAGACTATTTGGAATCAGTTTTAGACTCTTTGAGGATGAAAAAGGGCAACCAAAATTTGTTAAAACTAAACATACAAACATAAAGAAAGAAAAACAACACAGGAACCAGCAGGAAAAGGAATAAAAGGAACAACTGGTTCAGTAAGAAAAACACAATGTCTGTCTCTGTATTAGCACGCTTTTTTCATCAGGGTGGAGTAAGGTGAACACATGAATACAAGTTACTCTTCCTCCTCTCGGTCTTTTTGTCAAAAGTTCAACAACATGTGAGGATTTTTAGTCCACTGTGGGATATGTGAGGGGAAAAAGAAGTAAACATCATCAGCAGTTCTGACGAGACAAACAGGACCTTCATTTGAACTTTCGTGGGCCTTTAAGTCGAGGGGTAGTGAAGTGGGGGGGAGTTTGTTAAGAGAGGGTTGTTTGTGTGTTTCTTTACAGGCGTTTCTGGGCGATTAGGGAGCCCACCACAACCCCGGTCACCAGCGTCATCCCCGCCAACAGCCATTTCTTGAAACTCTCCTGAGACCTCCTGATCTCTGCCGCAGCGTCATGACCAAAGATTTCGGAAAAGCGCTCCTGAGAGACACAAAAAAAGAAGAGAGAAAAAGAGGGTTAGCACAGGGGTATTCACAGCTGACAATGTGTGAGATTTATTCAAATCCTCAGACAAAAATAAATAAGCAGACATGTATGAACCCTTCCCAAAACTCTTGAGTCAAAGTGAAAGGCCACAGTCAGGTTTAGGGAGTCAGGTGGATTCCCACCTGAGCCACCCACGGCTGGGTATCTGTATGACTGTCAAATCCCACACAGTCATGTGTGGAAAATTTCCATCCACCGCAGAGACCACACAGGTAAATCAACATCACAATTAAACCTACAACACCGCCTCTATCCATTCTGTACAGAGTCACAACAAGATTTCTCTGATAAGGGGAAAAATCCACAGTGTCGGGACCCTTCCATGACAACTGTTGCTTTAAAACTTTCCTACAACCACCCACCCCCCCACCATCCTCCCTTTTACGGCATCTCATCAGTTCTGCAGATTTCTGCAGAACCACTGTTGTTGCTGACATTCTTTCCCACCGTTGTCCTCAGATTGCCAAGCCTACATAGCCGCCCACTAAAATCATTTCCTGGAAATGAGCTGCAGAGAACGCAGTTTTTATCTCAGGCCACAGGGAGGCACCGGTGAGGCTCAAATTATGAACACAAAATCTGCGGCAGAACAGTTGGACAGTGCTTAAACCCCACATTTGAGCCCCTGCCGATAATGGTCATCATTTTGTACACACATTAAAACTACAGGTGCCCAATGTCCGGGAAAATTATGACTGAAACTTTATCTGTCCGTATATGAAAATGACTCATTGCCAGAAAGGATGCAAGAGGAGGGGGGATTTTACTGGAATCTGCTGATAAAGGACACAGGAAGGAGAGGATGAAGGGACAAAGAAGTTAAAAAAGGGAAGAATGCAAGGGGTGGGGATGCTGCTGCTGCTGCTGCTGCTGCTGCTGCGAAAAGAGATAACTTCAGTAAATCCGTTTGTATAATACACTACTGGTTTCAAAATGATTTTTTTAACCAACACATGGTAAAGTCAAAACCACACATGGCATGTATACGCCGAATAGATTTAAGACAGATCTGAAAGAATGAGTCAAATAGAAAGTCATGTAGATTCCAGCTGAGGTGATTTTGAGTGTTTAGATTTACATATCAATACCAACTCAACAGAATTCACAGACTCACCTTTAACTTACTGATACAGTTGTCTGTATCAGTAAGAAAGATGCCAAGGTAGAAGTGCCACAAACTGCAGTTCTCTGAGCATCCACTTGAGGCAGACTCAAAAAGCAACACGAGCCACATTCACCCACGTTAAAGAGCCCATCTTCACAGCATAAACAAAAATGTTCACACGACTATACGAGGGCTGCACGATTTTGGACAAAAACAAAATCCTTATTTTTTTCTCTGAAAACTCAATTTTTGATTTCAATTTTTTATTGAGTGACAACTTCACCAAACTTCACTTAAAAAAAAGTTTTTCTATCATCTCTTAAAATGAAACCACTTAAAATGACGTAGTGCATATGCCAAGCCAGTAAGTGGCGCTGTAACCCTGCACAGGACGCGCACAAAAGACAGAGGAACAGTACAAGGCATGTGTGAGAAGGTTGTTTTGGATGGACAAGCGTAGCCACCATAAAAGAGTTACGCCATGTGTCATATGTCATAACTGTTTCAAGAGATGCAGATAGGCATCCACACGGAGATGAAATGGCAGTCGTTTATGTTTACGGTTTACAGTCACCGAAAACGCCATTTCTGTGTGGATGAAACGCCGATACGACAACAATCCTTTGCCTTTTCTCCTGAATTCTTTTCCATGTGGACGGGTTAAAACTGCCTTCAGACAGACTTTGCAGCAAGGAGTGTTTTGCTCTTCATCTGAAACTGCAAAGCCGTACCAGTTCCACTCGCCTGATTTACTCTTGCCCTATTTTGCCACAAAATTATCGCTTTTTTTTTGCAAACGCCATGTTTGTTTACACTGGTGTGTGTGGGAACTGGGGAGCGTTCCTGCAGGAACGGGGAGCCTACGGCGGCTTGGAGACATGATAGAGAGGAAAACTGATTCCATGATTTTAATTATTTTAACAGTATCAAATAATCTGATTACCATTTAAAATTGATTAATTGTGCAGCCCTATACTACACTCGAAACACTTTTCGTCCGACTAGATTTTTTCTCTAGTTACTTATATAGCTTTCTGTGACGAGGCCTCACACAACAATACTAATACTACTACTAATACATTTTGTCAGTGAAAAACTGTGAAAAATGGTGTACAATTCCAAGAGTTGAAAGAGTTACATTGAAAATCTTAACTCTTAATTAAAACTGTTTTTAGTTACAGCCGCAGAGATCCTTAGAAATAGTCACTGAATATTTTGGACGAACAGAAAACCTTGTGTCTATTTCTTATCTCTTACGCTCCAACAAAATATCATCTGTGCTTGTTTACAGCAGGAACTGTTTACATGAGCTACAGGTCCAGGTAGTCTGGGGTGGCTGTACTGCTGCCATGAAGCAGACAAATAAATCCGGAGCTAACTTGTGAGACTGAACAAGTACATTCCTCCTTTCCTCTTCATACAGTCACTAAAAACAAGTGTAAAATGGTTACAAATGCACTAGATTCCATAGAATTGATCACTCAATCTCCAGTAAATGTTTCATGTCAGCTAAAGGAACTTTTTAACAGTTCAGCCGTTCACATCAAGTAATGTGAGATCATTATGTAGCCTACTGACTGCTGCTGCCCTCAGTGCAAACCTTCATAATGAAAGAGTGTTATATGAACTTCAAACATTCATTACAGAGGACTGACTAAGTCTTTGTATTAAAAAGAGGACTTTCAAACTGACTCAAAACTGTCCATCTCTCCTAATTCAAAAGTGAGGGTAAATTTCCTTTTATTGGTGTTTTAATGTAATGGAAAGACTCATTGTTCAAAGAGATGGCTCAAAATAAAGGCAGTAACGTGAGTGAAGACAGTCCTTGGGGGATAATCCAACATCCAACAGAGAGTGTGATTCAACCCTCCTGATGGGAATCCTTGCAAATTAATGAGATGTGATATCGATTGGATCAATAGGGAAATGAAACAGCATGTCCTAAAGCTCCTTGAGGCTCTGAGGCTGGGCTAAAGGGGGGGATGAAGGAGAGGAGACTTTCAATAAAACAAGGGTATGTAGGACAAAGCCAGAATTGAGGAACTGTTATTGGATATTCAAGAGTTCCCATGAATAAAGGTTTACAGTTTTAAGTTTCAGACGATTAGCTTTCAGGAGAAGACAAAGTGATACCAAAGAGTCAGAGGGGAGTAAGAGAGAAAGAGGTAAAAAAAACAAAAACAAAACTGGAGTATCATTCTTTCATCATTACTGAAGTTTGAAGTCATCATAATCTTAGTTTGATATCTCAAATTCAGATTCTGGTATTTTCACACCCCGGCCCTCCTGCAGCCTGATGCGGTGACATCATCAGCCATGGACGAGTGTGAGTCTTAACTAAAGCAAGAACAATGAAACAGACCCTGACCAGTCCTGAGATCTCAGGAAACAGGTTAAGAGTGAAACTTACACAGTAGTTACAGGATGCCCTTGCACACAGTCACAAATTACACAGAATCCAAATGTAGGAACTGTGGGGGTGGGGGGGGTCCTTTGTTTTGTGCATTGTCACATCTGATGCAATGAGCAAAGGTTCTGAGGTTACAAACACGGCTGCGATGAGCGTTTCCAAGAATTTGCAGGGTGTGAACTACTGACGGGAGATAAGGGGAGGTGCAGTGATGACATCATTCCTGTAGTTAACATGCGCACATACTAAAACCAAGAACAGAATCTTACAGCTCCTAAAATCCTGTTTACAAATGCACATACTCACATTTACTGGACACCAGAGGCAGCACAGTTTGAAGTCAAAGGTTCATTACAGACACTGAAGTCAGTCAAAAGCTTGAACATATGACAGAAAGCTGGAATTGTTTGGTTATTTATTACAGAACACGCTCCTATTTGGATCTGGTTGGGGATTTTGTGTCATAGTCGCTTCTCTCATTCTTGTTATGGTTTAAAGTAAACATAGACACACTTCTAGGGAGACATTCCTCGACAAACTCACACATACTATAGGAGCCTTTACTCTTGTGTAATCAATAGCCGTAGTCAACAAGTAGGAATGTGTAAATATGTGACTGAGCTCTACACAGAAGCTGCCACTCAGGGCCAGAGCTTCTCCTTCACCTCTCATCATTCCTCATCTCTTACACACCGGAACACTGTGGCCTTACATACTAACCCTATCACGGACTGTGCCAAGGCCTTGTTAATGAACCTGAGGATAGAGGGGACTTTCATTACTGCAAAAGGAAACTGCCAAGGAAGAGCAAATATTTGCCTTCAACCTCACCTTGACTTCCTGGAGGGACTTAAACAGCACAGGAACATTTCCAGTGAAGAGAAACTGGCCTTCATGATAGCAAAGCCTGCATTTCTTTAAAGGGATATTCAATGTAAATTTAAGTTATGGTCAAAAACACCGGAACACCAGGTTAGATAACCCCCTCGAGAGATGAATTTTGCCGACTGCTTGCTTCTCTAGTTATATCAACTTTAATAATGACTGCACAATAGCAATACACAGCAGTCTACGTCTCCAGGCGCAGATCTCAACCATGAAGCCACTCTATAGCCACAAATAATGCTCAGAACAGCACCTAACTTCATCAACAGTACATATAGGGTCCCAGCCATAGTTGTAGCTATCAAACATCTTTTTAGCTTTGCCTGATTTCTTCAGCAAAGAGACTAAACACAACCAAACCCACTCTCCTCCAGCAGCCGCTTGTGTGTGGGGGAGTCCTGACGATCGATCACGGAGTGCAGCGAAGTTTCACAGCTCAAGGAAGGAAATTCATGATTATTACTTCATGGAAATGCAATCAGACCGAGGCGCTAAGGCAGAAGAACTACCGCGTCTGCAGGGCAAAATGATTGATATGATGATTATTACTTCAAGAAAATGATCCGCTGCACTCGGTGATCGATTCGTCAGGGCTTCCCCACAAACAAGCAACTGCTCGAGGAGAGTGAGTTGGTTGTGTTTGGTCTTTTTGCTAAAGAAATCAGGCAAAGCTCAAAAGATGTTTGATGGCTAGTACTATGGCTGGGATCCTGTACTGTTAATGAAGTTAGGTGCTGTTCTGAGCATTATTTGTGGTTATAGAGTGGCTTTTTGGTTAAGGTTTGCGCATGGGGACGTAGACCGCTGTGTATTGCTATCGTACGGTCGTTGCTGAAGTTGGTATAACTAGAAAAGCCAGCAGTCGGCAAAATTCATCTCTCGAGGGGGTGTCTAACTCGGTGTTCCGGTGTTTTTGACCATAACTTAAATTTACGTCGGAATATCCCTTTAAGTATTCTGCGATTGTTGTTTTTGTCTGTGTACCATCTGTGGACAACAGCATCCTCCTTGAAGGTTTCTTTTACTGTTTCATCTGTTTCTTATCTACCATTTGATTTGATTTATCCTTAGGCCTTAAAATGGATGCATACACAGGGTTCAAATGAAGCAGCCTAAACAGATGATAACAGAGGGTTGGGCTGAGGCACGTGAAGTTGCTCCTCAGCATCCTGATGAGTGAGCTGAATTAAAGTAAAGCAGTTGGAATTAGCCACGAGGGATGGATAAATGGCTCTAAAGTAAATAATGACGTAGTTTGATTACACTGTAGTGTAGAATGAGTCAATGTTTTACAGTAGCTTTTAATCACTTTTAGGAGGCAGCCTGAGCGCTGCCGATCCCTCCCTGTGAACCCTGACAGAACAATGTGAGGAATGTGGGTGTAGAGACTGAATGACAACACATGATAAAGGTGAATGACACCTATTAAAGGGACAAGTCGTGACATGTTTTTAGGTTTTTATCCTGTGATTGTCAGTACCTTACATTATTTTGTTTATTGATAGTGAGGCTAAAGCTTCAGATGGAAAGGCTCAGTGAAATGTTCAATATCAGCCTTTTTCAGTGTTTGTTTGCAGTTCATCAGTATTTATTTCCTCACTCACAGGTGTGGTAGGTAGGTGTAGCAGCCTAAAAATAGACAAAGATGCTTTCAGACTCTCTTTTCTGTTGCATATTAGCGTTCTACAGAGAGTTGTAAAGCAGCCTCAATGATATGTAATAAGCTTAAGTTTTAATTAAAGGGGTTAGAGATTACATTTGCTCAAGTAGACCCAAACCGAACAGTGAACGTCTATAATGACTCTGTGAAAGACTTCTTCAGAATATGTTCTTGTTCTGTAAAAGTCTCCTGCTAAGTGGAAGGGAAGCATTGACAGGTTTTACTGCAACAGATGGTGATATTTAATAATGTGAAGAGCCAGCTCAGATTACAGGGTGAATGCAAAATAATTGAAAGGATAATTCTGGTAAAGCTGTACGGATTTGTTCTTGTCAATAAGCCATGAGAAGATACAACCAAACAGTCTTGTCATGTGTTGTCTGTGAGATCCTAAACCTGTCGGTGGTTCTCTACACAAACCCAGTGAGTCCTATTTTAGGGTAAATCTGAGTCAGACATAAATCCTAATATGCCCTTGGAAAATCAAAGACAACATTTGGATGGTGCCACACCTCAGACCTTAGATGACATTACCCGCATACTCCAGCACTGTGTTTAAATGACTCCCAACTAACACTGCTAACACAGATATAAGATAAGATAAGATATACTTTATTGTCCCAGAGGGGAATTCATTCAGGACAGAAGTGCAGGCAGACTGTATCACCATATAAGACAAGACCACGTCACAGAACAACACATGGTAACACACAACAACCACAAGGCAACAACATCACAGTACAAGCACATGACAACAGCAGAGCACCAATCGTACGATGACATACAGTAGCAGCGAAAAACAAGAGAGAAATACAGCACCACTTTGCAATAGTAAAAACTGCTGCACAACCCCAATCCTTACGAAAAATATGCAACCTTTACAACCTTACAATACCACCTCTCTACACTGACACTGTGGCAAAAACAGTATTTTCTGTTGGCACTGACACAGTGGCTGTTAAAGGCTGGTCTTCAGGGTCCAGAAATAATGCCAGGTCCCAGGCACAGATGTTAGCAGCCTGATGATCTGCTGAGCCCTAACCATCTATGATAGGGAGAAGTGGAGCAAGATCCTGTCCTGCAATCCAGGCAACAGCAGCAGAGCTGAGGAGTGGACCTAAATGAGTAGTGAGATTATCTTAAGATGTGTCAACTGCAAATCCCAGAGAAGGAAAGCTGAATGAGGACAGAAATGTCAACACTATTAGTGCAGAAATCCAGAACACCTAGTCAAGCTCATGTTTTAGCTTGACCCTGGATTTATATATCCAAGTTTTATTGTCATAAGTACTGCAAGATGCTGATAAGAATACCTCACCAGAGAGGCATCATCTATCAATTTCTTTTCAGCCATATCAACACATCACTTTCCGAATCTGTAAAAGCATCTTTCAATCACTATTTTGTGTTGGCTTGTAAATGTCTTTTGTTAGCAGCAAGACAATACACTGTGAACTGAACAGTTCCTGACAGGGTGAGCAGGACCCCAAAGCCAGTTTTGTAGCAGTTGATACAGAACCCTTAAAACATTTCTGTTCATTTGTTTACATTCATTACATATCACATTATTTTCTACCAACAAGATGATCAACGCTCTCCTTTCTGCTGAGGAAAAATTTGCAGCTGCAGATTACAACACAATCAATGCAGCGTATCTCAAGCCGTAGAAAATTAAACCAGGACAGAGAAAGAGGCCACACAGTGCTGAAGAAGCCTGAGAGGGTGTCTTACCTTAATGATGTTGACTCAGCGTATTTTAAAGGCCTCGTCAATTAATGAGGAAATACGTCAAATGCTGCAACTAACCTTTCCAGTGATGAAACAGGGGTCATAAATTTCATCAGGATAAACTGTGCTCACATTTTAGGACATCATTTGAATGAAAATATAAACATTCGTCACTTTAACAACAGAATCTGCAGCTGTATCTCCAGTGCTCCATATTTTCCCTCAGAACAGCTTAGGCCTGGACGATATAGAAAAAAAGCATATCGATAAAAAATAAATCATATTGATCGATATCAATAATTATCGATATAATTATTATAATTATTTAACATATATTTTAATTGCAGCCCTGGATGTTTTATGCTATTGCTTAATGACCTACTTTTAATAAAGAACACACAAGCACTGAATTCAAATTCAAACCTTTATTCAACCACCTTTTTTATTTTACCACAACTGAAAGTTTTTAAAAAAGAACTAAAAAAAAAAATAATCAACTTAAGTGGCCTGAGTGACGTCAGTAAATACTGACAAACATAAAGACTAAAGTGACCAGAAAATCTGATAAATAAATATTTAAATAGTCTTTTGATGAAAATAAACAAAACAAACAAATATATAAATAAACAGAATAGCTTTAGGTGGGAATAGCATACTACCAGTTTTAACTGCGTGGGAAACTGCCCACAGCCTGGTGTCTGAACACTTTAATATTTCTCCCGGGGTCGGGAGATTTATTTTTTTTAATTATCATGTGATTGACTTAATACACAAACTAAGCACGAGAAGCAGGACTTATCCACGCCGGTGTTGTGTCGTAGAATGCACCCCTGCCGAATGCACCCCCTGCTAGTAGCCATGATCCAAATACTCGCGTCTTTGTAAAATATGAGCTCATTTGAACGTATTTCCTCCGCACCCTTCTCACCTTTTCAACCCCTGACCCATTTTCATGCCTGAAGCGCTGTGTTTGAGAAATACTTGCGGCCGGGCACTTCATATCGCGGGTCGAGAGTGGCTAGAAGCTGGTCGAAGCCAGGCTTTTCAGCGGTAGTTATTGGCAGTATGTCCCTCGCTATGGGGCATGTTACTGCATGGGTGATGTCCTTATGCCGCTCGGACGCTTTGTCGTATTTTTGGCAAGAAACGAAGTCCAGTTTGGTCGGCTTCACTTGCTTTGTGCTGGTGCTGGCAGCGGTTCCAGAGGATTCCTCCGACGATAACGTGGAGCCGCGGCGCGGCCGACACAGCTCGTACTCCTGCGGGTGCGATCGGTTTAGATGGTAAAACAAGTTGGTTGTGTTACCAGACTTGGTTTTTACTAATTCTCTGCAAATTTTGCAAACGACCGCTGTTCGCTTTTTGTCAGACTTCTAAAAACCAAAACATTGCCATGCTGGTGAACTACTGAAACCTTTTTTCCGGACAATGTCCTCCGCTTCTCCTTGGTGTATCATTTTTTCTAATACACGTGCTGTCTGTTGTGGTTTGAGAGGGGCTGGGCTTGGTGCCGTAGCGTACCTGGGTCTGCGTTTGTGATTGGTTTGGAGGAAGTAATGACTGTAGTAAAAGCTACATGATAGGCTATGATGAAAAAGAAAGGGAAACTGTGTTTTTCTATCGAACTTTTTATCGACCCGTTTTTTTTCTATCGCACCACACGTCTATCGATCGATATATATTGTTATCGAATTATCGTCCAGCACTAGAACAGCTGCAGTATACTAGATGTCACTTATTTTAATCACAACTCCACCAATAAACTAAATGAATTAGAGTTTTAAATTAATCCAAATACCACCACAATGCTGTACAGAGCTTGACTTCATGCCCGGGGGCTCCTTTTCTCTTTCTTACCAGCATTACCAGTCAGCTCACTCTGCACATGTCAATGCAGCACTGCTGGTTTGATATGCTCTATCTCCCCTGCTCCCACCTGGCAGGTAAACCTAGTCTTTATCTATCCTCTCTCTTTCCTTTTCACACGGTCACGCCTTTATTTCTTTATCTCTGCTTTGTCCCAGAGGAAATCAGGTGCTCGGCAGCAGCCTGTGGAGTGCTTTCAGGCCTCCTTTTTGGCTTCTTTTCATGCTTTTCTGTCTTTAACTTTCTCATCTTTGTTAGTTGGGGTGAAAAAAAGGATGAGGGAAGGATTAGTTCATGAAAGCAGAAGGGTAGATGTAAGGAGACTGGGAGACATTGGTGAAGGTGCACAGGGAAGGAGAGTCTGCAGTCAGTTGCCACGGCTACCAGAAAGCACCTGATTAGCGTGTGTGATGTGTCAGAGTGTGTCTGGAACTGTAGGTCCATCCTGTGTCTGATAAATGACCTGATGCTACATGTGGAGAAAGGAGCGTTTTAACGATCATTAGCAGCAGCTTCCTATTCATCAGCTCTGACTTGTCGGTTGCTCTGGTGTTGCACCATAACAAGCTGCAACACTCAAATCCCCTGATTGTGAAAGCCTCTGACCACGACACACAGTCTCACAGACAAATACGCCCGCACACACACAGACACAGACACACGCGCACGCACACGCACACGCACACGCACACACACACACACACACACACACACACACACACACACACACACACCAGACATCGATCCTCATATCCTTTTCCTATTAGCTAAAATGGGGCAGAGATAGATTGAAATTCAATAATTATGGAGCACTTTGAAAAAGAGCTTTTCAGGTCTGGCAGCCTGTGGCCAGTTAAAGTTTATACACGATGAGCTGATTGGTCAATCAGAGGCAGAGTTAGCATTTCCCACCCCAGCCGCATTCATACATTATGCATACTCTAGTCCGTCATACTTAGTGGTCCTCAATAAATACAAAGAAAAAGAGGCTTTTCTTCTTCTTTTAGAAGACAAAATAGCCCTGGGTGAAAACAGCAACATTTAGTGCACTTCACTTTCAATTTGCTGCAACAGCCAATTTAGGTGTTTCCTTGTTTCTCAAGGGCCCGACATCTTGAAAAATGCATTCAATTAAACCTGTACAGTTACTCCCTTAGCAAAACAATCACCAATATTTATAGAATTTATTGATAAAGAGTTTGTTTTATTAAATACTGAGAAGTTGTGAAAATAGTTACTATACTCCTCAGCTGAAAGTCATGGTCATAAAATGCATCAAAGGTGAGAAAAAGCTACAAATCCAAACATATTAAAACATATTAAAACTGAAGCAAGGACAAATTTGATCTTTTTTTTTTTTTAATTACTCAAACAACCGTCAAGGACTGACGCTGACATTATCCAAACAATAAACTGATTTTTGAAATAGGAAGCTATTGGGGCCCTGAAGGCCTCGTGGTCTGAGTGCCACATGTGTTGGGGCTACAGTGGTTTCTGTCTGGATATCTCGTCACAACTCTCTGCTGCATGTCTATCCCCACTCTTTACTCTCCATATTTCATGTCTGTCTTCAGCTGTCCTACCTTACAAAGGCAACAATGCCCCAAACTATCACTTAAAAACAGGAGATAATTAATTAATCATCTTTACAGCCCTTCTCTCAAATTCAGAAGATTCTGGCAAGACAAGAAAACGACAGAAGCATAATCTTTATGGTGAATACTAATTGGTGTTGCAGAGGGAATATTAAAATGCTATCCTGCTCCTGCTCACTGAATCGGGACCTCTTGTCAATCAAATGCAGACTGCATTTCTACCGAGGGAATTTACATCTGTGATTCGCAAAGTCCACATCTCAACAAAGGCACTACAGAGGCTGCTCTGCAGGATCTTTGCAACGCCTGGAAGCTCTTTTAGAAAAGTAGTTCTTACTCTTCAGTCATCGTGATTCGAGTTGACTCTCAGAAGGTTATGCACGACCTCCATCATTGTAGTGATTGCACTACAGGTATTAACAGTTTGCACAGCTTCCACAACCACCCCCTGAACAGTAGGACGCCAATGCAGTTTCAAATGGCAGAGTCGTCGCATGTTTTCTTGAATAAACAACACATGTTGGGACCAAAGGAACAAAACTAACTCTTAGTGTCTTTGTCTTTGGGTCAACCCCATGCTTTACATGAACTATCATTCAGTATTAGAACAATTTTTTTATAGGCTGACTGGCTAGGGCTGCATGAACTTCATCCAACTTCGCTTAAAAAGTGTTCCTATCATCTCTCAAAATGAAACCACTCAAGACGATGTAGTGCATATGCCAAGCCAGTACGTGGCACCGTAACGCTGCACAGGAAATGCACAAAAGACAGAAGAAGCATACCAAGCATGCGTATAGAGGTTGTTTTGGCCGGATACTCACAGGCGCCATAAAAGAGTTACACTGTGTGTCACGTAATCATTTCAAGAGGGATGTAGATAGACATCCACACGGAGATGAAATGGTAGTCGTTATCAGATTTACGCACTCTCTGACTAGTTTTCAAAAAGTACTGTTTACAGTCACCCAAAACACAGTTTCAGTGTTGATGAAACGCCGATATGACAAAAAACTTTTGCGTTTACTCTTGAATTCGTTTCTGTGTGGACGGGTTGATACCGCCTTCAGACAGACTTCACAGTGGGGAGTGGTTTGCTCTTTGTCCGAAACTGGGAAGTCGTACCAGTTCCACACGACTGACTTGCTCTTGCCCTATTTAGCCACGAAATTATCACCTTCTTTTGCAAACGCCATGTTTATTTATACTGGTATGTGTGGGAACTGGAGAGCATTCCTACAGGAAAGGGGAGCCTCTGGCAGCCTGGAGATGCGAGACATAATAGAGAGGAAAATTGATTGAACGATTTTCATTTTTTTAACATCGTCATAATCAAATAATCTGATTTAAAATCGATTAATCGTGCAGCCCTACGACTGTCCCTTTCTCTTTTTGTAACATCTGATCCAGACAGTTCCCTTTCAACAGACAAGAGAAGCTTTCTAGCATCACAGAGCACATGATGTTCAGGCCACAGTGGCCACAAACAGCGGCCGGATGTTGGCCGTGACGAAACTGTGCTGACGCAAGAAAGGAAGCCGTAGGTCCCATTCACAAGCAAAAAAGAGGAACCTTCTGGATTCCCCTTGTCCTTCACTGGAAAGTTCTTATGACAGAAAGCCGGCAAATCTTTCTCTTGGACACACACAGCGGTCCCACACATAAGAGATGCTTCCCGTTTGAGTGCAACACACACTTTGAATATCAATTCCCACATCAACCAGCTTTAAACCAGGCTGATCCAGAGAGAGGGGGCAAATTAGCTCAAGAGGTGATGTGGAAAGTTACTGGAACTGAGTGGCTCATACTCTGTGGGCAGCCTGGAATCTGATAGAGATAAACAAATAAATAAATCAACTTGGTGAAATATTTCTGTGACGACACAGAGATGTGGAAAAGGCAACGTGTTAGGCTCTTCAAAAACATCTGACTTTGCTTTCACTTCCTGGCTTTTAAAATTCAGCTGACAAGAAGGATCTGCAATTAAGTGTCCAAATCCATGTGCCTGTGTTATGAAGAGCTATCCGTGTCTGTTTGGGTGAATAGGATGAGTGAGTGGAGTCTGCTGAGTCATTATAAAGTCCTCATCCACACCTGTAGCCAGTCAATGAACAGTCAAAAAGGAATGTGAGGACAGTGAGAGTTCTTGTTCTCTGTTTCTCTTTACAACAAAATCTCTTAGCAAACAAATAGCAGCAGCCTACACCTTTTAAAAGACAGTCCTTGAACCCTAAACAATGGAGTAATTCCTCAAAATCAACCACCTTTGTTTACCTCCTAGGTGTGAAAGCTTTTCTTACACTCATTCACAAAATAGCAAAAGGAGACGCCCTTATGGAAAAAAAAACAAAACTAGAAAACAGGAACAGAGGATACTCAGACTGAGAGCTGAAAGAAGCCCCTGACCCAAAGCCTGATGCTTCATGAGTCACAAGCTCTTAATACCCTGAAAAAAGTCATCTGTCCTGGGAGGAGTTAAACAACACTTCCGGCAAGTTGCAACACTTTCTGTGTGTACACACAGACTGGTCATGTCCTTTTGTATGCATGTACACACGCACACAGTGTCCTGGGGACATGGAGGAAAGAAAACCACACATCATGTGTTTTTGTTTATTCAGTAAATGAGCTGTTGCATCCATGTGACTGGTGAAATACTTTGAACAGAGACAGGCTGACATGATATTCCTGCTGGTAAAACAAGATGATGTCATTCAAGGAGAGAGTGAGTGTGAAGTTTGTAGATCAGTGAGTGACCTCTGCCTTACAATGTGACAGACTGTCAGTGACAGGGTCAGAAGCTCAAAGTGACTCGACAAGATCAGAGAAACAGATGATAACCCCGAGTTTCAGATAAACCACCTGAGGCCACAGTGACACAAAACATTAAAGTTTAGACTGAGAGGGTAAACAAATTACATTATCAAACTTTAATACCAAGAACTTTATGACTACAGATGCTCTGATATTTAAAATGCTGACAAGAGGAGGGACAAAATATTGATAAGGCAATAAATCGTCATCCTGACATCTAACTGTCTTTTAACTGAAAAAAATGTAACACTTAAGAGATAAAGAGGTTTCCCTGCCAGTTTGGCTCACCACGACACGACTTTATGACTCCTCGTGGTCACACTAATGACATGAATGAGGGCAACGTAAACACCAGATACTAGCAGAAGAAGAAGATTAACAGGAATAATATACTCAATCCTTCAATCAATCAATCAAACAATCAATCTTTTGACATGCAGAAAGCATGAGCAGAACCAGACTCATCTGCTGCTACTGCTCTGGGTTTAGAGAGGGGATAGAGAAAAAAAAAAGATGGACAAAGGTGAGACTGATGCATGTAGTTGAAGCAGCCGGAAAGCAGACAGGTCCAGAGCAGAACGTCTGCAACAGTCACCCAGAAGACTCTAGGATGTCAGACAGCAGTCAAAACAAGCTCGCTGCTTCCAAATCAAAATGAAGGACAAGAAAGAAAGAAAGAAAGAAAGAAAGAAAGAAAAAAGAAACAAAGAAAGAAAAACAAAGAAAAGGAAGAAAGAAAGAAAGAAAGAAAGAAAGAAAGAAAGAAAGAAAGAAAGAAAGGAATAAAGAAAGAAAAAGAAAGAAAGAAAGAAAAATACAAAAAAGAAAGGAAAGAAAAAGAAAGAAAGAAAGAAAAAAAAGAAAATGAAAAATAAAGAAAGAAATAGAAAGAAAGAAAAATAAAAAAGGAAAGAAAGGAAGGAAGGAAGAAACAAAGAAAAAGAAAGAAAAAGAAAGAAAGAAGGAAAAGGAAAGAAAGAAAATAAAGAAAAACAAAGAAAGAAAGAAAGAAAGAAAGAAAAATAATGAAGAAATAAAGAAATAGAAAGAAAAATTAAAAAGGAAAGAAAGAAAGAAAGAAAGAAAGTGAAAGAAAATAAAAGAAAAAAGGAAGAAAAAGAAAGAAAGAAGGAAATAAAAAGAAAAAAATTGAAAGAAAGAATGAAAAAGCTCTTTCAGTTTTTAATGCTTGGTGGACAGGAGAGGTAGGGAATGCAGTCAAATCTGCAAAGAGAGTTTTATCCACCCCCAGAGGGTAGAGTTCAGGGACTAGAGAGTGATTTGTTATCCCCACTGCCTATTTTCTTCAAAATGAGTGGAAAATGTTTTCTTACATGCATGTATCCTGCAGTACCACTTATATTCCTTCACAAGATTGTTTTGTGATACATCAGTTAGTACAGTATTTCTGCTGACTCACATCATAATGTAAAGTACTGGAAAATATCACATCAAATCAATTATATTGTATTGTATTGTATCCAAACTAAACTGCCATGTAAACAGGTGCATCATGTTTGTTTTGATAAATTACATATTTCAAGGGCTTTCTTGGAGCCAACCCATGACCAGTGATACTTGTGTGTATATTGGCTAAAATTTTCAAATGATCAGTGTGCAGTAAGACTAGCACAATAACAAAAACCCTCTCCAATTACTACAGTCTAATTTTTTTCAGAGAATTTACATAGAAAAGGCAGTTATCCATTTCATAGTTCAAGAGTGGCCTAGCTATCCACCAACCAATCACAGTGATGACCTATGCACTAATAGGCAAGTGAATGTTGAGCAAAGTGAAATCAGATTGATATCATGCATAATCTGTTAAATACCTGCCTTTATGATGGAAATTGCTCCAAACTGTACTTTTACACAGTCCAGAATGAAGGCTCCATAGTCAGGCACAAAAAACCATAGTTTTAGACCTTCAATGTGCAAAAATATGTTGCCTTCCCAGTAAGATCAGCAACACCAGTGTTACCCATTCACCTGAGCTTCACACAGAAAAAGAAAGTTGTGTTTTTATTGCTGTTGTTGTGGACGATAAGTCTCTAAGTCCCTTAATCATGCTGTGCTCATCATAATCTTGAACTGAGTTAGTTTGATTCAGTAAAAAAATAAAGTACAGTGATTTCAATGACAACCCTGATGAGTATTTACACACCATCATCATATGATCACAATAGCTGTATTCATTATCACCACTGGTGTTTCATCATTTCAGAGGCTTGTAGCTTCTTGACGTCTGTTTTGATCTCTAAAGCATAAAATTTGTTTCCAGTAAAAAAAAAGAACACAAACAATATGAGCGTCTGTTCCTCCCTTCTTATCAATGTCCTCATCATCTCCTCGAGTTTTATCACTTCCTGCTCCTCCCAAAGACCTCCACCCACTTTTACCCTCACAACAATGGCTGAGGCTTTTTTTAGGAGCGAGGCAGTCAGGGCTTACAGCCAAAAATCAAAAGTGACCTTGATAGGTAGGAATTACTGTAGGGCAAAGCACCGTGTAGAGAAACTCACAGCACAGTCAGAGCATAATAGCCAGGTATTTAGCTGATGGATGCCCCCTGTGGTTACCGGATTCTTCTTCATGTGACAAGAGCAGATTTTAGGAGCAAAGTCAAGGTAAACCATGAGGACCTCAGTACATGTTAAAATGCGCTTTCTTTATACACATTCATTCCATTGCGTAGAACACTTAACAACATGTTTGGTGAGCCGGATCACGATTAGTTGTCCCACGCATTTCTCTTTTCTGGCTCAACCACATCTTCCTCCTACATAAGCCGATGTTAATCTCATGTTTTACCTGTTCAAGACAAATTCAGAGTTTTCCATGACAACAACTGCCGGATGAAATAAAAGCGTTCCCCACTGACTACTTTCTGTTTCCAGTCTTATAACTGATGTTTCCTACCCATAAAGTTGCACCAGCTCAAGGAATTTCTTCAGCTGATAAGGTCAGGTTTGAGACTGCTCAGCTTTTAACTGGCTAGTGGTAAAGAAACTGAACTTTAACCTGAAAATGTTCAGTGTTTACTGGCCTGTAATCAAAGAGTTTGTTTTCAGAAAGACAAGAGCTGTGTAGACAGTTCGGCTCCGGCAAAATCAATGTGACTGTTGAACACTGGAGGGTCAATGCAGGATTGTAAAGAGTACAGCCTGCATATGCTGTGTCTCCTCCACTAGTTTGAGTCAACTAACGCAACTTCAAACCAAATAGATGAGCAGAGTTTGACTGACAAATTGGAATTTGACTTGGTCTCTTTGAGGCTGATGTTGTAATAATTAACAGTGAAGTAGGTGTTCCCCTCTGCTTGAATAAAGAGTAATATTTTTGACCTATATGTGGTTCATCCAGTGTTTCCAGATTAGGTGGTTAGGTAAATTATAGCATATCACAAGTAAATGTCAAAGCCTCTGTATCCGGTATCTTTCTGCTGAATTCATCACTAACAAAGACTCTCATGGAAAATGGAAAAAAGTACCTGTTTTTGTATGATGCTGTTCAGAGATATTGTTTAACACCTACACCCCCAGCAGCAGTTTCAGGCATCCAAAACAACAGTTCAAAGCACAGCAGATATTCATATTAATGGTCTGGTTTGTTTCTGTTGCCCCTAATCTCAGTCCTTTCTATAGCCACCTAAAAACCTGTCACAGGGGCTTTCAGAGAATTTATTTAACTACAATTATCACAAAATTCTGGTAACAGGAGTTACCCAAGTATACACTTCATAATCATTTCCTTATTTCCTTCTTTTTGTTTTTATCTGTGTATAATGTAACTTTGAGCTCCCTCTGTAACCCTAGCATTTGTTAGCCAGCATCATCTGTGTGCTCTGTTGTTTAGTCCTGTTAAATGCACTGTGACCGACATCAAACTGCAGCTTGTTGCTGTCTCTGCTATTTTGCACTCTCAGATGTTAACAAACACCTGACTGGATGCTTAACTGATAAAACAACCCTGAGTGAAACTTTTTTAATTGGTAGTTATGTTGTTTGAGTAACTGTATCAAACATACAGCCTAATCTTGTCATTATTCATTGAAGCATTTATAAACAGAGATTTCACTGAGATTTTCAGTTTGCTTATCAATTCATGACAAATTGGAGCCTCTTTGACTACATAATTGTATTTTTTCATCTATTTTGATTATGGATATTTTAAAATCACATAATAAAAAACAAGATAAGAATCAGGTTTATTGGCAGTTAGGTTTTGAATATAAGAGGAAATGCTTTGGTGTAAGAATTGAAAGCAGAAATGTGTAGACTGTTCTTGTGGTGGAAGGTTTATTAATCTATAGAATTTTTAATTTCAATCATAAAAATATGATAACCAAGACAATCTTTTCACCATCTGCATTATGTCCTACATGATTAATGGAGAGCCTCCTTCCTTCCTTTCTTTACAGTAGAGCAAGTGCACTCCTTCCCCTCAAACTGCTCTCACCTTTATTCATCTTTAAGAGCTCAGATGGATGTGCAAGTCTGGGAGCACTAAGACGTCACTGATCCTTCCAAAGTAAATGGTGGACTGTTGCATCCTTAATATGTTGTGGATATTTTATCGCTGCACGGATATGAAAACTGAAGCCATTTGATCTCTCATATATTTATATGTTTGCGTAGTATCCAGTGTGCTGTGATTGCTGTCAGTGTTATTAAGGGTGTATAGTATGGCGGTTAAAACAACACTATAGGACTTGTTACTGATGATGATATATTCCAGGTAGTGTTTTTCATTCTGGTGGTTTTTGGGGAGTTTTTGACTTGAAAATGATCTGCTGTATCAGAAAACACTGGGTTCATCAACATGATTTCACCACAACACTATGAGCAATAAATGAATGTCATCTTAAAGCGGACAGGCAGAATATCTCAGCACAAAAAGAACCCAGCTGTCACTAAAGTGAGGTTATCACCAACTGGGTGAGTTTCCAAGAAAGTCATCAGGTTTCTCAGCCTCTCTTCATTCCCTTTATTGCATACCCTTGAAATAAAGATTCAGAGTTCACCCAGCGAGCAGGACTTTTAGAAGCCAATTAGCTTACTGAATGATGAGCAGCTTCACAGCACAGTGACCCGCACCCTCCTGTTGACATCACTCTTTTGGCTAAACTGCTGCCAACTTAAGCCTGAGATCAATGTCGCCAGTGAGGGGATGGTGTTGGAGGACACGACTGCTTTGACTAGTGATGAATCATTTCCAAACAGTGGAAAAGAAAGCGAAAGGAATTAGGAAATAAAATCATTTAAGTCCCCCCTCAGAGGTGACACTTGCTGCTGTTTGTACCAGCACCAATGTGTCTGTATGCACTCTTTCGCCTCCTTTTAGACCTTGGTGTTGGCTGTGTGTGTGTGTGTGTGTGTGTGTGTGTGTGTGTGTGTGTGTGTGTGTGTGTGTGTGTGTGTGTGTGTGTGTGTGTGTGTGTGTATGTTGAGCCGGCGGTGAGACCATGAATTAAAGAGGAGATTAATGAGTCAGGACATGGAGGCTCAGACACCAATCTGTTCCCAGTCCCACTCTGGGGGCTGTGTCTCCACAAAACCCCATTCTGTCACCCAACAAACAAACACACACACACACACACACACACACACACACACACACACACACACACGCACACAGTCACTCAGGCACAAACACACTGATGATACACAGCAGGTAGGCCAAGGACTCAGGACTGTGTGGATAGAAGTTGGTGGAGAGTAAAGAGAGTGAGTTAGCTGAGGCAGACAGAAGACAGGGATTCTCTGACGGGATGTCTGCTGGAGTAAAACCATCCACCCTGTGGGCGATCAACCACACCCAGACACCTCACCATGACCCCAAGATCTGCCATCTGTCTGGAAGACTGAGAAACTGAAATTCAAGCTGAAACAACCTCATTGAGATGGAAGAAAATGTCAAACAAAGCAAAGAAGCGAGGACAGGAATGAGGAACAGGGAAAATAGGAGGAAACTAGAACAAATGAAGTGGGTGAAGCTGTCTGTAGGGGGAAAAAAAGGGCTGACGAAAACTGCTGGAAACTGAAAAGGGGGAAACCCCATGAGGAGAAAGCTGCATTCATGTGGTGTCAGGGTAATTGGAAAAATGAGTTTCCGGATGCAAGTACGAGCAAAAACTCAGAATGTCTTAAAGAATTTGAAGACGTGCTTTCCAAGTTGACAAACATAAACCAAGGCTTCATGAACAGAAACCTAAAATTCACACATTGAACAGAATCTCTCGCTCTCATGTGATTAGTGATTCTGCACCAGGGTGTTACCATCAGCTGCCACAGGCTAAGAGTCACTAACTATTTCTGAGCAAAAACATATACAGGGTCATGGGGGTGTAAAAAACTACTAATACACTAAAAAAGTCTTGCAATATTCTATGAAGTGACACTACATTGACTTTTTTAACAGTGCTGAATCAATAACTTAGGTCCCCATATGAACCAAAAAAATAGAAGCTCACCTCACACACAGCAGGTAGGTTATTGAAACACTAGTTTCATTACAATGACTTTCTCAAACACTCAAAGTTTTTTGTCCCATGAACTAAAACAGCTGTTAGCTCTGATATTGGGTGTGTGTGTGTCCATTACAGTACGGACGAGGAAGGGTTAATGTTTACTCATTAACTGAGCACCGATGCCATCATCTTTTAGAACTGGACCTTTTTTGTTTTACTGTATTTTATTATCTTGAGGGGGTCTGGAGACAAAAAAAAAGATTATTATTTTTTTAAAGTTCCTGTAGGGACTTTTTTGACATCTACAAAACACTTTGACCTGTGTTGATGGATTTTCATTATTTCCAAAAGCAAACAAGGCTATTGGGGCAAAGATCGAAGATTGTTTTAAACTCATTTTTTTTAAATGCCCAAAACCTGTGAGGCGGGTAGGTGTCAGCTGAGGAGCAGAGGAAACAGCCTTGTTCCCGGTGAATGATAAACTTGACTGTCAAAAGGCAGCAGGAGGAGTTGTGCGTCACGAGATACCACTTATGCATGTAGAGGACAAGATAAGCAAAGACTGTGGCGTCACAGGGGGTGGCAAGTGGACACAAGTCAGACGTTCCTCACAAGAGCTTTAAATTTAACAAAATTCAATTAAAAAAATGTAATTATTTGTAATTGCATAATTTAGCCATTGTTGTACAATTTTACTCAGAAGTAGTGGTTAGAATCTATTATAACTTATCGAGAAGTCCTTCCACTTCTACTGCCTAGACATGGACTCTTAAACTCTGCTTCTAGTCTTTTTTTAACTGTTTTTTCTTTTTATTTTCAATGATAAAGTGGTTGTCTGGCTTCGATGATTTTTTTTTAACCACCGTAATGTCACTTAGGGCAGTGAGCAACATCTAACTACCTCAAGAGCCCGTTGGGGACCCTGCCTCTAGCACTTCGGGCTGAAAAGTTTAGGAATCTTAGCTCATAAATTGAGTCCATCACCTCTGTATCAGGATATGCACAGTAAAGCCAAATTCTTGCCAACACACAGCTCTATTGTTGTTTCCAAAATAAGGTTTGAATCTCAAAAACATAACACAATCAGAAAAAGGATTTCTCCGTACCAGGAAGAAGATGTCATAGTGGAGAAATCCTATCGAGCAGAAGCTGACTGATATATTTCCTCAAAACTCCACTCCCCATCACTTATTGTAGCGTACAATTTTAAACAATTCAACATGAGAGTCTACAGAATTATTCCAGCACAGATGGATGTCTCAAAGCATTGCACAAGTCAGTTTTTGTTCTCTCCTTCTATTGACTCCTCTCTTCTATTATTGCAGGGGCTGTGAAGATATCTCCTGACTTTATTGCTTTACCCCCTCGGCCATTCAAACAAGCCTGTGATGAACAAAACGATGGTCTCGATGCTCTTTATCATCATTTTGTCTTTGTGCTCTATGAGATTGGGTGCCACATTACCATGAAATACTCATCAACCCTCTCCGTCCATCCCTCAGCTCTCCCACTTTAATACCTGCCATGAGACTCAATAATCCCATGATATGCCTCATAATCTGATCACAGATATGAGCATGAGAGAGAATCAGAGAGGAGAAAGCAAGAGAGAGATAGAGGGAGAATGATGGTGAGGAATGAAATGTAATCAGAGAGGAGGAGAGGGATGCAGAGGGGTGCTGAGGCTGTGCCCCCTGCTGCATGAAAAAAAATAAAACAAGAATTTATTACTGGAGAAAGTGTAAGGATGTGGGTTAGAGCAGAAAGGGTGAAAAATGAGGGGGCAAAGAGAGAGAGAGGGAAAAGGGAGACTGAGGAAGAAGAGGAGAGGAGGGGGGAAAGACTTGCTCATGACCTGATTTCGAAACTAAGCCTTGGAGAAGTGGAACAGCACGTACACAACGAAATGCAGTGTCTTCACTCATCTCTGCAAACATCCAGCTGCTCTGTACATACAGCAATGCGATGAGAACTGATGTGTACACTTCAGAGAAACTGGACCAAATGTAATTTTGGGCCGACAAAGCCTCCGCTAGAAATAACAGACAGTGTTCAATGCTTACTGGGGGGCTGTCCTACAAGTCAATGACTTCTATTCTTGAGTTTTTTTTTTTACAACATGTGAAGCATTTGCTGCAGGCCTTTATCTCTATGATTAATGAAAGTGGGGAAAAACATAACAATGGAGACATTACATGGAAAAAAAATAACATTTCACAGCTCTCAACGGAGAACTCGCAGGTGCAATTACAGATGATTTTGAAATGCATCTGCATGCAGAGCTGGTAAAACATAACATTCAGCAGCATCTCTGCTATGCAAACTGTCAGCATGTGCTTGTTGTAAACACAGAGAGGGCAAATCTCTGTCGGGTTTGATGAGGCATGAAGGCAAAGCATGCACTCTGCTTACTTCCGCCCCTGATTATCAGGGCTGAGATTCAGCATTCAGCTCATTATGGGTGTCAGTGTTTCATCTTACCAGTATAATGAGTTGATCTTTAAAAAAGTGTACTATTTGGGCTTCACTGCTGGTGTGTCTTTCCTTCTGGGTCTGTCTCTTTGCACCATTTTGTCTTGCTAAATTTCACCTCAGGGAATCAAGAAAGTCTTACCTCCCTCTTAACTCTTACCTTCCGTTTAGAGGCAGATGATGAAACAAGTTGTTTGTAGAGCTGTGATCAATGGGAACTGACATAATCTGAAGATTAGGGTCTCATGAGCCAAACATGCACATAAGGATGATCCACAACTAGCCATTGAATCTAACAAAGCTAACTCGAAGGCTGGTGGTGTTTTGTTTGCGTGTCCTGGTGCTGTTTGTTCACTCATTTTTACCCTCAGCCATGCAGGCAGCTGCACCAGCTTTGCATGTTGCGAACTGCATATATTGAACGAACAGAAGTCTTCTCCTACTAGGTTTGATCTAGGGCTGCATGATTTTGGCCAAAAATAAAATCCCACTTTTTTTTCTTTGAAAACTCAATTTTCTATTTTTCATTCAGTGTCAACTTCACCAAACTTCACTTTAATAAAAAGTTTTTCTATCATCTTTCAGAATGAAACCAGTAAAAACGATGTAGTGCATATGCCAAGCCAGTAAGTGGTGCTGTAACGTTGCACAGGAAATGCACTAAAGATAGAAGAAGAGTACAGAGGATGCGTATAAAGGATGTTGTGGCCGGACACTGATAGAAGAGTTATGCTGTGTAACATAATCGTTTCAAGAGATGCAGATAGGCATCCACACAGAGATGAAATGGTAGTCGTTTACGGATTTATGCACTCTCTGACTTGTTTTCAAAAAGTACGGTTTATAGTCATCTGAAAGGCTGTTTCAATGTTGATGAAACGCCGATATGCCAAAAAGCGTTTGCATTTACTCCTGAATTAGTTTCTGTGTGGACGGGTTGATACCGTCTTCAGACAGACTTCGCAGCGGGGAGTGGTTTGCTCTTCATCTGAAACTGTGAAGCTGTACCAATTCCAAACGACTGACTTGCTCTTGTCCTGTTTAGCCACGACATTATCGCCTTCTTTTGCAACCGCCATGTTTCCACCGTAGGCTACCCACAGGAAGGGGGAGCCTATGGTGGCATGGAGGTGTGAGACATGATAGAGAGGAAAACTGAAATGATGATTTTAATTTTTTAACATCACCATAATCAAATAATCTGGTTACGATTTAAAATCAATTAATCGTGCAGCCCTAGTTTGTTCTGGCTTTGTGAATGTGTGAGAACCATACAGTCAATCAGACGATCTAATGCGTTGCACAGCTCTAGTCCGGCAGCAGAAGGGTTGAACAAGATTCAGAAAATCTCAAATGTGCACTGCCTTTTGGAGGACTTGTAGGCTGCAATAAAAATTCAGATCTCGTTTCACTCAAGTGATCTTCAGACAAATTTTAACAATGTGTTTCAGGCTGTTTTATGGCTTTCACTACAAGGCTGTAAAAACAAGCAGATAAAAGAAAAACTCCAGTGACTCACAATAAAAGATGAATAAAACAACAGAGGATCACAGGACTGACAGAGACATGGGGAGTTCTTTGTTGCCCCCACTCACAGCAGCACCAGTGTTAGCACCAATTGTAAGGTGTTTGTTGAAAATACTGACAAAGTATCTAATATGACATAACTATGTCCAAGCTTTTAGTATAAATGATGCACAATTTTTTCTGCGTTTCTCAACTCAGCTCGGTTACGTCGCTCTCTCTGTTATGCATAAAATCAATAAAAGCTAAGGACGCAGTTATCACACCAAGAAATAAAATCAGTAAAGTGATCCTGTGGTCGGACTCTGAACCGCAGAGAAGGGACAGCAAAGCAGAGTCATCAGAAAATGCGTCCAAAAAGCTGCCCTCCTGAGTGCTCGCCATATGCATCTGCCTCTCTCTATTCTTATCTTCCACGCTCTCTGCAGCCACACTTTGCCAGACACCTCTGAGGGGGGGGCGGCACATAATGGTGCACTACGGTGAAAGTCGGATGTCTACCAGTCTGGCAAAGCCGCTCTAATAGCTGCACACTCTGCAGTGTTCTGGCAGTATAGACACACACACACACTCATATATTACACAGCTGGATATCTGTCCTGTATACATAAACAGTGCCTGGATATGGAACACTCTGAAGCTTGCTGCTGTGACACCAGTGTGTGTGTGTTTCTAAATAAGAGGAAAGAGAAACAAAGGGTCTGTTGCAGTCTAAATGCAGCAAACGTGCTCATTAGAGAGTGTGTGATGTCTCACTGCTGTGTGTGATCTACAGGGCTTACAGGTCTCGTCTTTAACGTGACCAACTGATGTTCTGACAAAAGATGTAAACACACACAGTGGGTGGCAGTAGTCTGAAATCCTGCTGCACCAGCAGTTGGTTGTTAAAGTCATAAAGGTTGTCAATTTAATGAGTGTAAAACTGGTCTTAGATTGCTTTTCATGAAATGATTTACCCTGAAAGTAAACAAATTTTCTTTCATCAATTCACTGAAGTCACAAGAATATTTCTGAAGGTCCTGTTGTGTGTGTGTTTGTGGTAGACAGCTACAAATTAAATGGTGCTAAAGACTCATGCGTGGTCTCTACTGTTGCTCAAGAATTTTTCCTCAAAAGCAAGTATGTGAACCTCTAGAGACCTTACAGAAGTGGTTTGGCCAAATCTTTGGTTTTGGAAGTAAACAAAATCTCCAAAAACGGCTTTTAGTATCCCAACCAAGAGTGGGAAGGAGACCAAGAATGGAAGCTGGCTTGAAAGGGACTAGATTTGATGTAGAATGGACACAAAACCTGTTGTGAAGAGTTCAATTGTGATCATAAAGGAGCCTCCTATCAACCAGACCTCTTCTAAACCACAGCATACCATTTGGTTCAGCAGGCACAGCCTCAGAATTACACTTTAAATTTACCAATTTGCTGATGTCGAGTTATCTGGCAGCATTGTCAGTGGAGGGGGTGACCCTGCATCCCCTCCTCCACTGTTGGATTCCTGGAAGATGATCACAGTGCCAGGCAAGGAAGACATTTAACTATAGAGTCAATAACATTAGTTTTTACATACTGTATTTTCTGGAGAAAAGACAGTTGGAGTGTCATAAGCATAGCTGCAAATTTGATGCAGAAAATCATGATATAAAAATCACTGCTTAATAATTTTAGTGATTTTTGAGCAAATGTTTTTGCTTCCAGCAACTATGAGAAGAGGATTTGCTGCTTTTTGGAGATTTTTTGAACTATAAGTATTTGTAGCTTGATCAACTGGATTGACAGTGACATAATAACAAGCCTTGAGAAAATGTGATAAGCGTTCTCCACAGCTTTCTAAACAACCTTGTTAATTTCAAGTCAACAGGTTAGTCTTTGTGAGGTGTCATGTGCACAGGGCACACCAAGAAATAAAATCCTATGAAATTTTTTATTTAGGAGGTGAAAGGCCCACAGGAACATTTTTGTGATGGCAAGTAACTTTTTATTCGTGGTTTCATTTCTAAACACACATATAATTTAAGATGACTTTATTTTAATGCAAAAACATACAAACAGCTCTGTATGGGCTGTGAGATGTAAACAAGACAGCTCAGTAACTTCATAACAGGAGCGGTGCTATACAGTAATCACAGAGGAGAAATGTTACTGCACATGTGCAGCATGGCTCTAACTATGACGGTGGAAAAAGACAGCTGTGTGATGACATTGGTGATGAATACATGATGCAATCAATGAATGCTATAGTTAAAGCTAGATGGGGGCAGACAATAAGGGATTACACCAGAAAGCTGTGCGTTTACAAGCCATACCCTTCATGCCTCTGCACTGATATATTATATGATGGGAAATCACACGTTGAAACCTCAATATGACATGATCTTTTAGGGGTGGGAATCACCAGTGGCCCCATGATACATAATTATCACGATACTTGAGCCATGATGCGATATTATCACGGTACTTGGGCCACTTTACGATATTATCAAAACACTTGGGCCATGATACCATATTCTTGCGATTTTTAACATATTGCAATACAGTAAATACTGCAATAAAATATATTGGGATTTATGCAATTTTTTCCTACTTTTTAGCTAATTTAGCATCTTCCTTTCCTTTATGTTTGTCTTATTTACACAGTATTTTATTTCATGTAGCACTTCTTGGTAACATTATATGTCAGGTCCATCTCATTTGTGCCCTGCTTTCATTCCTAATGTCTTTCCCCAGGTGCTGCTATATTTGTTGCACTAACTTTTTCCTGCTCTATAATGTCACCTCTGCAAGCCTCACTGGAAAAACAGTTGATTTTATTTTTCCATTATCATAGATTTGACTAATGTAAACAATTAATTGGAAAAATTGATACTTGGTGGATGGGACGATACAATATATCACCAGACAAAATATCGCAATACTATGCTGTACCAATTTTTTCTCCCACCCCTAATGTTTAGGGTCTTTTCTCAGCTCTGTCGCATAACTGCAATGAAGCCAGATGAATGTGAAAGAAACATCTAACAAAAGAAAATGTAAAAATACAGACTTCTAAGAGTGATCTGAAAAAGTTCAAGCCAAATAAAAGCATGCAGGTTGTATAGCTACTGGGTTATTATCAATTCTAGAGAAATGAGTAGCAGTATCGGTGCCATAAAGTCGCAAACAAATTAAAGATCACCCAAATCTGACCAAAACTTTTTTTTTTTTACCACACTAGCATTTTATGGTAAAACAACCACAATCCTTATTCTCAAAAGTGTAACATAAAGCTGGATTAAAATATCAGTAAATGACAGAGTCTCCTCAGACTAACACAGCTCAGTGGTGTGTGTTCTTACGGTGAACAACACGAGACATGTCCCTGATGTTCTCGTCAAGGAGCTGGAGGCAACCGAACAATACAATCTGTTGGCTGCCATTTTCAAGCTGTGAGTCCGACACACATCATTGACAACACTTCGACACACACACACACAAACACACTCACTCATCAAATCTCACAGATAAGGGAAAGCTAATGCATGAGCTAAACACATGCACACATAAACAATGGAGACAACTCTATGGCAGAACAGCTCGGCTACATTCATATGAAAACATTCAGGGATCAATCTGCATAGAGCCGCCCACCACACAGAGGCGTTTATTGACAGTGCCTGAATAGTCGCCGCCATTGATCCACTGCCAAAAGGGTTTGCGAGACCATTGTACGTGTGTGAGGATATTCAGTGTGTGTCACAAGTTAAAAAATGAGACAATGATAAAGTTGCTTCTGAATCTCTTTCAGCGATGGCTTTGTCTGGAGGGTGACAACACACCTGTGGGTACAACTAAAAAGCCAGTAAAGCAAATTCCTCTGTGTGTATGTGTGTGTATGTGGCCACGGGTCCTTTGTTTGAGGTAGTCACATGACCAGTCTGACATCGCGCCGTCCCCCCTCCTCTCTGCAGCGCACTACCATACAATAAAATGCACAAACGTATGAGACAACAACAACAACCCACGCCACGTGTTTGGCTGCAAACAAAAACAATCAGTTCAGGGAAAGTTTTCCTGATGGGCTCAACACCGCCCTTAAAAACAAAACCAAGGAAGCTATTAAAACAAAAAAAATCTCTCTAATTAGCCACACGTGAGCCATTAGTGATGAAGGGGAAAGGAGATAGGATGGAATGGAGGGAGTACAGGGGGGAGTACAGGGGAATGAAGGGAGAGATGAAGGGATGGTGGCAGATGAGCAGGTGGGGGTGGTGGAGGTAAAGGGATGGCGAGAGGAGATAAAGTCAGGGAGAATCTATATCGTCACTCTTATATGTGTGTGTTTTTGATAAACAAACAGACACACACACACACACACACACACACACAGGAGAAGATGCTGGAACAAGGGCACACGAGGTTAACAGTGGAATTGATGAGGCGTGCGGTAGCATGTCTGCTCTGTAATGTGTTTAGCCAATATAGTCTGTAAGGTAGAGGTAGATGGATGCAGAGGAGACAGGAAGGGGATTGGGAGGCGGAGGTTAGGGAGAGGAAGAGGAGACAGGAGGGGAAATAAGGGGGTTTAAAAATGATTAATAAAAAGGGAGGAGGAGTGGGAGGAGTCAAAGACAGAAAAATAAGGGACAAAAATCGATTGGTGGCGGGGGAGGAGTGCTGGTGGAGGAGATGGCAGGAGAGAGAGAGGGAGGGTGATGAAGGGCGGAAGGTGGGGGGTGGCTGGGGATCTAACAGCCTATCCTATGTGCATGTTAATTACAGAGAGGGAGAGAGAGAGAGAGAGAGAGAGAGAGAGACAGACACAGAGAGAGAGAGAGAGAGAGAGAGAGAGAGAGAGAGAAAGTCAATAAGTCTACTATGAAGGATGACACAAAGGAAGCTCAGGTGTTTTCCCTGTCAAAACAAGTCAAGAGAGTTAAATTACAGCCTCAGAGTATTATCCACTTCACCGTATAACAGCCTAAGTGCTTTCCAAACCACCTTAATTGTTGTTGTTTAAATTTAATTAAACAAGAACTCTTATTTTAAAATCAAATATTTTTTAACAGTGTCCAGCTGCAATAGCACAGCTTCAGGTTTTGAAATATAACAAAATAAGAAAAAATTAAATTTAAAAATATCAATATTGAAATAAATCTACAGTCACAAAGTCAACAAACAATGTGAGAAACCTTGCCTGAAAGATTAAACTAACTCTGCAGCCCAGACTAGAGAAAGTCCAGGAAAAGGGTGCATGGTTCACTTACCCAGTTAAGGACTTATTTCTGGGTTCAAACTAACTTTAGCCAATAATTCTCAAGACTTTTCCAGCTCTTTAAGGCAACATTTCATGACCCTGCGATCCCCAAAAAATCTATTGATACATATTACACCAATACAAACTCTGACTTTCTATGTAGTTTTATAAACATAGGCAAAGCTCCTGTGTGGAACTTTGGGTTTGTGTCGAATTCACCACCCCCTGTAGACAAGGTTACCTCTTTACCCCTTTACCTCTTTGCTGATCTTCCTCAGTCCACATGAGGCATGAGACCTATTCACTCACAGTACTAAGAAGCATTAAAAATTATGGTACAGAAATCAAATACTTGAAAACACCCAAGAAGCCTCCTCCATTGTTGTCATGCTGCAAAGTAGTCATCAATGAGTTCACCAGTATTTCCTTATTTAAAGTGACAAACTATAAAACATGGAAGTTGATGTTGGCCCCAAATCTGCCCTGCAAAATTTGGAAAGAGACATGATAATCCCCAGCAAACAAGAACGCATCAGTGCTGTATCTATTACAAACTTTTGAAGTGATTCACCAATTCATGACGAAATCTCGAATTGGGTAAATGTCATGTTCCTGTTGCAAAATTCTCATGCAACGTTTTGAATAAGCCATTTAGAAACAACTTAAAACTTTACAATTTGAAACTTTGCCAACACTCAGTACTGGCACCCATAATATAAAAATAACAGTTGTTAGTAAAAAACAAAAAAACATAATACTAACTCTTTAAGTACCCTTTCCTCACCATCAAGAATATTCATGATTTTTCAAAACCTTCCTGGTTATTTAGTTTTACAAAATTTCTTCAGGGCTGTTCCTGTGGGGACAGCAAGTTAACACTAATGTTAGAATATTGCAAATAACTCACAAAAACATACTCTTATTATTTTTTTTTAAATGTAAAAAAATCTTTGAATACATGTGAAGAAAACATTTCTGTCTTATTTGTAGGGTTTAGTATTAAATGCCAAACAGTGTACGATACCATTTATCTGAAACTAAGTGTACCCTTCATGAATGAGGCCAGAGCTCTTTCACAACTACAGCGCCAGGGGAATGAGAGATTGAGAGACATGGTGACTGGACCAAAGTAGAACAAAAGTAGGACAAGTTAACTAACAACTCAGGCAGAGTTATGTTAGGAAACAACAGTGCAACACAGATGTTTAACAGGGTGAGTTACGAGACAATAGATCCAAGGTCTGTTCATTATGAGACCCACCATCCATATTTTGATTTTGATGGTGATTAAATGATAATACTTTGCTGCCTTATTCACAAACATGATTATATTTCATTTAATTCAAATGTGATGACTTAATTTTTTAAAGACACTGAAATGTGATTTTATTTAAAAGATCATAAAAAAAGCATCTTACCTTGTTTTATTCAATGCGTCCATTTTAATGATTTTCCATTTAGATTGTTACAAAGAGGGACAAACAATTAAGAACAAGAAGAACACAAGCAAAGATCTAGACATGAAACAAAAGATCAGTAAGAGCCAAAAAGTGCTTTAAGTCCATTTGGACGCAGGTACTGCCACACAGTGTTCAAAGCAATGCAGAGATTGTTTCCTTTATAAAACAAGATTTGGTATGCAGTTGTTTTTTTTTTTTTACTATTTACTATTAAACATCCTTTCAGTGCTTTCTCTCTTGGTCTGCATGTGTCTCTCAGCAAAAGGATGAGGACCTTCTCTTGCGCGTCTCTGTTCTTTGTTGATGAATATATAGCATGGCTTATTATTGGAGGCGCTATTTCAGCTGCAGACAAAAACACATGTTGGTATTTGCAGCAGCAGCAGGAACATGTTCTGGGTGTTATCAAAATAACAAAGAGGCAAAAATATAGACCGTTGGCTGAAAATGGCATAACAACATGTTCCGTTTACAGCCCTAAGTGTCAAAGGTTATTTTTAAAAAGGCTGAGAAAACTATACAATATGAGCAGACTTTTAGTGCTTGAGGACATTTTTCTTGTAGTTAACTTTTCCCTGACCTTCCTGAGACTGTGAACGCATAAAGCAGATCCACCAGGATAATGGTCTCTTTTTCTCCCTTGTTACTCTAGCAGAAACCCCCATCCCTCCACCCATCTTCACCCAGATCCAGCCAAGCTTCCCCAGACTGTAGCGGTGTGATTCCTCTAAATGAGTTTAGCTTTTATTAGTCTGTCAGATAGAAAAAAACACAATGTTTCTCCCAGTAGCAGGTCGAGATATTATTCATCTATAATTGGTAATAACCCCGTACCCCCACCCTGAGGCGGCTCAATCTCCACTGAGTAATCACTGCCATCGCCTGCTCTGCTGGAAACAGCATTATTAGGTCGATGGCACTGTCTCTACCACTGCTGCCTGCCAAGGTTTATTATCCCACAATATATGGCTTTGCTCCTACACTTCTTTAAAAACATCAGGCATGGAGGGAGAATCTGCCGCTATTAAATGTCTCTGCATCCCTGGACAGAGGAGGCTCCACAATGAGCTCCAGCGGGATCATTAAGGTTGAGACTTCAACAGATTTCATGACAGTCAGGTTTGCTCTGTTGTGCAAAACACCTGTCACTTCTCTATATTTACCTGCCATCTGAACTTTTTCACTGCTTCAAACCACAGTCGAACTTTTCTTTGGATTTGCATATTGAGACTCACACTGAGAAGCAGCTGAAATGCTGAATGATTAAAATTCTGGCAGAACCAGCGTTGTAGCTCACAATTATTTTCCCTTTTTGTGGAAGGCATTTCAGAAAAAAAAAAGCCAAAAACCCCCCAAAGATAGATTTACACACAGCTAAGAAGCTCATTCAATCATCAGATTTGTTTGCAGAAATATTGGGACATCAACATTAAATGAAAAGCTCTGTTCATCATAAATCAAGTCATTTGTCAAAGCACAAGACAGTGTGGTACAGTCATAAAAGAATTTTAGGAGAAAAAAAACAAGTCCTTCTCGGAAAAGGTTTGATTTTCAGATACAATGCTATTTTTAAGTCAATTCTCAAACTTGGTAACAGACTCTAAGACTGCTAATTCTGAGAAACACTCAGGAAGCTCAAATACGATTATTACAACATTAACACTTATTACTCCACCACAAGATTAGCAACAGTGTTGCTTTCAGATGTTTGAAGTTCACCCTTTCATTTTTAACATTTGCCAACCATTTGGAAGTTGAGTTTTGGTGACCCCAGTGTAATTACTATATGATAAAACAATGAAAAAGTATCTTCAATTACTGCACATTGATACAACCTTCCTTGATCCATTTCTGTCAGAATCTCAGTGTCTGGCCACATAAGGTGTCAGGACAAGGGGTCTGTTCCACTAAAGGCACTAAGAAACTGTAGAGTAAAAACCTTAGAGACAGAAGAGCGAGACAAAAGCAATCCCATATGCAAGCTGTGCAATTTGGACACAAAATATGGGAAAGCTAAAGATCTTTGCATCACCTAATTTAACAACATGCAAATATGCACAATCTAAAACAAGCCCCACTGGAGAAGAAGGCATTAAAGATTAAGTTACCGCCCAGCTCTCTAAGTGCCCTAAAATAACTGAGGCTGTTGCAACTTACGTGCATTAGGAAACTCAGCAGTACAGTGTTGGTCATCATTCTGGCTTCTAAAGCCTCAATTATTTAGGACACCCAACCCCGCTATGAAATACAATCATTTGAGTGAGACGACCATCCTAAAACTGTATACAGAGGTGAAATACAGCATCACAAAAACAAAGACTGTTGCTTATTTACAGGGTATATTATGAATTTGTGTAAAATGATCAGTCAGTCCTTTGCACTAGAACAATTAGCTTTAAGGTAGTAGATATACTGGACATCAATGTTTTACTATTCTACAGTACAGTATGGCTTTTTAGGTAGATAGACAGGATATAATAGGGGTAGGACTCACCAGTGGCCCCACCATACGATATTATCACGATACTTGGGCCACAATACAATATTATTGGGATTTTAAACATTTTCCTAAACAGTGAGTATTGCGATACAATTTATTGCAATTTATACATTTTTTTAACTGTTTAGCTAATTTAGTATTTGGCTTTTCCTTATGTTTGTCTTATTTGCAATGTATTTTATTCTCATGTGGCACCTCTTGCAAACATGTTTGTTGCACTAACTTTCTCCTGCTTTATGATGTCACCTCTGCCAACCTCACTGGACAAACAGTTGATTTTTTTTCCATTATCATAGATTTGACTTCATATTAACAATTAATTTTTAAAAATCGATATTTGGTTAATGAAACGATACGATACATCACCAGACAAAATATCCCGATACTGTGCTGTATCGATTTTTTCTCCCACCCCTAGGATATAACAAAGTTAACTTCTGGCCAGTGAATAACACAGTAAATAAAGAAATAAATGCGTATCAGTGAAGACTTTTGGTGCCATCTAAAGAAGCTTTATCAAATAAGTGCTCACAGTGTAACTCATTTTGACTGCTGCAGTGTGTTAGTCATCATGTGAAATAAAAAGTACATGACTATATTTGCTTTACAGTCAGTTTGACAAAGAAGTTCCAGATGACACATTTGGTTAGAAGGTCCCTGATACATTTACTGACCTTAGCTCTTGATTGTTATAAACAAGACTGGTACTGTGACTGAAATATAACTATATGAAGTGATACTGAATCAAATTGAATCAAATCTGAAATCAAATCAAAAGGGGGCCTTGTGAAATGAATCAGATCCAACTAGTCAGTGATGATACCCAGCTCTTTTCAAGGCTTTTTCCCCATCATGTTTTCGTCAAAGGTTCCTTCTTAGTTGCTTTTCACACCCTCCTTTCCCACCACCTCACTCATGCTTTCTTCTCTCTCTCCCTCAACATTGTGTCAATCATTTCTGTGATAGTAAAAACATTGCAAACATTACATTAGTTTAAATTTAATAAAGATGTCATAATGTAAAGTCAGACTGTAAGGGTCAGCACCATCACGAGCAGAAGGTAATGAACAGTGCAGAAAATAAAGAACTTTTTCCACAATATGCCCGAAAGCAATGAGAGCAGGAACAAAACTAGTGGACACAATGTTCAGTAGCTATAGGAGTGGATTTGATTGGCTGCTCCAATTCCTCCCCCCGAGCTCTTCTGCTGCTGCAGCAGTCGGAAAGCTATCATATCTTCCCTTGCTACTGGGGAATCAAACTTGTGCTGGCAAAGATTTGCAGCATGGGAATAAAATCTGACACCTATATGTAATATTTCAAGGCTACAGAGTAACTCTTTTTGGCCTCTTACCATCTGGCTGTGGTTATTTTGTACATATGAATTAATCACTCAATTATAACCCACTCTCTATGTTTTTCTATGTCTGTAGTTTGCACCTCCTCTCAATTTTTATCTCCACTTTTTCTCAAAGAACCAGAAAATTCACAAAAAGAGGGAAGCAACAAAATCACTAAACAACACAGGTGAAGACAATGAGCACAAGTGAGAGGGTGACCTTGCTTCATCCTGGAAGAGCCTAATATTTCATCAGCGAACACTAAGGGCACACCTGCCTCACAGCTTCACTCAGGTTCCCACATCTGCCAACGGCTCGCTCTGTGCTTCATCCCTCTGAGGAAGCATCAGGGGAGGAAAGGAGGAAGAACGAGGGAAATAAAACACAGGAAGACAAAAAAAACCTACAAAATCTCATGTGGGTTTACAAAGAAATTCAGGTACATTTGAGGGAACCTGAAGGTGGCTTTGAAAAGACGAACCACAAAAAAAGAGTATTGATACTGTGACAAAGACGGGGAAAGCAGAAGAGTGATGTACAGAAATGATAAGGCACTTCACGGTAAGCCACCTACCTACTGAGCCGTATATTTTAGTCTGTCGCAGCACATAGGGACTGCACCTGTGTGGTAAGTGTCACTGTGTGTGACTTCAGAGACACTCAAAAAGCCAATTCTCAGTACTGAGCCCCAGACAACCCAATCAACAACAGAACAGAATTGAATTATATAAGCTTGTTAGGGAAGGAAGTGGCATCATGTGTTTCCGAGACAGTGTTTTTTCATCAGCAAGAGAAGTGAAACCATAACAGTTTTGACATCTTAACATGCTGATCCATTCAGTGTTTTTAGTTTAAAGTCATTCACTTCTCTAAGTCGAGGTTACTCTGACATGGAAGCCACTGACCACAGGCAGCCACTACATGCTGACAAATATAAGGTCTCATTTGTTGCTGTGTAAACTGTCTTGACGGGCTGTATGAGTGTGGGTGTGCGTGTAGGTGCCAAGATATTTTTGACATCATGAGATCATGGAGATCGACCACATGTGACCGATGTGTTGATGACAGAGATGGTAAAAATATTTATTTGTGGTCAGAAGAGAAATTGTTTTATCATTATTTTAACCTCTGCCTGAATGCACCACCAGTTTGTAGACAAGCTATATTTTATGCTTTTTTGTCAAAAACAAAATTAGCTGCCATGATAATAATGTAATAAGCTCATAATTGCATTCAAAATGTTTTATTTTTCAGTTAACCCTTGGCTCAGCCGCTTTGACAAACTCTATACAAAGAAACAAAAGTTAAATGAACGAGCAGGCAGAGTGCATCTAACTTACCGTGAAAGGGTGGACTTTTGGTATGGTAACAACCTTACGGATGAGACATTAAGATGGTTTAAGATTGATTAAAGACTGAGGGTTTTCCCCATGTCTTGATAATAGGATAGGCCTAAGCCATTTGCAGCAGGGTAGGAAAGTATTAGTGTCTTATTAGATTAATCAGCTACTGGCAGCCTGCACAGTGAACAGGCAATATCAGTGTGTGAACTCTGATAACAAAGCTAATAGGTGTGATAGAAACTTGTACAGTTTGGTTCTGTCCATTTACAGAATAAATGCATGATATGATCAACAAGATACCATGATTTGCTGATAGAAACGTGAAAAAGTTGTTTATCTGTACCAGCAGGTATGAATATTTGTGCGGATTTGTAAGGCCGATAAGGTAACACATTAACGATGGGCGTGCCATGACCATCTGTCTGTGTCTCTTTCACTTTGAATCATTGTGTCCCATGTAAATCACCTAACCAGAGTCTCCTCTGGAAGTCCCTGAGCTCCCTTACCCTGTTGGTTCCTCTGGATCACTGCCACGGACTTCCTGCTACTGTGGACCAGCCTGCACTCAAGCATCAGTCTCTTCATTTCAACTTCATTATTACAAACTCTATCACTGATATGCTACTACTATAGACCTGAAGACTTTCATTCAACAGCATTTCAACTACAATCACTCTGTCACCATCAACATGCGGTTCTCAATGATAGTATGCATAATTATTCTATTATCACTGGCACTGTAACCATCTGTCTGTTAGTGGTGGGAATCACCACTGGCCCCACCATACAATATTATCACGATACTTGGGCCACAATACAATATTATTGCGATTTTAAACATTTTCCTAAACAGTGAGTATTGCGATACAATTTATATAATTTTTTCAATTGTTTGGCCAATTCAACATTTGCCTTTCCTTTATGTTCGTCTTATTTACACAGTATTTTATTTCCATGTTGCACATCTTGCAAACCTTATATATTTTTTTTTTGTACTAACTTTCTTCTGCTCTATGATGTCACCTTTGCCAACCTCACTGGACAAACAGTTGATTTTATTTTTCCATTATCATAGATTTGACTTCATATTAACAATTAATTTAAAAAAATTGATACTTGGTGGATAAGACGATACAATATATCACCAGACAAAATATCGTTGCACTATGCTGTTTTGATTTTTTCTCTCATCACTGATGTCTATGTACTACTGTTGTTGTTGTTGTTGTTGTTGTTGTCTCCATCCCTCTCTCTAATCCCAACACAGTCTCAGCAGATGACTGTCCAAGCTTCCTGCCTGTTAAAAGGAACTTCTTCCTTGCAAAGCGTTACGCCTGTGGCAGTTAAAGTGGTGATCAGGATGGGTCTGGCCTTAAAAGATGGGACTCAATTTTACCCCATCTTGATGTTGGGTCTTTGTAAATAAAACAAAGAGCCAGGTCTAGACCAGCCCTTTTCGTGAAGTGTCTTGAGATAACGTGTTGTGAAGTGGCGCTGAATATATAAAGATTGATTGATTGATTGATTGATTGATTGATTGATTGGTGACAGTTCATGCGAGCCAATAAATGCTTCCACATGTTGGTTGTATGGAAGTATTATCAAGAGTTGATGACAACATAGTCATTTGTAAGGCTTATAAAGTACAGAAGATGGAAAGAGGAGCAGAACAACACTACTCAAACACTCACACTCTTTACCATGCTTCTCCTAAAGTCTCACTCTGAACAGCATCAAAAGAATACATTTACTATTCTCGTAAAATCAATCAGTACATCAATCATAAAATAACTGTATGTACAGGGTATTAACAGAAGCCGACATGACTTTGAAAATATCAGCACATCAGATACTTGCAAATGTCCAATATTGTGCAAACACACCTCACCTTTAAGGAAGCCCGGACTTCCTGCCCTGTAAAGGTATAAAGCTATAGTGAGAACTAATAGTTGGTTGCTGTTTGTACACAAACTAGTCAAAATAGGCTTCACCCCTCCGGCTCAAAGAGGGAGAGCAGCGGTGGTCGAGTGAGCTTGAGAGTGAATAAAAAGAGGGAGGGGAATTAAAGGGGATTATCAAAGTCATTAGGATTCATCCTCAAGGGAACATGAATGTCTGTGCAACATTTAATGGAAATCACTTCAGGAGTTGTTGATATATTTCAGAGTGAACCAGAGCACAACCCTGCCACCCATTTAATGACATTAACATGGCTACTAATGCATAAGTGAAGTAAGGTGGTATTGTGTTTATCAGAGCAGACCTTCGGGAGCGGCTGAGAAAGACGCCACAGCATTCCTTTAACAAAAAAGACGACTTATAGCAGCAGTGTGTTGCATTGCTTTATCCCGTCCTGTCATACATCATATCCTGCCACCCGTTTCCATGACCTCATCATCTCTACACCCTCTCCTGCATGTTATCTCCAGGTTTCAGCCCAATGTTGTAATAAATATATAAAATCTGCAGAATGAAAAAACGCAATGCCACTGTCTGACCACGGGGATTATCTCCAAAGCATGCTGCTCAGCAACTGGAATACCAGTTTATAGAGGATCGACCTTTGACCCTGTGTTAAATGGCTTTGGAGCCAAACATAAACAACCCCTCCGCTCGCCCTGGCCCTACGTCATACCATAAAATGGTCCACACAAAGGAAAAGGGCTGACCTTCACTGTCTTGGAGGTGTTCATGAGCTGAAGTCCACACAAACAAAAGCACACACACACTTGGACAGTCGGTACCATGACAGGTCCACTCTCCAGCCAACTACAGAAAACAACAGAGCTTTTATCTGGATCCAGCTGCTTTGACGAAGAGCACACAGGAGAGGACGGGACAGGGCAGGGAGAGGAAAATAGACAGATAGTGGAAAAAGAAAGAGAAACGAAGCGCAGAGCCAATCAACTGGCCAGAATAAAAACAAAGGGTTATCTGTTGAAGCTCTGTGATGAGAGAACTTCGATCTCCAGAGAGCGCTACAAAGCCCTGATGGAGCCTGTTAAGCTCCTGCTTCGATTCGGCTTCATGCTGCTGATCAATTAGAGAACAGCTGAACCAGCTGCTGACCACACATTCCGTTTTTACAGGTTTCAGGCAGAAAGTCTCGATTGTACCGCGTGTGTGTGTGTGTGTGCGGCCTGGACCTCACCCAAGCGTCAAAACATTATCTGATGGAGGCAGATAGAAATGAAATGTCAGCACACTGGTTTATCTTGGTCCATGTGCATGAACCAAGTTCTAACATGTATGAATGAGGTCATAAAAACTACGGTGTATACACCTTTTTTATGGTGTCATTTTAGGTCAGTGGGTGTCCGACATCGTAGGGTCACAAAATATAAAAATGATACTGTAAATCTGGTCTTCAAGTATAGTGAGAAATCAGTAGAGCCAACAGCTTTTATATTATTTTTCCAGAATAAGGAAAAAAAAACACACACACAAGGACAGTCACAGTAGTTCTCCCAGTTTTCCAACGGGTCTCTGTGCTCCGATGTTCCTGCCAGCTTAGGTGTGAAGAAAAGGTGTCAACAGGAACATTTTCCATACAGGCAACCTCAGCTTTCCTTACACATGCAAGTGAACCATGTCATGTTGAAAGGTGTCAAATGGCTGTAAAATCAAACCGCATCAGACAGCAAACACTTCTCTCCTTGTCCTTGTCGTAATCTTTAAGCTCATGTTAACACAAGACTTGGCCTTTTCTCAGAGATATCATGCTGATCAGTTTTCCAACATTTGTCATTTTTAGGGAAAAATGATCCAACCCCAACAGGGAAAAAAAATTGGACTCAGTTCAGAAACAGATTTTGATGGTTTCTAAATAACTTCAGTCCTTTATTTGACAATATCAAATGTTAAAACTGAAAATGTAATTGACACCGACATCACATCTTTTAGACGTGATGTCGGTGTAGGTACCAGATGTGTTCGGGCCTACTGATGACATCACGCTATATGATTGGTTTACAGTTTGTTCTGATGACGTAGAAGATTGGGGTTGGTCCGGACATTACAGAAGCAGTTTTCGCAGGATTAGGTTTCATAGAATTGTAGTTCTTTGGAGAAAACATGGACGAATGATACGAAGCAATCGATCGCTACTTATCAAAGGGGACTCATGACAGCAGCACTATCGCCTCTTTTAGGTTGCCAAAGGAAATATGGAATAAAAGCAAAACTAGCTATTGATAAATAGAGCTCCTGGGTACTTTTAAAAAAAAAATTCTTTAAAGAAGTTAACATATACAATTAAAGCCATTAAAATAACGGTGGAGTAAGTTGTAATTTTCTGTGTTATATGAAGAGAAAATTTTGAGGTCAATTGAATGATCAAACGGATGTAAAAAAAAATGTGAGGGGCTTTTAACTGAGCATATTTGACTTATTAAATAGAGCGCAATGTAGTTTGTCCGAGTGGACTGGACGCAGTGTGATGTCTTTAACAGGCGCTGGGCCCCGAGCAGATCTGGTACCTACACCGGTATCGTGTTGCAGAACAGTTGGGAAACGGACAACAAAACACTGAAAAAGTTGCTGATGCTAAAAATACAACCTGGAGGAACATTTTCCATCTGCTGAGATGAATTTGCAACAGGTTACAAACATGACTTTGAATAAAAACGGGCATTCAGAGAGGTTCGGTTTCTCAGAAGAATAAAAAAGAGGAGGATCTCCACTTGGAGAGAGACTGCTTGAGCAAATGGTTGAACAATTTTGGAATCATGTTCCTCAGCGTGACATTGGAAAGAATTTGAGGATTTCATTATCTGCAGTCAATGATATTATGAAAGATTCAGAGTATCTTAGGAAATCTCTGCACAAAAGGGACAGGGCTTCAAACCAGTACAGGGTGGCTATGATCTATGGGCCCTTGAGTGCTGCATTAAAAAAAGATGTGACTCTGTAGTGAAAATCACTGCAATCACTGACATCACTGCGCAGGCTACAAGTTCCTCCCTGAAACCAAAGGTTTAAAGACAATGCTAAGACACTACTTCTTTGGGCCTTTCAAAATAGACTAGTGGAAACCATGGACGCTCCATCCTCTTCTCCAACAGCAAAAACAGACTTTGCGAGTATATTTAGCAGAGCCGCGCTCAATACGCTTATGATACGGAGCTGATGCGCGTCCTGTATGTGATGCTGCATTGATTAGAATTGCAACCTATTTGCTGCGTAAAGGCGACATTTACGCTCAATACGCATCCTGTATGTTTTAGCCTTAAAAGAGGAGAAGGATCATGCAGTGCTTCCACATTGCAAAGTTCCTAAGACAGCATCTTGGCATCTCATAGTTTACACATCAGGAGAGGCAAAATTAAGAATATGTACAGGTTTTCAAGCAACATGTGCTGCCATCCAGACAGCAACCCTTTGTCATGGGAGACTCTTTTTATCTTAGTAAGTCCCCGCCAGACATCTTTGTGCACAGCTGACCATGGAACAAGATTCAAGGTGCTACATGGCCGTGACAGCTGTTTTAACTTGAAAACATTTGGCATATTATGAAAACAAAAATGACAGAGAAATGAATAAAAACTGTTGAGTAGCTGAAACCCAGAATCAGGCAAGAATGGGACAACATTTCACAACAACATTTTCAGTTTCAACATTTGATATCTAGTCTTTGTACTCTTAAATTCAATATATAGGTTGAATAACTTGCAAACCATAACATTCTGCTTTACTGGTACTGCCCCCCTCAAATTAGACTGAAACATTCTTGATTAGTCAGGAAATTGTAAATTCATATATTTCTGTGGGACTTACCCATCCTCCTTGACTCTCAATCCAAGGTTGAATTTGGTTGTCCAGGTATAACGTCATCCACTCTATGATTCTGCTGACCAGTGGACTCATCTCCTTCTCCACGCACTCGACACACAGCGCCCCGCCGAACGCAAAAAGCCCTACGATGCGGCCCCAGTTGACTCCGTCCCGAAACACCTCGTCCATCACGTTCTCGAAGCTCTGGTAGGCCGTGGCCGGCGTGATGTGCAGCTGGTTGTGCAGATCACTGAAGGCGAGTGCATAACGCAGCTCAAACTCGTTGGCAGAGTCCCTGAGGGCCTCCTTTACCGCATCCATATTTGCAGTGTCCGGCAACTGTTGCTGCCGGAGCGGGGAAGCTGGAGGGGTTCCAGGACTTGTGCCGTTTAAAGTTCCGTTGGGGTGTGTCGCTACCTGCTGGTCCTCACTCGACCCTGCCCCAGCCCCATCAGTCCTGTTTGGCTCTAAGAGGTCCATGTGGTCAAGAGGATAATTTCTCTGAGAGAGTTTATAGTTAATGTAGAAAACCACCAGTTCTCTGTTTTGAGACATTTTGTCTTTCGATCAGCCTTTTCTCTTTGCTCCGTTCTGTCTCTGCTCCTCTCTTGGTCAAGCCTCGCTGTGTTAGAGTGAACACACACTGTGCAAGGCTTTCTCCCTGCGCCTTTTTCTCTTCAGATCCACATGGTCAGCTGCTAACTTGGGGGGGTGAACATACACAAGGCTGACAAATCAGCTCAGACCCTGTAGAGAGACAATGAAAGGTCAAATTCTGTACAGCCAATAAGCATCCTGTGATTTTAAACAGTACGTGTGTAAGTGAAGAGGTGCGTGCATGGAGGAGCTTAGACTTTCAAATTAAATCTGGACAGGTGGGGTCAAAGGGCGGCTCTCTAATTGGACTGTTACACATCGAGCAGATGGCAATGGTCTTAATGAGGTGATATTAGAGCGAATGGGTGCATATATGTGTGCGCTAAAGTAAGAGAAAGCGACAGGCAGTAACAGGGACAGGGGGGGGGTAAGGTTTAGGTAGGTAGAGATCACGGAGACAGTCTGGGCTTGAGCTTTCAGGTAGACAGTCACCATTTGTAGTCAATGACCTCTGACCTCCAGTCAGAGTTTGTCTCAGCTCCAGCCTGTCCTTGATACCTACACACTCATTTGCATACGGTCACACATAAGCATGCCCTTGAATTATCATCGAAAAGCAGACTTTCCAGCGCTACACTGGACACAACCCTGCTTTATTTTTAAGAGTCAACATAAAATATAAAAGTGCAATATTTAAGTACATGCTGGCTTCCCCTTCTGCCTCAACACACAATCATTTGTCCTCAAAGGCTAAAGAACAAGGTCTTGTACAAGATCTGAAAAAAAAAAGAAATCTAATTAAGTAAAACTGCTTTCTTCACAATAATATGAAGTTTTCAGTGTATATTTGGTGGCAAATTCTAAATTATTCTGAAGTCATAAACATTCCTGTCAAGCAAATCTTGGAAAACATCAGTAATCTTTAAGCCCTGATTTATTATACAGGAAGGAAACCAGAATGTTTAGTGAAATCTGGTGGCTCAATTTCAGATCGAAATGCTTCCCTGCTCACCCCTCCCGTTGGTGTAGCAACAGTGGCCCTCGAGGACAAGCAGCTCCTGTTGTGAAAGATGTGTATGATCCTCCATTTTTCCCATCAAAAACCTCCAACAGTTCAATTTTCTTTGGACACAAGACCAGTTACTCTTCTCTAAGCCGTTCCTTTCATGAGGCCACTCACTAAATACAAAATCTCAAAAAATGTGACAGATCAACATGGCAGCCCTGGTGGAGGGGTGCCTGCTCTTATGTAGACACAGTACAAAAGCCTCATTCTCAGTGAACAAAAACCGTAGGATTTTTATACTCAAGTGGTTATATACTTATTAACATCATATGCCATTACTATGAAGTTTACCATTCTGCAAATTCTACACAATTCTACACACTGCATCTGTAAGATGTGACACACAAGCACATTAGAAACCTTTCAAAAAGGAACCAATGTTGGGGGTTGGATTGTAGATAAAACTATGGTTAATTAGCTGATTTTAAAAACATGACAGTGTGAAAAGTGCAAGAGTTCAGAGCAGCAAGTACACTAAACAACAAAGTGCACAACAGAAGAGTTATGAACAGATACAGTATATATCCTCTAAAAGTTTCCAGTCGGAGCTGCATTGATTCCTCAGTTAATTCTGTGGCCAGTAAAACGGAGATCTTATCAGCCAGTCATTTGGCATTTGATTCACTTATCAAGCAGAATGGCACACATCGACTGATCCAAGCTCCTTAACTATGGGATGTGTCCAACAAGAAAAAGACAAATATTTGAAAAATTGAAAACAATGTGATACATCATGTTAAATTTCAGGGCTGCTGAGGTAAATCCTTTGTTGTAAATGTTATTTTTGTAGTTTTAGTGCAAAGTTACAGGGTGAACCCTCTGAGTTTCTGTGAAGGGGACATTTTTGTCTCTTTAATGAGAAAGAGTGTTTGATGATGAGAAACAAGATTTAAAAAACATGTGCTTATCAGTCATATACATCCTGTGTTTCTGTCTATTGACAGTATGATTCTCATCAGCTAACACTGTCTAAAGTACTCGAGTGATGAGCTCAGCGAGATAGACAATTTAATAAATTAATTATTTTTTAGACATAAATCAGAACCAGCTTATGTACTAATGTAGTCTTTGGCTAATGGCTGTAATTAGTGGAACATTTTTATTATGATGTAAAGTAAAAAATGACTTCATTAAATTTTAATGTCAATATCAGGCTGCCAGTAAATGAAGTTTAAATGGACCCTCAGCCCTGAAACAAAAGAAAACCCAAGAGAGCATCCTCTGACAAAGCCTTTCCCTCATCTTCTGCTGCTACCCATCATTCTCCTGTAATTTTCTGACATTAACTGTATGCAGACACACAAAAACGTGTAGGAGGAATCTGACCTGCTTATGATCCCTGTGTGTGTGTGTGTACCATTTATCATGTGGGCACCTGACCTTTCCTTCAACAATATTGACATTTAAACTGATAACAGGTTGGAACTAATAATGATTGTGTGAAGGGGGGGTCCATGCAAATAGAGTTGGGTAGATTACATAATACATACTGTAACTACCCTACTTTACAGCACAAAAGAAGTCAGATGGAGTTCCTCTTGGCTCCTGGCCAAACAAGTTAAGCGCTTCAGTAGCAGCAAGCCCACAAACTTCTTACAAACGGACGTCAAGCTGACTAGTTTGGCCATAATTCAGAGTAAAAGAAACATACACAGCATGTTAACAGCAGATTAAGCCCCAGAAGGCAGCAGTGTTTACAATGGCCACATGGTCCCCAGCTACCAGCACGTGGCTCGCGTGTTAACAGCCCAGCTCCGATGTAAACACCAAGCAGCACCTATAGGAATACCGACGTGCCGCGACGAAAAGTAGCACCTGAACGCAACATTTCTAAAGGTATTCGCTCAAATATTAACTCAAAACGCAAACTTAAGTCTGTGTAAGTTACTGTCCAAATTCCAGCGTAATAAACATGAACAGATAAAACAACCAGGCTGTGTTCGCGACACTACACTGCCTCCGTAGGCTGCGTTTACTGTATGGAAAAGCTCCCTGTGCATTTTAATGTAAATCTCTGGGTTTATAATGAATTCACAGCCCCATTTTGATCTTTGATATGAAGACTTCATATATAAAACCTACCATCAGCGTCTTGCGAGCAGTGAGGAAAAACTGGAGATAAACCCTCGCTTCGATCGCCGCGTCACTCAGTGAAAAACCTCCCGAATCTGTCTGCTGGTGTCCGTTTGTGGCTGTGTCAGTGTAAAACGGCTGTCAAAATCAAAGACTGTAAAAAAGCTACTTTACATGCGTGAGTGTATACCTTAGCACGTCCCCTCCTACATCTCTCCCTTTGCATGCCCAGCCCTCCCCTATTACGTAACACGACCACTTCAGGAGCCGTCGGAATATCTGGATCACGATCACACCGACTACCACCGTGACTGCTCGTTTGATACAATTGAACCTAATAACGTAACCCAGTACAAACGACTCCTGCTTCATTATACAACCTTAGGATAAACTTCAGATACCGATATTTAAAACACAATTAACATCGCTTATTTAAAGAACTCATCCGCGGGATATGCTGCCTACCTGTGTCGATGTGTTCACACAAACTCAAATAAAAATGACAAGTTTGATTGACTTTCGCCAAGCTTTTCCTTGTATTCAACAAGCAATATGGTATGAAAGATCAAGAGCTAGTCTTACAAATTGAATTTACTCCTGAGTCCCTGGAAGCAGCACAGGCCAGTCCCCTCTCCTGTCATAAACACTAGGCTAAGTGAGACCTTTAATCACAGCGTATAAAATCACCATTTTGCCACACCGCCCTCTGTTTCAGCCCCACGAACACTTAACCCCTCTCTCTATCAGCAGTATAATAGTGATTTTTTAGAGAAGCCCTTTAGAAAAGCCCCAGCACCTCCTGTTCTAACGTTATTCTTACTGGATATGTAGCCTACTGAAGATGGCTGTCACTGTCAAATGAGGAGTCTCAGTGCAGTCGCATTTCGCACACTATGTTCATAAAAATGTACTTTACATTTGCTAATTATTCATTGCAGTTTGCACACACACGCTGCATAAAACAGACTAAAACCTGACATGGAAAGCACACAGGGAACAAGATGATGGCTTCGCATTCTTACAAATCTGTCGACCTGTCTGCTTCCTCTAAGAAGCTTGATTCAGAAAGGGATGGGAAATCCACCCTATATACCCTCCTTTCTCTCATTATTTCGTCAACATATCGAGCACAATTATAAGTATCGTATTCATGTATCAACCCGAAACTCTTACTTGTAAGGGGGTCTCCATAAAATCATGTCTGGTGGCTCCCAATCCAGACCCCGGCTGGTTCTAGCCTGTGTGGCTACGCCGACGGAGATCACCCGAACAGTCCGCTACTGGCTAGCACAGATCCGCCCACAGCTACGTTCACTACGTTACGTTCACTTCACCATACCAGCCTGTTCAGTCCAGACAGGTGACAGCTCCAACCAACGGGAAGAGTATGCAACTCAAGCGGGATTACGACCAAAATTCACCACTTTCTGCGATTCACTCCTGCCGAGTTTATGTAGCAGAGGTGGTTGAGTTAATACAAGTCTCAGAAGCGTTAGCGGCACACAGCTAATGTTAGCGCTTACTCGCTAACAGTGAACCATTTTGCCATGTTAGTGAAACAGTCTCTGGTTAGGGCTTGGCGAGCTTCGTATAAATTGATAGTTACGGTTTACTCACTTATTGTTAGCCTATCCAGTTACTTTCATGGTTTAATAACGGGGCTTAATGTTGCAGCTGTTAGGCAGCGCTCCACTGTACTTACCAGGACAAAGGACGTGACAAGTCTCCATGGTAACCTTTGTTACCCCAAATTCTACTGAGTCGTCCAGGATGCGGCCCGCGGGAAGCCCCGCCCATATGGCTACATCACAGAGCGTCATTCGGAGAAAGTGGGGGAACTTCAAGATTTGGCAATATCCCAAAATTTGAATCTAGAAATCAACGTCAGACGATTGAAATGGTAAACAAATAAAATGGTAAAATTCCGCATGCAAAAATCAAAATTCACAAGGTACTCTCCAAGCTTGTCTGTGATGCTGCTGTGACAAAAAAATTTCCCCCATGGGGGATCAATAAAGGAATATTCTATTCTATTCTATATTCTATTAGTGTTTTGATTGGATTCACTATGTTGACTGATCAAATTAGGCTTCTGACAAAAACATATGTATACAAAGAGCTTATATTTTTGTATATTTATCTGCAACTTTGAATTTAAAGCTTCCCATTATAAAGACCAATTTTGTGTAATTATGTGATTAGTTAAGGTGTCATATACTTTTTCATTGTTAGATTGACTAAATGTATATATACACTAAGTTTATAAATTGTTTTTAATGAAGAATTCTTTAAACTTCTTGTCACTCTTGTTTGTATACTAGTGTAATATGCCTACAATGTAGGCTACTGATTGTCCTAACTTGAACTAAAATTAAAAGAAAACATTACTTGAAAAAGTCCCATTTTAAGTTGTGCCCTTCACTCTCCTGTCGCTTTATCAGCATCCTTAAAGTCATGGATTTAGTCTTTAGTCTTATTTCTGAGATTTAGCTCAATATTGTATTTCTTTGTTTCTTCTACAGCATTTTTTTATTCCTTTGTCATGAAATACTTTATATTTTAATGTTATTTTTAGTTTATTATCATCCTTTGAATGGTGTAATTGTTCCCCCTTTTCTTCCGTAATTACCTTTGAATTGCTCCTCTATTTCAATAATGTTTGGCGCTTGCCTCGTCTCATCCTCAAATGTTTCTATTAAGGAAACTTAATCGGGTTTTATAAGACAAAATCAATCCAAATTAATTAGTTTTTAATAAAGCTTTCTAGGTATGAGGAGTAATATCACCAAAGTTTCCTGGAGCAGTGTTGTAACTTTCAAATCATCTATTATGAATGAAGCATCAGTTAAGCAGCATAGTATTCAAAATGTACCTCTGGATTCAACTCCCTCACTATTTCACATGGTTTATGTTCAATATTAGTATGACATAATGCAGAGCCTGTCAGCTGTTACATAAGGGAGCAGTAACAACGATGCCTTTAAATCATTACAGAAAAATCTACTTTGGAAATTGCTTACCCTCTGTTTCATTACTTATCTGGTAACTAACTGGTCACTACAATAAGACTTTCAGTGTCTCCAGACAGCCTGTTGGTTCTTACAAATTTCTGCCACAATGGCATTCAGGACTTTTCAATTTCTTTAATCAGTGTGAAATGCATCAGCTTTAGATGAGATGTTTTCACATAGTGTGCTCAAACTTTGAAGGCAGGGCCTCACATTCAAACCTTGAGCAATTTCATGCAGATAACAAGTTTTAGCACAGTGCCATCATGTGGACATCTTTACATGGAGGTGCAGAAAATAGCTCCTCTGAATTGGTCAGTGTGGCAAACTTTTGGTTTAAAGAGAGAGCATAAAGAACAGCATCAAGTAAGTTTATGGGACATTAACAAACTGCATCTTGGTTGTGTCATTGCTGTTAGAGTGTGTGCGGTACAGAGCACAATAAGAGTTAATGACAGTATTAAACAGGCCTTAGAAGAGATGTTAAGAGATTTTGTGTCATTGCACTGGTTGATTTTCAATCCCATTTATGAATTAAAAAAAAAAATCTTAAAAGACTGTAGAAATATGTTTGAGAAGAAGCATGAGCATGAGCTATGATTCAAAAATTAAGTGTAAGCTCATATAGGGTATTTAACATGTTTAAAGTCTATCACAGCTGATTTTTTATGTCAAGGATTCAGACATTGGGTGCCAAAGACTGAAAACAGGGGATACAAACAGAATAAAAAAGACTGATTTTATGAGAGTACATGTATTATACAGAAACAAAGACAAGTCAAGGAATAAGGGGAATACTATCAGACAGTCAACAATCAAAGCACTGAAAAGTGTATATGTTATGGGGCTATTAAACTGAAATATTGAGCCTGTTAGACACCAGTTTTGTCCCCATCACTGAAAGAGTCACCAGAGTGGATCAGAATTAAGGTTTATTGACACTTCACCAAATGCTCGGAAGATTACATCACAATATTATGTATAGAACAGTATAGCATATATTTAGGTATCTTACACTGAAAACTTTACAGTCATCATTTTGTCATATATATATTTATATATATATTTATATATCCCTCAGCTTGAAGGAAGAAAAGTAGACATCCATAGTTGCGGGGGGAAAGGAATGCTTCTCAAAAAATACTTAAATGCACTGTAAATAATTACATACATCCTTCTTTAAAAAAAAAAAAAAAAAATGCACGGAACAAACTGCTGAGGATCCAGGATGCAGAGACTTCAGTGTTTCTGTTGATGTGACTTTTGGTTTCACTTTGTTCCTGAACCTTCCTGCTGCTGAACTCTCCTGCTGAATGTGTCGAAACACTGATGGGGATTCAGACCACTCACAGCAGGTCTATACACTGGGTGGTGTTAATACATGTGATGTGCAAAACAGGCAGAAACAAGAAGAAAAAAAAACACAATGTCACATTATAGGGCCACAAATTGGTTCAGTGGATGGTGTTTTTAGCCAGTTGTGTTACGAATGACTCCATGTAAAGTTCTTTGAAGTAAGGCTTAGCAGGACAACACGCAAAGGAATGCAGAAACAAAATGATAGAGGAGCCAGTATTTTCAATGTAAACCTGGAAAAAAGACTGCGGTCAATCTTTGATAATGCTGAAAGAGATGCAGATTGTTTCCTGCAGCTGAATCTCCCGCTATCCAATGACAAAGACATAAGAGAGAACATTAAAGTTGCTTTGCTTTGGGTCGGGCACTGATACTTGAGGCTTCAGATGTTACAATATGTTTTGATTAGATCAACAAACTCACAATAAGAGCAACACTGATAGTGTCATTGTTTTCTGACAGGCACAGGTGGCCAAAAGAGATTTCAAAAAGGGCAAAGTGTGAGGTTCACCATATTCATTAGTACAGTCCTTTTTCCTCTCAGCATGTAGTCATACTCTTTTCAATTCTTAAAAATAAACAGGACATCCAAACCAACAAAATTACAGATACAGGGTTTGCAACATTATCAATAAATTAATTGTTTACAGTTCTTTTCTAGTGATTTCAGTTTGAGATGAGAGTCAGGGGGTTGATGGATGACTACAGTCAGCAGAGAGTGCCGGTCACAGTGCTGTTCATCCCAGGAGAGAAAAGAGAAAGGACGGGGTTAGGACTTCTCTACAAGCTGAGTGCAGTAGAAAAGCTGAACACTTTCACAAGTCCTGAAGAGAGACAGAAAAGCTACAGTCTCAGTCTTCTTCATCTTCAAACCAGGGCCCCTTCTGTTTCCTGTTTCTCCAGTCAAACAGAGGGGGGAAAGTGTCTCCGGTGTCCACACATCAGTGTCCGCTGTCATCTCAATTCCTCCATTCTCCCCCCCGACCTGATCCTGCACCCACACACTCTAGGATGCAGGAGATGGCATGTGTGCCCCCTCTGAAGCAGCGATGTGGAAGACTGAGCCGATGCGTAGGAAGAAGCGCCTGAGGATGGCCCGCAGCTCTGGGATCAGGTCAAACTGCATCATTTCACACAGGTGGGGGTAGTAGCAGGATGCATGGGGCTTGAACTGGAACAGAAGAAGATGGAACATTTCAAAGAGCTCTATGATCAAACAGGCTGTCCAACAGAATTTAGGTTTTTCTTTGCTAACCTGAGCATCTGCCAAATGTATTTGGAAATATTCAGAATATACACAGGAAAAGGAAGGGCGGTGGCTCTAGTGCAAGGATGCTGTTGGCAGCTCATAGAGTTCACAGCAGGATTTGGAATAATTAGGTCATTTTTGGTCCAACTCAAGTGCATATACATATATTTTATTTTTCTGTTCATAGGGATAATTTCCCTGATAAAACTGCAAGTTAATACAGTTTGCTGCACTTGGATTTGTTTGAACAATTGTCCCAAATTCACAGCATGATGAGCACAACACAGCAGTGCCAGCAGGCCTACTTAACAATACGGATCTATTTTCTGTCGATGTAGTGGTTTGTGTGGCACTGGTGTTTTCTTCTAAAGCTAGCTGCTGGGCGCCCACATTTTCTCCTGCTTCAGGCTCCCTGCTGGGTTGTTTTCTTACCAAAAAACTGCTATAGTTTTTGGAAAGAGAGCCTGAGTCATGGGCTGCCATGAATCATCAGTGAGTCACGCATTCACAGAGAGAGAGGATGACTCACCAGTGACAGCTCACCAAACTGTTTGTAATCACACATATATATGACATTATTTCGAAAGAAAATGTGAGAGAGGGTGACATAGTTTTTACACCCCCTGTGACTTCAAGTAAAAATTAACCCTCTTCAAATTCTGATCCTGATTCAGGTTAAATCAACTTCATAATTCAGGGGATGATGATGTTTTCAAATTAAAGTTTGTTTAGTTGTGCATCAGTCAAACTATTGCCCTTAAAGCTGCTGAGCATGATCGTTTTGTTTCAGCAGTGGCGCCCCCTGCAGGCAGACTGGAATTTATCTCGACACTGATCTTGTTCTTTACATGTTACTTTTATTCTGACAGAAGTATGTCATCCTGATTTTTCATAAGATCAAATTTATCACTCAGTGTAAGTATTATATTATAAACCCAAACAATCAGAGTAAAAATTAGAAAGAGGCTAACTGGTTAAAAACTGAACTGCAAAAAACATGGGAAACTTTACAGCTCTCTAGTTTTCTTGTGTACTAAAAATGTGCTTCGTCATTTTCTGTTGAGGTTTTGTTGACTACTCAGCTTTCTACTACATATTTATGCTGGTCAACATCTGTGTCAAGGTCCAGTGTGGGAACTGCGAAAAAACACTCATGTCATTATTGAGGTATTTAACTTTGAGAAATTTAACGAAGTGTGATTTCAGTGGGACTAGCCGAGTAACATGCATCTTAAAAAGCCAGTTTTGGTCTGACACACCAAGTTCATTGTTTTTAGTATTGTGAAAACACACTGCTGGCCCTGTTTATCATCATCATCAACATCATCATCATCATCATCATCATCATCACTTCAGTCTGCCTTATAACCAGAATAAAGCTCCTCACACGAGCTTTAACATACACTTGACTCTACTATATCAACGCTGTCCAATAAAAAACATGTATCTCCAAAATGTGTTTTTTTCTCAGGAAAATTAAAAAACAACTTTATTCATAAACTACCTTACAAAATAAAACCAAAACACTGTAATTAGACACAATTAGGACCTAAAATCAAAATCTATATTTACAGTCATTAGTGACCTGTTTGATATTTTAAACAGACTTAAGTGCTTTGCGTTGTGAGTGATACTGTACATATGTGTTTTTTTAATAATGCGCTCCAATGACGTTTGGTTATTTACGAACTTTAAGTATCCCGTTTATGTCACAGTCACACTACGTTGATAAACTATTGATAGCGAGCTATCCTACAGTTCCACATAGCACATTGGTTGTCAACCTTTTTGAGTCACTACTACCAATTAAACATGCACTAGTGTCCGCAACTGAGTGTGAGAGAGAAAACAGCAGCAGCTTTGCCTCTGGGGATGAACTTCAGCTCAAGAAATCTAATGTACAGGTAAGCAACACTGTCATGGTTAGAACAAAGTTTGAGGTCGGCATCAGTCCACATGAGGACATTAGTGTAGCATTACCCTGGACTGCTATGAGTCTGTCACAGTGTAAAGTCTGTTTGCTGACATGACAACTCAGAGCCAGGGCAGGATGATGTTATAAGATGATGTTATAAAATGGCTTTCCATCATTTGGATACCCAAAGCTACAGGTTGTTAGGGAAGATTATGGACCATACATGTATTGAAAAAAGTCCAGATCGTTCAAAGTGGAGATTCGTGTTTTTCATCGGACAGCAACAATACGTGTGTGTGTTTGCGTGTGTGTGTTTGCCTGTGTGTGTGTGTGTGTGTGTGTGTGTGTGTGTGTGTGTGTGTGTGTGTGTGTGTGTGTGCCGTGTGTGTCCTGGTGAGCAGCAGCATCAGCATCAGCAGGCTGTTCCAGGCCTCTCTGTGGCTCTCTGAGGTCAGACTGATGAAATAGGCCAGAGCTTCACTGCACACTCTGAGTGAGAAAACACCACACACACACATTTAGGGCATTTAGGACAAACACTAACTGTGCGGGCAACACTGAACAGAAATAGTTGGTTTGCATAAAAACTGCCACATGATATTACTTATAGTTGTTATTGCTTAAAAAAGGCAAAAAATTTATGTAATTTATGTGTCAGATAGCGTGCAGATGTATTTCACCAAATCCACACAGTGCGCCTCTTATCAATACACTATGAGGTCTGAGCATGTGTCAAAACAGCTCAGTCAGAACAGAATAAACACCAGTGAGTGACACAGCTGGTGCTGAGTTATCTCAGGTTTAGCATTTAGCGAGTCAATGACAAACAGGCCATGTTTGGAGGTAGTGAAATGAGTAACTGCAAAAACACAAGGGCCAACAATGTTTCTCTAAAAAGCAGTTCTGTTGTTTTGTTTCATCCGGAACGTAATCTGAGGCATAGACAGGTAGAAAAAGCCTGTTTTACACTACAGTCCAGCTGAAAACAGTCTTCCTTTTATGACAGCTGAACATCATTAGCTTCCATGATTTAAGTATTGACCGTATGAGTACATGAACCCTAAGTCCACTTGGCCACATTTGCTATCATTCTCCTTTTTTAATAAACAATACACTAATTCAGCTGATGAGTATAGACTCTTTATCTAAACCCTGATGAAAGTTTATTCCTCTGAGTCCTCAAGCTCCATTTTTGTCCGTAAACTATTAAAAACACAGCCAGATTTTACACAGGGTGGCATTCTGAACAATCTCACAAACAGCATCTGCTGCTGGAAATACTAACCATCAGTCCATCAGATCTGGGTCTGATTATAGCCCACCCACAGTAATAAAGAATCTGTTTGAGTAACCAGCCTGATGTAATCAATGAAACCTGGCCTTCTCAAACTGTGTCAAACTCTGAATAATGATAATGATGGTGTGTGCTATACTCACAGCAGCAGGCGTGTCTGGATGTCGGGCCACGAGTCCCGCAACTGAGGGTCAGAGTACATCCTGAACAGGATCCTCAGGCTGCAGGCCAGACTGCTGGTCTCCTGCTTCAGTAAGTTGGGCTTGGATTTCCCTTTAAAGCCTGAGGAAAAAACAGAGACACACCAACAACGACATCAACAAACAACAATAACAACAGAGCTTTTCTTAGACTTCAGTTTAAGACATGTTTGACCTATTTCACAACATACACCCTCCCTAGACTGATAAGGTTCAGAATTGTTTCACTGGAGTAAATAAAAACGGTTTATTTTGAATGATTATGAATGCAGAAGTTGTGATTAGTTTCCATCACACGCTACAATCTTTACACCACCTGATTCCTTTTTAGGTTTGTGGCTGTGCATGCTAGCTCTTTTGTACCCTCTTTGTCTGTTAAACATCAATGAAAGGCAAAACAACATCGCCTGGAGGTTAAATGTGTACGGACAGAAATGAGATGTCCTTGGATTAAGTCTGTGCTCGGATTTCCTCTCTTCTCTACACTCAGGTCGCCGAACAATAAAAGGAAACGCTAAAGAAGCACTGTCAGAGTGAGACTTTAACAAGATGGCATATTTTTTATGATCTACTTGTAAAATGTGAATCCTTCAGTATCAGACAGAAGATATGACTGTTTGAACACGTCATAGCACAAAGTAAACATGTTGATTTCATCTGTTCCAGTTCAGTCTAGGTAAGAACAAGCCAACCCTCTGAACCTTTGCACAAACTTATTGCCTTGTTATACTCAATACAACTTCTTCTCAAGAAACAATCAGTCTCTTTGACATGTCTCTAGAAATTCTCCTCCATATGATCCATATGAAAAAATCTATTTACCTGCCCTCCAGAGTGCTGTTCTCTGTTCATTGTTGGAGTTGAAATCCTTGGCGAAGGTGTGCGACTCCAGCAGACAGTCCAGTAGTTTGAAGAGGTGTGCTGAAGTCATGTGTTTGTACATTCCCTGATCTGTAGCCGCATCGCCTCCATCAGTCTCAGATTCTTCCAGAGCATCTCGCTGAAGAGAAGAGACAGATATCTGATATGATGCAGTGATGTACATTTCTGTCACACGCCAAGGCTACTGTTGCTTTTTGGCAGATTTAGCTTCAAGATTTTTCCATTAAGTGGCTGCTGTGAATCTGTGTAACATTCGTTCATACGGTTTTCAAAATAAAACCAAAAATGAAAAAAAAAAAGAGAAAACGAATTTTTTTTTTTTATATTTGTCTCTAAAATGAAATGAAAAGAAACAGATAACGGCTCATTTCTGATTTCCATTCCCTTCAGCTCAAATGAAAATAGGATAAATGGATAACAACAGTTTGATCTGATTTAGTCTTTTTCATCTGTAGAAAGTTTCGTAGGGGGCGGCACCCAGCTGTGTGTCTGATACATGTCCTTTTCCCCCTTAGGTTGTTCTAGGAACAGAACATTCTGACAGACATTTCAGAGCTTAGAGTTTTGCCATCCTAAAAAAGTGCTGTATGAGCTTTGAATAATTCTCAAGTCTTGCCTGTTGTTTTGCAACCAACACCTGATGTGATGGTCTGAATGCACTTTACTCTATTTCACAATTTCTATTTCTCTGTCAGCTTCCAGGTTCAGTTTGCACCATGATGCCAAAGGTTCACTTCCGGGTCTCAAAACTTTCTACAGACAAAAAAAAGTCTAAATCAGATCAAACTGTTGTTATCCCATTGATCCCATTTTCATTTGAGCTTAAGTCAACGGGAATCGTAAAATGAGGTGTTATCTGTTTTTTTATTTTCGTTTTAGAGACAAATATTTAGAGAGCAATTTGTTTTCTCGATTTTTCCTTTTTGGTTTTATTCAAAACAAATCAAATGAACAAATGATACACAGATTGCTGTGACCCACCTGTGCAGCAGCCATGTTCTCAGCATCCTCCTTCTTACTGGTTGCTGGGTAGAAAACAATATTGTCTATGGTCTGGATGAGTTCGAGCTGCACCACACATTTAATCAACAGGCCTGCAAACAGCTTCTGGTCTGTTACTCCTGTAAGACAGATGGATCAAAAAAGAGCGGTTATGAATATTGACTTTGAAGAGGGATTAAATATAACACAAGCAGTCCAATCTCTATAAGGTGTTTTGCAACCAACACCTGATGTGATGGTTTGAATGCACTTTACTCTATTTCACAATTTCTATTTCTCAGTCAGCTTCCAGGTTCAGTTTGCACCAGGAACCAACTTTAACTTGTCTTTAACTTGCACCAAGTTAAAGACAAATCCTATTTGGATGCTCACGGGCATCTGTTGTCAAATTAGGTGAAAGCTTATTTTTGTTAACAGAGAAACCACATTAGGATGAACAATAATGTTTCAAATGCATTGAAACTGCGTGAGAAATGTTGTTGCCTTCAAATCAATGCATGTGAAACCCTGAGGAGGGCACAGAACTAGCACTAGGGTTCACATTAGATGACAAAGACGGGGCTGGAGGGACACCAATGACAGAGAATGACACCAAAACACTCACTGGCGCTGGACTTTCCCTTCCATGTGTCATCACTGGAAATCTGGCTGTGTCCTCGCTCAGACAGAGCTCTGTCATAGCTGCTCTGAGACTGACTGTCAAAATCAGCATCCTGTAGAAACACAGACAAACACCACAGACACCCAAAGTTTAGTTTTATACTTCTGATCTGCTGGAAATGTTATGAGATACGCCTGTCCTTTCATTAGCCAAGAGCAGCTCATCATATTTGAGTAAAGGTGTGAAGTTTTAGTCAAGCTGCTGCTGCTACATTACATACTGTAGTTACTGTTAAGTCAGCGGGTGCATTTATCTGTTTTCTTACATAATGCTTGCCATCTGCGGTTTCCTCCTCTTGTCCAGCTGGTCGCCACGTCAACAAACTGAGGATAAAAGCAATAACAACAGGTTTTTGAAATATCATTTAACTTCATTCCCCTTTATTCTGACATTTTCCACTGATTTCCTGATTAGGAAGCTCAGTGTCGGTCTATAAGACAGTTAAACCAATCCAGTAACTTAAGTTCACTGGCATTAGCACCCTCTTGTTGATTGGTGGAAGACTTACGCATGAGGGCTGGTGTTTTGGAAGATCTCTAGCATGCAGGAGGCAGTGATGTTCCAGACCTCGGGGCTGAACTTCTCACCATTCAGGATCACCAGATTCTCCAGACAGTTTGTTCCCGACCGAGCCAACTGTTCATTATCTGATGAGGAAAGGCAGTTGAGAAAAAATTTGTTTCTCCCTCTGTTTTGCGCTTTATTCTTCCAGAGTGGGGTTCAGCTCTGTGTTTTTCCACTTGGAGGGGAGGTTGTCTTACATTTTTACGGAAGATCAAGGCTAAAACATACAGGATCTGTATTGAGCGGGTATTGTCAGCGTCACGTATCATGCAGCAAATAGGTTGCCGTTCATATCAATGCAGCACCGCACACAGGACGTGTCTCTGCTCCATCGCAGCCCCATATCAGAAGCATATCGAGCACGGCTTAAGATGCTAAAGAGACGTGCCAAGTCTATTTTCTCTGCTCTGCGCTTCCAACACACATCAATTTACACAGGGAAGATCATTCTAGACAGGATGTCAAGCACAAAGACCCCGCAAGTCATTCAGTAAATTTCAAAATAAAATACCATATGCGAACTCCTGACTGTGTATCAATTTGTGTAGATGAGAAATACTTCCTGGTTATGTATTTATCAGTAACACAGAACAATCTGATGGTCAATCCCTGATCCATGTAGACCAAAACAGGACTTTTAACTGCTAACTCTGTCTGAAGGTAACAGCACAGCATAAAAGGAACATAGTTTACTTTATTAAACACAAGTAAACCTGCAAAAACCCAAACTGTAAAATCATGTACAGTCACAGTTACTAAATTACACCCAAATTAGCAGAAAATAGACCAAAGAAAGGAAAAACAAACTGTTGTGAGCATGCTGTCCCCTCTATACTAAGCCCAGCTGACCGGGGTGCACTATGCTGCTGCTACGCTCCAAATACGCATCGTGTGTGCGATGAAGAGCTCTGCTCGACGGAGCAGAGACGAGATGCTGACAGAGCGCGCTCAATATAGATCCTGTATGTTTTTGGCCTAAGGAAAACCTCTCTCTCATCCAAGATTTACAATGTATTCAATTCATTCTCATACATAACAAGCTCCACCATCTGACCTAGCATCTCTTTGGAGTAGGCTATAGAAGCTGAAGCACAGTTTTGCAGCTCTGTGTAAGCCAATGTCATAAACAGTGATAGGAACTCTCTACTTTTCTCTCTATTTGAGTTACTCATGACAAAAAAAGGTGCAGTAAATCCATAATGTAGAACAACTTTGGGACTTCAGGTGACAATTTTTCTTTAAATGAAAAATGAATGCATATAATCAGAGAGATAACTTTTTTAAATCTGTTCAGCATAAAAATGCTGTAACTCCAGTATGATGAAACACAACAGCTACCAATAGCTGCTTAGTTAACCAGCTGTTTCATTCCCCTGATGTACAGTTTTTGATTCCTGTATTCAGCACAGCATGGATTTGAACACCCACCTTGCCTAACACACCACTGCAGCTGTGTGAAAATGTCAGCCAGCAGGATTTCACTGAGAGGCTCATAAAACTGGGTGAACACGTCACAGATGGCATACAGCGCGTGGTTACATGTCGTCGTCATCCACTCCGTTTTCTGTCGCGAGGCAATAAACAAACAAAGCAGAGTTTAAGGGATGATAATGTGTGTGTACATAAGATGATGGCAGGATATTCTTCAAACAAAACCACCACAGGACTTAACGTCCATCTAGGAGTGATCTCTGACCTCTGTCTGCTGCTCAGGGAGCTTCATGTTGTCAAAGATCCTGAAGACGATTCTGAAGAGGTCGTGCCACCAGTGTTTCTCGAATGTGTGACCGTAACTCTTCATGATCTCAAACATGACTGTAAGGCCTCTGTCAGGGGAAAGGGAAGCAGTCCAGGCATCAGTTTTCATGTTTCAGAGCTCACGTGTGAAGGTAAACTGCGGGATCATTGGCACTACCTAACACTCGTGCTCCTGATGTCATCTTTTAAAGTGACATCTTGGTTCATTCTGATGAGTTTTTATGCTAGGTTTTAAGGTTTTAGCATCAGTTTCAGGGTAATGTGTTAAATAAAATGTTCTTTACTAATGTTGGAGACAACTACATAGAGAACTACATAAAGTTATAGGTATACTAGACATGGACAAATACAGATTTCTAATGGATTTAAGTGCTTTTAAAGTGTTTAACCAAAAATGTGGGACATATAGACTTTGTATTAAAGGGATATTCCGGCGTAAATTTAAGTTGTGGTCAAATACACTGTAACACTGAGTTAGACACCCCCTCAAGAGATGAATGTTGGTGACTGCTTGCTTCTTTAGTTATACCATCTTTAGTAATGATCATACGATAGCAATACACAGTGCAAATAATGCTCAGAACAGCACCTAACTTCATCAACACTACATACAGGGTATCAGCCATAGCACGAGCCATCAAATTTGGCGGAAAATTTATGATTATTACTTCACAGAAATGCAATCAGACCGAGACGCTAAGTCAGAAGAACTACCATGTCTGTAATGCACATACAAGATACACAAGAACTCTGATTGCATTTCCATTAAGTAATAATCATAAATGTTCTTTCTTGAGCTGTGAAACTCCGCTGCACTCGGTGATCGTCTCGTCAGGGCTCCCCCACAAACAAGCGGCTGCTGGAAGAAAGCTGGTGAATTGTGTTTGGTCTCTTTGGTAAAGAAATCAGGCAAAGCTATAAAGATATTTGATGGCTTGTACTACAGCGGGGACCCTTATAGGTAATGTTGATGAAGTTAGTTGCTGTTCTAAGCATTATTTGTGGCTATAGAGTGGCTTTTTTTGGTTGAGGTGTGCCCATGGAGACGTAGACCGTATTGCTATCCTGCGGTCGTTACTAAAGTTGGTATAACTAGAGAAGCTAGCGGTCGGCAACATTCATCTCTCGAGGGGGTGTCTAACTCAGTGTTATGGTGTGTTTCAACATGACTTAAATTTATGCCAGAATATCCCTTTAAATTCTTAAAAATATGGTCATTATGTAACTTCTTTTCTGTTTTTATTTATGAAAGTCTAACAAGGGATAGGGATCACAAAATAGCCATGGTTAGGAACCTGTATGCACAGCACCTACTTTGTTTACGCTATGAAGCCATGCCTTATGCATTTGTTCATCAAATAATGACTGAAAATTTCTGTGAAAATGTGCTACATCCTGGTAAAAATTACCACATTAAGATTTTATTTTTTGCACTGAGGTATTTCTCTACCTGGTCCGAACATCCAGCTTGCAACGGTTGATGATACAAGAGAGCTCAAAGAGGATGGGAAACCAGCCACGAACCCACACACGGTCACCTGGGGCAACGTTCATGTCATCACTGGTGTACTCCCTCAGGGTCTGTGTCACATCAGAACAGACATAAATAATAATACATAGAGTTGAAAAAGGAGTTTTATTTTTGTTTCTGAAGGATCCAGAGGCTGCAATGTGCGGACAGACAAGAAATAAACGTCTGTATTCTGTCAAATCTTCAGTCACTCCCACCTGTGGCCTCTCTGAGACATATTTAGCGCAGTGTCGGATGAGTCTGATGGCCTCCATGCTGGTGTCAGGAAAAGCTGCGTTGCACACGAACTCTGAGAGGCACTTCACTGCATCCTGGAAGGAATCAATAGCTGCTGCAAAGTGCTGCTGGAAGGTGTTCACTGCAGGAAGATTCATGAAGAGAAGGAAGAAAGATGTAAGAAAACTGGTGCTGGTTTGGTTTGTTGTTTAGGTGATCTTTGTTCAGGATCCATCTTCCCGCCAGCTGAACAGTTTAGAATTGAAATGTTTTTATGACCAGAGTTCAAATCATCCCTGAGAGGTGAGCTGGAGTCATACTCACAGACAATGTGCCCAGTGGTCTGGAAAGCTAGCTCCACGATGGTCTCATCGTGGTCTGAGGCCGCCTGGTGAAAAACTGAGAAAATGTTCTTCCAACCAGAACGGATGTTGGCCGCCTGCGAGTTTACCATCTGAGCCACACACCTGATCACCATGTCTCTGATGGTCGGGGACCTGAAGGGGGATGGGTGTTAACATGGTATTTTACTCCCACTCTTACACCTACACTCTTTCAAATCTGTGCAGTCCAAAGAGGAGCTGAGACAGCAAAGTCAAAACTCACACAAGCTCAACAATGAGGAATAAAGACAAAACGAGAAGATTGTTGACCTGTTTTTCTTCATGATGTGCTCAAAGGGCCTGAGGAAGTCTTTCTGGAAGCGGAAGTTGGCCAGCTCTCCTTTTTCCAAAAACTTCATGGAGAGCTGCCTCAGTGAGTCCACAGCAAATATGGCTACATCTTCATTGGGGTTACAGCCCACCTAAGAGGGAGGCAACAGCAGTCACAAACAGAGCTCCAGTGGCTCACAGATTTTTTGTGAGTATCAAGAAATTGTTCTGCGTGCTATGAATTATCTGATAAGTTTTCTCATGGGTTTACTTCATGACCCCTTCTGTCCGCACACCTTGTTGAAGTGGTCTCCTATCACCTGCCAGATTCGAGACCACTGTAGCCTGATGCGGTTCATGTTGTAGTAGGAGATTTCCACAATCTTCTGTAAGCTGAACATCCTCGGCTGGTGCGCTGAGGCCAGCTCATCCATGGACACCGCACAGAGCCACCTCACAAAGTCAACTGGAAACAATTCAACAGCAACAACACCAGTTTTAAAAATGATGTTTTTGTCAGACACTCAAATAAGCGAACTGTTTAAAAGTCTGACTGATGACACACTCACCGATTGCATTTCCATCCAGTCTGGTGGAACCAGTGAAGATCCTGCAGATATGACAGATGAAGTATTCATCAGAGACATCCATTGATCATCCATTTACTCTTTATTGCTTTGCTTTATCTGTGTACTTCTGAGAGTATTTTATTACCTGTCCACAGCTACCACCACACTCTGAGAGCTCGTCTCTCCCACTGACTCCTGAATGTGAGCCATCTGTCTCTTATCCTGACTCCCGACCAGGTTACCTGAAACATCAAACACTTTCAGCACAAGCTGCTGCCAGGGCGATCCTTGGCAAACTGAGGCATTGCACACTGGCCTCTCAACTGAGAGGAGAGTCCTAGAGGGATTTCTTGGCCCCCTAAAAAAATCTGTTTGGCCAAGACTGTCCATATGATTGTCAGAAGTGGGTAACATGTTGAAATCAACAGTTTTTAAAAAGGCTTATTCCTGACTCATAACATTCCTTCAATTTAAATGTAGCTTATTAACTTATGTAGAGTAAGGAAACTTTAAGCAAGGTGAATATATACATAAAGGGTATCGTTGCAAACATTAGTTGTGTACTTGAGTGTATCTTACTCAGGCCCAGGGGCATGAACTCCTCTGTGCTGGAGGGTAAGCCCTTGATGCCAGTCTCCCTCTCCCGGACCACCCCAGAGATGTAGCGTGTTTTCACCCCCGTGCCGATCAACTGGGCAAGCTCCAGCTGACTGATGCACCTCAAGATCTGTAACATAAATCAAAAACATACACAAAAAAGTAGTTATGAACGAGAAACATGTTCCCTACTGCTGAAAAGGTGTGCAGCTGAAAACTGAACTCATAGACAAAGTTTGGGCTCGTCACACTGCCGTCCAGGAAGAGCAAGACCGGCAGACTGCTTGCAGTTAAGCTTACCCAGCCTTGTGTTCCCAGTCATGGGCCAGATCCTTTTTGTCTAATGTTCTCTCTTTCCTTAAATTCATACCTTTAATGCATGCACTGGGTCAGAAAAATCTGGATTTTCTCTCATTCACCATCTATTCGAACATTCATCTTTTGCAACAAGAACATTATTTTTTCTTTGTCCACCATGACAGTCCCAGTCTAAATCTTTCTGTTCCAGATGAAAAGTATTCAGTTGTGTTGTTGGAAGTGTTATAGGTAACAAGGTTATAATAGTTTTGGATTTTTCATTATAGTTTAGTTTTTATCCGTTTGGACTTTCTTTTTCTCTAATTCAGTTAGTTTTAATTAGTTTACTGAGTGGGCTTGTTCGTTTTTATTTTTTTCTAAACGATTAGTTTTGGTTTACTTTTTATTAGTTTTAGTATTAGTTTTAGTTTTCATACTTGAATACTTGAATTTTGGCTCAAGAGACTTTTCAAAGGCAATCAACTCAGAAAGTGGTATGTCTTGTAGACATAACAGTCTCAACAAATATGTTTTCCCTCTTGTGGTGTTCCTGCATGTTTACTAACAAGCAGCTCTTTGGTTGTTGCGAAACAGTCCATTATAGTTGTCTCCTGCTTCCCAGTGCTATCTCCTGGCTGAGATGTTGCTTCATTTTTCAGGGGAGCTGTCTAGAGAGGCCACTTTGTCAGGGAACTCGCGATTAGCATTCTTGTGTGAGCTTCTCAAATGGACTTCCAGATTTGTGAGTTTTTTTCCCTTGAGAAGTATTCCACATACTTATCTTCAGTTTTCAAGACACTTGTTTTTGTCTTTCCCGCTGTCATATTTAAAAAAAAATTCATATTGGACTCTGTCGCTTTCTCCTGCGTTTTGTCACAATTTTGCCAGGTAGAATGGTGAGAAGAAGCCGACTCCAAACAAAAAAGTGAGGAACTAGGAGGTGCCGTAAAGTGCTGCTAGCTCACATAAATTGCTTAAGCGAAATAAAAAAATTATATATCAATACAAAATTCATATATAAACAGTGCATACATGCAAACTGTTTATACAGGGACCAGATAGAGCAGTCACATCTCTAAAACTGTCCAAATTCAGATTAAATGTATTTTTCTGTGCTGATGATAGAAATTGATGCACAACAGTTTCATTGAACTGTAATTGTATTGATTTGGTGTAAAAAAAGAAATTGTGCGAACTTGTTTGTTCAGTCACTCATCTAAAAAAGACGATATCTTTTACTGAAGCGTATTGCATCCACTTACAAATAAAAAGGAAACTTTTTCATTTACATAATTAGTATTATTGTTATTATTATTGCTTTTTTTGACTATTTTTCTTCCTCTGTTTTTTGTGCTTATATGTTTTCCCCTCTTTCTGGTTCTCAGGCAAATTTTTATTCTATTTTTGTACTTCTTTTTTTCCTGACTAAGCGAGATACTTCAAAATCCTGCAAGAAACTCATACAATCAGATAACGTTAACCACCGCGGCTGTTCCAAATCAGTGGATTCTCCAGCTTCTAGATCACTTTGACTACGGGGTCAATGAGAACAAAGCATGTTATTAGTTAAACATAGGGTATGCAAATCCTGAGGTGCCTGCGCAAAATAGACAAACTTGTGATGATTCCATCTATCTGACTTAAAGAAAAGAGTATCTCCCAGTGTCTCAAACTCAAAAGAAGGTAACACTTGATTAAACTTAACAAGTGGGCCATGTTTGCTTCAAATAAAAAAACAGGGAAGAAAAAAAATTGTCTGAAAAACAGAAAAAATTAGCCTGAAGAACAGGGCTTTTTTTTTTCAGTGAATGCAACACGCTTCTGTAGTCTTTGACTGTGTGTGCGTCCTTCACATAACCCTCGCACTGACATCATTACTGTTTCGTTCAGAACGACTAGAAGAGCACTTCCAAGTGTGAAGGTGATTGGATTAAGAGTACCTGAAAACATAGCAGCATTTATTGGTGCTGCCCCTCTTCGGATAAATTCAATCACAGTTTTTCTCTGTGCTACTAATGCTTATAAAGCCTTTCAGTCAGCACTCACCTCATGCCAGGAGTTGCCGAGATAGTTTCCATCAGTGTGAGCCACAGTGATCAGGGTCTTGATGGTGTCAATATTCTTCTGCTTCATTTCTGTGATGCTGGAACTGGCTGTCAGCAGAGTGAATCTGGCCAAGGCTTGGACATACGCATCTCGCTCCAACTACAGACAAGGAACGTCAGTTACTATATAGTCATGATTTAATGCTGTTTTCAAGACTAGAGGAGAGTTACGGGGGGGGGTATCATTTTATCAGGATTAAACTGTTTGCAGCTGCTTCATGTTATAAACTTTGAGCTCAAGTTTTGTGTAAAAGATCAACAGACCTGCATGCTGAAGATGCAGGCGATCCTGATGGCACATCGAATGCCCTCCAGGCAAAGAGAGGCCACTTCTGGGTCATCACAGTCCTGCAGTCCCACACTGAACGCTGCCAATAAGGGTGTCCACGCCAACTACAGCACACATGAAGGTTAAGTTTGATTACAACAGATTTTATCAGTAAAGCTTAAGAGAAAAAGCAGAACACAATGTGGGCTGTAAAAGAAACATGCAACTTGCTAATGATTCAAATGAATAAATGGACCGCTGGACAGGGTTAAATGTATATGATAATTTTTTTAATGTAAGTATCAAAATGATACCTGTGTTTTTTGTTTGACTATGAAACTTTTTTGAGTGTGAATTTAATTTATTTTTAGGTGCAGCTTCCCTTTTCCTGTAGGTTTCTTTTCCTTTATATTTGAGTTGCCCTCCTTTCTTCTCCCCTTTCTGATTGTGGGGGAGAGGTAGGTGTCCGTTGGCTAATTACTGATTTCTCCATTATTTATTTATTTTCATGGTGTGTTTATTAAACAGTTTTTAGTTTCTTTTCACTCATGTAACATCTTGAGTGTAACTTTTGTTGTGTTTTATCCTCTTAGCATGCCTTGTGCCGACTTATGTTCATTTATCAAGCTAGCTTGTGTTTCTGTCTGTGTAGGAGTGGAGGCACGCTGCAGGGCTGGGATGAAATTAAGGTTTCCCTTTTCATTCTGTTGCACAGAATAAACTCCAATAAAATCCCGCTGTTGTCTTCAGATAATTACAGTGCAGAGTCCCACCAGTTACATAAGCCCATGGAGGTCAGGTAGAGGTAAATAAAATACTATCAAAGCTGCTAGCTGCAAATTTCCAAATGCCCACATCAGAAATTTTACTCCTCCTGGATTTCGATCAGTCTGTTTAAGTAAATGTTAATTAACAGACGATTGGGCAATACCTTGAACATTGGCCTGACATGCTCCAGGTGTGTCGCGCTGAAGAAAGGAGCCTGTGCATGGCTGACGGCCTCCATTAAAGCTTTAGCGGTCTTTGCCATCTGCTCCATCTCCATGTTGTAGAGCAGGCGGCGCTGCTTCTCACTGGCTACATCTGCAGGGAGAAAAATACATGTTTTGTTTATCTGATCTTGTGAACAGTAAGCAGTGTCAGGGAGATGCTGAGCCTGGAAAACACCAAATGACACATCACTAGTCTACCAGCCAATGTGTGATGTGCGTTCCACAAAGAAAACATTTTTTCTCTTGGTGAGTAATCCTGACAGAGCGACAGAAGAAGAAGAAGAAGAAGAAGAGTACTGACTCTGCTTTGTGGACTTTGGGGTGATTGAGAACTCCTTGCTCTCCTTCATGGCGATCTTCTTGCCTGCAATTTCATCATAGATGGAGGACAGGTACTCTTCAGGCAGATCCTTGCTGTCGTTAATCCCTCTGTTCATCTTGATGTACTGCTCCTTTGTCATCTTGTTCTTTACCTATAAATACCAGGGTGAAGCAGACAGTTGGAGTGAGTCATTCAGAGGCCAGAAAGTGAGAAAGTGAGGAGGGAATACTGTGGAGAGCATTTCTGGGAAAGCTTTCTCCATGTGGCGTATGCTTAAATAAACAAACAAACACTCAGAAGCGGCCAATCTCTTGCCATAACCTGCTGTTATCTTCAATCACAGTTGGATATTCATAGACAATAAACTAAGCTTATAATGTGAGGGTAACTGAATGATGCTGTTCATACTTTTAACTTCACATTTCCAACAAGTGCCTCAGTGGAAGAAAAAAAAAAAAAAAACATTTTTAAAAACATGTTAAAATTTTGGTTTACAGTCATGGGTCATGTCCAGCTATCAAGTGTTGCAGCTGTCGCCATCTTGAGGTGCTCACTGGCTACAAGAATCAATGTGTGATCCAGACACCAGGGGCCTGGTTTCAGCAAGGAGGTTAAACAAAGTCTCAAGTTTTACTCTGAACTCTGAGTTGATTTATAACACTGATAGGAAACTCAGAGTTATCAGATTTGGAACAGCTGATTTGAGTTACATCATTCACCTCCAAGTTGGTGTGCATGATAACTATAAAAAGCCAACATGGAAAGAGCCTTGTTATTATAGTTCTCCATGATGAAAAGGTGGGACTGGAAATTCTCACATGCACATAGATTACAATTATGTGCACATGAGTGGAAGTATATACTTGCTTAACTGGTTTTTAAATGTCTAAACGGCCTTGCACCCTCTTACTTGTCTGACCTGCTTTTACCATATTAACCCTCACAGATCCTGAGGCCCTCCTGCACCGGCCTTTTATCCATAACAAAACCCAGAACTAAAACCCATGATGAGGAGGCATTTAGCCACTATGGCCCCCTCCTGTGAAACAACCACCCAGAGAGCCTCAGGACCACAGAGACTGTATGTATTTTTATCCTTTTACCCGTTTACTCTTTTTACTTGTTTTTTTCAGTATTTTTTAAATTCTTTTTTAGCCTATCTTGTGCTTTTAGTGTTAGTTTTAATTCCAGTTTTCCTTAGGAGGGTCCTCCACACTGGGAGCTGTGTCTGGGCTGCTGCTGGGGGCACTGTGTCTGGGTTCCTTTGGCCTGGCTGGCTGTTGTCTGTCGGGGTCGAAGGGCCTGGGCGCTGGTGCCCCCTGTGGCATAGCCTGCGACTCCTCCCAGTGTGGATGGCCAAAAGATGGTGCTTCCTCAATTCTCAGTGTCATGCCATGTCTCCCTATTGTCAGTAGTGAGAGTGTGTGTGTGTGTGCATTGTATGGAGGGTGGGAGGGAGGGGCTTTATTTGTAATTGTTTGTCTACGTATTTATATTTTCTATGTGTGTAGAGCACTTTGTGTTGTATGTCCATACATGAAAAGTGCTCTATAAATAAAGTTTGATTTGATATTATTACCTTTTTCTGAGGGATTATCATACTTACTCTTAAAAAGTAAGCAATAGGGTTAGTTTCAGCCACTCATTAACATTGAATTCAAAGCTAAGTACAGATCCACCTCAGCAAACTCAGTCTGTTCCTAATAACTGAAGCACCAATGAAAGTTTGTCCATGTCTATAAACTTTGTGTCATCATGTCAGCATTGACAGTTCAAAAACCCACAGCAGATGAACACTGTAGTCCATACCTGCTATAAACAGGATGTCACTTCAAAGTGGTTTGCCCCAAGCGGAGGTCAGACTAAATGTTTCAAGCCTCATTAAAGCCCATCCTGGCAGACGTGGGGTGACGGGACCTGTCAACCCCAGAAATCAATCATGCGTCGCGTCGTGTGTCACACTGAAGGTCCACATCTGCGACGCTTCACCACCTCCCCATAGAAAATTGAACATGCCGCCTTTATGATGTGTCATTGAGGGTCGACTGTGGCAGACTGAAAAAAAAGAAATGCTGGCGAGACTTAAGACTCGCTGAGTAACTGCCATTAGCATTCCCAGGTATCATCCAGAGCAGCCCGTCTTCCTTTCAGTGTCATCACATCTGTTGTGGTGATTGATTGGGTACCATGAGGTGATTCTGTCACATCTGTTGGTTGAGTCATGGCACAGATTTATGGCTCTGTGATCACCAAAGCTGACAGTGACCAGAACACCAGACTGAAAGATGTTGTAGTCTGACCACACACACACACACACAAGCCATCTCTCAGATTTGATCGATAAGGTCATTCTAAAAGATTCCTCTGCTTTGACAGACGACTGTTCTTGTTATGAATGTTTTAAAATGCACCAGCCGAAGCACAACACTGCCTGTGTTTCGCAGTTCATTCTTTGTGCAGTCTAATTAAAATAACTCCACCGACAATCCTTTACAATAGAGATACAACGCTCAATGTTATAATGGCCCATATGTGGGGATGTCAGAGATTATTGTTGCAGGACAGATGAGACATAAAACAGTGAGTGTTTCTCACCTGAGGACTGTGCAGGTCCGTGGTGAGCATAATGATGGAGTACGCCAGTACGTAGGCGGTGTCTGCACTGGCAAACAGAGTCTGTCTGCAGGAGGACAAAAAATATCAGGGCATCAGTCAAAGCTGTTTTTAACTTTTCCTTCGTTTTTAATTCAATGAAAATAGAGGTTATAAATAATTAGACTTTGCAATCTCAGAGGCATCAAACACATTTTCTCATGAATGTCATGTTTCTTGACTAAATCTGAGTGAAGCCTTACCCCTGGTTGCACTCAAGATATCGAGCAGCAAACTTCTCCATCAGCCTGTCGATCTTCTGCGCCTCACCAGGCAGTCTGAACCCTTCTAGGAAAGCTCTGAGTGCCGAGACAAAGTCCCGCCCGCAGAAGTCCAACTGGTCCACGTAGCAGTACATGACTTCTTTGTTGAACTTGATGTTTTCACCCAGGAACTCTCCCACCTGGGTCTGTGGATGCAGAGGAACAGTGGGGTGAGGTGAGCATTTGAAAGAGCTCACTGGTTACTTGAGAATAAAGCGTTGTCTCTGTGATCCCTCACCGTGTCCAGTCTGTCCTCTTGGTGAAGGAACTGGGCGATTTCCTCGGCTGAGGTACCCAGCATCCCCTGGTCCTGCAGGTACTGGACCCCTCGCTTTGGCTTCTTGTTGAAGCTAGAGAGAGATCAGAGAAAGATATCACCACCAAGGGACTCGGGGGACAATAAGCAGCTTATTCTACCTGTGTTGAGAAAGTGACTCACAGTTCAATGCCGTGCTCAATGATGTCCTTCTGCTGCTTTATAACTTCATACTGCTCTGGGTGATCAGCTTGGGATGTCTGGACACTGGAGGAGACGGTAGAGTCCAACGAACTGATGCTGTCTCGACGTCCTGTCTGCTCTGGGAGCTTCAGCTCTCCAGCCTCACTGTCAGATGGATGCTCTTGACCTACACACAGATTTACAGACATTAATGTGTGTTTAAGACGGTTTGATTTGTGCACTTTTAATAAATATATTCACTCTTGATACTTACCCAGGTTAGCTTGGAGGTTTGGGTTGACGTACATGTCTTTGCTCCACTCCACCATACATTTCAGGATGGACACCAGACACTCCAAACCCTTCTTACGTAGGCTCAGCTCCTGTGAAACCAAAGTTCATTTACACGGTCACTCAGAAAAGACTTGAGAAAGTCAACTTTTACAACACTCCAGCAAAGTACTTCTAACTTTGAGGAGACATGTTTTGAACAGATTTATGACTATGATGAGGAAGACAAATATAAAACACTGAGGAGCGACCGTCTCTGCCTGACCAGAATGATAAAGCCTATTTAATCAAAAGTAATGATCCATTTGTGTGAGTCATAAAATATGCAGCACAGGGACACACTGAGTCCTGACCAGTCCACATACCTGCAGTGGAGTCATCCCGAGCTCCTGCCCACTTCTGCCCTGAGCGATCTTAGACAGGTCACTGACAAGGCGCTCAAAGATGTTGGCTGCATTTAAGTCACAGTCGTAGTTCACATAGATGTCAACCACACACTGGGCATCTGGGGGTTAAAAAACATCTGTTTGAGTATTTCTCCAGATCCAACAGAGAGATTATTTAATGAGATATTCCGGCGTAAAATTAAGTTAGGGTCAAACACACCGTAACACCGAGTTAGACACCCCCTCCAGAGATGAATGTTGCAGACTGCTTGCTTCTCTCGTTATACCAACTTTAGTAACGACCACATGATAGCAATACACAGAGGTTTACATCTCCATGCACACACCTCAACCAAAAAGCCACTTTATAGCCACAGATAATGCTCAGAACAGAACCAGGCAAAGCCAAAAAGATATTTGATAGCTAGTCCTATGGCTGGGACCCTATATGTACTGTTGATGAAGTTAGGTGCTGTTCTGAGCATTATTTGTGGCTATAGAGTGGCTTTTTGGTTGAGGTTTGCACATGGAGACATAGACCGCTGTGAATTGCTATAATGCGGTCGTTACTAAAGTTGGTATAAATAGAGAAGCAAGCGGTCGGCAACATTCATCTCTCGAGGGGGTGTCTAACTCGGTGTTACGATGTGTTTGACCATAACTTAAAGTATTTGGGTCACCTTCACCAACACCAGGAAAAAGGCTTAACTTACAGCACAACCTTTCTGCTACATCCGTTTTCCCCGTTCAACAACATGGTGGAATAATACAGTTGCAGCCAAGCAAATCAGTCTAAACCAGCCTTTCTGATAGCTTTTTAAATATTCTGCTTCATCTGTATACTGGTCACCTTTGCTGCAAACACCTCTGCAGTCAGCAGAAATCCTTGTCCACACAACAGCAGATTATTATTTATCAGTGAAAGAAATGGCTGCAATCAGAGCATACTCAGAAGAGGTCATATAGAGTAGTGACAGAGAGTGAGCTTGGTCCCTTTCAGTTTCACACTATATAACATGATATAAAGCGCAACTTAATGTCAATCAGATCTTTCCAGAGCAGATGTTTTCACAGAGGACAAGCGCTGAAGCCAATTTTACAGAAAACAGCAAATTTTCAAGGTCTGACTCAAACCATTTTTGTTCTTCTTCTTCTGAAAAGCCAGGAGTCTGTATCTAATGCCCCCTGACTGACAGAAAGGTTTAAGATATATAAGTGTAGAGGGAGATAAGGTTGTGATGAAACACTCACATAAAATGATTACATGTGTAAAGCAAATGAAATCTTTTTAGATTACGAAACAATATGAACATGCTTAATGTAAGGCTGCAGCAAGGAACTTTTGGTTTGTTCCCTGTGGGCAAAAACTTGCATCTCACTGTAGCACAAACTGTTTTCTTTCCTCTGTCAAATGTGTTATTAGCGTTGTGAGCACCTGGCATAGATAACGGTAAACTTTTTTAGTAAGAACTACATCAAACCCCACAAAAACAGAAAGTCTCAATCTTGTTTGCTTTTGTATGTCGTTAGCAGGGATCAGTAGCAGCTTCATTCTCTCTCACGACCAGTGAGTATCTCCTCACAGAGGTTTAAAGTTGTTGTTGAGATTAATCTCATGTCAGATTAGTAGAAAAAGGAAGGTAAATTCTATGTGACTGGGAAAAACTGTTCAAAATGAACACTTTCCAACCACAGGTATCATCCGGCTTGCTGTCTTCCTTATTTTGTTTACAACAATTCATCTCCTTTAACAGTATTGATGAAATAATCAGGTCTGACATCTCAGTATTCAATGTTTGTGCACTATTATGGCTTATAAAATAGTCAAATGAATTCCATGACAAGTAAAGGACTAAATCAATGCAGTGTTTATAGATTCACAAAGAGAGCACAAGAGGTCGCTTTTAAAGGGTTCAATAACAGATCCAGAAGAGAGGCAAAATACCACCACTTGGACAATGTGGGCAATAGTCAAAAGAGACGAAAAGTTCATTTGAACTTCTGAATTTGAAGTTTTGTCATTTTCATTGTCTCTTTTTGAGAAACTTGTATGATATGTTACCTGCACAGATGCGTGTTAGTGTCTGGATCACCATCCACTTGTGCTCAAAGGAGCTGGTTGAGGTCTCCAGGATGGTCAGAAAAATCTCCCTAAAAAACACCTGAGTCAGGGGGGCAGAGGGATGACAAAATGTTAAAGGGCACTGAAATGAAACAAGCTTTGCAGACATCCACACCACAGTAAAAAAAAATATATATATTTTAGTCTGTCTAATTCTGTAAGGCTGTGTTATGTACCTCAATCTGCATCTTCAGGTGGACCTTAAAGTGGGAGAGGAGGGTGAGGAAGATAGCCAGTGAGAGCTCAAAGACCTCAGGCACAGAGGAGACGCCGTTTTTGGACAGCGCCACACACAGATACTGTTTGATGGCGTTGACAAACATCTCATGAGTGCGAAACACCGGCCCTGCGCCCTGCAGCACAGAGAGCAGCAGCTGCAAGGACACTATTTTGGATCGCAACTCATGGGACCTGAAGAGAGGAAGAATCACACGTGCATGAATAACACTGCGGCTTCAAACAAAAGAGAAACTCATAAAGACTGTATGCTGTAAGTAAATACATTCAACACTATCGAGAGAAATTAGTCTGTCTTAGCCATCGGTAAATTGTGATCAGGTTTCCTACAAGTGAAAGGAAAGAAGACATTTTTTTGACCTATGGAATTGAATTGTAGTATTTTCAAATGAAGGCTGGACAGGTTTCTTTGTGAGCCTCCAGGCTCAGTTTACTTTGGCCTGTTCACACGAGCTGCTTTATGGTCTAAAGTTACAGTAACAAGAGAAGACAGAAAAACACTGAGATGGAAGAGGCCATATAACCTGTCCAGGCTGAGGTGAAACGCTGTGCAAAAGCCTCAGGTAGTTTATTTTTTTAAATCCTAGAGCATGATGGAAATAGATTGGCTTATAAAAGGCCAAAAGCATATAAAGGATGGGTGCTGGTGGATTTGATATCAAATACGTCTAGATCAGGATATTCAGATACCAGGGGACATTTGAAAGAAAACACTGTCATGATATAAATGGTGTAAATAAATAAATAAACCAAAAAAATTATGTTGAAATTGATTAGTATTTTGCTATATAGTGTATGGATATTGGATATAGATATAATATTTATCTAAATGGGCAGTTACGTATTATGTATAAACATGTAAGTATGTATGTGTGTGTGTGCATAGGTACAGACTATAGTTCTATAGATGTTTAAGTAGCATATGTATATTATGTCTATATTGATACTTCTAAATATTAACACGTGTGTATATGTATGTATATATATAGATAGACATATGAATATATATGATTATATATTATAGATTTTTTGTGTATATTTAGATACACATTAATATAGATCACATGTTTTGTGGTAGGCATATGTATAATATATTACATTGATAGCAGAATTATTTTTTTTATAAAACCTATGAGGAACAGTAAAAAGGGGTAGGAAATCAAGAAGTATTTATTTCTTCCAACTCCTTTTCAAACTTGTATAATTACTTCATTTATTTTATTTTTTTTTATCTTTGAATGTAAACAGCAATTTTCTATTTATTTTACTTCTTTGCATACATGTTCAAGATAAATTCATTCATTCATATAAAGAAAACATGTGACTGACTAGATGAGTAAGAACTCCTAATGAGACAGAGAGGTTAAAAACACCCACTTTGGGTCTGGAGGTCCGTCAGCCAGAGGCTTCATGGAGAGTTTGCAGAGGGAGCGGAACACCAGAAAAGCATCTTTCTGCAGGATGTGAGAGAAGCGGGCAGCGTTGTAGGATCCCTGCAGAGCCTCAGCGTCCTTAGACAATTCCAAAAAGTCAATGTCATTTTTTTATGTGAGAACAAACTGGCTAACAGCATCAATCCCTGATCTTGTTTTGTTTCCTCGGCTCTTTGAATATTAATGTTTGAAACAGAGATGTGGCCTGAGGTCTCTTCCGTTTGCTACAGAGGTTGTCCATTGCCTTTTGTTAAATAATCAAGTTTTCATATCATCGTTGTTTGCCTTTAGCAATGTGCTGCTCTTTGATAGCTACAAAGCTTTCATTTGTAATTTCCTCTGAACAGACGGTCCCAATGGACACAATCATCTCAGGACTCTTCTGCACAAATATAACACTTACACACACACACATCAGATATGATCCTTGATTCATCATTATTCAGAAGAGAAAGACTGCTGTCGCCTCAGCGTACCACTGAAAATGTTAGAAAACTGCTCACCAGCATGTCTGTGGAGGAAACAGAGGAGCGGTCCTCAATGATGCCGTTCATCTGCTGCCCTTCAGCTCTGACTTTGGGAGCAGCCACCTCTGTCTGCTCAGGGAGAGGATGAGCTGGATTCTCCGCTGCAACAGAAGGAGCAAGGATGGAGGTTGGGACCATCAAAGACAAACAATATCATCCAGCATACTGATACAATGAAAGAGACTGAGGACATAGAAAGAATGATAACCAGTGCAAATATGTTCCCACCTGTTCCACTGTTTGTTTGCCCTGGCTGTAGCTCTTCCTCTACTCCCTCAGTCACGTCTGTTTCTCTTTGATTGGGACTGCTCTCAGGTTTGTCTTCCTCCTCAGCCGGCTGTGTAGCTTCAGGAAGTGTCTCTGCTGCTTCATCTTCAAACACTATATCTGCTGCAAGTAATAAAGACAAGAAAGAGATGGAGTCAGTGAAAACCTCTGTTTCAACTCAGACAAGGAAGTAAAAACTGTTCATTTCAAAGCTAACCCTTCAGATTTGAACCCACAGCAGGAGACACATGTTTACACATACCACTGGATGGTGTGATCTGTTCTGCCTCTCCGTTCACAGGAGCGTTGCCATCCTTTGGTTCTCCGTTGACTGATGGTGTGTCTGGAGCTTGTTCCAGGTGCAGGTCAGCAACAGGTGGTGGGGGTGTGGAGCTAGTGTTGTTGTTGTTGGTGGTGCTAGTGAGGTCTGGAGAACTTGCTGCTGGGGATGGGGAGTTCTGGAGCTCTGGAGTTGGCGTCCGGTCAGACCTCGGAGAGCCAGATCTCCTACTACCTGGGACTGGGGACGGGTTTTGTTGTGGCAGACGGAGCCGGTCTTTCTCCTGCTCTTGAGCCTCCAGAGCCTGTGGAGGTAGAATGAGACAGACAGGCATGAAAAGGAGTCATTTTATTCATGTTGATTGAATGAGGATGCTGATTAGAAGAAAAAGATCGATGGCTTTGACTCGAAGTAGCCAATTCCCTCAGTGTGCCCCCTGTGTGTCCGATTGATCCCTACATGTCTGCAACCCCAGACGAGTTCAAAACCAACTACATCACTAAATCCTCATTTATGTTCAGAGGGCTGACTGCAGCAAGAAGACACTTCTCATCACATCTTTACTATCAAATGAACTCCTCAGCAGATGTATGTGAATGAATAAATAAACCCCCTTAAAGGTAAGTCTATTAAACTGCAGACTAGACAGCCTGAATTGTTCTTGCAGTGTCATAGATAGAAATGTCAAAGTGAACTAACAGCCTGGTTTTCCATGCGTGTGAAGATAACATTGAGCATCTGTGTGAGCGTGGCCTTGGCAGTGGTCTGGTTGATGAGGTTGCGGCTGGCCAGGTAGATGTTGTAGCAGGTCCTGACGGTGAGGAGTACTGTGCCTTCATGGATCTCTATGTGTGGGGAGGTCACCGCTGTCAGCAGGGCCTGAACACACAGACAGAGAGAAGTGAAGACTTATCAGACAAGACGTTGAGTTTTAAGGATGCTGTCTTTGCTGAATCACCACTTGACTTCCTCCTTATGTAGCACAATGATGCTTGATGTGGCAGATGTTTGGTTCTCGGCAGTCTGTAGTCAGGGTTTTTGTGCAGAATGCAACTGGTTGTTTGCATTTTGATGTTGGTTGTGCTCAAATTAGGTGCTGCATGATAAATCTTCATTTATTGCAACACATCAAAAAACTTAATTAAAGTTTTAAATTTTTTTTCTCACTCAGCATGTAATATTTAGCGTACTAATGGGGGTCATGCTCCTCCAACCCTGTTAGGATGGCAACACGCTAAACGATTTTAGGCTAAATTTAGGGCCTGATTAGAAACCCAATGAGTGGAGAGGGGTGGCCTGGTTTGAGGCTTGTCAATACCAATTTGTAACCGATTATTTGTCCAAACACTCCTGGAGCATGGGATCAATGATGATTTACTGCTCCCTACTGAGTCAGAGCCCCCCCTAAGACCTGGGAACATACATATAAAACATGCTGATACGTACTCTTCGAGGTCAGTTCCCTCTAATAGAGTACTCACAGTGGGGCTGCACGATTTTGGCCAAAATTCAAATCTAGATTTTTTTCTCTGAAAACCTCGATTTCAATAATTTTATTCAGCAACAACTTCACCAAACTTCACTTTAATAATAAGTTTTTTGATCATCTCTCAAAATGAAACCACTGAAAATGATGTAGTGCATATGCCAAGCCAGTAAATGGTGCTGTAACGCTGCCCAGGAAATGCACAAAGACAGAAGAAGAGTATGGATCATGTATATAAAGGTTGTTTTGGCAGGACACGCGCAGGCACCAGAAAAAAAGAGTTACGCTGTGTGTGACATAATCGTTTCAAGAGATGCAGATAGGCATCCACTTGGAGGTGAAGTCGTTAACGATATGCACTCTCTGACCCATTGTCATATTGTTGTTTCATTCTGCATGGATGAAATGCCAGTACAACAAAAAACTTTTGTGTTTTTTGTTGTATTGGCATTAATACCACCTTCAGACAGACTTTGACAGTGGTTTGCTCCTCCTCCAAAACTGACTTGCTCTTGCCCTATTTAGCCACGAAATTATTGCCTTCTTTTGCAAACGCCATGTTTGTTTACACTTACAGTGGGGAGAAGAAAATTGATTTGACAATTTTAAATTTTCTAACATCATCATAATTAAATAATCCAATTACCATTTAAAATCGATTGATCGGGCTGCCCTAACTCACAGCAACCAGTCAGAGGAGGAGGCTGAGAAGTGTCACCGCCATGTGTTGCATACTTATACAGCTCACAAATGTGCAAACATGTTGCAAGGCATGTATGTTTTTGACGCTGAATATGTTGCGTGGTCACCCGCAGTCTCAAACTGGTTAGACACCATAAGTTATCTAATGTGTGACCAGCCGTCACAAGCTGCCAGCTAACTTAAAATTTATTACTGATTATTAATTGGTTGTGAGTTAATGAGTAAAACGTGGAAAAAAATATGTAGAGTCTATGAATTGTTTTAGCAAAAATAAATAAATTTATTCCCTACCCTTCTCATTGAAATGAAATATAAAACACCTAACTTTTCTGTTTTTGCATCGGCATGCAGGCCTTATGTCAGATTTTCTTGTGAAACGCTGAACTAAGTGTGGTAAAAATAGGACAAGTTTTTTTTGTTTGGAGAAAGTAAACTTACAGTCACAAATCTTTAAAGAAACATTATTTATGGTTGTATTGTTACACATGAAAACAGGCTAAATTTATAAGGTTTGATTTCCTGTAGCTTATGTTTAATTTTGCTTTAAATATGGCAAAAAGAAAACATGTCCCAATCTCAGTTCCTTCCAATAGCATGCAGCCCTAATTCAAATGTACCATTTACAGTCAAAATAGACCACAGTTCTGCCTCAGTGTTGAATACAGTACAGACTGATGTTGTTCATCTGTGCTGTACATCTTTTGTCAACAGTGATAAAAGTGTGTGTGCCTTCTATCAGGAGAGACGTTTTCCTCTGGAACCAATCAGGATGTGCATTTCATTCACTAAGAGGAAGCTCTGGTGGACAGCAGGCGTGAATCATAACCACTGAACAAACACAGCAAGTTAACAAGTAATAAAAAAAGGGCAGGAAATAAAAATGTCTGTGAAATATGGTTCAGAGGGCATTAATGATGGCCATATGACAAACTGAGCCCTGCATATTTTTTCCAACTGCATCAAGGAAATGAGTGTATGTAAGTTAACAGAAAGAGAGAATAATCAGTCTGTGCAGTATGCTGTTCTTAATAAGGACGTGCATGTTCAAAGATTAAACACTGTCACCCTGGCTGCTTGGCACCTCAGTTACAAGTTAGGTAAACAAATGATTATTTTACTGCAGGCCTGAAATTCTGGTGTCATATATCATGTTGAACCTGTGTTGCAGCCTCTAACTGCTGTTTGTATCTACTGCCATTATGTTATCATGCTCAACTTGGCTGTAAACAAACATAAATCTCATTGTGCGACTCGTTTTGGAAGTATTTTCTGTTAGCAATAGCCACCACTAGGAAACAATGTGACATAATACCCAGAGACTTAATTAGAGTAACTATGTAGAAACTGTATTGACCGCACTCTCAGCTTTACACTATTTTTCAGCCTTCAATGTTTGACTTCAATGAACAACAACACTGACAGCTGGGCGATCAGATGTGATGTGTGGCGCTGGGCATACCTTGATGATCTGTAGCTGGACTCCCTCGTCAGTCTGTGGACCCTGGAAACAGTTGCAGATGGTTTCCACCAGCCGGTCGATCAGCCTCTTACCCGGTGTTCTGCTGTCTGGGGCATTGCCAGTGATGTGGCCATATGCAATCAGCTTCTACAGTTGGGAAAAGTGCATAGGTGAAGGCACTAGAAGAGGAGGGTTTGCTTTTCTTTAGAGAATTATGTCAGGCTGTGTTTCAACCAAGCAGCTAAAGGATACAATAGGGCTGGGCAATATGGCCTCAAATCAATATCACGATATATTGAGCAGTACACCTCGATAATGATAAATGGACAATGACTACTCCACAAGCTGCTCACCCCCTCCCACATGAACTTTGTCTACTTCAGCTGCCGCTCCAGCCGCTACAACTTTTGAAAAGTCCTCCATCTCCTCATCTGTCTTTCCCTCTTTGTTACAGACTGGATGGGGTGGAGTCACGTCTCTGATGTAGGACAGCGTCTTAAAGGGACATGAGACTATACACATCCAAAACCGACTTTTATTGATTTTCTTGACACCAAATATATTGATATGGGCAAAATGACATCGGTTATTGTCGTAAATTTCGGTATTGGTAAATTTTTGGTTTATTGCCCAAGCCCTAGTATGCAATTATGAAAGTTTTCACCATCAAAAGTCTTTAAGGTGTCAAAATAAATGATCCATACCACTCTATTTTTAGCACCCTTTTGTTGGGGGACCAAGTTTAGGTGTCTGACCCTGAACTGGAATGAATGAAATGTGTGTTCATAGATGGATGCGAAGGGAGAGGGAATTCCTGAGATAATTATCATGGCATACCTGCAGCCAACATGACTCATGACAACAAAAGTTTACTGTAGGCTCAAACAGAAAGCTGCACAAGTTTCTGATTTCACCAAATGACAGACCCGGACACAACTTCAGGAGAAAAGTTTGAAACAAGAGAGGGGTCTCACCACAGACAAAAGATGTACCTGGCTTCGGTTTACAGAAGATGTTGAAGTGCATTCATAGTGCAGTTTTCACGCTTGTGAGAGATGAACTTTGAGATGAACTTTATTGGTCCCCAAAGGGAAATTCAATATGTGTATGATGTTTGATGTCATTATTGCTGACAGAGAGATAATACAGCTCTAAGATTGTCATTTTTCAATTTTTTTTGGGCCAAAATCTACACAAGGCTTGTGGAAAACAACAGGTGAGATGTATTGCTCATGGCGGCGGTCTACTGAGCCAAAATGAAAATCAAGCTGTCCGAAGCCCTCGCACAGCCAACAAACATCCAGCATGGAGCGCCATGATATACAACCAAGACAGGGTACCAAACCAAACTGGACCGCTTGGTGGAAACACAACATTAATTTTACAGTCAGGTCGTGAAGGATGCAGTGGGCTCATGTGATTTTACTTTTCTCTGTTTGAACTCTAAGTTGCACTTGTGAATTTGCTCTGACAGGTGTAAGTTTGTCAGAAAAAGGAAAACAGGGTTCAGTTTGGTGTGCCTCAAGTTATCCCTGGAGGCACATTAAACAAGTTAAGCGCGTTTTTAAATCTTGACAACTAAATTATACAGTCGCAAAAAGTTAGAGCTCAGGTTCTGTGGAGTGGAGTGGAAAAGTCACGGCAAGACAAGCAAAACTGGATCCTATACTTCCTTATATACAGCTGACTAGAATCCTTAGAACCTCACTGGTGGTTGCTGTAAATGCCTAAGAGTTTGCAGCACTTTAATCCTACTAAATACTTGTAGTCTCCAAGCAGGTCAAGATATCTCGTGGGATCATATTTCTTATTCTAGAAGGACTGTTGATCTTTCAATGAAGAACAACTTAGCTTAAAGTTTAAGACAGATTTGGTGAATGACTTCAAAAAACTTTAAATATCACCAATAAAGTTTACTATACTGCGTCTTAATGAACAAATTCATCTGGTTTATTAATTGTATGTATGTATGCATGTGGATCTATGTGTGTATGTATGTTTATAAGAATAACTTTTTTTTTTTTTTACCCCCGAAGGCAAATTCAATGATTTCTATATGTAGGTATAAAATATAAAATGTATATTGTCTTGTTATGTAATGTCCTCTTCTGTGTTTGAGTAGAGGTGAATTATATGTACAGAAATTAAGTATCATATACAGGTGAAATATGAAGTTTGTGACCGTGTATAAATATTATAAATATCTTAAGTCAAAATATCACTATAGGTACTGTTATTAAAGGGGTAGGATTAAGTAAGTTTAAACTTCTTCCTACTCCTTTTCGACCATTTAGATCGCCTTCACATGCAGATTGTTGCCAGCAATCTTTGTATACATGTGTTTGTGTGTGGTTACTACCTATATTCTGTTTTCTTTACTGCATGTTCAAAATAAAGCATTCATTCATTCAAATGATAAGAATGAGATAATGAAGCAACAGCATAAGCAAAATCAGGCTGTTTTTATGTTTCTTACAGGAATCAGTTTCCCCTGAAAGCAGAAATGAAGCTAATATGTAAAGCTACTTAGAGATTAGTACCTAGGAAGGAATGTTACGTGTGTGTGTCCATGTGAGTAAAATGCAGAGCTATTATTCTATTTGCCCCTCAGACATGTGAAACAGGTGTCACAAGATTTCATCCCCCAACCAAAACCAGGCAGGAAATAAAACGTAGAAAAGAAACTGAAAGATGGGGAAATATTTGGTTTCCATGTGTGTCTGTGATCATTTACCTGCAGACAGTCCAAAGATGTGCTCACTATCCGCGGGGATTTTGACTGACAGGCTAACTCGAAAGGCAGCACATATTTATCTGCCTCGATGTAGTTGGCTCTGGGTGCAACCACTGTGCCATCCCTGCAATGAGGAGAGGAAAGTAAACAGCTGTGTGAGCTGAAAACGACTGCAGCAGCCTGCTATGAACTGTTCATAAAAAATACACTAACCTCCCCATTAAAACTTTACAGTCACGACAGTACAAGACATGACATCATAACCATTTAATGTTCATTTTCACACTGAGCAGTTTTCTTCAGAGACAAAGCATTCGACCTTATTGTTGAGGTAACAGCTTGCCAGAAGCAGCAGAAATATAACCGTAAGGCTGCTTGGAGTGCAGCTGATTTACTCCAAAGGAGCAGTAATAAGTGCAGCAGATCACTTTAGTCGCAAATCACAGTCAGCAGCTGGGGTTTACTGCTGACTGCTTCAGGGCAAACTTTACCTCAACTTCTTGCCTCCAACCACAAAGAGGGGGGAAAAAAGACTGCTGCGCATTCATTCATTCAGTACATTTAGGGAGAAAGGTTTGAGCACGGCAGTACTTACTTTTGTTTTTCAAGCTCTGCCTTGATCTCATCTGCAGAAAAAGACACAAGATTAGATGTTATCCAAGTCTGAACTTCGACCATTTCAGCTCACTGTGGTGGTGTGACATTTTCGACTATTGTCTCACATTTCAGTCAGTTAAAACACAAAATTACCGGTTATGGTGTTGTGTTGTATACTTAGCAGGATGAAATTGGAGACTTTTACTTCATTTTAATCACATTTTTGTTTTACTAAAGAGTCTCTTTCAGGTCTTAGAGAATGCAAGAGCAAATAATAAACATTTTAGCTTTTTGTGTTCCCCTGATTTTTTTTTTTTATCCCATATAGTGAATAATACTATTAAAAGATTCAGGAACTCTGGAAAAATCCTTGTACAGTGATCTTTGGGTCCTCTGGCAGCTCTACATTCAAAACACACATGACTCTGTAGAAGAAGTCAGGTGTGTTGATGTAGGGTCACAGTCACTATTGAAAACCATTATCAGTGAATGCAGTCTGTTGCTGCATCTACAGGTAAAAACCATAGCCTATTGACAACTTGGTTCCGCCTTCCACCAGTACACAGATTTGAAGCCAAAAAGCTCTTGGTAATTCTGCGTTTTTTCTCCACTTCCCGAAACCAACATTGCGCAGTAGTGCCGTACGCATTCGGCGGGAGAGTCACCAAGAGTTGCTGTGATGACGCTCGGCTCAAACAGTGTATTCCACGGGTGAGCTACGCAATCTTCGTACACCCATAGGCTGTATCCAATGTCAATCACAGAAAACATGAACCCCCTAATAACTTTTAAAAATAGAGCTGCAAGAAAAAAAGTAATTGAGCACAAACCATTCTCACTGTAACTACAGTTACAGTCTTACAGTCAACATCACAAGCAGGGGAGAGAAAAATTTATGCTCTGTGTAATAAATTTATAAAGTTTGTCCACAACTCCATAAGTTTTGCTTATGGACCAATACTGCAGCCTGTTGCTAGATGTTGCTGTTCTGGGAGTGGCTTCACCCATCGAGGAGGCAGACGCTGTCCATTCTATATCCAGTCTATGGTAAAAACTTTACAATATGAAGAGGAAACATAACCCAGAAATGCTGCTGACCCATTTAAGATAGACTGAGGCAAAGTGTAAAACTGTCCTGTGGTCTGTGGAAGAAGTCATATCCTCCACTACAAAGAGGAGGGCCCAGCCTGGCTTGTTATCAGCACATACTTCAAAAGCCAGTGTCGGTGATGGTATGGGGATGCATGTACTCATGGCACAGGTGGTTCACACATTTGAGAATGTGGATTTTGAAGCTACATATGCTACCATCCAGATTATAATGCCTTTTTTTAGGAAGATAGAAAATCTATTAAACTATACAAAGCCATGCCACATTCTATCCATATTGCAGAAGCATGGCTTAAATAAAGAGCTCAGCCTGACTGCAGTCTTGACTTGTCGACCACTGAAAGTATTTGGTGGATCAGTAAAAGCATAACTTGACGAAGGAGACCCCACACTGTTGAATATCTTAAGTCCCGTATCAATAAAGAAAGAGGACAAAAGAGAACTTTTTTTTTCTTCAAAACTGTAGAAAGTAAACTCTTCTGTTCGAAGAAGAGGTGATGCAACACAATGGTAAACATGCCCCTGCTTCAAGTTTTAAAAAAAACTGATGCAGGCGTTAAATTGGACATAAGTACTTTTTTTATTTAACAATATAAGAGTTCAGCCTCAGTGTATTAAACTGTTTCTAATTAAACCTAGGCTTGAAATAATTTGCATACCATCTTATCAAAAAGAATCCAAACTCCATCTTTTTTTTTTTTTACCGTTTTATATTTAATTGACCTGTCGAAAGTGACATACACTCACTTCACTGTGTTGCATATTTGGCTACACAGTGACTAATGTAGTACATTCAGCCAGACATGACCAATCAAATCGGTTACATTCACACACACACACACACACACACACACACACACACACACACACACACACACACACACACACACACACACAGGAAGCCAACATGACTGAACCTTAACTCGCACAAACCTGCTGTGTAACAGGACTTCACAGAGGAAACCAGCTTGTGCAATATTCCCTCAAAATGTCACAATCAAAGTTGTAGCGATGATAATGTATCACATTGTGTTACAGCAATGTCAGTCTAGTTTATTAAGTGATCCAACGATTGCTTGGTCTGAAAACTGCTACAGGTAACTTGGGTCTCTTTCCACAGCATGCCTGATTAATCATGGAGGCAACAGGAGATAAGGTGAACAATCCACAGCAGAACAGCTCAGATATTCAAAAGAGAAAGAGAAACATGGAGTTGTGGGGAACTCTCTAAGGCTCCATACAGATGCCCATAGAATAGTGTGGATTCGAGTTTGTGAGGGGTGAAAAAGGAGTGTTGTGTTCTGTTCGTATCATGAATAATGAGAGAGTGTCACTGACAGATAGAGACAGAGAGCAGACAAAGCAGATCAAACACACACCAACTTGTTTGGCCACTTCTCCGTGACATTTATATCTTTGTTATTAATCCTGCAGTCCACCAGCTCTGAAGCACCTCTAACACTACTTAAAGAGGATGATCAAAAGAGCCACATGTGTATAATAAATCCACATCCACGCTCTGACAATCACATGCCTTATGTAAACAAGATAATGTCTGACAATTGTCAGTGGTTAAAATACCTGTATGACAAGCAGGTGGGTGCGTTAAAAATGGGCAGGGTAGCCTCAAACAGAAATATAAACACCAGGACCACAATGGAGTGATCAACCTGATGTGTGTTTGTGGGTGTGTGTGTAACACTATCCGTGATTGTGCTGAATGGAAAAGCACGGACGTCAGAGGATCCTGGAGTTAGGTAGCCTCCGGTGTGTCTGGGTGAAGGAGCAGGACTGGGCTGTCTGGATGGGTGACAGTGCTACGTACAACACAGGGATTGGTCTGTTTTAGCTAGCTAACCTAGTCCTCGCTAGCTAAAGATCTGAAGGCTTTGTTTACCTGCCGGCTTTGACAGCGATGAGGACTGTGTGCAGGGCATGGTGTTTGCATTAAAGAATTAATATACAATGTAAATGTGGAGCTAACGCTGCCCGTGTCATCAACAGACGGCAGAGGCCATTCAGATGCTAAAGCTAACGCTAGTTTGAACCGAGAGGACCCTTTAAAGACACACACACGACTACATGGTTCCGTTAAACACGACCCGAATCACCTTACTCTGGCAAACCTCTAGACAAAACAAAGACACCTACCAAGTGCCACCTGGCAGGCTTTGCGCAGTTGGTTGTGCTGGCTCCTCTTCACCTCCTTATCCGACAGGATTTTTTCCAGCGCCCTGGACAGAAACATGCTCTTGGTTTTACTGTTTTCCGCCTTCGACTGCGGGTTCAGCTGCTGTTGTACTGGCCTCTGTTGTTTTTGCTGCATCTCTCGGTGTTGCTGCCTCTCCTCTCTCAGGCCGTCATCTTCGGCCTGGCCCTGCAGATAGGCAGGTGACGAGAAAAGCTAACGAAAACCAGGCTATCGGTGACAGTCCAGTAAGACTCGCTACCTCAGTTCAGCGCCGCCATGCTGGTTACACGTCACGTCACGTGACTCTCAGCTGTCCGGGTGTTGACCGTTAACGTTTCAGCTCAGATCAGCTCACCGGGCGTTTAGACAGGTAAACACTAGTCCTAAACTGGGTTCATACGTCAACTTATCAAGATATATACATCAGTTACAGTCCGTTTGAGTACGAACTGTCAAACACTGTTAACTCTGAAGTTACGTTTACGTTTAATCTTCATATTCACCCCACCAAAGAATGGAAAGTTCCAACAAATGTCCAGCAGATGGCGCCTCGAAACTACTTGTTAATACGACTGTCTATAAGGGAGATTGGGTTAAGATGAGCCATTTTTCATATTTCGAATCACTACATCAAGGCAATCATAGTTTTGTCTCTAACTAGTGTATCTGCATATATTTCAAGATGTTGTTCATCCCTGCACACCAACAGAATGAGTGTAAACATAGCTGTCTTGATAATATAGCATGACAAATAAAAGTGCCCCCCCCCCCCCCCACACACACCCCCACACACACACACACACACACACACACACTAACCCTAACCCCCTTGCCCTAACCCTAACTCTAGGCTAGTCCTAACCCAAATCAAGTCCTTCTCCTTCATTCCACGTTCTAGCAGATTGGACCGGGAGGAACTTCAGAGAGATCTTCACAAATTTCTGAGACGACTCAAACTGATTGACAATTTCCACCTCCAACCTGACAGACCCACACTCCCATTCACCCACCCATCCCACTGGGAACCTCACCTGGACAGCCTCAACACCCAGACTCAACAACTTAGCCATAAAAACAAAAGGGCCCTCTTGCGTTTCAGACAATCTGTCGGGGCCGGAACGCAGGGCCCTGACGGACCTAAAAAACAACCCCAACATCATTATAAAACCAGCAGATAAAGGATCCAAAATCGTCATCATGGACAGACAACAATACCTGACTGAAGCCAATCAACAACTGATGGACACCACTTACTACAAACCCCTCAAGGATACCATTCAACCCCAAACACAAACCGGACTCAGGAACATCATTCAGACCCTGTACAATAAAAAAATAGATCACATCCGGACAAAAAGACTATTTATTTGGACCGGACCACCCATGACCCCATTACTTTTACCTCTTACCAAAAATCCACAAAGACCCACAGACCTGGACCACTCCCTCTGAGGTTCCTCCCGGTAGGCCCAGGTATCCCCCCTCCCTAACTCAGCTCCTCCCAGTGGCGTAAGTCGTAGGGAGGGAGGAGAGAGGGCGTGGAGTGGGTTTAATACAGCCGAGACCTGTATTGACGAATAACATAAGCTCCCTTCCTCGACTTTAAATCTGCCACTGGCGAGGTGCATTACAATTTTCGTGAAGTGGTCAAAGAGATCAAGAGATGTCTGAAGACAGCAATGCCACACAGTGGCGACAGAAGGCAGCCCCTCAACAAGTGTCGCTGTAAGCGCTGCAGAGGGTGTCCTGCACACTGTCTCATAGAAGCACAGATGGATTTGGTGTGTGTAAGGTCAGTCCACGAAAATACCAAACTGGCTGTACGCCGTGCTCCGCCAGACAGAAACACCACTGCACGGGGTCCGCCACCCTCCGCCGCAACGCCGGCGGACACGAAAATAGAGCCCTTAGGATAGAAGTAGCCGGCTGAATATGCTTTCAAGTATAGGCCTACACTGATTGACTGAACAACAAAATAAAATTGGTTGTAGAACAAAGAGCAAAGCAATGCCTTGAATGGCTAAAAAATAACGTCTTTTCCTGGAACATTTGGGACATTTAAATGGTTTTTTTTTTCAGCTTTTCTTCCTAGACTCCAAAGTACTTTGTTTGTAACAGTACGCAACCACTAATGTGTGTGTGTCTGTGTGTTGTGTGCATGTGTTCCTACGTGTAATTGCGTGTGTGTGTGTGTGTGTGTGTGCATGTGGGGAAAGTTAGGTAGAATTAGTTAGCTAGCTAGTGTGTGTGTGTGTGTGTGTGTGTAAAATTAGGTAGAAAGGTAGCAGCAGAAAGTAAGGTAGAACAGTTAGCATATGTGTATTAACATGTAGATACAATGGGTTATCCCACCGGTCACTATTGTTGCCGCTGACATGTTTGTGAGTTCTATGACCACATTAAACAAAGTTGAGTATTTGCAAGTGCATATATCAATACTAGACACCTTAAACATGATGTGTACCAAAAATCTATGTCCTATCTTTATGTTAACATACTTTACTAACCCTTTCTTTGGGAGCTTTCTTGCTGCCATCCTCTTCTCTTGGCACAAACAGGAAGTAAACAGCTCTGGTCATGTGACAATTTACAGTAAACATGTGACACTGCACATGTTTCATTAAGACCCTTTATTATGTCAATTTCTGCTGGAAATGCATTGATATATCATTCAGTAACATTTTTATAGCCTTAGAAATGAAACATTTTTTTACGGTCACTATAGTGACCGATGGGATTAAATGGGTTAAATACAACCTAAAGAGCTGATTTCAATTGAAGGATTGCAAATGGCCAGTTTAGGATTTCAGGGAGGCCAATCAGAATTCAGAGGTGACTGGCCACCTCCTTACTCCAGCACAGATAGTTCACAATTTAACATCCCCAACTACCAAAAAAATATCACACTCTACACTGTACATTTCAACAGATAATAAAACATAAGATGTTTGTTTGAAATTAATGTGATTCTGAAACAGACAAGAATTTAAAAATGATAAAAAGATGTCCAAGAAGTCAAAGGTTTACTAAGAAAATGTAAAAATTCAGATACCTCAATAAAATGTAGCTGTAATGCAATTTTGAAAGATTTTCTTTAACAAACAGACAGCAAACAGTAAAGACTGCTACATATTAGTTTATTTTATCCAGATCCTCCAATCAACAGGTGGACAACAATTCATTCATACAGCTCCAGCTGAAACTCAGAACATTTTTTCATTAAATGTGATAAAAATGCACATCATATATAGCATTGATATGAAAATACTGACAATCTTCATTACAAATCTATACCATAGGATTTATCTGACAAGCAAAAATCATTGCTCGATCACTTAAAAAAAAAAGACGCAACGCAAAACAAAACATGCAGCCTGTGTTGAGGTTGTGCTAATACAACGGGTTCCCTCCCACAAAACTGATCGATTTCATATTGATTAATTCACAGTATGTAAAAAAAAGTAATGGTCATGTTCTGTATTGATTTTTCTGTTGCCTTAGAAAGAACAGTAAAATCAACTACTGAAATCATTTCCAATTGGGCATCATCTACCACAATATATGACCAAAGACAATCACGAATAACAAAAGTATATCCATTTTAAAAAATAAAGTCATAAAATGTGTACAGAAAAAGGAAGTATGTAGACGCATGATTAGAGAATAAATAATGTTGCTGTGGTTACAATCCCAGTGTCCTGTGGTAAAGTTAGGAGTAAAATAAATTAACATCAATTTCTAAAACTCTTCCATTTAGAGTACAAGTCATTAGCCTACTGTTTAATGTCAGAGATAAAAGACAAAATCCAGTGTACCGAGAAAGGCAAAACAGAGAGTACCTTACATATATAGCTTGGTATACAGTGTTTTATAGAAATATACACGCTTTTGAGCAGTTTTCTCTGATATTTAGAAGTGCTAAATCAAATAAAGTATAAAGCCTTATCAAGAAATATTTGTTGCTGGATTTAGATTAATTCTCCTCCTAAAATCTCTGTTAGACAAGCAGTTCTTTAAACTGAAGGGCCTTTTTCCTACTCACATTTGTTTTATTTATTCTTTTTTTTTGTGCTGACAGTGCCTCATAATTTTACAAAACCTAAGCAGTTCAGGGTTTTCAGTACACAAAATCCAATCAAGGAGGGACTGGAGATGGATATAATCTTTGTCAACAACACTGGTATGTCAATCAAGAATCCGACCCCTGGATATCGCTTAGTGTTACCACTTCTGCACACAGTACCTTTAAGCTAAACTATGAAGTATACCGATTAATTTGAAACAGACATAACTGTCACTGCCAAGGGAAGTGGAAGTGGAATGAGATAACATTTGTAACCTCACTGTATTCTGCACAGAGAAGTGTTCTGAAATCATGCTTGTGGCACTGGCAGCGCAAAAAACAAACAAACCCTCTGCAGTCATAGATAAAGGCCTTTGCAGTGTCTTTTTCCCTTCTTTTTAGAGTATGATTGGTCGATCAAAACTAAAAAATATACATCCCCCAGACTTTTAAAAGATGGACCTAATCATTAAAAAAATTATTCGCAAAGGATGTGTATTATAGTCTCACTGGGGACTTTCCAAGGATAAAAACAGCCTCAGTGGAAATGCTCGTAACAGGCCAGAGCCAAGTCACACAGACCTGCCTCACCTTTATCAAACACAGAAAGTGAACTTATTTGTACCTGTATGTGTTTGCTCAAATATTACTCATTCTGATCGGCCTTTGTGTTGACATACAAGCAGTTTCTCTGGTATCACTGTAGGTACCGCTCACTTACACTCCTCACCTCTGTGGTTCTGTATGCTAATAGAGTTTCAGTCTAGCTATTGATCAACTATTTAGACCCAAAGTCAATAAAGGTAGGTATTCAGAGTACAGTTCTTGTTTGACATTCTCTCAGTGTGTTATTACTTGAATTCAATGAGAATAAGAATACAGTGGGGTCCTTGTGCCCCTGAGTGAAAATGAAAATGGAGAAATGTTGCAGAAATACTGGAGAGAACACTTTTCATATGTGAATGTCTTGGGGCACATCCAAGTGAACTCAGGGCCTGGCTGCAAAATCACAGATGACTACAGTATACATGGATGACATGAGATGCAGTACACTGAGTAACAGTCCAGAGAGGATTGAGAGGACAAAAACAATAATAATAATAATAATAAAAAAAAAAAACGATAGCACATTCACATTTTGTCTTTGAGCGCATGCAGCAGGAGATAGCCCTTACTATGGAAAGAATAAGGTAGTGCAGTATGAAGTGAGTATGAACAGGGGGGAATGAAACCTAATATACCCAGGTAAGACAAATCTTCTGAAGTAAGCTGCAACTTTAAATCGTGCTGAAACTGGTCTGATAACTGTAGTCACTTGCGTGTAAAGGTATAACAAAGAAGAGAGAAAGAAACTGAAACATACAGTATGATTCATACAGCATACAATACAGGCTTTGTGGTAGAGGGATAAAATTGCTCCCGAGAGATATGGAAATTATCAGCCTTTCATAATTACTCAGTCATTCTTTAAAACCGTCTAAAGAGGGAGGAAAAATGGCTAACTACGGCGGTTAGGAGCAACTGAGCCAATATTATGGACCCAGACTTGTTTTTTAGGTGGTTAGTCCCTAGAAATACTAATATTAGTGTGTATCTCAGCATTTGGTGGATTATTGTGGCACTGTTTCGGCTGGAAAGTACCGCAACTGTGCAACCAATCACATGCTGTGGTCAAATTAGGGAACGGGGGTGGTCACAGTATGGTGCTGGGGTAGGGGTACAAGGGTATGAGGTGAAAACAAACCAGATTGTCAACAAGTATGTGAAATTAAATGTGTCTGTGGGTTAGTGTTATGGGGGCTACACTCTCTCTGTTTATATGATACCTCAGTTGCAGGATTGACATGTTTTATATTTTCTTATCATCGCCCTCTAGTGGAAGCTCAGCATAAGAGTTCTGGGAGTAAAAACAGTGTCTCTGGGCTTCTGCAGATTTTTTGTGCCTGTTAAATCGCGGGGCTTTACCACTATGGCACATGTGTGGTCATTGGCGTAGGGCGCAGTGTTTGACATGTTTAAAAAAATAAGTTGTCAGCATGATAAGGAGGTTAAATATGTACATGTTTCATTGTGCTTCTCAGTTGTATGATGGTGCAGAATGTTCCCTTGTCTTAATTTCTGATCCATGACTCCCTAAAGTGTGTGTAGTAGTATTTAAGTGGTTCCCAGTGTTTCCTGTGTGAATGCCCAGTCTATAGAGTTATGACAGTGCCGTCCTCTTCCAGACTCCGCCTCTCTGTTGCTCTGTCTGGCGAGGGTGTGCTCAAAGTGGCGTTGGTGTTGCTTAGTGATCCACTGCTGCCACTGGCCGGAAGGGTGCCATTGGCATTGATGGAGAGCGCAGACGTGGAGCTGGCGGCAGCACGGAGGTTGAGGTGAGGCTCATAGCGAGGCAGCGACGGCATACTGTAATTAGAAGAGGCTCGTCTAATGGGCTCAGCTTCTCCTCTTGCGTCGATCACCAGATCTTCATCGTCTTCGTCACTGTCCAGATCTCCGACAGGAAAGTTCTGGATGATGTGTGTAGGCATGGAGGCAGCAGCACCAACCCCCCCTTGTGATGAACAGCCGTAGTAGCTGGCACCGCTATCTGAAGAGCGTCCTGAGCTGCCGGATGCGGTGCCTCCTCCTCCTCCTCCTCCTCCACTGCGAACAACATTGTTCCGCTGGTTTGCAGGCTTGACAGTGATGATGAGGTTGTGGCTGTTGGCGATCATCATGTCCGTCACCTGGTCGAGAGATTTCCCAACCACCTCGATACCGTTCACCTCCAGCACCTCATCATTGACTGCCAACAGGCCGGTGCTCTCTGCCAGCCCACCAGGAACCATACGAGAGATGAAAATCCCCGGGACCTTCTCCAGGCCCTGTGGGGTAACCCGTACACTGGAGCCATCGCGGATGTAAAAGCCTAAAGGTTTCTCCTGTCCATGCTTGTACAGGCGAACACGTCGGTGTGTCTCAGGCAGGATGTCTACGTCGATGATGGAGGAGACGGGGCGGAAGTCCCGAGGGAGGCTGATGATCACTGGTGCTTTTTTCCTGGCTGCGTCAGGTCGCAGAAGAACTGCAGAAAGCACTGTGTTCTTCTTCCTGGTCAGTGAGTCGGTACCAAAAGTCGAGTAATCTGCCTCCTCTGCAAAAGAAAAGGGGGAAACAGAAAGAGGAAGAGAGGACAGAAGTGGAAGGAGAAGAGAGAAAAAAGTGGACAGTCGTTAACAAACGCTGATAAATCTACCATTTAACACATGAAGTTATTATTGGGGATGATATCGTGTTGCATCATGTAGTTCCAGATGAGTGAATAATTCTTTGTAAAAGAGCAGCTCTGAGCCCGAGGCATTCCTGCAGGCTGTCTGTGCTAAACACACAAGACATCGATCCCCAGAACTTCAAGTCAAACTGATGCGAAATGCCACGCTAACCAGGAGAGCCCTAAATCCAACTACCAGCCTGTTATCAGCCGTCTCTGCTACACACCTTTATGTGAGGCAATACATTCAGTATGGTGGGCAGAGCTGGTGTTTACAGATACATCATTAAGCATTTTGTAGGATTCACACATTTTCAATATCACAATATCACAGTAGAAGTAAGGATACAAATTTTTCTTCTGCCAATCTCCAGTATGTCAAGATCTTCAAATTCATTTTGGGCTTTGCCAATATCATCACTGACATGTACATTTTTTTTTTCCTATTGTAAAGAACCCAAAGATTCTCCTGTAATAGAATTTACCTGTTCCTCTTGTTGTGACAGTCATTTTGTAATAAGAGCAGACATAAAATCCCCAAACCACCAGATTCTACCACAGATTATAAATGTTGTCCCTTTCAAACACAGCCACTCAGTTTTACAGCTGCTGTCTCCTTCTGCACTGTCCTCATGCTGGTACTCACAGGTCATCATTTCCTGCACATAATTAATGTTACATCTTTTTAGCCAACTTTTTTATCTGCATTTATTTTTTTTTATATCTGCCCATGCTGGTAATTAACTTTATGTAATTATATCATACTAGAATACTGAGCATCCCTTGGTAGTAATCTTTTTACCACAGCTATATCCCCGGCTGGTGTCGGATGGCTATGCGACCACTCAAACACGATAATTTGCATTTCAGGCCTGCAGTCATAAAATATTAACAGCTCCTTTAACTAACAAGTCATTGTGGTGCTGACCAGCAAGGGTGGCATTACTTCATGTCTACTTGACAAAACAGAGCATATGAAAAGGCAGGAGCAGGGAAAATATTTGTACTGCTCTTCCCAAAAGTTATTCGAGCAGTTTTTAGAGGGCGACATGAGTCAGGTTCTTTTCAACCTGGCACAGTGACTTCCTGGATTCTTCTTCTCTCTTTCAGGAGCCCATCATCTTTATGCCTTTTATCAGTAAAGTGGATTAAAACTGGATCAAAATTATTACATTCCTCAAGTTAATTCAGGGGCTACAGGTGTGCAGAACTTGAAAAAATCAAGCCGGCTGTTTCACCCTGTTTTAAGTTGATTGAAAATGTGTCTGAACTGCTGCTTCATATTTATCAACAGGTATGAGAGTGGTATCATGTGTCATAAAGCAGGAAAGACAATGAGTGTATTTCATAAACTTTACCCACATACTGTGAGCGGATGGTTTTACAGGCTGCATTTGAACCAAGAAAACAACTGTTGAGCAGCATGAGTCACCTCGGCGCTATGAAACCCTTCCCTGTTTTATGCCCACTTCAATGAGGAAGTGTTCACCATGATAGCAGTATAGACTTTAACCACACATGGCTGATATTAACTCAGATCCATAGCTAACCGGGTGAGGGGCGGGAAAACTGGACCTTGGCTCTTTAATAGTTAACCAGCATAATATAAGCAGCTAAACATTAACATCTCTGTGACTTTGATTCCTTTCTTTTTCACTCCACGGCTTGATAAACAAGCTTTCCTCTGTATCTGGTCTTATTTTATCCGCCCTTCTTTTTGACAAGGTCTTGAACTTTCTCACTTTCTCAACATTCCTCACTTTTTACAGTTTCTGAAACGCTCCATATTTAGATGAAAGTGCTCCATAAATAAACCTCTGACAATCTTGCACTGAATGCTCTTCCTCCTCCCCCCTTGTTTGTCTCTTCCAGATTATGTGAGTGTAGTCCAGGAAAATATCAATTCAGGTGGCTGACAAAGATTCCAGTTCTCATGTTCAGGTACGCACCCCACCACTCCCCTCTCCATCTCTAAAACCAAAACAAAGGATCGACTGTCCCGAGAAAGAGCGACAGTCTCACGTTTCAGTTCCCATGAGGCACGAGTGTAGTGTATGCACACTTACTTTATCTTCACTTTACTTATCTTGGGAGTCAGCTCCAAATGAGAAATAAAAAATATAGCAGCAATAGCTTTTTAAATCTGTGAGGACTACATGTAGAGGTATTAGTTGAGTTACTGAGCTCTGCCTGTGTTTAGGCTGTTTTCCCTAAATGCTTTAAAACGCTGCCATAGAGGAGCTTTATGCAAAACAGTGTAAAGACGGATATTAACAGGCACCAACACACAAACACACCTCCCTCCAAGGCCAACACAAGCACCGTTCTCACTGTGCAGTCATGCAAAGATGGAGGCGATGCTCTACATCTCATTTCTGTCTTTTATATCTCGACTTCTTTTCATCTCAGCCTGCCATCCCTCTATCTTTGGTGAGGGAAGAGATGAAGCTAACAATAGAGTTGTAGTTGAGAGAAGAGCATAGGACAGTCCCTCAGGGCCACTCTCAGGCACAAACACACAGCAAGAGATGCTGTTCTGGCTGCAAATTGTTTATGCATGCAACTTCCTTACCAATGCATCTGTTCGCCTGCGCACACACACATGGAGGCACACGCATGCAGGCACTAATTAAGACACACACAGCAGTTCACGTGCACATATAAGGTTTATTCCTGTTTAATTGTGATGCCTGATCTCTAATGAGGTGCAGCACTACGAAACCCAATACCCTGGAAAACCATAGCTACATTAGAGCTCATTAGAGCACGGAAGCAAAGCTCTCAGTCTAATTGGTAACAAAGACCTATAGGCGATGCATGATATCAAAAGCACACACGTACACACACAGGTATGCACACACTTCCTTTTTAAGAAGAAAATGACCGTCTTTGTTTCTGCTTTTTAAAGGGAAACTGAATACTAATGGCCAAATTACAGTAATATGCTGTACTTTAAACAAGTATTCTATAAAACACACCTTTCTGACCCCATGAATGTGTGCTAAATAAGAAGAATATGGGTAACTACCTAAAAGGTCATATTTAAGTTAAGTCTTCCGGATTGATAGATTGGGTATGCTTTGGATCAGATACTAGCTTCGACATCCCAATTACATTTAATCTGGAAGTACAAACTACATTTGTTAAGCACTGAAACTTCTATTTCTGGAACTAATTACTGTGATATGTGCTCTGAACATTACACAGGAGGAGCACACCCCTTGTGAAATGTGGTCATGAAAAGAGGAGCAAATTTTCTCTAATAAAATTCTGCTCCCTTTTTTTGCTCCTTTGCACCAAAATCAGATGCTACGGGACCATTACAACGCAAGCAATGCTGCTCAACAGACTGTATTTATATAGCACTGTATATGGGGTCAAGTCTTTTCATATAAAGTTAGTTTCCCATCATTCCTGTTGCATTTTGGGTTCATCGGTGTGTTAAAAATCTATAGTTGTGTTTATATCATTCACATATTAGCAGCTCAATCAATTGCTTACACTTTTGCCTTTCTGTTTTGGACTTCCAAACTCTCCTATACACATTAGTCTTATAAGATGCATTTGGTTACATTGAGGTAGAAGATACACCTGCAGTATGGGAGTGTCCTACTGAAGCATAATCCACAAGTCTTGAATCAAAACATAATCCCCTACCCTGCACTTGTCATGGCACTGCACAGGTTAGGCATTCCAAATATGCAGGGTCTGCTTTGATTTCCCACACTTTGAATGGAGTCAGTGAAGAGGCAAAGGAAGTGGAGCAGCGGAGGAGAAAATGACAACCCAACACACATCGTCACAAGTGAGGACACATGCAGTGATGCTTGGTCATTCCTCTCTGTAGTATGTAACTAACACACACACACACGCATGCACACACTAATGCATCTCTATCCTGAATTAAAGGGACTCAGACAACTGTGCCTGAGGAGAGGAAACCACTTCATCTTCCCCAGTACTCTACTCTTTACACACCCTGCCTGCATTATGATCTCACTGTGGCTGATGTTAATGGACCTATGGACTGAACACACCTACTCTACTGAAACCAGTGATCCAGTTTAGTTTTTATGCAGTATCATTGTTATCACAGTTGTGCTCTGGGAACACCTATCTAATAGGGGTGAGAATCACCAGTGGCCCCACGATGTGATGTTATCACGATACTTGGGCCACAATACCATATTATTGCGATTTTAAACATTTTGCGATACAGTGAGTATTCCGATACAATACATTGCAATATATACATTTTTTTCAACTGTTTAGCTAAATTAGCATTTGTCTTTCCTTCATGTTTGTCTTATTGACACTGTATTTTCTTTTCATGTAGCACATCTTGCGAACCTTATGTGTCAGGTCCATCTCATTTGTGCCCTGCTTGCATTCCTAATGTCTTCCTCCAGGTGCTGCTATATTTCTTGAACTAACTTTCTCCTGCTCTTTGATGTCACCTCTGCCAACCTCACTGGACAAACAGTTGATATTATTTTTCCATTATCATAGATTTGACTTCATGTGAACAATTAATTTGAAAATATCAATACTTGGTGGATGGGACAATGCAATATATCACCAGACAAAATATTGTGATACTATGCTGTATCCATTTTTTCTCCCACCCCTACTCACCCCACTAAACCCACCCCTACTCACCCTACCAAACTGAATCAGCCCCATTATATCTGGTTATCTGTTCATCTAAAAGAACATGATGTTTCCATTGCATCTGTGCAGTGAGGTTGTAAAGGATATTTGTCATTGGTACTGGTACAATACATGAATGGGAACCCGGCCAGCTTTGGCCCTTTTGTTGAGAGAATCAGATCAGGTGCTGCAGATGGGATCAACTTAATATAACTTATAATTTTCAGAAACTCTCACCCAAACACTTATGTTTGTGTAAGTAAGTTTTTGCTCCACACAGGAGTTTTGAAGCACTTCACTTTGCTGCCAAAGAGCCCTTGTATTATTGAACCATTCCAGGATGCATCACATGAACTCTTCCACCTGTAGCACACTGTGGTCAGCTATTTGAGTCTGCAGGCTTAAACAAGAGACGAGCCAAACTGGAAAATGAGTGAGTCTGACAACAGTCTGCTGTGAACACAAGAGGATGACATTTTGAGCGTGTGTTTACAGAGGATTTATAGACTCAGCAGACTTCAAGAGAAAGGGGAGAAACTTCTGTGCTCGCTAGAGAGCAAACCTGAAGTTACCTGGTGGTGCAGGTGTGTAAACTGTGAGCTCGTAACCATAAACCAAGGGACAAGAACTTGTATCAACAGTAATGCAGGACCTCTCTGGTGGAGAGGATACCAGCAGCTCACATACAGCTGCAGTCTGTGACCTCTCACTATATCAACCGCTGCTGCTTTTTGTATAATGACGCCATCCATGGTCTCCGCAATATGATGATCTTATCAAAGTACAAAGCTGTCTAAAGGCAAGACAAGCTAAAATTTTAAAGAGATAACAGCCACGACTACATCCATACAAAGCATACACTTACACCCACAGAAGTCTTATGGGTTATAGTATTTCATGGAAGAGTATCTGTGATCACCTGGCTTTTGTGTTCGTTCTCTAGCCAATTTCTCCATAAAAGGTGCTGAGCTGGCCGGCATCCACTGAGAGTAACACACCTATTATTGACATGACCCACACCCAATGTCATTTCAAAAAAACTTAAGTACCCTTTTAAGAAAGCTTGGTTTCTGATTACCCTAAACAGTTGAGAGACGACTTCAAAATCAACCATTTTTTAACATCAAATTGATAGTTTTAGTCACCATGATAACACAGGGATAAAGGCAGTATTCAGTGCATTTACATGCACAGTTAAGTAGAGCTAAGGCCATAGCGTGATTAGGTGATCAAACTGGACTACTGTCCTTGTCTCAATGTACAAGCACCAGGTAAGAATCGAATTATTGACAGAAGCACATCCTCAGCTACAGCAGGTGGTGACATACCCCTTTTCTGCTGTCTCCTGGTTGACCTATTACAAAATGCATTAGCAACAGGCCAACAGGATGTATCTCTAATGATGAAAACACTGTCACTTCAGCCTCTGGCTCTTAGTCTGGTGTGCTAACACTGGAGCGTGCACAATGATCCCCAACTGTGTTATCATAAATATGTTAACTGAAAAGTTCAATTTAGTGCAATTTCAGTCGGATTAATGTTCACATATTTTTAAAAGTTCAGTTTCAATCAGACTGAGGCAATGAATCAATTTATTGGACAAACATGTAAACGTGCTGACTGAGAGTTTAAGACCAACAGGGCCCAGCGTTATCAGTCACCACATCTCAAAAACAGGTCGCCAACAAAACAAGAAATGCCAATTTAGAATCAGAGTGTTTGGAGAGAGGAGGTCAAGCCTGCATAAGACAGATGGGGGGACTACCACAGTATCCTTGTGAATGCTGACGGTATTAAACTAACTTTCTCTGAAGTTTGTGTGAGACTTGCTTTAGCTCGAGGGAGTTATGCAAAATGAAAGCAGGGTCAGAGTAAACGCTGGATGTCGGAGAAGTGGCCAATCTATCATATAAAGCTAACTAGCTGAAATGATGTGGTGGGCTTTTGTAGGCCTCCAACATTTATCTTCTTTTTTGTCATATTTGGTTCATTGATTTCTGTCTGAGTAAACATTAATAAACTCTACTCCCTCATATTCCTTATGCTTGTACCTGCTCTGAGACTCTGATAAACACACTTTTTTATTAACAGCTACTCCCAAGGTTATGCATCATTACTATTACAATGATGCATGATGACAAGGCCGAGGCTTTTCTTGTAACATAATGATCCCTGACGGGAGCGAAGACACCAACAATCCATGACTTCCTGGTACTTGCACTGGGAGCTGTGTCAGGGAAACCTGATCCTGTGTTCAGGTGACACAACAAGATCAGGACGTAGCAACATGCCTTATAACTGTCCTTACTCCTGTGACTACTACGACTACTACTTCTTCTATTAGTGCCACTGCAGCTGTTAATTACACTACTGATTATTTTTGCATTAAAAAGGACTCAAAACATTTCTTTTTAGCAGAACTTTAGGTCCATCCTCTTGGATTTTTTTAAACCTGCTTATCTTGCTTTTACTCTTCTTGTTTTTCTTGTTTTTAACCAATAACCTGTTTTTCTATTCCTTTATTATGATACCTCTTTGCTTTTAACGTGTAGCCCTTTGAGGTCTCTGGATGTAAAGGGCACTACAAATAAATTTTAAAGTGTATTATAAGAGTGAGAAAATAAATGCAAAAGTAGAATAAACCTTTGTTGGCAAGTGTTGTTGTATTAGACTAATACTATTCTATTACAACCAAAGAAGAAGTCTGAGCAAACATGCACTGTCTCTTAAAGAGCAAAGACATGCATGTGTAGCGGTACATGTATGATGGTTGTCTCGTATTATATTTTGTCACATTTTTCCAATGTTTTTGCAATTGGTTGATAGGAAACTTTGTCTTATGTTTGTTTGGTGCTATAAAGTGTTAAATGTTGTGATGTTTTCTTTCTTGTTAAGAAAGATGAGAGGAAATTTTCAAAAGAGATTCTGACGGTAAAGTATTTAACTAACTAACTAACTGTTGTTTTATACAAGATAATGTTGCCTGTGAAACCATCATTCTTCAGAATCCAAAAATAGCATGTCTCAAGGATCTGAGTGCAAAAAAAAGAGGAGAAGAGAAGCAGTTAAAGGTTGTGGTGTTCTGGAAACAGTCAGGTTTAGTGATGACAAGCCTGGAAATTCACCCCCGAGTCGGTGTCACCGTGTTCCTGACACAGAACAATACAAGGGGGGAGACGGCACACAGCTTGTGTCAAAGAGGAAAAAAAAAACAGGGGTGGTGTCAAACAAGAGAAGTGAAACAAGCTGGAGGGACGGATATTTAAGCAAACACACAAAGAGCATGGAGAAGAAAGAAAAGGAGAGGAGGAGGAGGAAGAGGAGGAGGTGATAAAAAAACTTTAAAGGAGCAAATTCCCGGAGTGTTGCTATTCCTGGCGTGGTGAGCGTACCTCCCCGGCACAGCCTAGATAAAAGTGCCTTAATGCTGCTGATAAGACAGAGAGAAAAAAGGGAGGAAGGAGGGAGGTCAGATTGCTCAGAGGAAAGGAACAGGAGCAGAAGGAAAACAGCAACCTATACAATGTACTGATAGAGGAGCAGTGCTTAGAAAGGTAAGGTGCTGTATGGACCTGCAGAGGAGTGAGGCAAGCCGGAGCAAAGACAAAGCCTTGATGTGTAATGAAGCTGACGATTGGAGGAATTACTTATTAAATCCATAATTCAAAGACCTCAGTCATGAACAGCGCCCTGCTTCTTGGCCTCATTGAATAATCTCACTCATGAATTCTGTATTACACTCATCAGTCCTGCTTTATTATGTTGGCCTGACAAGAGCTTTTTGTCCTAAAACACCCGAGACACCCAGAACCTACACAGCGGAGGACAGCAGCCACAGTCTGAGACGGACAGTTAAAACAGCCTCAGAGTTGGCGGATGCAACACATTTTATTTGCTCGTCTAGACTAATGTACAACCTTATGAAGCAATTCCATCAATTTCTTATGTGCTGACGGAGACACTTCCTGCAGCATCTCCTCCAATCTCTTCCTCCAATTTTCCTCCCCTGTGCCCTTTACTCAATCTGTCTCTCAGTCAGTTGTCCATCACTCAGCAGGAGTCTCCACCTCTCTTCGTTTTTGGTCTTGCAGATTTTCCTCTTTCTCCCTCCTTAATCATTCTGTCTGCAGTTCTGCCCTCTCTCACCTCAGCCCCTCATTTCTGTGATTCTTAAAAGCTCCTTTTACAGGTAAATTAAGCTCAAGACCCAATCTTTCTGGGCCTGCACGGGGAAAGAGGTCCCTAGTTTTAGCTCAATAAGCAGGACAGATGAGGGGATGTATAAACTTGTCAGGAAGGGACTACATCTGGTGCTTGTGCTTCATCTGGCTTTATGGGTAGTTAGGAGCAGGGGTGAACCTGGGGCTGAGGCTGGATTTGAGCTTAGGACAGGATGGGGTCTGGGACAGTCATAGGTCGCTTGGGGATGTAGACTTTATCACAGGGGTTTGAGATGAAGTGTCTAGATCTGGGTCTGACAAACCGAGCCTTCTACGCAGCCCTGCAACACTGAGTTTCCAAGAGGAGAAGGGTGAGGAAGGGTTGGTTGTTGGGGAGGATGGAGGAGAGGAAGGGAGGGAGGGGGGTCTGCGTGGGCTGGAGGAACCCAGGTCTAACTTTGCAAGCTTGTCACCCATGTGCCTGATAAAGGTTTTTACTGGGGAGGGATGGGAAGAGGGACCCTGTGCTCCTGGTTCTGTCCTGCCCTCAGCAGCTGGCTCTGGAAGACAACACAGCCGACCTGTAGTTAGATCTGGCAGATTCATTATTGCCAAGACAAACTTTAAGCCAAATACATTAAAACTGGAGCACATCAGAAACAGAAAAAAATAAACTATACAAATACAGCTACAGTGGCTTAACTGGAAACACGGACAAGCTGAGACCTCATGACCAATGATAGGTGATGTGAATAACACAATAACACTGTGGTTGGCATATTTTAAGTAGCACATGAATGATTCTGTGCACAACGTTGATGTTGGAAAGGCAAAGGTTAATTGTTACGACTAAAACGCAGGGTGAGAGCATTTCCAAACCTGCCGCTCTAGTGGGATGTTTCCAGTCTGCTGTGGTCAGTACCTACAAGACAACGTCCAAGGAAAAATAATTGGTTAACAAACCACAAGGTCATGGCCAGCCAAGGCTCACTGATGTGTGTGGGGAGAGAAAACTAGCCTGTGTGGTCTGACCCAACAGAGGAGCTACTGGAGCTTAAAATCACAAAAAAGGGAAATAATGGTTCCAATGGAACATATTCTGAAGTTTGGGGCTGTTTGGCGGGTCAGGAGGATAATACTGACCCCTTTTCACCAATGAAAGCAGCTATGATGGGCATGTGAGCCTCAGAACTGTAGAGCCTCAGAGCCTCAGAATTCTGCCTACACAATTATGACAGTGTGGACTGTGCCGCTAAAATGCTCAGACCTCAATCGAATTAAGCATCTGTGGGATGTGCTGAAAAAGGACACACCACACTTTGAAGGCCACCTCTAGCAGCTTACAGAATTTACAGGATCTGCTGTTAACATCTTGATGATGGAGACCATGTCTCATCAGGTGAGGCCTGTGTTAACCTTGACCTGATGAGAGGGGTCCTGTATAATAGATACAGACTAGGCCTTCACGATTTTAAAATCAATTAATCTTGCGGCCCTACTACAGACCAATTAATTAGTTGGCAGTTTTATGGTAGTGAGACAAAATCTGCATCTTATTGACATAAGAAGTAAAATCAGTGAATGAAAAAATCTATTTTTTTGGGCTGAACCTTTCTTAAAATCTGCTGTAATAAGATTTGGCTGATAGAAATAAATCTTTGACCAAACAAATCACTATTTTTCAGTTCTGTGCCAACCTACACCAACCGATTTACATAAGTTGTTCGACCAAACTCACACACACACAGAAACTCATGTGAAAATCATCCTTTAACAGAACTAAAGTGGGGGAAAACAAGCTGAGGGACACAGATGCTTTATCCTGTGTTTTCTAGGTTCGAGACATGATGGAGACTTTTACAGATTCTGTGGCTCACAGTAAAACCTTGATAACAACACTTGTGTTTTTTTGTCTTGTACTTGTAAAGTTTACAGCGGACCATAATGTTGCTTGTGAAATGGTTTGTGTACAGTGCAGCAGCTAAAAGTCCATATCCTGACAGATTGCAAGTAAAGTTCAGGGCTTCTGGACTCTTTACACCCTACACCCTTGACTTTCAGGGGGCAGGTCTACTGTTCTCAGTGTGAAATTCTGTTTTGCATCTTTAGAAACGGCATTTCTTCCTGAGCCATAGCAGAAACTTTGTACTGAAAAGGCAGTGACTTAGAAACAGACTCAATTCATTCATCTGTCTGCTGCAGCCCACCAAAAGCCTTAATTCAACTCCTGACATAATTTTAATATGACCATTTTCAAAGGATAGGAGCTGTGACTTATTCCTCGATTACCTGCAGTGGACTAATATCAGGATAAAAAGTTGACTCAGCAGAAATAACCCGCTCATGTGTGCATGTGACTACTGTTTTGAATCTTTCTTTTGTGGTCATTAGTTTTTATGAAGCTCCATAAAAGTGGAAGGACTCTGATCGGAGGACAGATAAGGAGCACACATATGGGACAAACAGTACTAGCGGTTGAGCAACAGTGGAGCTGCATGTCAGAGCGTGGCCGGGTAAATATGTAGGAAAGGTGTTTTGAAAGAAATTCCTAGATAAGCATATCAGTTATCAAGTTTCACATCACTACCACCATTGCCAACTGCCTGGAGGAAGGATGATGTTTTTAAATGAAAACTGAAATAACACCACAGTGACTTTGAAAGCTACAACAACAAAAATCCAGTGACATTATTTATGTTAGTGTTTACTTTTCATTTGGAGGAAACCACCTTAACCCTGAACTGTACTGTTGTGTGCTTTGATCCTTTTAAACATCTTTGAACTCAAAGGTTTCATTGTCCAAGTACAAATAAAAGACTTCACTCTTATCTCTGTCAAAAAAGTTAACCCCCCGTGAAACAACACCTCTAAAACCTGTGATGTGAACTAAAATAGCAAATCCTAGAGACAGTAAGGCACCAGAGACAAATCAGCTGGTATCTATAACATGACTCCGATCAAACATCCAAGAAAATATAACCATGTTCACCTGAAAAAATCAGTATACACTACTTCCTATTTCTTAGCTGCATTAGCCCAAAGTACAACCCACTCCCACCATCCATTATTATCTTTTATAACGTCCAACCTTCCCTTGAAGATAACAGTCCAGGAATGCCACAATCTCAATCTTAGCTAATGATCATAGCCAATAAGGGTGTTTTCTTAACTGCTCAGGAAGCGACATTTTGAGAATTAAGAAGAGGATGAAAGGTCCTTACACACCGGGACCATTTTTGTCGTGCGAATATTTTGGACGTCAATATTTTTTTTCGAACCCGTATCCTGTCAATACAAGCGTTCACATCAGCGACATTTTCCCATCCAGCGATATTGCAGCAATTATTTTTTTCGGATCATGGTCGATTTTTCTAAAGTTTCGCATACTGTGTGTCCACTTCTGACCAATCAGATTGCGTGTTGTAGCGACGTCAGATTCACCGCCGACCGGCTGATTGTTTATGATCGTTTACACACACATTACAAAGATAACGACCTGAAGGACATCTTGTGGAGCGTCATAGAGTCGGATTTCACATATGACGATGTTTTGTGTGCTTTCACAGTTTGCTTAACGTCTTTGTTTTAACTTTCATCTGTGCTAACGTAAGCTAACAGTTGTCACCATAGTTTCATGTGCTTATCAGGTACTGGCCCTGACTCAGTACATGCCATCATGACAGACAGACATCTCAACACTAGTGTCTAGTGTCTAGTCCTCTGCCTCTTCAAACTTGGAGCTAATTGTTTCAGCAGAACTTCAAATTGTCCAACAAACATCTGAAAATAGGTTCTGAAGCGACCGTGGTCCAGTTTCAGCTCCTGAACCAAGCAGTGAAACTCACTAAGTTCTCTTCTTATTTGTAATATTGGATGCACCTATGTGTTACGTTTCTTTTTCTTTGGAGAAAGCAAAATAAGTACCAATTCGCCATCGCGTTCCATTCATTCCATTCCATGTCGGCCCCGGTGTGTAAGAACCTTAAGGCCGATTAAAAGAATAAAAAAAAAAAGGTCAGGTATAATTTTTTAAAATTATCATTCTGAGTAAAAACAGTCACAATTCTGCTTTTAAAATCAGAACTCTGACTTTAATCTCAGAAGACTTTAAAGTCAAAATTGTGAGAAAATCGACAGAATTCTGAGCTCAAATTCAGAATTCTGAGTTTAAACCTAGAATTCTGACTTGGATCTTAAAATTCCTACTTTTTTCTCATAATTCTGGCTTTTGTCTCGGAATAATAATTCAAAAAAAAAAATTATATTGGACCTTTCTTTTTTTTTGCCAGTGGCCCTAATCCTCTTCTGTAGAGAATCAATCATCTCACCCCCAATTTACATTAGCTGTTGTAAATTAAGCCCAATTTAAGGCAGAATGCAAACATCAGGTTAACTTTGCACAAGCAGCCCATCACTGAATTATCAGCAGTATGGAAACACTTTAAACAAGAGAGTTATTATAACAGTCCAACAGCAGCTTGCATTGTAATGAATACAACAGTTTTATGCAACAAAAGAGCTGCATTCAGTACTTCCAAGACTATACTCCACGTAGCAACAAACTCTGGACTTCAAAAGGATGAATATTCTTGAGGGAGCAAAAAGGAAGTGAAGATTATCTAGAAGGTGGTTGAAGTCATGTATTTGGATGAGGAGCCCACCCCCCTGCTGTAGAACAAAGGATCCACCCTATGTCCTGTTACCTGGATGTTTCATTTTAGACACTGTGGATTGTGACAACATTTGAGGTGATTTAGACAGAAGTGACCGCTGTTAGTTTTACAACAGACATTTAGAGCTCTGATGTTTGTCCCATGTCAGCACTGAGCCTCACTGCACACTGGATTGATTCCTCCACTTTCAAGTTTATGCAGAGGTGCTGCACACCAATTTCAAGGGTGGAATACATAAAGCAGTTCAGCTGTGTACAAGCCTGTGAGAGTGATGCTCGCTTGACTGAGTGAAGCTGAATAAATTGCAGACAGACATCTTTGATAGGATTTTTGTAAACAAGAAAAAAAACATGTCCATAGTCCTATTATTTAGGTAAATACAAGTCTGGAATCAGGCCTTGGTATCAGGAGATTCATTATGTTACAAAAATAAAATATGATGAGGGACCAAAATAGCTGATCTGGACGTTCACAGCCTCTTCAATGTTTTTCTGATGCTCTCGGCAAGGCTTCAGGAGCTTCAAGCTGAGCTAAAATTAGCTCAGCCTGTCTGTGTCTAAACATACGAGTGTCTTTCACACAGACAAATTTGCTGTCTGGTTTAAAAAGATCTAAATCTAAATATAGTGGCAGTAAATTGACTTGAAAGAGCGCAATCAGTTGGACGTGACAGATGACTGACTGACTGACTGTTGTTGTGTTTATTCCAGCTGTGTGATGAGCCGTTCAAGTTCTGGAAAAAACTTCATCAAGCAGTGAGATGTTTAATCAGGCAGAGTTTGTCAACGGCTAACTTTCCATCCCTCAAACGTTGCTTTCTCTCTCACATTTGTCCAGTTTATCTCCCTCTCCATCATATTTCTCATTCATTTTGTGTTTTCTCCAGAGCCTCCTCCTTCTTCTTCTATTGATTTATCTTCTCTGACTGACTGTAGGCTGAGAAATTCTGACAGTCTGTCTAACAGTGGGCTTGGACTCTCACTGCCCCCCCCCCCCCCCATCCTCATCCAGCCAGGTTTCCAGTGAGGTTTTAACCAGGCTGTGTCCTCTCTCTCTTTTCTTAAATGTTCCCTGGCTTGGTGCTTTCTTTAACCTTTTCTTCCTCTCCTGCTCTAGTGCTCACCATCTCCCTTCCTCTCCCCTCCTCTCTCTCTCCCTCTCTCTCTCTCTGTCCATCTACACCCTGTGTTAAACAAGTCAGTGCTCTGCTGCCTGGGGTCCAGTCTGGCCTGCTGTCCTGTCTAATCTAGCCAGCAGACTTGATCAGAGGCTGGCCACATTCCACCCAAAATGCCAACTCTCTTACTCCCCTCAACCTCCATCTCTCTCCCTCTCTTTTATTTCTCTCTCTCTCTCCCTCTCCTTCTCTCTCTCGCCCTCCCCTGCTTGGGCCTCAATCTGCATTCCTCCCTCACTAATACTATATTCCCACTCTTCACTCCCTCTCCCTCTCTCTCTCTTTGCATTACTATCACACTGTGCTCTATCTCCTCTCTGCACTTTCCTAATTAGATGCCTTTCCTAAACAATGCCTTTTCCATTACTCCCTCTTTAATACTGTTGACTCTGTCCTTTGCATCCATCCATCTCTTATTAGGCTTACCGAACATGTCCCTCCTCCACGCATTCTTCCACCAGTGCTATGAATACATCGTTCGCTCTCTCTCATTACTTGCAGGGGAATAATTCATGCTCTGTGGAAATAAAGAAAGCGAGTGCAGCCTTGGCTGATTTTTTATTATTTTCAGAGCAGATCATGATCTTAACTTCTCTCCTGTGCTCCTAGGGGAAAATGACAATTATTACACCTGCCAGCACTTCGCCTCTCTCTCCCTCTCCCTCCCTTTGTAATCTTTTCATCATAGAGATCTTGGCCCACGACAGAAATCTCTTTTCTTGCACGCAGTGGCGTCCTGGCTCATTTCGACTCCTATGTTTTGTCTCCTCTGTCACATCTTATGCCCATCTCCATCACTCAAAACCAGCCTAATTACTCCACAGACTCAGGACATTGCCTCCCTCTCTCCCGCTTTAAGGCTTGCTTCGCAGGGTGAGTAGACTTTGTCCATGTTGCGCTTTCACACTGTATGTTTCCTTTTCTCTTGCAGGATGACTCATGTACTGGTTACTAATTACTCAGGCAGTCCCTGCTGGGATAAGCAAATACAAGCATTCCTGTCCCTCTCTATACCTTCCCCCTCCACCTTACAGCTGATGAGTTACGAGCCATTCAGGACTAAAACCATGTGAGCAACAAGAAACGTCACCAGGCAAACCCACACCCTGAAAGCTTGACAAGCTGCCACCACTATATGGATGATGAGGACCTGGAAACTGTATGTTATGTGAAAGCAAAGAATGTTCTGGATGACTAGTTCTGACAAACATAGTTTTACTTTAACCAAGAGAACTGCTTCAGCAGCAGGTCCAAGACACTCCTGTGCATGACTCACAGTTCCACTTTGATCAGAAACTGCAACAGTCAAAAGAAGTCAGTATACTGTTATTGCTTGTTCAATATAACACTATGAGCAACTATTAGACTTGTGTAATCCTTTAGCTGGTTTTAAGTGGGAGGTCAATTATCCCACAGGTCTCCTTCTCTTTGAAGCAAAAAGACCCACACCCAGTATTAAAAATGAGTTAAGACCACTGCTTCATTTTTTTTTTTTTAATGTACACAGATCATTTTATGAGGAAGCCACAAGCCGAGCTGCAACTGACATCATAATAGGGATGGGCGATATGGGCTGAAAAATTTATCACGATAAGATTTGCCATTCTGGCGATAACGATAAAATCCACATAAATATTATAATGCCAGTCTATATTTTTGACTCATTTTGTCTTGAGAACACCAGTTGGAATAGTCAAATAAGATCTAAGTCCCAATCTGAGTGGGCTATGGCTGGGAGTCCATCGCTCGCTTATGTCATCAACTTGCATTTATCGTATTTTTCATGAGATCACAAATATTTATCATGGAGGATTTTTATGACGATATATCGTGAATGATAATTTATCGCCCATCCCTACATCGTAATACAGTTTTTTAAATAGCTTCCTCGTCTATGATTGATCACTGCTTTCCATATTACTGTTATTGATAACTTTGTTGATCAGAAAATTTCATCCACAACCTTTTTCTTCACGATCAGGAGAGATGATGCCACCTAAAAATATATCTTTATTATAAACATAACATACCACTTTGAAGATATAGTATCCACATATAACTTTAACAAAGACCGTTCTGTCCACAGGGGGCGCAAAACCTGACACAAACTGAAAGTTCCTTGCTGGAACTTAAAAAGTTTTTCTTTTTGACTGCTGATCAAATACATCAGTGTTAAATCTCTCAATGTGGACCAGGGAAACAGTTTCAAACAACCCTCTGCACTGACACCTAATGTACCACTTTAACCAGCCTCTCTTAGATTGTTATTCAATTTTATGCAAAGCACTTTATGACAGTGGAATATCGTTTAAGTTTACTGACTTACTTCCTTACTTACATATAAACTGAAACTACATGAGAGAACTGGGCACATGTAAAAGTCAGCTTTAGAATAAACACACACTTAATAATAATGCATCAAATTTTTATAGCGCTTTATCAGAGACCCTCAAAGCGCTTTACATTGGATACATCATTCATTCACTCACACAGTCACACCTCGGTGGTGATAAACTACCTTAGTAGTCACAGCTGCCCTGGGGCAGACTGACGGAAACGTGGCTGCCAGTTTGTGCCTACGGCCTCTCCGACCACCACCACACAACACACTCACAATCATACACCAGTGGAGGACACACACTGGGAGCAAGACACTTAGAGAGCTCAGAGCCCACACTGCAGAACCCTCACTCCTTAATGAGACTCCAGAACTGTTAAGCCACCTATGAACGGGCCTCTTCACTACTGCCATGACAACCAGTAAACAGTGGATACCTCACTGCCAGCTCGATAGTCATCACCACATTGTTCGGGGATAAGGGGAGAGTCCTGAGATGTAGGAAATATCTGGAGCAGCAGATTTGTGTTGGTGTGTGATAAAGCAATTAAAAAAAAAGACTGACATCATCATCACACAGGCACGACCACATACCCCATTTTTACATCAGTGAAAAAGGCGTCTTTAACTGCTTGTCAGGGGTGTAGCACTGATGCAGAAAGAACAACAATGTGGGCATTATTCAAGTGGCAAACCACAACAATACAACAAACACTCACAGCCCCCAACATCCCTCCCACTAGTATCCATCCATCAAACAAAAAGTGCTTACAGTCACTGTGGATAGAGATTAAGTGTTGTTCTTCAGCTCCAAACACATTTCAAAGATATCTGTGACACTGCACTGCTCCATGAAGGCCAGGCTATAACAAATGTTGGCCTACACTGCAGCAGGCTAGCCTCAAGTGCTGTTCTTATGCAATAACAGCCATCAGATCATAGCCCACCACTGACCCATTCATATATCCATAATGCTCAGTTACACATTCAGAGTACATACGAGGAGTCATGTTCGAAAAGAATCCACCAGCTTGTGACCAAAGCTCTGAAATTAAAAAAAAAAAAAGTGTAGAGCAATAACTTCGATAGCAGGAAGAGGGGTATGTTTAGGTATGACTAATAATGACCCTTCCACGATACCACTCCCACTCATCGGCAGCGTTATAAGGCTTCTTCTTATAAAATGGATGACACTTACGGTTGAAGGTTATCAGTGGAGATCCAACCAAACCACAAACGAGCCGATGAAAGACTAACAATCTCAGCAACATCCAAAGAAACTGTGTGATTTTTCTGTTCATTTGATATCACACTGAGAAACAAACTGTGCCTCCAGTTCAGCACTTCAACACAGTTTTGACAACATGTTTCTGGAGCCTTTTGTTTATCTATTTAAGCTTTTCACACACATACGTTCATACCAGCATATGTATATATTATTTATTTTTGTAGACACACACCTGTATCTTAGCATTAAAAAATATTTAATCAGGATATTTAAAAGAGCAGCCTTTTAAAAACATTTATATGATCATATCCACAAAGTAGAAATAAAAATCACTTAATGTCATATAACGCCTTATCAATAACCTTTGAATTTGTCTGTCTTCAATAAGCACTGGCTCTAAAATTTCCGCACTAGAATGTCACTCGATCAAAACAAGCCTTATGAGTCCACACACACGGTCACTGACTATGACCAACCCTAGTGGAAGTGTGTTCAACATCACAACAAGCTAAGCTAGTGCAGCTGCCTGCATGGCTGACAGTAAAGAACCAGCAGCACTCTGAGACAAAACATAAACAAAGCCAACCTTATAATTAGTGTTATTGGCACTGATCGCCAGACAGGGATCATCCTCGCTTGTATGGGGGTGGTTTGGCTTTAAAAAGATGGATGTCATCCAAAAGACGGTTGAAAATATAACTTCTAACTGTTTTAGTGTCTGCAAATTTACAAAACACAGAATAGGAAGAATATGATAAGCTTTGAGAGTCTTTGGTTGATCACAACCAACCGACTAAGACACTGAAAAAATAAAAACAGATTCAGTGAACTTTGGCCTCTTGATCGAGATCCCTGCTCTGGTAGTTTGACTGTTTTATACAGTATATACTTGCATTTCTTACGCCTCAGTTAATAGATGTTTTTCTACTGTTGTTTTCGCAAGTTTAAAAGTATGTACACGAGTAGTAGGCTAGAACAAGGGAGACCCTTCACAAGCATAATTTTTTGTGTGTTTTTACACATTTTTGAGAGATGCTCAACATCTCCAGTTCTTCTCATGCGTGAAAATACGTTGATATTGTTTCCTATGAATATGGCACACCTGGTTCTGCGTTGACAATTAGCTTCACGACCTCGTGCTACTACGATGTTGGGAGGCTACAAACTGACTGTATCACATCAGTGGGAATAATAACTAGTGCCTGGCTGCAGATAGATGATAAAGTCTGTAAAAGCTGCTAATTTGCTGCATCTGCACACTGCAGAGCTCTTTTAGCTGGGATCAACTGGTGCTAAGCAGTAAGGTGAAGAGAGAGGGCTGAGGCTAGTGTGATCTGCAGGGGGTTGTGGCCGTGTGAGTGTGTGTCCTCTGCCTTTGTTAGACCTTTTTTAAAAGCAGTGCGTGACTGATGTGTGATGCCTGCTTGCCTGGGTGTTTTCATGTGTTTTTCGTGTGAGTGTGTGACCACCAGCGAGCTCAGTGAGGGGGCTAGTGTCTGGAGTGTGTAATTGAAACATGGTCCCATGCAGCGCTACACAGTGACCCCCACTAATCTCCAACTGACAAAGTGGCTTAGCTTCTATAGGGTCATATGGCACGGCGAGACAGCTTAAACACAACAGAGCGGGCTGTCCAACCTGCCACTGCTAGCAGACCCTGTGGTCCCTACGCTGCATTCAACAGGTCACTCTCTGCAAATCATTAGCAAGGTATGCTTTTACATCAGAACTGCATACATGTAATCTTACAAAAACAAGTGATCAGTAATCCCAAAACATACGCCAGCACAGACAAACCAAAGTATAAAACAGTCATGACACTAAATTTTGAGGGGAACAACTGACTAATCCCTCCCACAGCTTCAAAAATAAACAGTGTCAGTAAAACACTGTTCTTTTTCAGCAGGACAGTTAAAGCTCTGTGGATCAGCAAGAATCCGGAAATATGGTTACATTAGAGGCAAAATCAAAAGCAAATAAAATATACTTTAATTTGTTTTAACTAGAAACTGTCACCACCATGTAAAGAGAATCCATGGACATCAATGTACAATTTTTTTCAATAAAGTTGCCTTAGAAACATTTAAGACCAGAGCTCTCACTTTTGCTCAAAAAGTGCTTGATACAATGTAAACTAGAAAAGCACTCAGAGAGCACAGACCTCCGCCAAGCAGCTCATGTCCCCCCTTATACTGTGATTCACACCAAAACTTTTACTGTTACGTGTCTTTTATTATTTGTGTTTAAACTGGTATGTTCACTGTTCATAATGTTCCTAAAACAAGAAATGCCCTGACCCGAATTCAAACCCAGGACCTTCTGGCTGTGAGGCGACAGTGCTAACCACTACACCACTGTGCCACCCATCTACACCGCCGTGCCGCCCATTGGTTATCTTTCAGCATTGAAAATTCTAACTACACCCTTATTTTTGTGTGTTCTGGATCACAGTATCCGGAATTTTGTCTGGATCAGGATCAACCTTTGACACCTCATAAAACTCATTGAGATCCTTTTGTGTAATTTTTGGCCATTTTTATAGAGTTAAATGCAAAAATTCCAAAATTTGCCCTATCTCACAATGATAAAGAATCCTTCAAAAAAATTCCTGGATCCAGAAGGCGATCCGGATCACCACCAAAATGTAATGGGATCCTCCTGGGCCTGAGACGCACCTCTGGTGAAAATTTCAGGTCAATCCGTCTGTAACTTTCTCTGTAAAGTTGCTAACAGACAAACCAACAAACCAACAAACAAACCAACGCTACCGAAAACATAACCTCCTTGGCGGAGGTAACAACTGTGCAGATCAGTGCATGTGAACCACCGATTTAAAATCATAATCATCTTTGACAAATAATACACAAAGCAAATTACTCCTATACTCAAGTGAAGACATTTAGTGACAGCCATCTTCATTATTATTGTTAGAGGTAACATTAACACTGAGCTGATGAGAACAGAAAAAACAGCAGGAGGCATACTCTACCGCTACTATATCAGGGCATGAAGAGGAACTTTGTTTTCTGTGTTTGTAGGACATGTTTGAGAAGTGCAATTCAAACAGCAAAGAGTCATCAATCATCATCTTTTCTGTTGATCTTTACAGTTTTGTCTGTAAACAAAATCTGCCTCAAAGCAAGGTTGTTGACCTCAGGCTATGTGGAGAGAAGAGACGCCAAAGGACAAAGCTAAAGTACGGGAGCGTGGAGCGGTGTTTACGAAGATACTCTAGAAGCACAGTAACAGGCAAAACAACTTCAAAACCTTTTTTTCCCCTTTTTTTTAAGTCAGCGATACTACATCCCTTTTATAAAATTATCTCTCTTGTTGATAAGTTAGGCAGGGTACACACAGTTTCACTGAACTAAAATATATGTCATTTTTTCCATGCTGTACTTTAAAGCTTATGCAAGGCCTTTGTTTGTTCTTCCAATGAAAGTAGATCTGACCTGACAAACGGGTGGACAAACCAGGACTCTTTGTTCAAATACTTCCTCTGTGCTTACCTTTCCTCTGCAGAAACAGTCTGAGCAGAGGGCTGGCTGTGGAGATGGCTTTGTGGTAGTTGTCATCGTTGTTAATAGGCAGCAGGTCGCCGTGCACGTCAGCGTAGCCGACCAACAACTCCACATTGGGGATGCGATGTACGTGCTGCAGGAGGCCATAGAACTCGTCAAAGCGGCCCGGCTTCGATCGATCCAGCGAGAACCGACGAAACTCTGCACCAAACTGAAATGAAGCAGATATGTAAATATGACACATGAGAGCAGAATCATTGAACACAAATGGGTTTGAGGAAAACTGAGAAACTTCTTATTTTAGAGGCAAGAAAAAAGAGATATAGTGAAAACAACTCTAGGCATGAAATATTAAGAACCATCTCTTTTCAGGGTCTTAGATTTGGAGATGTGAGAGACATGCATTGAGTATCCCGAGAGTCAACTCAATTCCAAAACAAACAGCTGATCTTCCACTATAACACTGCTTTTGATGAATTATCAATATTGGCTTTGTGCTGTGTCTCTATTATTTCCGCTTTTCTTGTAAAACTGTAACTCAGTCAAACTTCCTCCCACAATCAACAGAACAGAGGTTCCTCAAACCTACAATAATGAGAAAAATAAAAAAATCTTCATTGTATAAATCATATGTGATGGATGTGGCATTTTTCAATATAATGCAGGTAGAAATGTGGGGTAGATAATCAAATTAAAAATTTGAATGATTGAAATTAAAATAGTCAAATCTAGAAAAAGCCTGAGTGGTCATAAATGACTTCAAGGCTGACTTAAGCTGTAGCCCCTGATGTGAGGGTGGTTTGCTACAAATTTATCACTGAACCCTTGAAAAAACACTTAACCTTATTAATCTTGAGCTACCAAGAAATGGAAGGGGTCTAACTGATTTATCTGTTGGCTGATTGTATTAGTTGATATTGAACTGATTTTGGCCTGGCATATCTACACTTAAGTGGCATAAGAGCCCGGGGATATGACTGAAAATACACTGTGAAGTCTCCCCCATTGCTTTATTACCACACTGGCTTGGCACTTTAATTTCACAGAGCTATTGTTAGCTGTTTTTGGAAGGTGTTTACAGCTGCTGCTGTCTTGTGAAACTTGCAGCGCCGTACACATTTCAGTCTTGGCCGAGTGTCTCTGTTTGAAAAGTTTGTATAATTTTGTCGTGCTGCTGCTCATAGTTGACACAGACTTCAGACAAACTTGACAGCAGACATTGGTTTGCTGGAGGTAAGACATCACAAAGCTGAACCACCTGAGGAGTCACACAAACAGTATCCATATTAGTCTCTGTCTGTGTGACTGGAGCTATTCTCACGTTAGTATGAGTTATGAGAGATTACAGAGATGCTGGCAGTTACATTACCCTCATTTAAGAGAAATCACTCTTCATTTTAGACAGTGTTACTTCACCATAAAGACAATTCACAAATAATATCAACTTGTTTGTTTGTATAGGAGCCAAAAGGAAAACTTATACATATATCTAATAAACAATGGTAAATTAACTGATCTTCTGACCATCAAAGGGATCTTGCATTTCATGTCACATTCACTCATCCAACCTCATTTGTGCCCTCATAGCACAGGCTGCTACATATTACCCATTAGTAATATCTAATCTCATGTATATACTGTTGGCACTGCCACCAGGACATGTTGGGTTCATTCAGAGTCTTGTCTAAGGACACTTAAGTGCATGGACAAGGTGCATGTTACCGAAAACACCAGCCGACCTGGAGACTTCAATTTTTTTCTTTAGTTATTTTATCACATTAAATTAACTCTGTCTTTGTCAGCAGCGTCTGATGCTTATCCCATCACTTTACAGTTTGTTAGTACTGTCATTGAGTGTTCAGTAAATTTTTTTAAGGTATATTTTTTGGGGCATTTTTGCCTTCAATTGATAGGACAACTGAAGAGAAGCAGGAAAAGTGGGGAGTAGAGACATGCAGCAAAAAGGGTCGAGAACAGGAGTTGAACCAGCAACTACTGCGAAAATGACTTTAGGCTCGATACATGGGGTGCTTGAACTGCAAGGTTATCAGTATGCAGTAGATTTAAATGTCAGCATCAGCACATTTTACTGCAGTTTAATAAAGGGTGATATGGCTTTGGATTATATTTGTTCTATTGGGTGTTAATTTCAAGCTTGTTTGTAGTATTGCATCTAACTAACTTGTCAAAAAGTTGGTGAGATGCAACACTGCAGACCTGGTGAATAAATAAATGATATTTAACCACTTTTATTCCTTGTCAGCTGAACAAAGCTAGATTGTGCATATTCAAATTGTTCAAAATGAGATCAGTACAGATTTGCTTCTATAAAGATTCTGCCACAGGCTTACATGCTGTCATTTTAAGTGCCAATCGATGCTTGCAATGTATCAACAATGGTTATCTCAATAAGATATAAGTTTCTGCTGAGAGATAAAAATGTTATGTTCAAGGCTGAACAGAACTGTTACCTGACAGATTGTCTGCTGCTCTGCTGTTGTACAAAAAAGGACTATATTTTCAGCTAATAAAACACATTGCTGGCTTATGAGTAACTCGGTGTGGTATGTCCGGATCAATGAGTGCACATGCCTGTTCCTCAGACAACTGTTTAGCTGAGACAGAGCATTATGTCCCATTGGTAGTGCTGATGAGGAGTACTAAGTGTTGTGGTTACTGTTGCCCAGTACTAACAAAAGATGATCTGCATTTTACCGCCAGCCTGGACTTTTGACAGCATGCAGCAATAATAGCTAATGATAATAGTTGAAGAAACAAAATAGTTCCTGTCTGTGATTTATGGAGGCGCATAATTTTTTATTTTATTTTATTTCATTTTATCATTTTTTTTTTGAGAACATAAAAAGACAAACGTAAAAAAATACATGTCCACTACCTGCTCAGGGTGTAATATTACTTGAATTGATACTGTTGACAGCAAATTACAGCAAAAAGGGACACAGTTTTTTGTAAACATATGTTGTTAAGCCTCACAGTGTGTGTGTGTGTGTGTGTGTGTGTGTGTGTGTGTGTGTGTGTGTATAAGTGGCACAGGCAGGAGGCGGGGAGCATGTGGCGGAAGGAGCCATGAGTGTGTCGCAGACAGTATGACACCTGTCTGCACAGACAAGAGTATAACATAAAAAACAAGATACTTGGACGCTAAATCTGACATTTATTTCTTTGGAATTACATAAAGTTTTTCCGTGTTTACTGTAAGCAGAACTTCACACTAAGGTGTTAGGGTATTAATCATTGTTGGTCAAAGAGTCAGGGGAGCGGCGGATGAGGACAGGTGACACAATCTCACTGCGGCGTCAGCTGACAATAATAACCACCTTCAAACTTGCAAGCTAACAACCTATCTGTATGATCGACTTAAATTCAGGCTACATCTTGATTTACATTAGTTTATTTTTTAGCATGGTGAGATAACAGCGCCTCAGGCAGCGGAACATAACATGTATAGCTTCACAGAACTTTACTGATGATAACTTGCTATCAAGCCACTTAGCTGATGTTTCGGTTGAACGAGTGACCCTGTTAACCGGCGACTCCCCACATCTCGGACTGTCACAGTCAAAACAGCTGTAACTTCACGCGCCCTGTAACTACGACAACCACCGACGCATTCGGCTCAAAGTCTGCGGTTAACAGGGTCACTCGTTTAACCGAAACATTAGCTAACTTAAATTAGCTGGATTACATTTCCCCGGGAATGTAAAGGCCAGCTCAGTAACATAGCGTGAAGTAAAAATGAAGTCTCCATCAAGTACCTTGCTCTTCACCTCCACGGCACTCAGAGAACGGTTGCTCGGCACTCGGTGGTTTTTGTTCATGTTTCGCTAGCAGCGGGACCGCCGCCAAAGCACTCCCAGTCGCCCTGCTCCTGCTGCCGCCGCTCCAGTATCCTTATGTGTCCTCTAGTTATTCCCCCGGTACCGTCCCACGACTTCTCGACGTCCAACGGTGTCTGCTGTCTCTCCCAGAAAGACGACAACGGCTGCCGACCAGCCGAGCTCACCTTGTAAACTTGTCTCCTCTCATACTTGCCGCCGTCCGTGTTTCTACACCGCTGCTGCTGTCTCTGTGTGTGTGTGTACTGTGACTGTCCGTCCACCTCCTCCCATGACTCCGTGTGTGCGCGTTTGAGTGTGTTCGTGTGCGTGTCTAAAGAGAGGCGACACAAAACTTCAAAATAAGATCCAACCCCTATCCCGCACTCCTACGCCTTCAAAATAAAAGCACAGAACCTTGTATTTGCCAGGCAATTCCCACACCATACTCTAAATATTAAGATCTAAACAACACTGGGAAAGCTTACGCACTTTGCTGTTGAACGTTAATTCATCCAATGTTTGTTAGATTAAGTCTTTAAAGTCCTCCAATCAGAAAAAGGGTTACGTTATTTACTCATTTTCTTTAAAGGAATGTTACAAAATAGTCGATAGAAGGGTTGCTCATATGATTTCTCTTTTCAGAAGTAGACTTATATCATAACAATGTGCTAAAATGCAAAATTACAAACAAGCATCAAACTTTTCTTAAAATCTTGACGTGTGTGCTTCAAATTGCATATAATTTACACATATTTTAAAGGGATTGGTGTGCCAATGATTATACATTACATTTCATATGATGTTTTTAAAATAAACAACATTAATGCAGGCCACAGAATATTAGACTTTGTTTCTGACATTGCAGTGACCTCTTCTGGCCAAACGTCATATCTTCCTGCTGCTGGCCTCTAGTCCGGTGTACCCACAGTGCAATGCATTTTCAGTTATTTGTAACCTGTCAAGATCTCGTGTCTCACTATTATATACAGGATTTCAACTGTAAGTAACGCTCTACAGACTGTGTTTATCACAACGCTCAGATTTCAATAAGATTAACTTTTTCCTTCATAATAATACCATTGTGATCCAAGTCATTCTTTATCGGATGTTATGCAATTGATAAGATTCTTAGCGCCCAGTCGATATAATGTCATAAATTGTTTCTAGATATTTGAGCTTCAGTGTGAAACTTATGAGTATTGGTTACTTTACTCATGAGACGCCTGTTCTATATTTGATAGTATTTCATTCTGTGGCAAAATCAGGTACATGATCATAAAACTATCAAAGTCACTCATTTTCCATCACGCAAAATATAATGATCAAAATATTAGTTCATCTTAAATCCACAGACACAGATGTTTCAGTTATGGGCCTTTTTGGATCCCAACTAATATTTAAAGCCATTTTATGTGCTCCCCATTTTCTTAGAGTAGTCTAAGTAGTAAGTAGTCTCATCTTCAAAACTTTTTATTATGAAGAGATCATCGTGAACTGTTGAATAAAGAGTATAAATGGTGGAAAGAATGAAATATACTGTGTTCAGAAAGTTATGCTGGTGCAATTTTTTAAGCTCTCCAGCAGTTGTTTCTTTCCATGTTAACTGCTTTGTCTACCTTGTCATCAAATTTCAGTCTTTTAATGAATGCATGTAACTTTTAGTGCTGATGCGTGCTTATTGGTTCCTTTAGTAATTGAAACTGTAAATAATCTTGTAAATTTGAAGACCCAAATACATGGCACTCAGTATTATCACTCTTTTGCCTCAGCTGTCCAAATGCATTCAGTGATTAAGACATAGGCTGTGTCTGAAATGAATCACTCAATCCCTAACCCCCATATGGGGTTTCACTATATAGTTGACTATGTAATGAGTTCAATCACCGGAGGTTCCAGATATAGGCGACCCCATGTGGTCGCCTATATAGGGGTTAGGGATCCATTTTGGACACAGCCATAGTCTTACTTTTGTTTCCAAATCAGGAAGTGAGTGTTACATTTTCTGTCTGAGAGGTGCTGGAGGAATGGTTTTATACTGGCCCCTTTTTTCTAAGTAAAGGTATACACACTTTTTTAAATGACTGTCAAATTATGTCAGGAGCACCATATGCCCTTAAGTACTTTTTAGTATTGCTACATGCAAGTCATACATTGCAGAAGTAAAATACTAATGCAGTTTCAATGTGAAATGTAAACTTAAAGATGGAAAACATCAAATCCACCTCAAGCCATATGAGTGAGTCTTTGAGGCAGCTACAGCCTCGAGTTCAATGACCATGCAGAGTTTGTTTTTTTTTTTGGTAAACTTGTATGCAGAAAAATGTGTCTTATCGACCTCAGAAGAAGTGTCGTCTAACTTTGAAGTAAAGACAGTTTTGCATGAGAGAGGAAAATATGTTCTTTGAATCCTCTTAATGTGACTTCTTATCAATCACTGCTGTGTCACCAACCACTCACTCACTAAAATGAGTCCATTTTCAAAAGCACATCATGGTTCTTTTCAAATGTTTGAATATTCCATTTTTCATCAGACTGTTCAGACTGACGGCCCAGAGCTTCTCAAGACTTTTTTTTTTTTCTTGAGATCTCAGAAAGAGTTCATCAGGCATTCTTTTTTATTCTTCACTATGTTTTGCTGTCTTATGCAATGCAGAAAATCTTTGCAAACATTTCAACTGGACTGTTAAATGTTTTGAAACACAGTTAAAGTGCCAGACTGAGCTGACTTTGAACAAGACGAGCTCGTGGCTCACTGTTTTTTATCAATATGTGCTGCCAATTTTAAAGAATCCAAGATTAACTCAAAGAGGTGAATATACTCTACCTTTTTTAATAAAAAAAAATTCATACCACAAAACACCTTTTTTTATTTTCCCAAGGAATTACCTGACATGTTGATCACCAGTTCATGTTTGCTGTGAAGGTTGACCCCCTTCTCTCTTTACTGTGACCTGCTGAACACACTGCTTTATAGTTTGGTGTTAGACTTTCCAGGACAACTGGTCACTTCTGCACTGCATCCCTCCCTCCATCCTCTGCAATATGTGCAGTGTGATGCAGCCTCTCTCCACCTGTGAGAGGTGCCAGTAGTTACTCAAAAGCCTCCCCCTGCTCCTCATCTTTTCAGAGTGGCACACACTCTTGCTCAGACTCCCTACCTTCTCCCATCAGTGTACCGACTATTGCAGAAGAGGCCCTTTGTCGGCTATGTCCCCCACCCTCTTGTTCTACTGAGGCAATGATGTCACACCAGCTTAGTTTCTGCAGCTTTATTCATGCAGCATGTGTTGGATATTTTTTCTGTTCAAGGTGAAATTGTAGTTACCTTCTCTGCCCAGTTGCCAACAGCAACACTTCCTCAGTCCCTACTATAAAAAACAGGTTATATTTTAATATTTGCAGATGATGTTTGCTCCATCAAAGAAGCACCCTCAGAAGCTGCCAAGGCAGCTTGTAGTGTACATCTACATGCACAGTCCCTATCTTTCAAGCATGGACAAAACTCTAAAGGAAAAGACAGTCACCTTTTTTTACAGATGGGACAGGACAAGTTTTGGCAAATGGAGAATCTAAAGGCCTTGTGTGTTGAGATGGATTGGCAAAAGTGTTGCATGCAGGGGAAGCCGAGAATGGCAAAGCTTTGATTTGCCTCAAATATATTCCAACACCCAGAGTCATTAGCCTTGGGTTACAATCACAATGAGTGTCTTCTTCAGAGTGTCTGAAGTTACCCCTAAAGACAGAGTATAGAGAACACCCTACAGCACACTGAGTACAGCTGCTGTTCCTTCACGTCTATAAGAGCCTGTTGAGGTGGTTTAGGCAGCTTTCTGGGTTGCCTCCAGGGTACTTTTGTTTGGACATTTTCCAAATGCCAACTGGTGGAAGACCCCAGGGTACGCCCAGAACACACTGGAGGGATTTCACATCTAATTCACATCATTGGTACCTTGGGGATCTCCCGGGTGGGAAGCAGTGTCAGGGATGGGGGGCATCTGGGCAAGCTTACTTAGCCTGCTGTGATCAAGTCCATACAAGCAAAGGTAAACTGATAACTGGAAACAAGTCATCCTTTCTGTCTGAATTTGGATTGGGGGAGGTGTTGTCTGTATAAAGGAGAAATGAGCTAGATATGGTTACTGGGTAGCAGGATAACTAGGACATAAATGTACAGTGTTTCTTCCATGATAGACAAGTACACCTTGAATTCAGCTCTCAAAATCAGTGCACCCTTCTCGATTTAAATGCACATTACTTGCAGGGTGCAGGTTCAGAATGCCCATGATGAGGAGGACTTACAGAGGGATCCAGGCATCCAGCTGCTTAAATGGACTCAGGCCCAGAGAAGTCACCAGCATTTTTGGACCAGATTTACATAAACATGGTTTTCTCTTTGCATGTTTTGACCCGCATTTGTGGAAGTCACAGTCAGTGGTTCTTGGACGTGATTTTAAGTCCATGCAGTGATTTCCACTCCAGAGTTGTGTCAGCTTTTAATGCAGGGCTACCTGATGGAAGCTCAAGGTCATTCAGTAATGATTTTCAGCCTTGTCTCTTCTGTACTTCTGAGCACGGTTTCGTGTACTGCAAATGAAGAAATCTCCCAAATCTTTTGCAGTTTTACACTTTTTTTGTGAAAATGATTAACTATTTGTTTACAGTCTCTCAAAAAGTGCTGAACCTTACTTCTGAGTGCTCAGCTCCTCATAAATGTCTTCTTTTTAATTCAGCCACATTACTAATATGATTTCCCAATATTATTTTAGAACAAGTTTTGTATTGTTGTGGTCTTGATGCTGGGCATATTCATCTTAAGGCTTTATTCATATAAAAGACAGCAGGACTGTGTTGAGAGCTGCCTCAAACCAAGGTTGGTGTTATTGTAAATCAGCCCTGTCTACCTTTCTCAGTTAGTTTGATTGTAGAGGATTTAGCATATACCCTCGAGGGAAACCTTAGAATAAGAGACAAATAGTCATTATGTCAATTTTCCATTCTGATTGTGCATTTGAGATAAAATACTAACATATCACAGCTTTTCATAAATGTATGCTATTTGAATATTAAAGACTTTCGAGTTCAGGGTTACAGGCCAAAAAGTTTTTGAATCACTTATGTGCAACATGAAGTCTGTATGAATCTGCCTTGCTCTCTGATTTCAGAGGATCTCTTAACCCTGACCCTGTCCAGGTAAAGCACAAAAGGAAGCTTCCACTGTGTACTCATGTGCTCTCAAGTGCTGTGTTGAAATTGTTTACCAGAATAGCAACGTCTCTTTGCACTACTTTCTCTTTTCAATGTCTTGTCCTCGTGTTTTTTTTCTGCCATGTCCTAGTCTCTTTGATCGTACAAATGAATTTTGTCTGAAACATTTCACCATTGGCTCTGCTTTCTTTTCCTTTCCCCTCATTTCCCCAAGATTTGCTTGCTTTCCCATGCCTGCTGAATGATTCAGTTTAACCATATTACTCCCATGGATCATTTTCACTGTGTATAAGCAGCGGGGCCTCCTAAAAGCAGAAGGCGACAGCAGTGGGATAATACCCACCATCTCTCTCTCTCTCTCTCGCTCTCTGTCCCCCATCTCTGCAGAAAAGGACTCTTGTCTCCCCAGCAGTCTGCAAGGCCTTTCCTTCCATATTCTCCCCCCATCCCCTCCCATCTCCACCTCCTCTGTTGTCCCCTTGCTGTTGTTATTGTCCTGGTTTGTGTGACGCTCTGATCTAGATGACTTCTGGCAACATGCAATATTCAGGGGATGCAAAGTACATGGTGACATTTTGCGCCCAAAACCTTAAATTTGTTCCCTTCCTACCCTTTCAAAATCCCATGCCAGGTTTGCATGTTCCCTACAGGGGGCGCCATTAGTACCTCCACAGCAGTCAATATTGCATTACAACCTGCCTTTGATCCCTCTTCATGTCTCTTCTCCAATGTTCCTCACCTTAACTCCTCCGATCTATCTTTCTCTCTCTCCTCCTGTACTTTCTTCACCTTTTTCGTCTTGCACCTACATCCTCCTGATGCAGCTCAGGTGGAGGCAACTGCAGGTCAGACGGAGGTAAAAGCTGAACTTTGGTTGGTGGTTTAGTTTAAGGACTCAGCCCCTTCGTCTTAAGTGTGAGGGCTGTTTTGTCTCAGCAGTGTGCACCTCTTTGTGTCTGACAGCACACACTCACCAGGACCTCTGCCTCCCTCCTTCAGCTACAGGGGGCGCCAGTCTCTACACCATCACCTCCCCTCCCCCTACTCTCCTTACTTCTTCCTCTCCCCTCTCTCCTCCTCCTATCTCCCCCTGATGCCCGTCTCTCATATGCCCCCATCGCTCCCTCCCCCATTCTCCCTCACCCCTCTCCCTTCTCTCCTCATCTCATCTTCTCCTCCCTGACTCCCCCTTTCCTTCCCTCCCCTCTCCTCCCCTCCCCCTAGCTCCTTTCCCCATCCCTCCCCCTTCCCCCCCTTTGAAAGGCTGCTAAGCGCTCCTTCTGCACACAGCACTGCAGATGAGGCCTCCGCCTCCCCCACAGTCTGCCAGGCCTCTCTCTCCTCCAGCCTCCCCCACCATTCCTTCCCTCCCTCCCTCCCTCCATACCTCCCTCTCCCTCCCTCTCTCTTTCTCTCTCTCACTCCTTACAGCAGCATAGCAACACTGAATAGCCAGCCAAGAAGAGTCTTGTCTCTCTCTCTCTCTCTCTCTCTCTCTCTCTATCCCTCCCTCCCTCCCTCCTGTGCTGGGGTAATTTCCCTCCATTTTAGATTCTTCATCCCAGGGTGGCGCAGGATGGCATTTTAATTGAATATTGGAGGTAAAAATATATAAAGTGAATGTACTCATCCGATCCCACTCAATTTACCTGGAATGGAAGAACAGCATGACTCACTAAATGTAACTCAGTCAGACCCGATTGATCACTACTCTCAGAGTACCTTTCATCAAATAGTGCACTTCAGCAAAGGGTTAATAATCAAGCGTTCTATTTCTAACCAAGGCTTTTCTCCATCTGATCAGTAATACGCAGACAGCCTCCATTCAGTGTATCTGTGCTCCAGAACACAGGAGAACATACTGTATGCTTTCTGACAAACACATCACATATTCTGTTTCATCTTTTTGTGCACCTCATTGTGTGCCCAGACGCACCAACAATCAATCCAGGTTCTGTTAAAGCGTGCGGCTTGTTAAAGAATTCGGGGCATGAAACTGCTCATGGACACCAGGAGGAAATGTAGGTCTACGCATCAAATAACCTTTGAACATTCCGCTTTTTTATGAAAATGGTCTGCTTTAAGGGACAATCATCAAATACATTGGGTGGATTCAGGAAACACCTCCAAATAAGGCCAATTTGGGCCTCCTTGAGTTTGATGGAGAATGGGCTCAGAGTGGCTTTGGTGGATAGGCAAAAAACTGGTAAGCAAAAACACTGGCAACATTAACCAAAGGTGAGAAATGGACATACCAAGAGGACAAAAAACATGGACTCTTGATGGTCCTGATTTCATTTATAAGAACCTGTATGGAACCCATTTAAGTCATTCAACACAGGACCTTTATGACTAATGAACTTGGGCTGGACCTCAGTTTCCCTCCCACTCCATCCTCTTTCTTTCTGTCTGTATCATTAATTCTGAATCATCCTATCCTACTAGAGCCACTCATACACAGTCTTCTCTGGGAGTCACTGAGCTCCATCGTGTCATAGGTTCCTCTGGATCACCGTGGACCTGTCTGCTTTCCAGCTGCTTCAACTACATGTATCAATCTGACCTCTGTCCACCTCTCTCTTTGACCCTCTCTGCTTTATCATCTGTGCTTGTTTACATCTAAGCGGTAGAGCATTAAAACGTTATTACGGTAGCTGTTTATTGGAGCAGGCCAGTGGCAGCTGACGGTGCTACAGCTTAGACTATACACCTGACCGGTATTTTGGGACTACATTACTAAAAGGAGTTAATTAAACTGCACATAATCGAGAGCTATCCTGTTCATGTTATGACTGCTTTACGTGTAATTTCTGTTCGATAACATCCTAGTGTGGCTCTATCTTAGGGAGATAATACTGTGAAAGAACTGCAGCTCAGTTCTGGCTTCAGTGAATAGCTGGATATTCCTAAGGGTTGCTTTTGGTTGCTCTGAGTTCCACTTCCCACATGGAGATTTTCTTGTCAGTATGCATCCTTTACATTGGGATGTTAGAAGATTATATGCATTGATTTTACATATTTAAAGAAGTTAAGGTGAGTCCCTTCCTGGGTCGATATTCCCTGCTGTATTCTCAAATTACAAAGTAATTTAAAATCTCATTAAGATGTGCTGATGGATAGGGATGTGTCATGAAACCTAACACCTGATTTATAAATTAAATATCCAATTCCCTAATTTTATGTGTTCCTAAAATAAGATTCAATTAACTTGGGGTAAGGATCATTTTGATACATGGAGATGGCATACTTTACATTCTTTGTACAATAAATGAGAATACCATCAAACTTTGTTGTTACTCATGGACTTTGTAAAGGGCAGTACAAATGAAAACAATAACAGCACAGAGAACATGAAATGAAATTATACATACATATACATATTTTGAGGTCAAAGTAAATATTCATATATTTACCTTAAAGGGATTTTCCGGCACACATTTAAGTTATGGTCAAACACAAGACCATAACCCTGTGAGAGATGAAAGTTGTCGCTTGCTTCTCTAGTTATACCAACTTTAGTAATGACCACAAGATAGCAATACACAGCTTTCCACATCCCCACACGCAAACCTCAACCAAAACGCCACTCTATAGCCACAAATAATGCTAAGAACAGCACCTAACCTCATCAACAGTGCATATATGGTCCTAGCCATAGTACTAGCCATCAAACATCTTTTTAGCTTTGCCTGGTTTCTTTGGCAAAGAGACTAAACACAACTCACCCACTCTCTTCCAGCAGCCGCCTGTTTGTGGGGGAGAGTGGGTGAGTCGATCAGCGAGTGCAATGAAAAAATTTAGGATCATTACTTAATGGAAATGCAATCAGACCAAGACACGAAGTCGGAAGAACTACCGCGTCTGAAGTGCAAAATGATTATTATGATCATTATTACTTCAAGGAAATGATCGGCTGTACTCGGTGATCAACTTGTCATGGCTCTCCCACAAACAAGCGGCTGCTAGAGGAGGGAAGCAAGCAGTCGGCAACACTCATCTCTCCAGGGGTTGTCTAACCTCTGTGTTATGGTGTGTTTGACCATGACTTAAATTAATGCCGGAATATCCCTTTGAATGGCTGTAAGCTTGAATTTGGCTTTTGTAAAATATGAGCTGAATTTGAAGTTTTACCCGTATTTGTTATCAGAATTCTTTTAAAAGAATTTTATTTCCAGAGATTTTTTCGATGAATTGTATGCTTCTCAGATGTGTGATGTCTTGACCTTGCCTTGTGTGAATTTACGACCTGCCTGTTTGATTTTGTTTCTTTGTGCTGCCTTTGTAAAGCACTCTCACTTGGTCAGATAAGCATATTGTAGTTTTAAGACAAGTTCATGGAGGATGTTCAAACTTTGAAGTTGCAGATTTTCCACACAACTACACTCCAACCTTTTGTAGCAGCTGCATTGTATTCAGTATCCCAGTAATGTTGACACAATCTCTGTTACAAACCGCAACTCCAGTGAGGATGGGAAGTTGTGTAAAATGTCAAAAGAATGCAGTGATTTGCAAATACTTTTCCACCTATATTCAACTGAATACAAAGACAACATTTAATGTTCAAACTGATAATATTTCGTGTTTTTTTGCAAATCTTCACCCATTTTGAACTTGATGCTGTAACATGTTCCTTAAAAGTTGGGGCAGGGTCAACAAAAGTCTGGGAAACTGCTCCAAAAACACCTGTTTGGATCCTTCCACAGGTGAAGAAATTCATTGGAAACCGGTAAGGGTCATGATTGGGTTTAAAAGGAGCATCCCTGAAAGGCTCAGTATTTCATAAGCAAGGCTGGGGCTAGGTTCACCACTTTATCAACAAATGTGTGAGCAAATAGTCCAACAGTTTAAGAACGAAGTTTTTAAATGTACAACTGCAGGAATTTAGAAATTTGATCATCTACAGTCCATAAAACCATCTCAAGATTCAGAGAATCCAAAGACATCTCTGCACATAAGCAGCAAAGCCCAAAGCCAACATTAAATGCCCATGACCTTTGACCCCTCAGACAGCACTGCTTAAAAACCCACATCATTCTGTAAAAGATTTTACCTCAGGAGGACTTCAGAAATCCATCGTCAGTTACCCCAGTTCATCTCTACATCTATAAGTTCAAACTCCACCTTGCAAAGACAAAGACAGATATCAACAACAGCAAGAAACACCGCCAGCTTCTCAGGACCCAAGATTATGAGAGATGGACTGACCCAAAGTGGAAAAGTTTTCCGTGGTCTGACGAGTCCACTCATGGATGTGGTTGCCTTCTGACTAAAGAGAAAAAGGACCATCTAGATTATCAGGTCAAAGTTTGAATGCCAGTATCTGTGTAGTTCTGGGGATGTGTTCGTGCCCATAGTCTCCCACTCCCAAGATGTGTGGCACATTATGAAGTGCAGAATACTTCAACGGAGACCCTGGACTTTTGTGCAGCTGAAGTGGTCCATAAAGCGAGAATGGGACAGAATTCACCTCCAAAGCTTTCAGTGTCCTCAGTTCTCAAACACTTGAGTATTGTTAAAAGGAAAGGTGATGTAACACAGCAGTAATAATCATGACCCTGTCCCGGCTTTGCAGGAACATGCTGCAGCCATCAAATTCAAATTGAGTGATTACTTAGAAAACTAAACTAAACTAAACTAAAAAAGAACAAAGTTTATAAGTCTGAACATTTAAGATCTTGCCTTTGGAGTGTATCCTACTGAACAGAAGTTGAAAGGGACTTGCAAATCATTGTTCACTGTTTTTATTCACATTCTACACAACATCCCAACTTGACTGGAATCGGGTTTGCACTTCGAACAGAAGACTGGCATGGCCATAAGTTCAGTGTGAAGCACAATTACAGCACTTTATTGTTCATAAATGCTTAAAGTGGAAAATGGGAAAAAAACAAATATGCACAATTCAAAGAACACATATTGAACACAATTCTCTTTTTGGAAAAAAAAAAAGGCTTTCACATCTGTGAACGTCAGTAAGGTGGTAACTGTCCAGCCTTGTGGGCCAAATAAACTCTAGAATATGAAAACAGAGAACAGCAAGAACAGTAGAGTCAAGGCTAGTGAGCATAAGGCTGCAAAAGGATGATGAAGTGAAGCCAGTAGCCAGTATTCTGTCAGAACCAAAATTTTAAAAATGTCAAAATTAAAAAAATAAATCTAATCAAGTTAAGAGCAAAATCAATTCAATTCTATTATTTTATTTATATATAGATATATTATTTTGCAAAAAAAACTAAGTTTTGTCAAAAAATAAACTTAAACATGTGAAAAATTAATACCAGCCACCAAAGCAACACCTATCGTTAAGCATACCAATGTAGAACACATGAGGCTACCTTACACATAGGTAATAGCAAATATTTAAGGGTACATGTACGGCAACATGTGTCCAAACACGTCTAAAAGACTGTACAAATTTACATGACCCATCTCAGTAGAAGGAAAACCGATGGATTATCAGGTCAGCTCAAAAGCTTCACCTCACAATAAATCAATATTTGAGCCACTATTACAAGATTAAGTGGCTAAATCAACAATAAGAAGTCCTTATCTCAATGTAACAAAGTATATAGAAGGCAAAAAACTTTCTATTTGTTTGGTGTAACTTTGTTTTTTTTTTTCTTTGTGCCTCCCCTCACGCTGGAGAAGACACATTAAACCTTTGTTACAAATCTTTACATCAATCTTAGCTGCGTGTCAAGTCCTGCCTATGAATGTCATTGGATGGCTTGTTTTGAGTTGACTCAAATTGAGGTCTTTTATAACTCCTTCTCAAACACCCAGAATAACCAGGCTTTACCCTTCAGTTCGAGCGAGGCAGATTTGTTGGCATGGATCAAACCTAAAGTGTCTCTCTGACTGTGAGCCTTTTTTGATTTTGTCAGTCAGACCTGCTGCTTGCCCAGCGGGGCTCTGTCACTCCCACTTCGAGCAGATGATGGTACAAACTTAGGAATAATGATGGGTAGAGTGTCTCTCCCTTTAGCAGACAGTCCTGCTGAGCTTTCTGTGGGCCCGAAACCGTTCTCTACATGTTCACCCTCATCGTCTTCATCGTCATCATCATCTTCGTCGTCATCATCCTCATCGTCATCATCGTCTGACAAATCATCTAGATCTGAAACTATCTTAGCCCCTGTCCTTGACTCACTTCTCTCTTTAGCTCCAGTCAGCTGTTGGTTACCATGGAGACGTACAGCTCCCTCTCGTTCCTTGTTATCCCTCTGCTGCTCTTCCTCATCGCTGTCAGAGTCAATGGCAATGGGCTCAGAAAGGTCTAGAGGCATTTTCTGTGGTAAGGTGCTATTGATTGTCTTGGTTTGGTCTCTGCTGGCACTGTTGGGCTCAAGGGCTGATGAGGTTGCTTTAGTACCTTCCACAACTGGCTGTCCTTTTCTTGATGGGGCCATACCACCATTAGCAGCAACAAGCTCTTTATGTCTCTGCAGGGCCTGCTCTGACATCCCCACACGTGCTCTAGACGTCCGCCTCTTCCTTTGTCTGCCCTCGAACACGTCGTCCTGGTTGAGCGCTAACTCGTGTCGAACTTTGCTGAGTTCATGCATACTAAACCCTAGCAGCACGTTAGCATTTTGGGTTTCACATTCCTGAACACATTTCCTTCTTTTGTTGACAAAGTGGCTTGAGATGTCTGACTTCCACAGCCATAGGCTGGCTGCTAGCTTCTCTACCTCCCGCTGAGTGGGATATGGCGCTCGATTGAAATACTGTGTTAGAAATGCCTTTCTGGATTCATACGACTCGTTTTCATGTCCTTTGGGGTCAAGAGCCAGAGTTACAGGTTCATCAGCGTTATCTACAAATGACGGCAGACCATTATAATCCCTGGGGTGGGCTCTTTCCCCAGGGGGTCCAGGCCTCCTTCGTTTTGGTGCACTACTGTCAGAGCTATCAAAGCCGGGCCGTTTAAGAGAGCTGCTCTGGTTCTGGCTGACACGAGAAGAATGAGCAGCCCGGCTATCCTGCCCATTCTGGGATTTCCCTACACCTCTACAATGCACCAAGTGAAGCGTGATGGTAGAGGCAGTCATGTTGCTTGTATAAACCCCCAAGCAGTGAATACACTTGTAGGTCAGTTTCTTCTCCACGGGGTGGACTGTCTGAATCACCTGGTGCCTCTCTCTCAGGTGGTGGGCCAATGAGTCAGAGATCGGGCCCTTGAGGATCGAGAAACAAAGAGGACAAAGTGTCTTGCCTACATCCCTCTTGTAAGGCACAGATGCCTGAAGGATGCTCTTCGTTGGTGCACTGTCAGCAGTCGCTACAGGCGTTTTGGGTGGATGTGGAGGCATTAACCTCTTTCCTGATAAAAGTGAAGCAGACAAGGCTGATTGGACAGAGGTGGTGTTATTGTTCTGAGCATGAAATGCCACAGACTCCTCAGGGGCGTCTTTCATATTGTAGGTAGTGACAATCAATTGAACATTTTTGGGACTACCCTGTTGCAGAGTGAGGTCAAAGGTCAAGGGAGAATCTGTGCGTGGGCCAACGCTCTCATCTGGGTGGGACAGCCGCATATGGGCCACCATCTTCTCAACGTCATTGAAGGTCGCACGGCAGTGTGGGCAAGACAGACCGTGGATTAACATGTGGTTCAACAGCGTGTCACTGGGGAGATAGCGGTTGCAGTAGAGACACTTGCTGGTAAAGTTGTGGATTTTCATGATGTAGTTGGCCACAGCAGGCACCTTCTCTGCTTTGTGCTCCTTCTCAAAGTGAGAACTGTACACATTCTCTGGGAAGAGCTCGTTACAGATGGTGCAGATTTTCCACTTTTGGGTGTAAGAGGTGCCAAGAACTGAGGAGCCACCTTTCTTTGCAGTGACAGAAGCTACCGTAGTAGCTGCTGCTTGGACACGGGAACCAAGGGGGTTGGATTTGAGAGAAGAAGAGGCACTGACCACGACTTGGCCCCGCAGGTTTCCACCAGGAATAAGCTGCTTTGCTGCATGGGACTGCTGGGGCATAGAGACCTGGGCATTGCCTGGTAAAGTAACCCTAACCTGCTGGTTGCCAACAGAAAATGGTTGAGTGTTCCCTGCTTTTAATCTCACTGCATCGTGTTTGAGCCCGGATAAAAGACTAGAGTTAAAGCCTGTCTTTGATGGGATGACAACTCGACCCAGCTGCTGTGTGCCAGGTGGTCTGGTAGCGGCCATTACAGCACCCTTAGGGCCCATCCCAATGATGGTTTTGTCCCCCTGGGTTTTGGGAGGGATCATGAGGATGGGTTTGGGACGGGGGACTATCACACTGGTGTGTCCAATCATGGCAGTCACCTGGTAGCCAATCCTCTCATGATCCTCGATGACGTGTTGAACCAGCGCCTCATAGGTCCTGGGGACAAACAGACACTTCTTGCAGTGAATCTGGTTACTGTTAACATTGTTTGTCTTGGCCTCTGTATTCCCTGGGGCTCCTGCTGTGCCTCCATTCTGAGCATTTGTCTTCTCTCCTGGTTTTGCAATGTAGGGCTGGGCTACTTGCTGGAAGTGTTCCCGGTAGATGTGCTTTCGCACCACATTGTACAAAGGGTCCCTGTAGGTGCACTTCTTGCAGTAGTATACAGCCTGTTCCACGCTGTCCCCAGTCCTCTTCAGCACCCCGTCCTTCATCATGATCCCTCCAGCTCCTGACACCATTCCACCAGTGCCCTGACGCACAGCACTATTTGGCATATGGAAAAGTTTGATGTGTGTTTCCAGAGTCTTCTTGTTGCCATTGTAACAGCAGTAGGGGCAGTTAAGCAGGATGTTGTTCTCAAAGTCCTCGCTGTGGACGTTGCGGAAGTGGCTCTTGTATGCAGAGAAGTACTTTGATGAAAAGAGGCAGCCAGAGCAGCAGAAAGGCTTGGATCTGTAGTCCTGCAGACATAGGCATAACAGTCTTAGACTCTACACATTCTTAAAGAGTGTCTTAATGATATCACTGAACCTTTTTCACATTCTTTTGCTGTCTCAGAAACTTAAGATTCAAATCTTCTCACTGTAAATCTCTAAATATTGATGTGATAGGTGTATATTAAGGATATCACAAACCTGGACTTTGGTATGTGAGGGTTCCCACATGCACACATCCTCCCAGGTAGTGTGCTTTATATACACCTCTGGAGGAGTGAAATCTTTGTAGTCCTAAACAACAAGGAAATGAAGATTATTACTTGACTATGACGCAAACAGTTCAATCAAATAATCCTGAGAAAACATTGAAGACATTAAGAGGTATTGGCTGAGTCTTGGTGCTTTGAAGGGAATCCAGGCTTCTTGTATAAGTTTGTTAAAACAATAAGGTGTCATGGTGCAGTTTCACAGTTCAGTGCATTGGGTTTGAGCTCAAGGTTGGATGCAGCAGCGCCGCTAGTAAAGAAAAACAGATTACAAACATGTATTCAATGAAAACAACTAACACTGTCAGTGCGGTCATGTCATAAGAGTGAACAGAATAACTCCAGTTCAAATAGCTCTTAATGGAGCAGAGCTTTCATGCATCGTGTACTTAAATCTATTATCTTCTCTTTTTTTTGTTTCTGTACTGGCTAGAATCTGCAGTGACAGGTGGCTGGAACATTGATACACCCATAATGTGGTTCTAAATGCCACCAGAGGACCCTCCAGGTCTGAAGGATCCTCTCTGCTTTTTGTTTGCTACTCAAAGACAGAGACACTGCATGAGCTTGGCTGACTTGGCTAACAGCGTGAAGACGGGCTGTACCATTAACTTTATTTTTTTTACTGCAAATGCTGTAATTAACCTGCTCACACGACACACATGCAAGAAGAGAGAAGTCAGCCAAAAGAGAAAGCTACATCTGAGGGTGAAACACTTCAGCACTCCGTATGATGGCCGCCGGCCTGACAGAAGCTGGCACTGTGGCACCAGGTACTGTGTAGAGTCTGCCTGACAGGGCTGCACCACCTACTTCGAAAAAAAAAAAAAAACACCGCCACAGAACTGGGTGGCAGTTGCACGACAAAAACGCTGACCATCAATGTGCCAAGTTAGCCAACTACCATCTGACAGGGATCACTCGCCAAAGTGTTTGAAAGTGTAACTTTGTAAATGGCAAGGGGAAATTAGCAGAACTGAAAACAGCAAAGTCTTTGCTACCACTACTCACATGTTTCAAATATGGTGATGGCAGCACAGCTTAATGCACCAGGCTGCAGGATTTGGGCAAAGATTACATATTGTCACTGGTAAGTTACTATCTTGTGTGTTTGTATGCGTGTGTGTAATGAACAGAGATTAGGAGGGAGAGAGAGAGTGTGTGTCGGTGTTTGAGAGTGAAAGCAAAAGTCTGTGTGTAATGCTGGGAGCCTGATGTCACACAACTTAAAGATACCAGATTTAAACAGATTTTATGGGAGTATTCAACTGCAATCCTGATATAGGTCAAAAAAAGGTTATTCCACCTAATAACTTCTAAACTCATTCAGCCCGAATGTTCTATTAAGTGGACTAACCTGCCACAGTCTATGAGCACTGCTCTGACAAGGCCAGGTCAAACTCACTCTACAGTACTCACTAAACAGATTCAAGAGGAGGAAAGTGTGATTATTTTACCAGTATTTGTTCGGGTCACAGGGCGTTAACAAACCAAGGCAATGGCATACAGACTGGATGGGAAAACAGTTCAAGATCTATACACACAATCTTGTGATCCAATGAGACATGTTCATAAATGGACACTAAAAGGTGTCCTTGCTAACAGCAGGCTACAAATTTTTAGACCTGCACAAACTTAGACTCGGGCTCTTTTGTTTGACTTACCAAACAAAAGACATAAAGTGCCTCACTTAATGACCCACTCCAATGAAAATCATGTTTTTCTTGTTGTCTACATGTTCATGTGGCATTTTTCTGAAGCTACAGGACATATCATGAGAAACATAAGAGCAAAATTGCATTTCTGAGTATTTCAAATCGCTGTGAATCTCTGGCACACCAAAACCGCAGGTTCAGACAAAGTTCAAACCTGTTTGATATGTGACCTTAAAAAAAATGAAGACACTAAATTCACCAAATCTGTTTGTGATTTCAAGCCTTGGCAATCATCATGTAAAAAAAAAAAAAAAAAAGAAATCTGCTAAAATAAAGATATGGTGTCAAAGAGTGTAATCACATTATAGTACAAGCAACAGTTTATAGACTATGTTATAAATCCTCCACATTTATGCAGCACTGCCAGGCACCCTGCTGCTGCTCCATTACTTCTCAGTGTGAGCCAAAGGCAAGGGCAATCCCATTCCCTTAACTGATCTGATAATTAAACTAGAAAATGTCCTATGTGTACACTGGAGCTACAGGTCACCCAAAAGAGACCTTTTTCAACCCTAAACTGAGGAGTGATATAATGCTGTTGAGGGCATTTCACACAGTTATGTACAGATAACTAATGGAAACTCTGAGCCCAGGAATACAGAACCCATTTTCCATGCAAACTTATCATGAAAAAAGTTGAGTTGTCTGAGCACGCTCACCTCTAGGTGATCTCTACAGAACTCCAAGCCAATGTCTCCAAGGACCTTTTTAACATTTTTTCTTGCTTTCCGCAGACTGCCCAAGTTATTGACAGGGAGCTGGAACATCCTGTCCACCTGGATTGAAAAGAAAGACATATACAGCATGTTATCAACAGAAGCAGGGTATATTTGGACAGCTGTCTGTTAACTGAACTGCACCTCGGTTTGCTGTACTTGACTCCAACTCACCTGTTATGAAAAACAAGGATGCAATGATAACGTCACATCAACAATATGAAGAAAGTCTCTTTATAAAGTGCATAATGATGCAGCAGCATCATCTTTAAGAATGGTCAGTTGTGAATAATACCTCTGTCAGGGTCACTTTAATGTTTTGATGAATGATGGAAACACTTACACCTCACATCTAAAGTCACTCAAATTTACATGTTTACACATTCAAACAAACAGGCCAGCTGACATATAACTCATCATTGAGGTAAAATCACTGCTTGATAAAATGAATAGAACTTACAAACCAAGAAAAGGAACAGCTTGGCTGCAATAAGGCTTACTTTAACAATTGGTTGTAAGTGTTTAGTTATTAATAATAATGGAGGTGAGAAGACAATTAAGCAGCAAACACAGCTGGAGCACGCAGCAAGTACCTGGCATAATAACTGTACAGACCCTAACTGATCATCAGTGTGGATGTTCACATCAGTGTAGTTCTTGTTCTCAGAGTCTAATGCATTTGACACCTGAAAGAAAATCTGGATCAAACCCTTTTTAAGTAAGAAACACACTCCACAGATAGTTTGAGCTTCCTTTGACGGTAATGGGATTTTTTGGCATCAAGACAAGGATGTTTGACGAGTAAGAGGTTATAATGGTTTTATTCAGCCCCCAAAACAAATCTGACAACAGGTAACTGTCACATCTGTCTGAGGAGTTATGAGACTAAAAGGGATGAAGTTGCTCCCTGATAGATTATCTAGTCTATGCCCATGCTTTTAGTGAGGATTGGGGCAAAAACCAGCCCTGCATTAAAACATCACAGGGGGCTGCACTGTGGGGGATTGCTGTCTTAGGTATACCGAGACAATAAAAACACTCCAGCAACCCTGGTCTCAGAGATAGTTAAATGCATTAAATGATGCTTAATTTCTAAAGCTGAGCCCAGTTCAATATCTTTGATCTCTGGCACTATTTTTCTGGTAAACTCAGACACCAGCATCAATGAGTCCAGAAGGCCAGATGTTTTAGTAAAATACATTTTAATGTACATCACAAGCTGTGCTACAATTGTTTATTTACATAAATGTGTGTTATCTACATTTACAACTATAGTTACATGGATGCTAAATCTGACTATCAGGGCTGTGGATGGACTGACTTTCCAAATTCAAGTAAGAGATGGATATAAACAACAGGTGCAGATAAATCAAGGATATGCGTTTCAAGGTTAGATATGAATTTTCTACTAAAAGACTCAGACCAGGCCTGTGACTGTGGATGGACTCAATGTTGTGCTGTACTGCTACAGTAAGCCACTTTCGGCGCAGATGTGCATCATAATAGTTTTAGCAAAGACCTAAAGGTAATTCAAATCTCAGGTCCTCCTCTGGACTAATAAATTGGAGCTCACCACACAGCATTCATAACATTTATAATACTGCATCATTAGTTATTGTGAACTCTTACAGTGGTTATCTGATCATCACCATCATATGTGTCTATTACAGTGGGGATAGGAAGGGCAGAACATATGGATAGCCTGCTTGTTAACTCAGCGTAGACAGTGTCATCTCTTCAGAACTAAATACATATCAGACCACTTGCTGTGCCATGGACAATAAAACTAAGACAAGCCATTAGCTGGTCATCATGCTGCCATCAAGTCTTGATCCTAAAAAACAATTTCAGCACAGTGGCTCGTGTCAAGTGTAGTTAACAGTGGGAAGTTGCGTTCCTGTGTCTAAGTTTGTGTGTGTGTTTGCCAGCCCATCCCTGTGGAGGTCAGAGATGCAGACAGCAGAAGAGCCAGAGAAGAAGTAGCTGTAATATTTGCCCATTAAGCCAAAAAAAGCCCTCTGATATTACTCACCAAACTGGGAATCTGCCTGAATTTTTTTTTTGGATTCTGGATTATCCTATATTCTATTTTGTTTTTCTGTATTAGTAATTTTTATTGTTTTATGTAAAAATCTAATAAAAGAAATCTACAGCCAAAACTTTTTAGCTTGTATGCTTTAAATACAAGATGAAGGGAAAAAAATGTACACATTGTGCTGGTCTACCTTACTGTACTGAAAATTTACCACACCAAGACTTGAGAACTGGGAACAGTACCAAAGCAAAATCGTTTCACCCAATTACAAGCCCACCTGTGACTACTTGATCAGAAACAGGATTTACTGTCTTTTACAGTCTGGGAGTCACACAACACCAGAAGAATGTCATGTAAAGATAAGTGTCTGTATGAATGGTTCAAGTGTGTGGCCACTGACTTGAACAGCACCAGAATAAGGTGTCACTGATGTCAAGATTATAATTACTTGCCTTTATTAAATTTACACCTTCCTCATCCATCCATATGTGTTCACAGACAGGTAATACCCAGACCTTGAATGCAGACTCTCAGTTCACGATGTACTTTGATTACTTCAAATTGTCCTGTATCTGTAACACGGATGAGGCAAACCTTCAGAACATTTCAGCTGAAGGTGAGGGTGAAGCGTGTCATGTTGAACTTGATTGGTAAGACAATTATTGTTGCACATGTGCATATATTTGTTAACGCTGATGCAAAGCATCACTGAGCTCTAGTCCAAAGCAGCTGGCCATAGGTCTCCATTCAAATCAGAGATCAATATGGTGAGGTCAAAGGTCACTGACGCATGATGACATACAGACAGCTCAGTCACAACAAACACCATGGTCCCAAACAGCTTGCGTGATCAACTCAGTATATTTCCTTCAAAGACGACACAGAAGAGAGTTGAAGAACTTTGTACATACACTGTCCAACAGACTGCTGATCTGATGAGGAGTTAGAAAAATTACGGGACGATTCTGTCAACGCACCTGTCTGTCTCTTTGTCTCACACATCTGCAGTCTTTCTGGCAACAGTCAGGGATTATGCTGGACATACACCCTTCCCACTTCCTCTCTGTCTTTCCTTCCTGCTTCCCCTCATTACTCATGGATGGCGCTAGAGAGCAGCACCATTATGTAAGCCTCCCTATACTCTGCCTGCCCCCTTTTTCTCCCTGCCTCGCAATACCATCACAGAATGGCGCCTCCTATTGAGTCAGCAGTAGCCTCTACAATATGTCTGCAGTGGAGGAGGAGGGAAGAGAAGGGGAGGAAGGGAGGCGAGGGGTGAGGGAGGGAGGCATGTTGGAAGGGGAGGGACAGAGGGAGCACGAGAGTTCAGCGAAGGGGGCGGGTGGGTGAGTGTGAGGTGTGGGGGAGTGTGGGGCGGGTGGGTGAGGGAGCCAGGAGGAAGGGTGAGAGAGGGGAGGGGAGCGAGGGAGGAAAGATAGAGGAGGGAGTGTGAGGGGAGAGATGAGAGGAAAACAGCGAGGGCAGAGTAGAGGAGGAGAGCGCGAGCGACGGAAGTGGAGGGGGGAGGGGAGGGGGGGGGGTGAGGGGATGGGGGAGGAAGAGAGGGAGGTCGGACGGGCAGGCTTAGAGGAGTGTAGAGGAGTGGAGGGGAGGGAGGGAGAGAGGGAGGGTGGCTGGGTGAGGGAAGAAGGAGGGGGAGAGAGAAAATGGAAGAGGGTGAGAGAAAGGGGGGCGATGGAGAGGCGCGTAGGGGAGGGGGTGGTGGAAGAAAAGGAGAGAGAAAAAAAAGCCAAGGAGAGGCTGAGTAGGAGAGAAGGGAGGGAGAGAAGGGATAGGAAAGGCAATAGGAGGCTGCTCTGCTGAGGGCTGCTGGCAGAACACAAGCTTGCCCCTTCAAATGTGCTGTGAAAAAAAAGAGAAAAAACAAGAGGCCTGCGAACCTTTAACCACATATTGCCTTATGAGCTTTCCACTGAAACATCATCATCACACATGGTCTATTTCAATAACGCATTTACACTTTTCCTTCAACATATAGTTATCTCCCATGGGTAAAACCTTCAGATGACATCTGAACTAAAAAGTTTGAAAGGCAAAAAACCCACTAAGGTTGTTTGTTTCAGGAGAGTCAACACCGGTCTGTGGCTCTGAGCATGAAGAAGAGGGCTGTCTATATGTGAGGTGTCAATGTGTCTATGGCTGATAGTGATGACCCTGATTACACACTTGGTGAAGACTGACTAGCTGAAAGCCCTTGGACCACTCACTAAGGAAGAGTGCCTCACAACTAGGGTTGGAACAAACGGTTAATAGTCAAGACTTGTGCAGTACAGTTATCTTATCCCTGGCCTCGTGTGTTCAGATCTATCAATCTGAAAATAGTAAAGCACTCTAAACAGATTTATCTTTCAATATTACTCCCCAAGTCACTGTTTAATGTCTACTGACAGTGGCACTTCAAACACTTTTCTTGCTGTTAACCTTTCAGGCATTTTGTTATAGATAGTTCACCAAAATCACATCATCTAACGATATTGAAACAACCAATTCGTTCTGGCAGAACTGCTGCATCGTGTCATAATCGTGAATATCATGAGTTTCGATACGATTCTAACCTCAAATCAAGACCACTGTCATCCAGGAGATGAGATTCAGTTTAACTTGGACTTAGTTATTTGAAGAAAATTACCAATTACAGTAAAGGTTAAAGGAATAACCTAGAGAAAGCATGTATTTGCTGATGAGTTTGAAGCACGAGTCCCTCAAAACAAACAGTACTGTCGAGTACAGTACAGTAATGTAGATGCGCTTTCAATATTCACAGCATTTTTAATGTTTACTCCCTGAGACTGAGGTTTGAGCTCCCACACGGCACAGACAAACTGTGCGGTGTGGTGGATCTAATTTCTGGTCAACATCTGGCAGTATCTACATGGAAAGCTTTGGCAGGGAGCTGCTGCCGATGACAAAGAATGGGGACACAGCGCGCTAAGTTAGCATGCTAAGCTAGCTAACTCGCACCCACAACATGGGTTGTCCGAAAACTAACACTACAATTGATTTTGTTGCTTGAACACAAAACACATGCTATTGTAATAGCTCAGAGATCGGTCAATCAACGCCAGGACACATAAAACGCTCCTGACTTGTGGAAATAAGTTATCTCATATGTACTTCACCACCACCACCACCCATCGCATCCCGCAGGTAGCCGCAGCTAACAGCAAACTATCTGCTTTGAGGTTCAGTCCTGCCGTATGACAGGCGAGTTTACCTGCTTTCACATCCAGCGCTCCCGTCTGAGTGAAATGTGTCACTTCAGGATGACAGAGGCGATGTACGGACACTTTCCCTTCCAGCAGATATCACGGTCTTTATCCTCTCAGGTGACAGCTAGCGTCGTTAGGCAACGTTGGGACCCGCCAGCCGGCCGTCGGTCTCTCCACACCGAACTCCCCCTCGCCGACACGGGCTGTCTTCTTCCCAGTGGTCGGCAAACGGGAACAGAAAGCCTCCGCCACTCATTAGACAATTAAATTGTCCATTTCCTAGTCGTGTGGGGGACAGACCTCTGTCCTCTTGTTGAAGACAGCTGTCGGCGTGATCACTATTTCAATAAACTGCCTGTGGTCCTTCTATTATTGCTTAGCAGCCGATAACGCTTTACCTATTCTCTTCACTGACAGACAATACACATCCAGCCTAGAAACTGCCCTATCCAAAATGGCGCAAATAAAAGGGGCGGAAGTGACATCCACTTGATTAGCATAAATAATCTTATTGTGAGATGCCTCGCGAGCCGGGCTCATTAAAAGTCTTGATTGGTCTGTTAATCAGCTCTGCCAATTAAGCCAGCGTCCCTTTAAAAATGATTTTCTCGACCCTCCAAAACTGCAGTAAACCTTTGGTGTCAGTGTGTCTGGTCTAAGGGGTAAACAACGCGGTGCAGCAGTTACCGGAGTCAGCCGGCAGCGGGCGTCCTTTCGAAGTAGGGCCGTCGAATTTGGGCGCATGCGCAGCTTGGCTACATCTGGCGTCCCCCGCCTCCCCTGCAGAGGGTCGGATGTGCTCTCACAGTGCCAAAGCACTCTTTTAGAGAGGCGTCGATAGTCGGGCCAACGGTAGGTGGCGCTGTACCACTCTGTATTTCTGCCAAACTGGCCGGGACTACTTTTCTGTACTGGGCCTGATGAGGCATCCACACAGCAACAGTATTTATGGGCCCTTTATCCATGATGAAACTACATGATATGTCAAAATATTGGCTGCTGCTCCCTGGGGTTTTGTTTTAACCTTCCTATCCACTCCCCTCATCATCATCAGCAGCAGTAGCAGCAGCAGCAGCATTACTTTTTAACAAGGCCTAAAACTACAGTGCTAAAAAAATACAGTTACCTCAATGTCTTCTGTAAATGCACAAATAAAGAATGGGAGTCAAACTATATCATAAGCAATCCCCTCTAGGGAGTCAACTGATGCTCTCAAGGTTCAAATTTCCTACAAGTGCTTCAAAGAAACCCATCATAAAACAAATGAGCTTACATGACCATTGGCACCATTGGGCCATGGTGCACTTCCCTGTTTAGTAATCTGTCATGCAAATCACCTAACTATTTGTTGAAGAAGGAAGCCGATTTATTAAAGCTCCTGTGAGAATTTTTTATATAAATGAAACTGACTGAAACTCATATTGATGTCTTTGTATGAGTCACAAAAGCAAGCAAGACCATCAATGGAAAGAGTTACAATTTTTTTTAACATCTGAAACTGGTGAGAGGGTGTAGGTGTCAGCCTGGTAGCTGGAGAGAGCCTGTTTTTACACTTTCCACATAAAATATTTTCAATAAATGAAAACATTTGACAATCAAAAGTCAGCAGGTTAAGATTTTTGTCAGATACTGTCAGGGCATGTTGGAGACACAATCAGCGAAGTCCTCTTTGTCCACGGAGGGCGCCAGAGTTGACGCACAGCAAAAGTTCCTCACAGGAGCTTAAAATGTTGTCACTTTCTTGTATTTAAAATTGATTTACTCATATCTCACACTTAGCTGTACTGTGGATAAATTGTTGCAAAAGTTACCAATATTTTAGGATAATGTACCATTTGATATCAAATCATATTTGCAATGCAATTCCCACTCTTGCAGATACTAATTAAGCTAAAATAGCCATATTTAGTCCATTGTGTACGAAAAAATCATGATTTAGTCCACTTTTTTAGATTTATTTGAATTGACACCATTTGTCCATCAACACAAGATCATGCTGCGTTGGACAACAAACCAATTTCACCCTACATGACTGACAACAGGTAAACTGTAATTCTCTTTGAATGGTGAACATTAAATTGAATCTCTTTCTCTCGCTTTGGGTTGAGGATTAAGAGAATATGTGTAGTTGTCAGAGTATATTAGACGCAACTCTGTTTATCCTTTTGGGAGTTCCAAAATATGTGTAGTTGTCAAGTCTCTAAGCAAAGCTCCAACATACATCAAGGTGCAGCTAACTACATGGAAATCACTCCATCAGTTAATCTGAAAAAATGTTTACAAGCTATTACTGTTGACTTCTGCTACCCTGGCTCTGAGTGTATCACTCAATGCTCTGGTGGAAGACTGAAGATGTGGTTGTAGTTGCACACACAGTTTAACAGAGGCAAATAAATAAATAAATAACCTTCACAAAATGATCATATTCAATTGATATGGGTTGCAGGTCATCTTTGCAGGTAGTTTTGATAAGTTTCTTTTTGGGTTCAAGTGTTTCAAATGAAAGACAATCAAAGTCAGCAGAGCAAACAATAAAAACTTTTTATTTTATACAATCACAGATAGACTGTTTTTAAACCTGTCCAACATCTGTATTCGTACAGCGTTCAGACTGCTGTCTAGGCTGGGAATGATGACAAACCATGTGCTATGTTCAAAATAACTAAAGATGTTGGAATGTAAAGCACCATGTTTCTTTAAGATATGGGATAGTAACTAACAGAGTGCTTTTCGTGCCTCTTGTCACTTGTCATCATGTCACTCTCTTACCATCGACAGGCTGAGCTTTTATCCTTCATTACAATTCTGATACAGCTACTTTGTTCGAGACAGTGACTGAAAGATGAAAAGAAATGCTAAAAGACTGTGTCGTGTCCACACAGTGATCATGTTGTGGCGAACAGTGTGATCAGTCCTTTTACAAATGACACAATCTCATTCCCTCCAAGTTTGGACTCTCCATAAACCCGGTCCACGAAGGAAATGGGCACCTGTTGTGAGGAGACGGAAGAAAAGAGACGTTGTCAGGTAATGGGAACAATTACAGGGAATAATGTGTCCTCCCAGATATTGTTTCATTTAAACCTCTTATGAAACCAAAAAGAAGAAGAGTGAATGTCTTACTCCAGACAAATTAACCAATGAGACCTGACCTGGCTAATTTTTAGAGTGACAGTCCGTTTTTCATTCCAGTCCAGATTTGAGGTCAAACTTTAGAGGTTATGAGCCTAATGTCTTAAACACAGTGAATTTACCCTTTTTGGGCAGATTAAACATAGTAACTACCAAATCTAAACCCAGTGTTGATTTATCCGATTCAAGCGCATATTGTGGTTTTGATGAAAATCCTGGTCTGATCTGTGGCTCGGATTTAGAGTCCTCCAACTGACATGCTAAGACCACACATATGCATCACCGGGGTAACAATAGTTTCATGTACACAAGACCTGTATGACACAGAGAAAGCAACCAAACTTGAACTCCTGAAAGCACAAATTCTTTCACATCAACCATGGATCACTTGACATCAGTGAGTGATCTAACCCTCTTTGGAATAACACTGATTATAGATTTTGTCCATGCACTCCTGCACATTTCTGAATGTGTAACAGTTTTATAAGGAAATGATAATAAAGATAAACTGTATTTCATAGAAAAAGCACTCTGAAGCTGTGTTCTACCTATATGTCATGTTTTCAGACTACAGTGGACTTGTGAATAAGGACTTACAACTGATTTGAAATGCAAAGTAATGGCCTTTTTAAAGATGAATGTCACAATGTTATTAATGGCAAATCAAAACTTTGACCATCCGACAGCTCCAAACCCAACACAATTCATCATCAACACAATTCATTCTACCGTCATGGAGGAGTTCACACAGTCTTCATGGTAAAATTCACCATTTTTCAGCTGGGAGACTGTTGTTAGTGACAATGTTGTGGTGAAGAATACTGAACTCAGATTTCATAATAATCAAATAATTCAGTCAGAACAAAAATGAAACTGCATTTATGAATTAAATTGACTGAAATGATAATAAATAGGTCCTCACTTCTCCAACTGTGTAGTTGAGCTGTCTGGCACGGACAATCATTTCCATCTGGAAGACGTATCCTTTGGACACACACCGCTCCACCAGACTCTCCAGTACCTCCTTCTTATACAGCCTTGTGAAAGTAAAGCATCAGGGCAAGTAAGAGAGTGCACCTACATGGATTCACAATTTCAGCAGCATTGATTCCACTGCACACACCACTCACCTGAAGCTGCCCGTGAGATCTGAGGCACCAGGTCTCAACAACACTTGAGTCAAAAAGTTGGCCCCGCGACTGTGAGCAAAAAGGAGACCGAAGAAAAGAACAAAAATCAAACCTCAGGCTCTTTCCTTTAAAAATGAGTGTCTGTGGAAATTGAAGACTTTGTGCTGCTTTTGAGCTGCAGTTACCTGATGACTTTCCTGCGTAGGTCCCAGCCATACACACCTCCGTTCCCTTTATATCGAGTACCAGACACCAGGTCGTAATTACCTTCTTTCTGCTTCCTGACAAAAAAAGACAAAATGATGTTAACTCAAATCTTCCTCCATGCACTATTCATCTAACTAAAACTGTAACAGTTTAAACATATGAATCTTATATTTTCAAAATCAAGGTACAGGCATAAAAACAAGAATCAAATGACAAATTATAAAAATTTAGAGACACTTACTCAATGAATTCTGGGATAAATTTCGGCTGAAATAAAAAACAGAGAAATAATTATCATGCTTTATAAAGAGAAAATGTTCAAAGCTATATTTCACTACAATGTAAAAAACAAACAAAAAGAAATTCTATGTAGTGGCGAGGAAAACCTCATCTTCACATACTAGCGCTGATGTAAGTCTAAGAAATGGACTTAAAAACCTAAACGAGGCAATTTGAAATCCAGCACACAAGTGCAAATATATCAAAAACACATTTGTTCAAATGTGTTCTAAATACATACCAATAATTGTATACCAGCAGCTGTGATATAAATAGATGAAATAAAGATAAATACAACGCACATGCCCCTGTACTCATTTATTTCACATCCCTGGTTACGCTTTCCCCCTGATGCCTTTCAGCTTCCTCAGCTTAATCAATTAACCTCTTGCAATATGAATAAGTGATTCTTTATTTGTCTGTTCTGCTCTGGAGGTGTCTAGACCTCTGACCAATTGAGAGTGACTACAGCTCCACTGAATGTGGGTGACATGTATCCTTACAAATCTTGTCTGCCCTCACGGCTGACCTGATCTCATATAGTTAGTATAGGTCAGTTTACCCCATGATTTCCTACAAGGCTGTACAGTTTTAGTGATGACCATCCTGGCACACAATACAATGACAAAGTAAACTCAATATCAGATTTATATAATAAAGTTTTACTCCTGATGTCAATGTTAGAAAAAGGTCAATGTCCTTTATTGTTCATCAGAAAAGCTGATTTTCTGATAAACAATGAGCTGGTACAATGTTTAATGTATGTTTCCAAATAGCTATATTTAGCATATTTTGTCACTACTACTCTATTAATATTGTTTATTTTATTCTAGTCTAGTGTAGGTTCTTGACAGGAATACTGTTGCTTTATTCCTGTATTACTGACAATAAAGCATTATGGGGAACTACTTGTACATGAAAAGCTTCTTGCCAATTATAATATTGGGAGAGTTTTATTCTGAAATGCCATGATTCCTTTCAGGCTCTCAAATATGGGGATTTCTTAGTCTGATGCAATATGACTCAAACATCTTAAAGTTCAAACTGCTGGTCTGACAAAATTAGAAATATGAAGAGATCTTTGCTGCAGGTCACTGAAACTTAAGATTTCAATTTTTCATATTCCTCAAAGCAAATAATGAACTAAGTGAGCAAAGAACTACCAAAACAATCAATGAGTAAAGTGATTGTGAAAAACCAAGAATCTGCTTCATGTGCACATCTATTCAGGGCAAACAATGTGACAATTTCCACTCACATGATGGGAAAGATCTGCATCCATTATGATGATGAAGTTCCCAGTAGCATGCTTCATGCCATGAATGTAAGCAGTACCTTTGGAAAGAAAATGTAAAGTCATTAACAGCTAGTCAAAACAAGTGGAAGGTATAGTTTTTCAAAGCTTCATACTCACCTAGACCTAATTTTTTGGCTCGTGGTCGTAAGAGCTGTGGCACAGGAAAGAGGTATTAGGATAACGCATACAGATCATAAAAGCTTTCGTTCAATGGGGCTTTAAAGCATATCTTCACAAGGAAAATTATAGGAAAACAGTCAGGGGCTCCATCAGAAAATATCGTAAAGTCTTTTAATAATATGTATCACTCAGTATTCCCTTTCCTAGTATTCAAGAGACCAAAAACTGTTTAGGCTTTTAATGATAACGTTACACTCTTAACTTACGATTTTATCCTCTCCATAAATCTTCTGTAATTGCTCTGCCACCTCCAGTGTGCCATCTGGGCTTCCATCGTCAATGACAATTATCTCGTAGTTGTATCCACTGCAAATAGAAAACACTTAAAAAAAATCTAAAGGCTTACGACCTGAAGTTACCAACTATTATCACCCCAAACTAGTTTAACTAGTCAAAATGAGCTCGTTTCCTAAAATCAACCCGTCTTTGTTCAATAAGACATGAAACCAAAGGCTTAAACTCTGGTTCAGTGACAGCTCATCAGTAACTGGCACAGCAGTATCATTAGCTAACAGCTAACAGCAGCTGAGTGGCTTTCCAAGCCGCTAAAAACTCACCTTTCACCGAAATATTTCACCAGAAGCCAGACTATCAAAGGCAGGTTTTCCCTTTCGTTGTAGGTTGGTAACAATATTGAATATTTGTCAGATTTATCTTGTTTTGAATGTGATGTTTTTCGGCTTGCCATGGCGACAGTTCTTAAACTCCACGGATAAGGTTGACTCAATGTCCCATAACACCCTGCGTGATATTTTCAGAATAAATCAAATACCAGCGTCCCTGTTCTTAAATATTTAAAAACAGTAGCTTTTACTAATTTAAAAGCAACTGGAGAAAAAAAACTTGAATCGCAATGCATGTATAAAACAAACAAACAAAATTTAAAAAGTTATGGTGGCATTACATTACTGTACAATTGCGTGCACAGCATTGTGTCATGGTTTGACCCACCTCGACAATAATAACATTTAGAATTATTTAATTGATCTCCGCAAAACGTTTCCACAGACTGTATAAAGTCAATGTTTTTTTTACAGTCAGGTTACTTGTTTTTTTCCCCGTTTATCATATGTAACGAAATCGACCGTGTCTGTGGCAATATTTCCCCACGTAGAGGCAAGGCAGCTGTTCTTCTTTAAAAGCTGTTTTGTTTTTATGTAGAGCCCATTGAGTTGCCTTGGTATGAAATGCGCTATATACATAAATATGCCTTGCCTTCCCTTTCTTGAAATGCAACGTGGTTCGCGTTTATTTTGTAATACAATGCCTCGCGTCTTCAAACCGGAAATTGTATATATCAATTACGCTAGCTTGATTGTGTGCGCTTCAGAATAGATACCAAAGAAACACTTGCTTGTTATCTAAGGTTCCGACAAATGAATTTTACTATTTAATGTTTTATTTTCTATGTCTTACCCGACAAACATGATTTCTTCAAAAATGTTGTTTAAATTAAGTTTCTGCTAAGTTGTTCATTTCTAACCTTTTTTTGTTTTTGAAAGAAATGCTTTGTTCATGAATTGACTGCTTGGCACATCACAGCACATCATTGACCCTGAATCATTAAATGGATCAGCCAAAGAAATTACAACTTTTAGCTCTCTATTCCTGTCGTAGGGATAAGAGACACCTTATTCTATTTGTGTGTGCCTGGAGAAGAAATTTTCTTCTGCTCAAAATAACAAACTTTTCATGATAAAGTGGCCCCTCAAAAGAGCAATCAGTAAAACAGCCTCAAACTTTTGAATTGATTGATTGTTAAAAACTTGTTAAAAGATACTCATGTTTAGAAAATAACACAGTCACTACATTTAGGTGTCCAATCTCTGGAGACAGACCATTACACTCTTTAAGATGTGTTAATCAAAGTTTATTGACAAAAAAATGTAAACAAAAAAAATACATATCATACATCTCTAAAAAACACTATCTCTCTTTCACATACAAATGCACTCACAGCACACACACACACACACACACACACACACACACACACACACACACACACACACACACACACACACACACACACACCATGTCAATTTTCTCCACCCCTTCCCAAAAGAAATCTGAAAATGTAAACATGACTTTTCAATAGGAATAGTATAAAATATCATACATGAATAACTGCATACAGTATGTATATAACTCCACAGACATTCTCACAGTTTCATTTACACCATGGAAAAAGGACACTTTTACACCATGGATATACTTTTTGATTATCACTGAGGCAGTTAAGGTTAGCAAATGCAATAGGTAGAAATGTACCATCGGTGGCTAAACTATTTGGCATTGGTACAGTGCATGAATACATAAAGTCACAACAGGTTTCAGTGCGAATATGGTGCATAAGACAGCGCTTGGCTGATCCAAAAGGGAAATGATTGTTTCCACTTTTACACTATTTGTCCATCAAAAAGCTATTCTATTTTGGAAAGTTTCCTATTTCTTCTGACATCATATTATAGCCATACCTTAGGTCACAGAGCACTCAAACAAAATGAAACACAGAGATTCTCTCTCTTTGTTTACTTTGCTGGATCCTGGACAGCTTCACCTCCAGTCAGTGGCAAGTTCAACACACCAAACGTCTTCAGTCAAGCCTTTTGATCTCCGCTCCCAATCTGTCATTCAGCTCCGAAGGAACCATAGTCATTTCAAACAGATGTCCATCATTAAACCTGACAGATGTTTCCTGCTTCTTAATGTCTTCTTAAGGTTGGTAGCCATAATAGGGATCTTCTGAATTAAGGAGGCACACAAAACAAGAGTTATAAGAACATTGTACATTTTTTTTCAGTAAAAATGGCAGATTATCTAGAGGTTAAAAGTGGTAATTTTGTTTCCAATCTTCAGATTTTAGAGTTTATCATCTGTAGTTCAGCTGCATTTTCAGACCCCCGTCAAAGCACTGAGCCTGTTCAACATTGCACTGCAGACAGACACAGTAGAGATACCAGCTGGGGAACATAGCAGAAGATTTGGCTGCAACTGTGTCAGATTTTTACCGCAGGAGTCAGTGAAGGCCAGGAAAGAGCTAAAAGTACAGCAAACATTTGTTCAACTCCTCAGTTGAATACACACACACACACACACACACACACACACACACAAAAATCAAGTCAATGATTGTGTCTTCAGCTCTGTGTCTGCTGGATTTGTATTCAGCAGACTGTTTACGTACACAGTAACCTGATGCCAACGCTGCACTCTTATTTTTTCCTTTAGAGTGGATTTTCTAACGTTGAAAAAAACAAAGTGCTTCAAACTCCTCAGAACTTGAATGTTTTTTTATAAACAAATTAGACCAATTAAAGTTGGTGGATTTACCTGGTTGCTGACCTGGTTGCTGTGGAATTCCTCTGCAGCCTCCACTGCTGTCACACACACCCGGAGGCCCAACCTCGCCTGGCTGACCGGAAGGTCCAGGGATCCCTGGAGGTCCCTGCTTACCCTCATCTCCTTTGGTACCTGGGGACCCCAGCTTGGACTCACCTGGAAGACCTGCAGGCATAAAACACAACACACACACACACACACACACACACACACACACACACACACACACACACACACACACACACACACACACACACACACACACACACACACACATCATAACAAGACATAAGTGGGGGGGTGTTATAGTAGTGGCTGATGTCTGATCAGACAGAGAATGTACAGTGTTGCAGTCAAACATCCAAGTGAGAGATACCTGCAAATCCTTTGACCCCTGTGGGCCCCTGTATGTTGCTCCCTGCATCACCTTTCAGCCCCATCATACCTCTCCTTCCTGCAAAGAACAAAAAGGCAAACCAGTCCAACCAGAAGCTGAAAATATGACCTCCTTTGAGCCTCCAGGTTAGGTGGAGGTGTTTCATTTATCATTGCTGACATGTCGTGATCATTTTTTCACAAACACATTACATCCATGAATTGTCACACAGGTATTACAGGTGGACTCTTTTAATTCTAACAATCCATCAATCCGAGACTCTTACCCTGTTCTCCAGGGTATCCAGGCTTGCCCGGTCTCCCCCTTGAACCAACATTTCCTTGAGTGCCCCTGCCGCCAGGTGGGCCTCTGGGCCCTGGTATACCAGGTTCACCTGGAGGCCCCACTGGCTCCTCAATGGGAGTTGGTTTTCGACTTATCTCATTAATGTAACTGTCAAGCTTCAAAACCTCCTCTGAAGAAAAAAACACACAACTCTGGATTAAGTGATGGCACCTGGGCTGTTTTGAGTCAAAGAGTAAGCTCCATTTTGTAATGCCATTGATTTCCATGTTTTTCATGTGTACGTACTATGTACCAGTTGCTCACAGGCCTGTGTGACCAGTTGGTAGATCATGGCCATAGACTGAGGCTCCCCCTGTAAAACCAGCACATGAATTAAGTGAGCTCAGTACAGGTGCAAACCATAGACTGTATATACTATGGACAACTTATTTCTGCCTTCCGCCAGTATACGGATTTGAAGCCAAAAAGCTCTCAGTAGTTTCGCGATTTTTCTCCATTTTTTTGAAACCCATATTACGAAGTGGCGCTGTACACACTTCACCACTCGTGCAGTGGCATTCAGCAGGAGAGTTGCTGAGAGCGGCTGAGAGCGGCTGTGATGGCGCTCAGCTCAAACAGCATATCCCCCGGGTGAGCTACACAATCTTCTTATGCTCATAGGCGGTATCAAGCGTCAATCATGGAAAACATGAACCCCTAATAACTTTTAAAAATGGAGCAGTACAGTAAAAAGAGGACTTGAGCACAAACCAGTCTGACAGTAACTACATGTCAACTTTACAACCAGGGGGGAGAAACATTTATATTCTGTGTCATTAATTTATAAAGTTTGTCCACAGATCCATAGGGATTGCTGGAGGAGGCAGGATTTATGACTTATACTGCAGCTCGTCACTAGAGGGTGCTGTTCTCGGAGTGGTTTCACCCAGCAAGGAGGCAGACGGCATCTATTCTATATACAGTCTATGGTGCAAACACAGAGTGAAAGATACTTTCAAATGTAACATCAGCGTTACATTAGAAAACTGTGGAGCTATAACCCACCTTCTCTCCTCGCTCCCCTTTGTTCCCCGGCAGACCCTGTGCAGCAAAAGACACATGCATCAACTTTGATCTTTAATTTGAATTAATTGTAAAGACTAGAAGATTCCAGCACATCTGCCCATTCTGGTAGATGAAGTGTGTCAGGACCCCTCAGCCCCGAAAATCAATCATTTTATATATATGGCGTGCCATAGTGTATGACAAAGGAGCCACTATGTTGAATGACCTTCCTACAAAAATTTAATTGTCAGTCATATTGACCAATGGAAGAAGGTCACGGGTGTAAACAAACAAAATGGCAAAGAGAAAAAGGAATGATGAAGTTAATGCAGCAGGACATGGAGAGAAAAATCTGTCAGGTTCTAAAAAATATTATCCCCACCTTTTAACCAGTCCAGTCAAGTGTCATCACGCCAGTCATGGCGACTGGTTAGGTGTCACTGAGTAATCTGTCATGTCATTGTGTAACCTCCAGTCTTTAGATATGTAACCACTGCAGAGACACAAAATAACTGCAGCTTCCACTGTGTCCTTTATCTTTTTTTTATATAGAGGTGAATTTTTTGTATTTTGCCAGTTTTAAAGATATCAAGGTCGGAGTTTGGCATAATTAAGGGCTAGCCACAAATTATACTTCAAAACTCTTCAGATATCACTGAAACAATGTCCTTGCTTTAAAGCTTACGGCTGAATCACAGCATCAATCTCTGCCCCTGTGAATGCCTAATCTGATGCCGGACCATCATAGCAGAAAAAAAGGATCAAGAAGTCTGACGTCGGCCAAGTGTCAGAAAATACCCAGTGTATATATTTCTCATGCTCACTGTAACTGCTCATGGCATAACCCACCCCTCATGAGAAATGAGTCACTTTTTGTCCCTCTGCTCTTACCGTAGGTCCCACTGGTCCTGCAGGGCCTCTGTCTCCTATAGGCCCTGGATATCCTGGCATGCCCTGGAAACCCTGCACAATACAAACAGATGGATATGTGAACCAGGGAACAAATGGTATAACAGATGGGTAGATGTACGATCATAGATGTGAGCCCCGAACTCCTGAGGCACTGACACACCCACAGGAGGGTCATGAATGAATGTCAGGAGATTAGCTGAGGCAATGTTACAGTGAGCCAAACCTGTGTTTGCTTCAACTGCTGTGGGACTCATTGCCCTTTAAGCTTTGACTTTAAAGAGTCATTATAGTGTGATAATGAGACAACGAAGCCTCGTGCTGGTGTGAAGACACATTATAGACTTATACAACTGTAATACTCCCATGATTTATAACACTGTTACACCATCGAGTTAAATATCTGTTCATTTTCACTGGGCAATAAAGAGCTGCATACAACTCCATTTATTCAAAGATGTTGTCATTTGCAGATCATCTATTATTTACCCCTTTGACTTTTTATAAGGCTATAATTCAACTCAGAGGGTAAGTGAGTATTACTATCAGCCATAAAAAACCCCATTAACATTAACCTACATTTTCATTTACCTACATGTGAGGCTGATCCTCTCTGAGAGCCAAGCTGATAAAAGTACATCTACTTCAATCTTTCCTAAGCCTATTAAATAGGACACTTTTATCATAAACTGGATTGTTAAATCATCCAATAACCATCAAAACATGAACAAATACTAATTCACACAATAAATCCATGATGCAAGTGCGCCGTGTCAGCAGAAATGGCTCCTGTGTGTCCAGGCCGTAAACAGTAAGCAGTATAGATACAGACTGTAGATCGTTATTTGTATGTATAAATCTGGCAGGCCATCGCTACAGACAGAAACACTGCAGAGCCTTCACTGATGAGTCTGCCTTTTATTTATACTACACTACATATGTGTGTGTCCACATGCAAACCCTTAAGAGAAGTCTCTACAGCAGTTTAAGTGAAGACAACAGCATGGACTTCATTTTTTAAGAAAATTTCAGTTACTTGGTTTTAAGAATGTTTTTTTTTTTTTCATGACATACTGCATCTCACAAGAGAAAGTGATGCATTTTGGCCAGAGGGTGGGGCTAGAGGTATGATTAGTGGTAATAGAGCACTTCTCTGTTCATTAAAGACCAGCAAATTGCCCGTTACGTTGGTGATCAACTGAGGAGAACCGTGTTTATACCTCAGGTGCAAAGACAGAGAGGTAGGTGGTATTTAAATGAGGGTTTTGCATGTTTAACCCACTGAAGCTGTGGAGAGTTTATACAGAAGGTAGACTAATAAGAGGTGCAAAGTGAAATTCAGAATAGTATGAGGAAAAAATATTTGAGCTGAAGAAAAGACATCTGAGTATCACTGAGAGGAACACAATATGGGTGAAAACAAGTGAGAAAGTCAATGCCAAACAAGGAGAACATTTTCTTCACATGAAACCTTAGCAAATAAAACAGGCCACCAACACCACCCAGATCATCCCAAATCAAAAGGAGAAAACAGCTAAAAACGGGAGGTGTGCACAGTGTCCTCTGTGGCACAGGGGAACTGGTGCCACTGACAGCCGATGCTCACAGGGGTGAGCATCTGGTGAACGAATAAATAAATGGCCTGGACAGCTCATGGGAAATGACTTAAATAAAGAATGATACATATTAGTTATTCTGTCTGCTTCTCGCCACATTAACTGCAGCCACCTGTCTGAAACAGTGAGCACCTGGATTTGCACCATCTTTTCGAAAGTGTGATATCTTCACACAGAAAAAATAACAGTGACCGTTTTCAGCTTTAGTGATTCACAGAGCCTGAGCTAAATTCACTTCTTTGCATTTCGCATACCAGGGTTGAAAATCTTCATATTGCATATTCACCGATGCAAACATGCTAAATGGATGACTTGTGTTTTTTTTGCATATTTCAAAGGTGAAAATCTCACTGTGTGCTGTTAGGAGATCAGCTTGAGGGTTTGTTTGCAGGTTTGCATACAGAAAAGCACAATAAGCAAATACCCACAGCAGCTTGAGGTAACGTTTTTTACGCATGTTTAGACAAATATGAGCAAACTTCACACAAAGTGGCCCGAAAAGGAGTCTTACCCTGGGTCCAGTGAGACCGGGTCCACCGATGTTTCCTTCGACCCCCCTGATACCCTTTGAAAAACAGAGCAGAGGGATAGATCAGTTCAGAAGAGGTATGGCCGCTGCATTGTTCAGCTCAATGAAGAACAGCTGACAGTGACAGCTCACCTTCGGTCCTGGAGGCCCCTCTTCACCTTTTTCACCTGGAGGTCCTGGTACACCCTTTAGAGAGAAGAGCACAGTGAAAGACAAGGAGAGTCAGATGTGGTTTCCATTCCGTGTCTGTCTTTTTCACGTCACTATTTTGGGTTACACTTACCTGAGCACCTGGCCGCCCAGGATCTCCCTTTTCCCCTCTTGCACCTGGTGGCCCCTAAAAAAATCAAAATAAACAAAGAAACGTGTATTTCAAACAACATACCAGATTGTAAATTAAAGAAAAAGAACATAAAAACATCTGAAAAATTTCAATCACTGTTACAGTCACACATAATTGAAGCTTAGAAAGTTACCCACCATTTTTCCAGACACAGCTATGCCTCGAGGTCCAATGCTACCCAGGGGTCCAAGACCACCCTCGGTTCCAGACTTCCCTGGAGGACCCACCTCCCCCTGAAACACAGAGACAATAACTTAAGGACATCAGAATAATGTCTCAAAGTAAAACATGATTGCCAAATTTGTGTGTATTTTCATTAAGTTCACCTTTTGTCCTTGTTCTCCCTTCTCACCTTTCTCCCCACGTGGACCAGGCTTTCCCTGAGGATTAAAAATATTAAAATTCAACATCAAGATCACAAACAGTATTCTCAGCCTGTCAGACATCTTGTGGATACTTACAGTTGGTCCAGGGGCACCAGGATCTCCAGGGACATCGGAGGTGCAGGTACAGGTGTACGCTGGAGCAGGACAGCTTTCCTCGTCTCTCTGATATGCACAAACATGCATGAATACATAGACACTAGGAAAGTGGTTTTTCACATCTTATTTTACAGACAAAACATTTCATTCATACTTTCTTTGATTCAAGGTAAACATTCAGTCCACTTCACTTCTTTTATTGCCTCAAAAACAGTATCATCAAACATTAGGCCACTAAAAAGAGCTGAGTGAAAGTGAGAGACTGACCACTCCAGGCAGGTCACAGCAGGTGTCCTCTGTGGCCCAGGTGATGTTACAGACAATTTCAAAGGACTGCAGCTGGAACTACATGGAAATAGAAATACAGATCATGGAGTGAGCTCAAAAATACTCAGGATGTGTCATTTATTGACAGATCGGACATGGATAGATTTTTTTTTGAAGTACCGGTGCAGATCCACTATTGGGTCCTCTGGTCTTCACCAGCTTTCCCAGCATCTCAAAGCCATCAGTTGGCAGGCTGCCTAGAGGTCGGGCAGGCCTCTCACCCACATGCTGGCAGTCCACAGACAGAGACACACTCACCTGGCTGACAGAGAGGTGAACCTACCAGGAGGATGTGTAAAAAGTAAACATCAACGACAGGTGATATAAAAGAAAAAAAAAATGTATAAACCTTTTTGTATTTTTAAAAAGTTTCATCCAGAGTTTTGTGAAATAAAACTTTGTCACACCACTTGGTTATAAAAGTGGATTCACCAATCAGAAAACTGGCCCTACATCATTTATTTCTCTTCCTCAGTAGTTTGGGTTCAGATGATCTTTTACTTTTACTGAAACTCATTAATGAAAGAGTTTCAATATGAAAAGATTTATCTTTAACTGGCTATGAAAACGTGAAATGTAAATTCAGTGTATTTTCTGCTTGATCACAGTAAAGCCTTTATCATCATTTTTCTGACCTTGTGAAAACTGCCGTAAAACAGTTTGTGAACCTGGGGCTGATCAAAACTCAGTTTCTGCACTTCTCCTCTGTAGTCCAGACTGAAGTACACCAAGTGTTTGGTGGTGGCTGTGACAAGCACAAAAAAGAGAGATAACTGGTGAATGGCATATAATTCTGCAAAAACCACTTCAAACAAAGACACAAAGAGGAAAAGGAAAAACTCTGAATCTATGATCAAAAATGAAGAATTCTGAGAGAAACTGCTTTAAAAAAAAATTAAAATGTATGTTTGTATGAGAGGGTGTAAACAATGTGACTTGTGACAGTATCTGCAGAGGCATAAAGTAAGATTTTTCATCTGGAAAGAGAGCAAAGAGATCTTTATCTACATATTTTGTTGCAGTGGCTGTGACCAGCACAAAAAAGAGAGATAACCAGTGAATGGCATGTAATCCTGCAAAAAGCACTTTAACTCACGGTCAAGCACAACGCCCATCATGGGCTGGAAGTCATTATCAGTGAGCTGCCATAGAGCAAAGGGTTCCCTGGGAGTATCCTGCAACATGCGGAAGGCGATGCTGATGGTGTGCTCAGGAGAGAAGCCTGCAGGGTGGATAAACCTGGAGAAGAGATGTGACATGGGTTGATTAAAGCAAAGGAAAAGGACCTTTACCATTCTATTTTCTGTTATGGATTTTGGAGCAGCAAAAATGGGAGCAGTTCCTGCACCAGGACTGCGAAGAAGATTTGAACATATATTTTGTCACGTAAAACTTTCCTCATACAGATTTTCAGCACCATATTCATTCTAAATAAAGTGGGATCCTGCTGTGAGCTACAAACAAATGTCACGTATGCTTATGAAAAGGCAGGAGTGAGTGAGAATGTCGTTTTTTGGCAGATATAATTCTCTCATCCTCTTTTTTAAATTCCCACATCTTCCCCCTGCAAGCTCGCTGATAAAGATATGCAGTGAGGAAAGCATGAAGTTGTAGAAAACAGTCTTTGTAGAGGTGTTGTTTTAGCGCTTAAGTCTTCACTCTACAGCAGGTTGACCCATGGCGTCATCACAATCCTTGATAAATCAGTAAATGTAGGGACTCATATATTGATTTTGGGATAAAGAGATAAACAAAAATGAGAGAATATGCTGACAGAGAAGAAAAAGCAGCATAGATTATGATCTCACTTGGTGCTCTGCGTCAGCTGGACGTCTCTGTACAGGGTGTAGGTGGGGAGGGTGTTAAAGACAAAGGGCTCGGCTGCCACGCCTTCAATAGACGAGTGAGCTTTCTGAGTCAGACCAAATGCTTCCATCATGTCAAATCCTGAGATTTCAAATATGTGACAGACAAAAACATTTCAATCTTTAGAAGCAACGCTGGGATATTATTATTTTTTTGCTTCTAACTTTCAGGAAGAATGTGTAGTTCGTATTTCAGTGAAGAGCTTGTCTCACCTCTAACAATGCTGTTTCTGATGGTGACTTCAGGACAGACTGTAAAAAACATTTGGAAGTGTTCATCATTATCAGACAGACAGACAAACAGAAAAGACAGACAGACAGACAGACAGCTTTGGTTTTGAGGATTTTAATTAGCACTTTTATTCTGAAGAAAACAAGGTCCTACAATGAAAACAGGGCCTCCATCAAGGCTTTTTGATGAAACAATGTTTGCATTAAACATGAAATATTTTATTTTATTTTTTTTTACCATAAGCAGGGGCATGTCCAAAGAGGTGGCCAGGGGTATCTAAGTCTTTTCTTGAAATAGCATTGGCTACCCGAGGTGCCACCCCTAAATCCTAAACTTTGATTGGGGATTGACGACATCAGAGACTGGACTACTACAGCTATTCAGACTGGCGCTTAACAAATGTTTTGCATTGAAATTGCTAAAATTTTTAACTTTAAATTAAGGGAAAAAAACTCACAAGTGTATTTGAAAATAAAAACAAAACAATATAAGAATAACACTTGAATGCTTAAAAGTGTGTGTCAGTGGCACAGATGGGCCAACCTGATCCAAAAAGTCTGGACATGCCACTGTCAATAAGCCAACTGACACAATAAAACAAGGAAGACTGTATGGGTCGCATTTTTAAGTTTTTTTTTATCACAGCTGACTGAAAGATGAAGCTTGAAGACAGTTCACAAAAACAAGGACTTTAATTTCATAGTCCTACAGAAAGAGTGGTAAACACTCTCTGTCATTGTGCTGATTTAAAGAGAATCTAGAAAACTATTAAAAATTGTGGATTTTTCAGGTTGACCTGACCTACTGGAGTATACTGAGACCCAGAAAATAAGAAATAATAAAGCTCAGTTTAGTACATACATATGGCATCTTCTTACCTTCATTATGGATAGGGTACAGCCTGGGATGGATGGGGATCCTGACTGGAGCTGACGCTGAGAATAGAGAGAAGAGTGATCAATTTGTTGAACATACAAAAAACCTACAGGGCTATAACAGATGTTTCCATTAGTAATGTTGGGTTAGCAAGGGCAAGACTTTCCCATGATTTGTAAAATACCTTCACTAAATAATTTGTAAAAGCTCATACTGGCTGTCATGGTAAGGCACTTACCTTTATATTTTCAACACAGTGTCACACTGAACAAGCCTTACCTGTTGGATGGAGAATGGAGACTGCAGTGCCCTCTTCTGAGCCAAGAAGTGAGTGCACATTTATGCGATACAGAGTCTCTGGCTCCAGGTCAGTAAAGCAGTGACTGCTGCTGGACTCATCCACAGTTTCTTCCTTTGTTTGCTTGTCTAGTCACAGGGAACACAGACACACATAAACAAATCAGTGCTCTAACATTGTTCAAGTCAATAATGAGGTTTAATATTCCAGACAGGTTTACAATAGATTACCTTTCACTGACTGGATGACAATACGATATCCGTCAACAGCAGACACAGCTCTCCATGACACACAGATGCTGGAGTGGTCTGACCTGACTACACTCACACTGCTAACACGCAGACTGGCTGTACAGACAGAGAAGGTTTATGAAGCTTCACACCAAAACAAAAGACAAGCATACAACTTTCACATTTGCAGGAGTGCCTGTATACTAACTTTAAACTGAGCTGTGTTCCCCCCTCAAACAAATTGTCTGTATTTGTCAACAAAATATATCAATCCATCTGCTTAAACATATTAAAGGAGGCTTTAACACAAGATTAGCCAACATTTAAACCTGTTAGTCTGACTAAAACAAGTTATTATTAATATCTTTATGATTATTATAATTTAAATATAATTTAAAAAATAACCATAATCAAAATAATAATAACTCTATAATGTGGGTTATTTTTTACTATAAATTAAAAAAAATAATAACCACAACAATAATAATTATAATCACGTTACTATGTCGGTTATTTTTTTATTGAAAAAAATAAAATAAAATAATAATAATAACCATAATAATATTAATAATAATAGTAATCACTCTACTATGTGGGTTATTTTTTTAATCATTAAATAATAATAAGCATAATCATAATAAAAAAACTATGATGACAATAATAATAATAATAATAATAATTATAATAATACTACTACTAATAATAATAATCACTCTTCTGTGTAGGTTATTTTCTATCTGTGTTGCATGACATCAGATTTTGTCCCTAGCCTTCAGCTGAATCAAAATACGAAAAATACAATACCCTATGACTACACAACAGAGTCATTAGGGCCTGAAAGAAACTGTAGTTAAAATCTTTTGCATTGCATATATAGTTATAAACTTTCCACTGAATGCAGGTTTAATTATGAAAGCGGCATGTGCAATTTTACTATAACTTTTGAACTTACTTGTTTTGCCTTGAGCTGAGCCACTGCCTCCTTCTCTGTTTCGGTACTCAGCAGTGACTAAGATGCTGTAACGTGTGTCAGGCTGCAATGACTCCAGCACCACCTGCTTTTCATTTCCTGGGACCAACACCTGTGAAGAACAAACTACTCATTGCTCAAGATGTGACAGAGCCATGTGAAGTTTGCTGCATTGTCTGTAACTCCTGAGAAGAACAACGATTGAACTGACTCTACTATTATTGAGTTTGATCATACAGTCCACTCACTGTTCTGTCCTGGGGTTCAGCTCCAGTTAGCGCACTGAAAGATACACGATACTGAAGGACATGAGCGTTGGGAGGAACCCAGCTGACCACCATGCTGACTGCAGTCTCCTCAGAGACTGACACACTGGACGGGCCTCCTCCAGACACTACAGAGACAAACACAGTACAGCAAATGTGGCGGGCTTCAACTTTGTCCGGTCCAGCTTTATTCTTGTGACACCTCATGCATTTTAGGCAAGTTGCACACTAGCTTTAATAGTTAAGATACAGTGGGTTTGTAATTATCCCCGTATTTGATTTGGGCATAAAATAAATCAAATCAAATTGTAGCTGCTGGTAGCACCAAGAGTTGTGCAATACTTACCCCCCCTATCTGTTTAATTGTAAGTCTAATTCACAAAAAAAAAATGTGCTAATGGCTTTCAAGTACAAAAACACCCAATGAGCTCTGCAGCTCTGTGCAGCTTGCTGTCAACATCTCTGCACTTTGCTGCATAGAGCTTCACTGTGCTCTCTCTCTCTGATGACACTAATTTCTGTCTAATGCATAATGGCCCAGCTTGTGTGTTTTGGGGTGAACTTCAGACAACCTCACACAGATTTTAACCTCTAATTGTCAAAAATTTAAAAAGTAACATAATTGTACAGATGTATTTTTCAGTAATCCAGAGGTGGAATTGTTGTCCTGATCAATGAAAAGTTCAACTGCAACAAACCTCAATTCTGCACATTTACCACCATACTAAATATTTCACGCTCATGGCCGGCCTTGGTGCTACCTGCAAGAAGGCACTTCACACAGAAAAGTTGCTTGTTTTGTCCACGATGAATGCAAAACATCTCATCAAAGTGAATGCAACCCTTTGAGTGCTTTATGAATTTGAAAATACTTTTTCAGGCTTATTTGCAGAAGTTTAGTGGTTGCAAAAGCTGTGCAATCCTTGAATGTAAAATGTCTCTATAGCTGCGTTTACATGGGCACAAATAATCAGAATAAAGTCCTGATTGGAATAAAAAAGCATCATGTAAACATGTTAATCAGAAAATACTGAGCCAATTTGGCTTAATAAAAAGAAACTGTATTTCGATCAGGAGGAGTGGTTTATGCCAATCATTGTTTTAAAACGCCTCCATGTACACACTTATTCCAATCGTGACTCTAACCTGACTTGGTCTTCACTCTTTATTTATTGAGGCCAGTTCAGGAGGTTTCATTATTAACACTGTGGCATTAAACACAACTGTAGGTGCCGTGTCTGCTCCTCCAATAACATAACATGGCGTACATACAGAGTAATGATGTCACATCAGGGCAACCTTTGACGGAACAGTAAAATAAGCATGCAAGGGCACCATCCAGTGACAATATTTAATAGAGGAAAAATCCTGAATTGGATGGAGTGAGCCACTACCGTGTTTGTTGGTTTGTTGACAGCACAGGCGTAAACAAACTCCTGTTCTGCGGCTGTTTTAGCTAAATCAGAAAACTCTGCACATGTCCAAATGCCTCTAAATTGAATAAAACTTGGTGCATGTATACACGTCATGATCAGATTATTTAATTCTGCGCCCATATAAACAGTGGATTCAGATTTTTCAATCCCTCAAATTTTTAGTCATATCAAGAAATTTTGCCCACGTAAACATGGCTAATGTCCCTCCTCCTCAGTCACAAATTTCTGATTCCAGATCTCCAAGTGTTATCCTCAACAAATCCACCAGAGGCCCTCAGACTTTCACCAACTCCTGACTGGTCAAAAGAATTTTTTCGTTTTTCTTTCTAATTAGTCTTTTCGCCATTACAGCCGCTCCATTCCCGATTCCACCAGAACTTCCCTTTCGGGTACAATCTGAGTTTCAGCGTAGATGAAAAGTATGCATGATTGCCAGCCAGACTTCAACAGAAAGTCTCATAATAACATCAAGATCATGTGTAGGTAATGTAAGCATGCTAATATGTTTGACTCACAGGTGCTGTACCGTATGGCTACCGCTTCACTCTGAGCTCCGTCTCCATACAATGCAGACAGAGAGATCTGGTATTCTTTATCGTCCTCTACCTCCTCAAGGATCACCCCTTCACTCTCACCACTCACCTTCAGCTGTAACAAGAAGACAGGAGGAAAAATGAAACACTCTAGAAATATCGAATACGAGTTATTATGAAATGCCTAACCTTTTTTCATTCTCACCTGCCTGAGGTCTCCACTATTAAGAGAGATCCACTTGATGAGGTAAGAGACTACATCATCAGCTGCAGCCTCCCAGCGCACAGTGATGTCACTGCCTGAGAAGTTCGTCACCCTGAGGTCTGATGGGGCGGGGACTTTCACTGGGGGGAAAATACAATGAGACAAGACAAAAAGAGACTGTAAGTGTTCTGTTACTTATTTTAGTAAGATTATTGTTCTCCGCTGAGTCGTTACTAAGAAAGACTTCATCTGCCTTCAGCCAATAAAGAGCTCTTGTGAATTTGTCTTACATGTGGTGATGTTACTGGTGAGTGCTGCAGACAGGCTTTGTTGGTAGAGAGACTGTACTGACACCAGATATCTGGAGAGAGAAGAAAGATTCTGCACCAGCACCGAGTTCATACCTGTGACCTCCACCTGGAAAGAGATTTAATATGAATACAAAATATGACTTCTGAAAGAGATGGATAAAGCAGGCTGTTTGCATCACTGTTCGTGTCTGCTAATGCAACACTCTCACAGGTAGATTTGATGTGAACAACTTGCATCTACAAGTGTGAACTGTACCTGACCTCTTATATTCAGAGTAAAAGGGATGGAGTGAGCAGCAGGTAGAGTAATGATTTAAATAAGTGATAAGGAAGGACGGAAGTCTGGTAGTGCAGTGGGATATAGTAACGCATAAATGAAATATTATGCATATCTTATTGGACCATAAATCAAAAATTGATATAGTAGGTCAGGCTGGAGATCGTGAAATGAACTCTTTCAGTCTGCTGTGAGGAGACTCGATGATATGACTGTATCTTCATCACAGTTCATAATATGAGGTCTGAATTGGTGATGTAATGATAAATGCATATTTGAACACAGTTCAAATATGTCAATTTTTGTCATTTTTATACTATTGACCCCTGGACAACTGTGGATCTACATGTAGCTTTAACATTGTTGGTTAGAAAACTATTCATGATTTTAAAAAAATACTGGGGAAATAAAAATCTTCATGTCTGTAATAGTTGCAAAAGTATTGAAACAAACAGAAAGGCTCTATGTACTTAAAAGTCAAACCCATCTTATTTACATTTCTTTGAATGTCATTAATTGTAGCACAAGTACAATGAACTGATTGTAGCATTTAATGATAATAACAATGCATCAGATTTCATGGTGCTTTTCATCAGAGACCCTCAAAGTGCTTCACACTGGATACATCATTCACTCGCTCACACAGTCACACCTTGGTGGTGGTAAACTACTTTAGTAGTCACAGCTGCCCTGAGGCAGACTGACAAAAATGTGGCTGCCGGTTTGCGTCTACAGCCTCTCGGACAACCACTAAACATCACTCACAATCATACACCAGTGGAGGACACACACTGGGAGCTAGGTGAGTTGCCCAACAACACAACAGACAGACTAGGGATAGGGTAGAATCAAACCATCAACCTTCCAGTTATCGGACGACTGCTCTAGATCCTGAGCTACTGCTGCCCCATTTCCCACTGCTCTTTTTTGTGTCTGCCTCTCCTTTTAAAATCCGTAAACAGAACTCCATGAAATGTTATTCGACTTAAAACTTCATGATAAAACACTCAAGTATAGGGGCGTACAGATGGCCGAGCGGGTTAGCACGCTCCATGTATAGGGACCTCAGTCCCTGCGGTGGTTGTGGGCTGAAGTCTGGCCCCAACCATGTGCTGCATGTCCTCCCCACTCTCTATCCCTCCTCATTTCACCCTGTCCTATCAATACAAAAGGCAAAAATCACCAAATAATAATAATAATAATAATAATAATAATAATAATAATGATTAAAAAAAAAACACTCAAGTCTATTTAGAAAACTTAAACTTGGTGATCTTAGCTATAAGGAGTGACTTTAAATATACTACAGTTTACATCAAAAAGTTTTATCAAACGATCAATTCACATTTAAACCTCATTATCCTTTGATCCAAAGCCGTCTGTGAGATGATCTTCAATGCATAACTCGAACAGAGGAATACACAAAGTATTTAAACTGATGCACTAGTCTGTAAGATTTTTGTTTCTCTTCATCAGGATGAACTGAAATCACACCTTTGCAAAAAAACGTCCACAGTTTATCTTATTCAAAGCCATCCCAGTAAGAGTGTCACATACAGTATGTGTTTCTATGAAGCATCATGAACAGTTTGAAATTCATGCAGTTTGTTTAAACACACCTGTTTAACGTCACTGCCATGGTTTGTGCTATAGGTGATTCTGTGTCCTGGGACGTCCACAGCTCCAGGGACCCAGCTCACCCTCATCATGCTGTGGGTTACAGTCGGGAACTGAACACTCACTGGTGGTGGGAGCAGGACTGTAGACAAACAGGTGGTAGAAACGCAACTAATTTCACTAGTCCGCTCCAGGAGTTATTGAGTGACAGCTGTTCATTATCTGTGAGGAAGAGGAGATGATGACTGAGTTGAAGAGGTTTGTCTTACGAGTGGTGGCGACAGCAGTGACAGGATCACTGGGTTCCTCATCATAGAGAGCATAAAGAGTGACGGAGTAATCTGTAGCCGGAAGTAATCCTGCTAGCTCCACCACTGTCTGGTCTGCATCAAATTTCTCCTGCAAAACAACAACAAACATTCAGCACAGAAGTTCTTATTACAGTAGAATTTTTCTTACAACTCATCTGTCTTCAAGACATAAAGGGTTTGGTGATTATTTTCCACATTAATACTAAACAGATAACAGCCACTCTGTAATCTCTGATTCAAAGGTTCATTTAAGTAAAAAAGTTCATTTAAAAAACAGGCGATCGAGGTCTCACCTCCTTGGCATCATCAGGCTCTCCGTGGTTGAGCGCTGAGTACAGGATCATGTACTGTGTTGCACCAGGGGCTGCACCCCAACTCACTCGCAGCTTGCTGTAAGAAGAAGCAGTCACCTCCAGGTTGGTAGGCATGCCCAGAGGCACTGAGAGAGATTCAGCATCAAAAGACCAAAGATAAGGACAAAAACAAAGATGAGCAGGAAGAGAAATATAAGAAGTTGTTAGTAGTATGAAAATGTGGTTTCAATCCTCAGAAAAATGATAATTCGTGATGATGATATCAGTCTTACATGTAGTGACAGTTCCTCTGAGTGCCAGGCCGACATTAGCTTCATACACAGGAAAGATGGACACGTGGTACAGTGTCTGAGAGGAAAGGTCTTTCAGCAGCACCGTGGACTCAGAGCCGGCCAATACCACCTAGAGGCAGAGTATCACATACAGCCAGACAGTGTTATGCACAAACAAAGCACTTGTGTGTTCACATGAAACACCCTGATAAAAGCTAAAGGCACAGAAAATGAGAGCTGTAGGCTGTGGGGTCTATCCAAAAAAAGGATACACAAGATGATACAAACATTTTTTTCTCAGCACACTGCAGGTGCCAATCTAGTCTTGCCCCAACAGATTTACCACTTAATCTTTAATCTGCAAAGAGATGAGGCCTTTATAAATGTGCCTATGTTGCAGACCTAATGTGGTGATGATTCATATGAGGTGCAGTGGTGTTTCTGACCTCCTGTGGACTCTGACCCTCAGCGCTGTGGTACACCACTCTGTACTGTGCGACTGGCTTGGCAGGGTTTGTCCAGTGAAGTTTTACTTCTCGTGAGCTCAGTTCAGAAAACCTGAGATCAGTTGGACTCGGGTAGGAGAGGGCAGGGTCTGCTGTGGGCCCTGGATCCATTCCTGTGTAGAGAACAGCTAGGATTCAGCACATCATCATACCCCAACAACATACAGCTACGGATAACAAACATTTAGGCTACGTTTTGAGATGCCACGCTCCTCTATCCTTCCACACAGGATGTGGACCAGCCGTGCCACCAGTTTACTGAGCAGAGGGAAGTCATTCACATTGTAGACATTCAGATCCACCGGCTCTGACGCCACTTGTCTGAGCTCAGCCTCATCAGCATTCTTTACACCTGAATAATACAGAGTCATAAAATGGTTAAACCCATTTAGCACTAGAAGTGATCACAGTTGGCATAAATGCCTCAGAGCAATAAGTGATGAAAACATGTCAGAGGTTTTATTGCATAATATCAATAAAAACACATCAGATTATTATCATTGAAACTCCTCCAAAGGCCCGGAGGCAAGACCAACAAAATAAATCCAGATTATTCACAGTCCAGTGTGCACAGAAACACAGGGAATGGTCGTGACTGCAGGGTCAGCACTGGCCTCACAAAACCTCTAGTGGTTGGACTTTCAAAGTTCTTTTTAGACTCACCTACGGCGATGATCTCCACACCAGCGTTTTTCAGCCTGTTTGCTGCAGCAATGGCATCATCCTGAGATTTTCCATCCGTCAACAGGACCAGAAAAAAAGGTGTGTCTGCCCTTGCACCTGCCTCTGCCTTCATGTTCTCCTCCATGACGTGAAGCAGCGCCTGACCTGGACAGGAAGCACATCTCAACCACTGTGTATGTATCATGTGTTAATATAGTTCGTCAAAGCAATTTAGGGCTCCTATACAAAAAAGTTAAACAGTCATGATCTTAATGGCACAAACTGTGAGGTGTGTTTACCAGTAAATGTGTTTCCACCCTTGTATCTAAAGTTCCTCACTGCCTCCAGCAGCTGGTCTTTAGTGGTGAAGTTGTTGAGCTGCCACTCAGTGCGGGGATCTCCACTGTACTGGGTCAGACCTAAGACAAAAACAACCTTTATGTGAAAGTCTTCCTCATTGATTAACAACCTTATTTCACTTTATTGTTGTTGTCTTCTGCTTGTTTTGCTTTGACATGGCTAAAAATTAAAAACAGTCATCGTCATAGCTTTGGAGAATGCATCAGATTTAAAAGGAAGAATAACAAACAGGAAACAGTACAGACTAACAACAATCTTTACAACCAATTCGATACCACCTAAAAATAAAAAAGGAAATACAGGAGGACAAAAACAGAGCCATGATCTCTTCTAAGTTGGAAAAATTAAGTGGAGTTGCATTGCTGTTGCTTAATAAGAAGCTGAATATGAATAAAAAATCATATGATAGGATAAGAAATAGAACTTTATTCCACTGGTTACCTAGGAAAAGTCAAAGAATGACTGACAACATAGTCACTAGAGTGAGCTGTACTCAGGGGAGTCGGGGTATCAGGGTCAGATAGTTGTGTTTTTAAGTGAGAACAGGTGGTTTCTTAGGCTTTCCCTGCAGTTGTCGGCTGATAAAATATAAAAATATATGAATATTCCTGTATGTGTTTCTGAACATTTAGTTGGAGACATCAGTGTGCTCACTCACCACAAGAGGACCAATCAGCAGGAATGATCTCATCATCATATTGTGTATAAGATTCCCTTTTTAAAGCCTTTTCTATCAATATAAAATATAGAGAGAAGTATTTATTGTGTTATGGTATTTAACCCCGAAGACAAAGAAGTAAGCATGGACACACAGTGAGTTGGACCGCTCTGGCAGCATCACTTTTTAAGGCTACATTGTCTCCAATGTAGCCTAAATTCAAAGAGAACAGTGGTGCACTTTTAACTTGCAAATCAAAGTGATTCCTCATTCTGGTTTTATTTACCACAGGAACAGACTGCATCTTGGTGTAACCTTTATTCTGATTTCAGGGTAAATATGTTTCAATAAATATATCCAGTGATCTAGACATCCTAATGACAGATTTGGTAAGGCTCTTTTTCTGACCATCAAACCTGTCAACATCATCATCTGTCTAGCCTTTCTGCACTTCTGTTACATGCAGTATTAACATGTTGGTATAAATCTGAACCTCACCGATCTGAATATGGTTTGGTCCGATGTTGAAGGGTGTCATTATACCCTCCAAGAAGTCTCTGACCCGTCTGAAGTTGGTGCGTCCGATGCTCCAGGAGCCGTCCACCAACAGCATGATGTCTGCCGCTGCACTGCTTTCACACTCAAACGGTTTCCTTGGAGACATTCCTAAAGAAAGCATAAAGAGAAAAGTATTTGAACCAGGTACAGTTTTTTCATCTGAATATGAGTTATTTCACCTGTAAATGGAAAGTGTCAAATCAGGAAACAGATGGATGCATTAACGATGGAAAAAGTGAGGTGAGGGTATTAAAAGGTGGTAGTGTAAATATTGTGTACATGTTCAGACACGGTGCAGACTTGAACCGCAGTAGGTTTGAATACATGTGAGTGGCTGTATGTTCCCTTGGACGATGAGTGAGGTAGAGGACCCATGCAGCCCTGCAGCTGAACAGACCGGCCTGTCATTATCTTTTCCTCTACCTGTTCCTCCCTTTCCTAAACACTGTCATCACATCTCCAACCAGCACTTACTGTTCCCAGCTCTTGTTCCTAACTCTCAAGAAAAGGAAAGACACTGATGGCCAGACGTTCTGATAACAAGCTCAACGAATCAAAGGAAGTTATAATAATCCCTCTTTCATAAAACAAAGTTGACCACAGGAAGTGTTGTGGATGACATTTCTAAGTGGTGTTCTCCTGTGTGCTGCAGAGGTTACCTGTGACTGCTTGGGTAGGAAAAGGGGTCTTCCGGGGTTTCTCTTCTGCTGCTTTATCCTGAGTCGTCCCCTGTTCCTCCTTTTTCTCCATCCTTGACCGATCTCTCTCTTTCTCCTTCCTCCTTTTCTTCTTCTCTCTTGGGTTTTTCTCTGGGGTCTCATCAGGGAGCTGAGAGGGGGTATCTAAAGCTGGGGGCTCTGAACGAAAGAGATTTTTGGGGACAAGTTGAGGCTTCATGTGACCAGAAATCGACGGTTCGCATCAACTCCAACTTCAAACATGTCACAGAAAGAACTGAGAAAAACGTCATTTTTCAATAAACACCTGAACAGAAGGCTCAAGGCCTACTTTCCTCACATCTTGTTCCAACTTTTATTTCCTCTGTCAAACCTACCATAGCCCGGCTGTCATTATAGAGTGTGTATTTGTCTCTAAACACTTTGATGTACAGGCTCATAAGTACAGTACACCAAACTTGCTATGCTCGTATGGTCTTGTTCGCTTCTAAATGTGTGTTTCTCTGCTGTGCCTTCTCTCTGTGACACAGAGTTATAATAACACACCAAGAAAGATCAGAGCAGATCTTGAATACATCAGATAAACTTTGTTGGAAACAGCTAACAACAGAAAAGTTAGGGTCCCATGTCATCTTAAATTTGATGCCAGCAAAATGTATAAAAATTGGGACAGGGACAGTAAAACAGTGTTGTGTTTTAAGAAAAAGAAACAACTGAGTTAAAATTTCCAGTTGGATTCATTTGCAACAAGTTAGCATCATGCAAGAGTTTATAAAAAGCATTTTAGAGAGGCTCAGTCTCTGGGAAGTAAAGCTGAGAAGAGGTTCACCACTCCGCGAGAGACTGTGTGAGCATATCGCTCAAAACACCATCATTTTTATTTTACGTGGTCTTTATTTAATCAAAAGATTCAGAAAGTCTGGAAGAATCTCTGTTCAAGAGGAAGAATATGCAACATTAATTTGTAAAGTTAACACATTTGAATTACGAACCATATTTTTCAATAATAATCTGACAGCAGAAGTTTGGTTGTGCTGTCTTAGCAAGTAGGGGAGACTGGGGACAGTTGCAACACTCAGAGATGATTTGGACTACCATTTATTTATATTGTAAATTTACATCTGTCCTCTAATTCCCCGATACCATTTAAATATGATTACATCAGACAGATTTTTCACAATATTCATTCATTCAAAAAAAAGTAAACCATTGCAAACGACCCCATCCCTGGGACGGTTGCAACACTACTCAGGGACAGATGCAACATGTCACAAATCCATTCAATTTCACAAATCAACTTTTTTTTTTTCTCTCAATGAGCAAACTGGTCTAAGAATATGTATTATTCATGATATTACAATGATAATTCAAATATACAAAATGTTATAGTATTATTTATTCATTTATCTAATTTCCAGTATTGAGTTTTGTTTCTTTCCGAATAAAACATGGCCTACTTTGAGTCAATGTGCAGATGTTACAGATTTAAATGTTGGTAAGTGGATTGTGGATTCTACCAAGATACAGATCTTGATGCAAATATAACACTGCATATCATGCTACACCACTGTCCCTAAGTGGTCAGCCATGACAGAACACCATGTGCTAACTAAACATACAGTTTCTAACAAATACTAACCATGTAACTTAGAAATCAGCTTAACAACAATTAAAACTAAGTAAGTTGTGATTAATTCATGCAAACAGTCAGGGCGGTATGACAAAAATATCCCACATGAAAGAATTTACTTTCATACATCAAAAACAAGTTTTTCCCAATAAATTCAGAGGATTATGCTAAATGTGTCTTCTGTCCTGCTATGGTGTGTGTGTGTGTCAAACTGAGTATCTGCAGTATCAGTCATCAATCTAGAATGTTTCTGATCGGAGGAATAAGCCTTGTTGCAACTGTCCCCAGTCTTCCCTATGTTTTCTACTTTGTTTCATGAGAATACACAGGATGTGTTGGCGGTTATTAAAGAAAGTTGTGGCAGCATTTCAGGTGCAAAATCAGGAGGCTTATCTTGCTTTACTTGATGGAGACATATTTGCAGAAAGAGAAACCTCAAATCCATCAAAAACATAGAAATCTCTAAATAGTTAGAGGGATGACATGCACCGCAGAATGCAGCAGGGAAAGTATTTAATTTTTTCATCCAGGCTCAACAGTTATGGTATTATACAGTAGCTCATTAACGGTATTGTCAGGAAGTGAATGTTGTGCAGTGCCTCTTAATGACATCCTGTGGATAATGCCACTTAGCTCAGTAAAATACATACTTTGCTCCTACTGCTTGAATGCACCTCATAAAACACAAGTGCTGGACTGTAATTTCCAGATTTGATGAGGTCTTAAGGTTAGACAGCTGAGTGTATATTAGACTGTGCTTCACCCTGCAAAAAAGTTATTTACATACGCTGAAGAACAAGTGAGAATAAAACAGGACTTCTAACCTTGAATGATTGCCCTTTTCCTTCTGCTGTGGAGCTACTCCTGTTATTTTATCAGTGAAACTCTTCTATGCATATATTAGGGGTATTTAAGAATGATATATTTGATATTGTAACTTGTATGATTTCCTGTTAAAAAAATAAAAGTTTATTAAGATTGAACAGTTTACATTAAAAAAAGTATTTCTCTAAGCAGTATAGACGACCAGTTTTTCCAGATTTAAGGTGAAGTTCATTTCCAAACATTGAAGCTTTTACAGGTGAGGAGTTGCATTCAATTAGCTCAGTGTTATACAAGCTAGTACACCTGTTTTCCCGTCAACACATATCTTCAAATGAGGAAGCCTTCGGAGGATTTTCCTGTATTTGGTAATCAAAGTCATCATCTTGCTATCAAATAAATACAAGTGTCAGTATGTAGTTAATGGTGCTATTATTATTATCTATGAGCAGACCTCACCTGCAGTTGCAGCAGCAGCAGCAGCAGCAGAGGTGGTGGGATCTGGATACAGAACTGTTGGTAGGCCCAGCAGAGCCTCTGTTGCATCGTCCAGATCTCCTGACCCAGACCCCCCTGGCAGCAGCTTTTTCCTCTGGTCTCTGGTTCCACTACGGATCATCTCCTCCTCCCGTAGACTCTCCACTGAAAGAGAGAAACAGCAGCTGAAGGGATACTTTTATTCTGAGTGGAGTGATTTATAATTCTATTCCACTGTAGTTTGTCCATTCTGTTCTCCTCTAAAAACATGGAGGTGAAGATGCTTTGGTTATGTGACTTGTTTGTTTGCTTACCACCTTGAATTAAAAAAAAATAGTACAGTGCACACCCGACCTTAGATGGTAAAGTAAGTGTACTTTTGCTATTGTGTCAAAATATTGCAGCTTACGAAAGATCAAGAAGAGCAACTGAAGAAAGGCTGGACACTTTTCAGACTAAGAAATAGAAATAACTACAAATGACAAAACCCTCAATGATGGAAGTGGACAGAAGTGACAGAAGCTGAATGTAACAGGTCATGTGAGATCAGCTACAGTCAGCTGACTCCATTAATGCCAATCATTGCACTACTTGAGAACCAGATGAGTGTGAAACCTCTTTATCTGTCAAGTGTGATTGATCTTTCACCTGACAGCTCTGTCAGAAACATACAGACACTCACCAGGTTGCTGGGTTAATGCCTAATATTAGCTTAAACGGCATTGCTCAAGTCACACTACATTTTTAAATTGATGTTTTAATAAGTATTCATGAAGTTTCTAGCATTACCTATGTATTTTTTCAATTCTTTACATTGGATATGCAAATATTTGAAAATTGAGCCAATGATTCTAAGACGTTTTGTCTTGTCAGCACAGAATATAAACACGAAGTCATGCCAGGTGAGACTGCTGATCCTGGCAGCTTTGTGAATTACTGGCTTTCCCCTGCTTTTGTGTAAAATTACTACAGGGCACTCTGGCTGCTGATGATGCAAAAGCATGACTGAACTATTCATGATGGCGAACATCATTTCTAAGCAGATTAAACTTCAGACCAGACAGATAAAATCAAACATGCTTGAGGTGAAGTTAGAGCATGTTTGCTGTTTGGTACGCTCTACTCTTCTGTGGATTCTCTCCTCTGTCTTACAGTTACACCTGGTCCTGTTGACAAAGCCTTGCCTCTAGTGAAGAGCAGCGCCTTGAGTTAAGAGACAAGGTCAAAAACAGCAAATTGAGGGTGAAATTTCTGAGGAAGTGCGAATTGCCTCGACACAGTAACCTACTATCACTGGCACGGCTCAGAAAAAGAACTGAACCCAGAGGGGGTTGAAGCAGGTGGGAAAGGCGAAGACACATCAGGAAAGAATTCCCAGACTGCCATCATTCCAGCATGACACCCAGTGTTACAAATTTTCAAGTTAACATGCTTTTCACTCTTGTCTGGACTTGCTCAACTCAACACAGTAACCTTATATTACTAACACAGCTTGAAAGGGACCAGAGGGTACACCAAGATATTATATAATTCAATATGAGCCCTACAGGAAAACAACAAAGTGTCATAATTGAGTTTCCGAAATCAGGGAAGAACACAGATTTGTGATGGGAATAATTATCAATGTTTTAGGCAGTGATAGTGGAAAGATGAAGAATTGACTCTAGGGAAATTAAGTGCCAGATTAAACTTGTTGCCAATTCCAGATCATAATGGCCTGAAAAGCACCTGCTATCACTTCATTTAACTTTCCTCTCTCTACTGCATTTATCCACATTAAAATTACTTGTAAACTCAACTTTGAGACACACCTAAACAGTCACGAAGTGTGGCTAGAAAACCATAGCTGACTGTGTGGTTTTGGTGGAAGAGTCGCCTTTGTGAGGTTGCCTTTACAACCCAGAAACACACTTAGCTTGTGTAAGTATATGTGTTTAAGTTCAGGCAAAAGCCATTTTCAGCCTGTAATCCACCTAAAGCAGCATTTATACCCCATCATTTTCTCTTGTGCGTGTGTGTGTGTTTGTGCGTGAACGAGCGAGTGTGAGTTTTTACATTTACTTGTTATGATATAGGTGTAGACTGGGAGGAACCGATGCACACAAAAAAAGAGTAAGAATGACAAAAATGTTCCTCTTCCTGCTTTATGGCTTTGTTGTCTTGCCAACAATATCTCACACTGCCAACTGAGTCAACAGCAGCAGCGCGCAGTCCTGTAATTCAAATCCATAGGGGTGTCGTACCCTTCAACTTTTAAATAATTCAGAAATTATAAGACTGCACATATGATAACTTTCTGCAGTCGTGCTCGCTAATACACGTTTATACACATGCACATTCAGTAGAAACACATTTGAGTAAATTGGTAGTCTGTGGCTGTTTGCTCCGAGAGCATTAGAGATCTGCTCCATGCTTCCATAACAATGTTCAGCCCTTGGGATGTTTGGCTGCTGCTCAGCTTCCAACTTCCAACCCTGCCTGTTTCACATTTCAGCCTCCAGCTTTTTGTCGCACATTTGAAGTCTCACCCCTACTGATCTCAGCTTACCGGTCTGTTAGCAAATCAATGAATTTGAGCTTTACTGTTTTGAGGGGAATTTTATTTTGGATATCTGAACTTTAGAAGTTTATAACCGCACTTGTATTCATTTACAGCGGGAAATGCAACTTTCGAGTTTCCGTTTAATCTCCAAATTGAATTTTTATCACTTGTTGACACTAAGGTAAACTCTCAAAGACCCCAAGTTGTCTGCATCAATCAATCAGTCTCTCACTTTTCTATAACTGGTATTTCAAACAGGTTCAATCTGTATCTGTGAATCTGCTGATCATTTCCATGAAGTAATAATCATCATAATATTAATTTTGCACTGCAGACACAGTAGTTCTTGCTGCCTTTGCGTCTCAGTCTGATTGCATTTCCATGAAGTAATGATCATATATGTTCTTTCTTGAGCTGTGAAACTCCACTGCACTCAGTGATTGACTTGTCAGGGCTCCCTCCACAAACAAGTAGCTGCTGGAGGAGAGTGGGTGAGCAGTGTTTGGTCTCTTTGCTAAAGAAACCAGGCAAAGCTAAAAAGATGTTTGATGGCTAGTACTGTGGCTGAGACCCAATATGTTCTGTTGATGAAGTTAGGTGCTGTTCTGAGCATTATTTGTGGATATAGAGTGGCTTTTTGGTTGAGGTTTGCACGTGGAGTGGGAGACTGCTGTGTATTGCTATTGTGTGGTCGTTGCTGAAGTTGGTATAATCATCCCTTTTAATGCCTTTTGTATCATATTTGATACACATTTTTAAGGATACTTCTATTAACTCAATATGATCAACAAATAACAAAAAAATCCACCTGAATACAGTCCAATAAATGATAAAAAAATGTCCTCTTGGGGTTAATCAGTTTTAAAAAAGCCTAATCAAACGAGATAAATATATATATTTGTTAAATTTTAAGGACATTTTAAATTTTTGGGGGTTTTCAGGAGTAAGTGAAAAATATTTCAGCTCCAAAAATAATTTAATTTTCTGGCCATAATTTGTGGTTTCAGGCATTAAAGGGCTAGAGAAGCAAGCAGTTGGCAACATTCATCTCTCAGGGGGAGTGTCTACCTCGGTGATCTTAAATTTACGCTGGAATGTCCCTTTAAGTGTGTGTGTGAAAGGGGATTTACCAAGGTTCTTTCTGTTATGAGTCACTGCACCAGGCTTTACAAATTCATTCACCACTCATTCTTTGTGACTTAATGAAATGTATTCATCAACCTCCCACTGGTCACTATTTCCCCTTTCTTAAACAACTTTTTTCTCCTCTGTGCTGCGTCACTTACTGGTGAATCGTCTCTTTGCAAGGAGTTTCTCTGTTGTCCCATTGAGCACAAGGACTTGGAGGTTGTATTCCTGGTTTGAGTCTAGTCCCGCCACAGTTGCCCTCCCTCGTGTGGTGGTCAGCATCAGCTCTGGTTGTGGCACATCTAGAAAAGAAGGGAAAGGACATAAAGGATTGGCTGTCAGAGGTGAAACTCAACAATGTGGGCAATAAATGTAGAAGTCAGCATGTTACAGGCCAAAATCAGGATTCCAGTTAAAACGCTTGACCATTGTTGTTCAAGGAGAGTTTCCTGTGAGTTTTGCTACTTTGGAAGAGTAATTGGCTCAAACCCACAAACCTCTATGGCTACAGGCACACCAACTGTGCTCAGGACTCTACCTTGGAGAGTGGAGTACAACAAGTTATATCAGTGCAAACTTTAGTTTTTGCAGAATTATAGACCATCTCGGCCAAAGGCACTGCATAGACTATTAAAATCAATCTCGTTGTGCCATTCCAGGCTCACTTTTTCTGCAATCAAAGTTCACCTATTTTGAGTAAAAACACAACTTAAAGCTGGTCACACTTACGACTTTAAAGAGTTCAGCTGCACTTAGATCATAAACCTAAACATTAAATACTATTCTATTACTAAAGCACAAAAAAGCCCACTGATGCGTGTTAAAAGACATCAGTAGGGGAGATACTCTTTGCCAGTTTCATGTGAGTTCATTACAACCACAACTGACACCAGTAGAAACTTGCCTTGATGGGCTTGCAATGCCTGACAAACAACACAACATCCAACACAGCACACACAACCGTCATAAAACTTACCAGCACACATGAATTAACAGAAACCCACAACAAAACCGAGAAGTGCTTAAAGTTTGCATTCCATGAGCCCATCAGTGGAAATTAATCAAAATACCATCAGGAACTACGAGGAAACCCAAGCTTTGAATGGCTTTATGTTTTTCCATTTAAGACACAAACAGCCTCAAGGAATGTACTCCTCTTTCAGGAGACCCCCCCCCCCTCCCACCTTCAGATCATATCCTAATCCTCCAGTCTCATGTTGGACTGAGCCCCCCCCCTCTCGCCTGTTTCTCAAACATGCCTGGGCTTAGCTGCACATTGTGGAATGGGCGATAAGAAGTTGACAGAAAGGAAAACAATGTTATGAAAGAAGTTTTAGGGACAAGAAGAATCAGAGATGAAGAGGAGGGGGCTGCATTCTTATCCAAACCATCACGTGTGGAGCAAGAAAGCTGACACATATATGGCTGTCTGGATGACAGTGAGATAAAGAGGCTTTCGAGGCCTGCACTCAGTTTCGTGCTAGGTCTGACGTTATGTTTATTCTGATTAGTTTTTTTTTTTATAAGCTTCTCAGAAATAGAAAGTATCTCCAGACATGGAATACGATCATCTCTTCTATACTGATAAGAGCCACAAAGCATTTCATCCTATTTAACCATGCAACCTTTGAACCCAATCATGGTTTCTTTTCCCTTGCTCCTGTCTGCTGAGAGGAAAATCTACTCTTGCTTATGATGGCATCCATGACGACAAAACCAAACAATCCAAGAGTGAGTTCAAAATTGTTATTTAATTCATCACTCTCAGTTGTAGAGTCACCATAAACTGTATATACTATGGACAACTTGATTCCGCCTTCCATCATTATACAAATTTGAAGCTGAATTGCTGTCGATATTTCCAGGATTTTCTCCACTACCACCACTTGGTAGTGGTGGTAGTGATATTACGCATTCGGCGGGAGAGTTACTGTGATGACACTCGACTTAAATATCGTATCCCCTGGTTGAGCTACACAATCTTCGTACACCCATAGGCTGTATCAGGTGTCAATCATAGAAAACATGAACCCCCTAATAACTTTTAAAAATGGAGCTGCACAGAAAAAAGAGGACTTGAGCACAAACTAGTCTTACAATAACTACATGTCAACATCACAACCAGGGGGGAGAAAAGTTTTTATTCCGTGTCATTAATTCATAAAGTTTTTCCACAGCTTCATAGGGATTGCTGGAGGAGGTGGGATTTATGAGGTTTTTTTTGTAGTGTGTTGTTAAGCGCTTTGGGTATCTTTAAAGGCGCTATATAAATGTAAGATATTATTATTATTATTATTATACTGCAGTCCATCACCAGAAGGTGCTGTTTTTCGGGTGGCTTCACCCAGCAAGGAGGCAGACGGTGTCTATTCTGTATACAGTCTATGGGAGTCACATAGACTGTTATCCTTCCTCCACACACACTTTGAATCACTGATGTCGGCTCTGTTCTTTTCAGAGTCTTTGCTGCTGCTCTCCCTGCCTTGGCTTCTTTATGTACGTAAAACAGAAGGGAGATAGGCTCTCCCCGCTGCAGGTTTTGGCATTCCCCATAAGCATGTGAAAGGCCAAGAGGCTCTCAGAACAGGGCTGCATAACAATAGTTGATTCCTTCAATAAAATCTATATTATTAATTTGGAGCTTTCTAGAAAAAAAAAAGTCTTCAACCAAATGACAGAAATCAGAGTTAATAACATTGAACTGTATGACTCAATCAGTCATGAACAGTAGTAGAAAGAAATATACGAACTGGTGATATTGTCATACAGTAACAGGCATACAGTCAGGTTAGGATAAACTGGATCATTGGCATTTGTGGCTCACAGAGCTTCACTGTAGTTCAACCATCACTCTTGATTTCACACAATAATAAAAATGGCCCGTATTAACTTTGCTGGCTTTCATAGAGTTGTAGTGCATATTTGAAGTAAGTATCAAAGATGCATGGTTATGGACTGTTAAATATAAAGTGATACAATTCTCATTATCTCAGCAGGTTGTTGTAAAAAGGCGATCCTTGTTTTTTTTAAGTTAAAAAAGCATTCACTACTGCAGCACTGAGATTTCTTTCAAAGTGATTCAGGATCCTGAGCCAAGTGATGACATAGTCCCAGGCTTTGAGACGAGAGGATTATGTAAACATGGGTGTACGCATAGCTCAGGTCACACACTGTATCATTCATTGAACAAATATTGTGCAAAACCAAAAACAAAAAAGTCAGAGAGCAGCATGGAAACACACAGAGGAGCTGAAAATCCAAAGTAAACTAAACAGCTTCAACACCACATGCATACCTTTCGATAATGAAGCCGCTATACTTGGGATAAATGAACAAAAACTGTGTTCTAATGTGTGTAGCCTGCTAACATCACATGTCTTGAGTGCTGTACATTAATAAACCTAACCTTGTATGTTACTGGGCTCTATACTCATTCAAAGAGAGATTTAATGGCTATTGTGAGAATGAGCTAAAAAGTCTCACTGATTCACAAAAAACTTATGAAAAGTCTGATGCTCCACAATCAGAGCTACAGAGCACATGGTGCTACTGTGCATCAATGGTGTTTGTATACGTTTACATGAGCCATTACGCTGTCATGCTCCTTTCTTTGCAAACAAGCTTGAGTTCAAATAATACCTAAAACACAAACACTGGTGCTTACCACAGTTTAGTTTTAATATTTGCTGAAAGCTAAAGATACATACGCACAAGTATTCAAACTCTGCAGTGATCAAGATAACTATTAAACCTCTGGATGACACAGAAATAAAATATCTGTGTATGAAGTTTGTGGTAATATGACTTTGACGGTACTGTTCTATTGATTATAAAAGGTTAACTCAGTCTGGAGCTGTCAGTGGCTCAATTTCTGCATATGCAAACTGTGCCATCATGCATGAGAGTGTTTTCCTGAGCTGCTCTTTACTGGCTGGCTTTAGGAGTAAGTAAGTAGGTTTAATGTAGACTTTAAAAACTCACATCTGTCATGAATCTACGCCACAATTAAACAGTAACAATTATTCCTTTTTATCCAGCTCATCATTTACGGAGGAAGAATTTAGCAGTGTCAGGATGAGACTGTACAGCACAGCTTTGTGCAGGAGGGTGGAGATGCTGACAGCTTGTCTCTCTCTCAAAACCACAACTGCAGCAACTACACAGATCTGCAAAACATTGTCAGTGTATTTTTAAGATGACCTTTTCTGCTTTTTGCCTTTATTCTGAGAGGAAAGCTTGAGAAAAACGGGACATTTGGGGGAAGAGTGGAGGGACTGGCACACGCCAAATCATATAGGGACCAGGAATCGATTCCATGACCAGCACAATAAAGGCTGCAACTTCACAACCCTGCCCTTCACAACAAGGCACACCAGCGACCTTTTTGTGGGCATTACCTCATGAGTAGATGGATGGATTGCTTTGAACACTTCAACACAGCCAAAAAGTCTCACCTGAAATGGGTCTCACTCGGACCTTGTAGCCTTGAACGGGTCCATCAGCCTCCTTCCATTTCATCTGGAGTCTGTCCTCCGACAGAACCGTCAGCTTTAGACGACCTTAACAGTCACAGAGATAGGACAGAACAAGAAGACATCAGGTTTTATCATGTTCATGCATCTGGATGAGGATTTGGGTCAGGAGAAAGAGGAGGGTTGGACAGTTGGAGACTTTTCTGAGATCAAAGAAACAATCTGTGCTTTCTTCATTCCTGCCGTTCTCTCCAAGGCGGCCTCTCCCCTCTCACTTCCTTCTCCTTAAATCAAATCCATCTCTTGTTTTCTACATCATCTACATAATTTCCAGCAGGGGTTTCCCAACAAGCAGCGTCTTTCATATTTCTATCCTCCCACCCTCTGTCCATCCCTCTTTCCAGCTGCCCCCTCATCCATCAAAGCATGCCCTGTCCTCTCGTCTGGTATAGAAACAGGAACAGGACGCTTGTAAGGGGCTAGAGGGCTGAAGGTCACGTCAGAGGAACGTCGCTGAGTTACAGTGTGGCAGCAATACAGATGGGAGAGGAAGATGGGGGGCAAAGAAGACAGAGGGGAGCAGGCAAGAACCACAGAAGGTTGTCTTCATTGCTTCTTTTCACTATGACCCTCAATAATGTGTGTGTGTTCCTGTGTATTTGGGCAAGAGGCCAATGGAGGGTCCCCTCTTGTGTGCCTGGCAGACGATCACAAAGGGTCTGAAGGGGATTTAGAGGAACTGAGGTCAAGGTCTGACAGACCCGCTGACAAATATAGCTTGTTGTGGCCAATACTTTCGGTTCAGCGCCAGATGAGCAAGACCCTAAGATGGTTCTTTTTGATAGCTTTCTAAATAAGATGTGTTTTAGTAAATCATTTATTGAACAAACAAACAAAAACACTTTTATGAAGTCCTACCACAGATCAGAAGTAAAAAAAAATCTGTTCTTAAAAATACTACATTCATGACAAACATGTAAACATTAATCACAACGGCTCGAAAATCCCGATGAAATAGTGGGAAGCCATGAAGTTAGGAGAAGAGAGAGGAAGTAGACAAGAAGCAAAGGGTTGAGGCCAGGGATAGAGCCTGTGCTGAGGACTAGAGCCTCTTAGCATTCAACACTTAGACTGTCAGGCCATCAACGCTCTAAAGCATAGAAATCCCAAAAAGTTCTCAGGGAGTTAGTAATAAAACAACCATTTGATGTTTTTTAATGAGATAGTTCAGAAATTTTCTTGACTTGGGTTCTGCTTTATTTTTGGGTTTAATCATTTGTTAAATTTGTTACAATAAGGAGAAATTTTTCAGTATCAGAAATAGTCAGGAAAAATGTTACTATTTCCTTGCAATGGGGTCAATCACACTAAGAATAGGACTAAAAACTGGGAGTAAGGCTGTGAGAACCCCCCCCCCCCCCCCCGGAAATTCCCCATTGTTTGATACCAATGAGCTGTTGACTGAAACAGAAAACAAGGGTTTTTTTTGTTTTTTTTAACCTGTGAGGACCCTTCAACTATGTTCGTAGATGTATTTAGAGACACTGTACCTTGGCCATGGACCCCAGAAGACAGCAGCAGCAGGACACTGAGTGTGAACTGCAGCATTAGCCGGAAATTCAACAACGGTGATGATGACGAGTACGGAGACATCAGTGGAGCCTAAAAACATGGAGAAGAAGAACAATAGAAGAAGAAGACATAAAACATGTAGTTTACACTTTCATGTATTTTATTACTCAATAAAAAAGAGGACTTGAAGTGGTCCTCCTTAGCTAGCTTTGATACCATGTAACTGGTGTGTACCTTCTTCTCCTGACAATCAACAAAATCTTGACCTGCAATAATTAGTTTTGAAATGAAGCATTTTCCACTTGTTTTAGATGAAGAGTTGCTGCATTTCTAAAATTTTGTATGATGGTAAATGAAATCATTTTGGATCACAGACTTTTTATTTATCAACTCAAACAGGAAATTTGATAGTCCGTCACAGTATTCACTGTGCTGGTGAGTTAAGATTTTGAGAAAGCTTCTCTGAAAACACAACTTTGCAATTAATCGACTACTTCACACTAAAAAGGCTGAAATCTTTCAAAGATTCATGAAGGAGGAATCTTGTTTTATGGACTAAAACTTCTGGGGAGTGGTTAACTGATAAGTATTATGTTAAAAACTATCAAATTGATGGGTGTTTTCTTAACATAAAATCATACAGAATGAAAGTCTAATGAAAGCTACAGACATAGAAAAAAAATGTCATTTTGGCTCAAAACAAAGAACTTATTTGTTTGCTTGTGATGACACTCGTCTGATAGTAAGCTTTAGTTAAAACTTACAGACAATACACCAAGCAGGACTGATCCAGATAACCTCTAAAAAAGCATAAAGCAAATATTGGCCCAAGAGAGGTTGTTGGTTTCTCTTTCAACAATGCGAAACATGGTTTTAAAAAAAAGAAGAGATTCATCTTAATAAAACTGAGCAAGAACAAAAAAGCCCCAACCTTAGTAGCCTGTCACCTTTTCCCATGGGAACTCTTTTATGGCTGCCTCAAACTACAGGTGCTACTGTGTTTGTCACCATTACAGACCCTCAACTTCACACACCTAATGACACACACTCACACACACATTAACAAACACACTGCACTTTGAGAGCCCATAAAACTCACACGCCTCTGTCTCAGAGGGCCAGCAGTCAGCGGCTCAAATTCTGAAACCTTTACCTGCATGGCATACAACATAATCTAAATGCATGATGCTTTCCCGGCGTGAAAAACACCAATCTTATATTTTTTGCTTTAAAGTCCTGACTCGACCAAATAAAGCAAATGTTAGATTAGATTTAGATCTTCTGTGAAAAATACAGGGATATGATTGGAAGTTGTGTTTGAGGTCCTCTTTAAAGACCCACAGCAAAAAAACATCAAACGTTTCATTAAAATCTAAGCAGAGCAAAGCCAGAAATAACAGCCAGCTATGGCTGAGTTATTATATTTGACATGTGTCAGAGAAGTCCTGGGATAAATAAGTTTCATTCAAGTTTGTGATATTAGTTGAAAAGACAACAATGTGAGCATTGAACCAAGAGAAGTATTTATGGAAAGAAAGAGGAAAAGATGGGAATAAAAGACAAAAATGCATGCAAACATTTGAGAACATTTGCAGCTTCAGTGAAAATGCAGTGATTGCATCTTATCATGTCATAGTGTTAAATGATATGAATGAAATAAAGAACACTCAAGATTGTGTGTTATCTATTTAGTGTATTTGCTTCATGTCATAATCTCATGAGCTCATGTTTTCTTAGCCCTTCTCTAGTCGATATAACCTCTGGCAAGACAGACCACCACTGATGCACAGTATTTAACCAGCCTTCAGGCAGACAAAGATATACAGCAATCTTGTGCAGGATGTGACGCGTGCATGTCACTGTATGTTTAACTCGTGTTTCATGTTTCTGCTTGCATGAATGTTGTCAAGCACTTGGGCTGAAACTTAAGCTGTGTGTCACATACATGTACAGAGACATCGACTGGTACTGTTTGAAGAAGTCTCTGGATCTACCAGCTGAGAGGATTGAACAGTTTCCTCTTTCTGAACATGTGTATGCAATTCAAGTGAACAGGCAATCAAAATCAGAAAAACAGTGCTTTACTTAGTTCTTAGGTCTGCAAGATCTACCTGCACTAGTCCTCTATATTTTCAGATTTCTATGAATGAGGCTGAGCACCAGTGCACAAGACATTTAGTCCACAGCTGCTGTAACAATAACAATGGCAGTTACATTGCTTTGCCTTTCCATTACTATTCCAAGATTCAAGTTTATTGGAAAATTGGTCAGTTTTTGTTCTCAGAAAAGAATAAAAAACATTTAACTACATTTTACAGCCAACAGTCCAGTCCGTGGCATTACAAGAATAATAGTACCAAGGAATGCAAGGTTAAACCTGCACATCATAAGCATCTACCCATACGGGCTTTAAAACTGAATGTTGCTTCAGCCCCCAAAAAACCTGCATTTGGGACAAGTTGACTACATAGCTCCTAAATAATTCTCAATGTATTCTTCAATTTTAACTATTTATGATGGTTTTTTTCATTCCTTTTCATTTAATGCTGATACAAACCTTTCAAATCTCACCTTTACATAGGCATGGGTATGCTTTACAAGCACTTGAACTACTTTCTACCTGTAAATAGTTTAACTTCAGTTAAATTAAAGTGGCCTCATCTTCGTTTCAGACACCTTAACTTTACAACCTTTTAAAGTGAGCTCACCTGGAAAAAATGCCACCATCAAAAAGGAGCTTGAACTGCACTGAACCTTGCAGGTAGACGATAAGGGTAGCCTTTCTATGAATGAGTTTTGACATTTTAACTCATTTTACTGATTTCAAATTACTTCAGTTGGTCACAAAAACATGTTTCATGGAGGGAAAGTGAACTTTTAATATTAATAAAAGCTTCTAAATTCATACGCAGTTTTATTTGCGTGCATGAAATACACAAAAAGGTGAAGTGCTGTAACCATTGAACCATTATTGTAACACATTGACGGTCTTTTTAAATTGGCTTACATCTTACTGAGGAAAAACTGTCGTTTTATCATGGAGGCTTTTTTTTAACAATAGTTTCGAACAAAGGAGGGCAGCTATATTTTTCAGAATAAACGTTTAACTATTTGAGTTGTTGGAGAGAAGACACACTTAAGAACGCAACAATAACACAAAAACTTCCCGCAAAATGTTACAGAAACCGTTTCTTTCCTTGTCCGAGGAGCCAGGTGAGGTCTTACCTGGCTGCTAGCTAAGTGCACGTTCTTCCTCCAGACAGACTCCGCACGAGCATTCCAGGGGTGGGATGTCAACACGCGCCAGTTCCGCTTGATTGTGAGTGCAGCTCTTCACATCAACTTGTATCTGAACTCCTCAGGGTGAAATCCGAGAGGCAAGGCCGTCCCGCTGCTCCAACATGGGCGTGGTACTCCAGGCAAGGTTATAAAAACCTCAACAATGCAAAGAGAAGTAGGTCTCACAGATACACCGTGTGGAAGTGAGTAGCAGCACTTGCACTCCAGCGACTTATAGCCGTGCACCATTTATTGAACTCAAACTGCGTCACACAATTATTTCTAAAACACCTTACACATCGGACTAAACTATTTCTGTCAATCAGCATTCACTTTAGTGACTCCATACGCAGATGCTTGCAGAGACAGCTGTTTTACATCAGACGCTTGTTTTCCATTAAGATTGGATTATACATGCCTAAGTAATCTCCAAGAAGCTGAGTTGGCAAATGACTCAACTCCAACCTCAACCTCCCTGGCTGCTGCTGGCTGGTTGATCAACCAGGTGCAGGGTTGGTTGTGAAAAAGTTATTTGTCTAAGTTCATCTTCAGTAAACCAGGGATCCATAGATTACTGCAAGAGACATAAAAGTACAAAAGTACACTTCAAGACTGTTAAACTCCAAATGTATAATTTAAAAGCTGACTCAGTGAATATTTATAGAGGAGAACGAAGGCCTGGGAAAGGGGTTTTCTCTACAATCTGTCAGGTAGAGGAACACAAATATAAAATAATATTAGTTTTTACACAAACATAAATAAGACACTAGTCATTGTTATTCCTCTTTCATGCTTTTTAGTCCTATGTAAACTTACAAGGAAGTACATTTTGATGCTCTTTCTGACAACTTTTCCAACTGTTTAAGGCACTACAATAAGAAGTAAACAAAATGGCTGCAGGGGGACAACTGATAAGTATTACTTTAGATGATCTGATATGATAAATCAAAGTTGGCTAACTATTTCGACTTGAAGGAAACCTCCTTTTATAAGATGTGAAGATAGATGTCGCAGATATTAGTTCTCACAGATTTATTTTGAAATGAAAAACCACATAGTCTCTTTAGTCCTGGCTGAAGTGCAACATTGCTAAAATCTTACAGAGTCAGCAAAAAAAACCCAAACAAACATTCAAAACAATTACTTTTTTAAATGGCTTTCAACTCAAGTACTACAGCTACACAATAGCTGGTTTAATTACTATAGGTTTTGAAAATAGCTCTTAAAAGTAGTCTGCATGACCGCTGTTAGGGTCAACAAGGCACATGAAGTTGCGGTCGCTTCACATCACTCTAAAAAACAGGAGACCTTAACTTTTAGGTTCAAGAACAGTGTCTCGCTTCCCCGCCTTCTCCGTTAGCAGCACAAGTATCTGGGGTAAGCTGATTAAAATTTATGATATTGTGATAATATCATGATGAACACCATAATTATCATGCTTAGAGAGTCTTTCTGTTCCCAGCCTGTTCAGAAGATATTCCCACTGTGCGTGTGTGTGTGTCAAGACTCTGGCAAAGAAAAATGACCCACTACAATTCAAGCTGTCAGAGCATCCCTTTTTTCTCTCCATATATCATACTTTGTTGACACTGAGATGTATTAGCTACATTTCTGAAGCTTCCCTAAGGCAAAAGATCATAACTTGTGTCAAGTCCACAGTCGTCGTACAGCTAATACCATCCGTACTATGAGGCCCTGGTATGGACAGAGAACATGATCATCAGAGGAAAAGAGAGGAAGAGAGGTGGGACCCCCCCCATTTTTTTGGCAGTGTTCCCTTAACATAGCAGTTTTCTAGGGCTGTGACATCACTGCTCAAACCACATGATGACGGAATGAGCGGTATGGAGACAGTCTTGTCTCCGGCCGGCGTCCTCTGATGTCAGTGTAATGTGATTTCTTGTTCCTCATCTTCATCAGCAGCTGAATCCTCTTTGCCGTCCTCGCTCTGTCGTAGTAAGGGCAACTCGAGCTCTGGGCTCTTGGTGCTGAGCTGCCTCAAAGACATGCCCTTATCTGGAAGAAAATAACATGCATGATTAGGGGTGCATTGTATTGGAATTTTACCAAAATCTGTTTTTTCCATATATTTTCAAACTGATTTCTTTTCATTATAATGACACTACCTCCCTTATACTAAAATTTACTTTTAGTATCATTGTGACCAGCTATTAGTTTTAAATCAGAGAAAACAAAAGACAAACAAGGCTTGATAAATATATATTTTTTCCAAATAAAAACATTGAGAAATATAGTCACTGTTATATTTCTTAGCTTTGGTAAATGAAGTAAAAGCTGCGGACATCCCCATTTTTTCATTCTTACATTTCAGAAACTTTTAGCGATGAAACAGATGGCTGTTCTTGAGATGCACATTTACACTGGAAGTGTTTAAGGAGTATTCGTTTGCTCCCCTTCAGATCACATTTGCTTACAAAAGTTATTTTGCAGTCCATTTCTGACACTTACTCTTACACAGGTGACGTGTTGAGGCTCACTGTTAGCACATATATGCCGTTACTGTGTACACATAATTCCATAAAAGCTGATTTCATGCGTGTTAAGAGTCTGATGCTGGACTACTGTTTAACCATACATCAGCTTTAAAGGTGAACATTTCTTTGTGCAGCTTAAAGGCCACCCCTGTCCAGTATCTTAATAAAGTCAAGATGTATTACAAGAAAATCCTGAAGGGAAGAGAATTCAATATCTTGTGATTTGTGAGGAATCATCTCCTTTATTTTGATAAATGGTAAGATGGATTTCAGACACCCTGAGCATGTTTACATGGTCCCTCTAGATTTAAAGAAGCCTCATCCACGGCTTTACTGACATTATGTGTAAGGATTTGCAGGACTTGAAGAGTGGAGACCTCTTCCACTGTCAGCTTGAACCAAATTAAAATATTGATTAATATCAAATTTAACATCTTGGTTAAATGAATTAACAGTCTAAGAAGTTTTTGAGTAACTGTGCCCACCTCAGACTAATGGCTTCTCTGGCCTAGCCTATATGAAATTGAACAAAAACAACAAAGTACTGATCACATTCTTTTCATATTTATGGTTTGTTGTGTTCTTTATCAATAGTTTATACTGTATGTGTACATGCTTGGGCAACTATTAAAGTATTCTTTTGAATTTGTGTCCCAGTGGAGACAAAAGATTTTTTGCTCTTGGAGCTCACAGCTTGAAAAGGTTGTGAACTATTGCTTTAAGAGGATATTTAGCAATGCCAGTCCATGCCGAGCAATAGATTCAAAATTGAAACACTGGCATTGACAATGAATGACAATTGTCTTAGAGGACAACAAGCTGCTGAAAAGCATGATAAGTATGATCCCTCATTTGTTGTGCTCTTCTTATCAACTACTTTTCACTCATTCAAACATACTGATGGATATTATTTATTATGCGAGACCTGTGTTTGATTTTGGTATGTCAAAAGATGATCTTTCCTCGTGAATTAATAAGAATGCAATTTATTTTGGCTTATCCAAAGGGGGCAATCCCTGAGGAAAACAAGACACTAAACAGCCAGACAGTTTCTGCGGGCCAAAATATCTTTTCCTCTTGGGCTCTTACATAACCTTTCGACATGCTGAAATCCAATTTTTCACGATAGCTACAGGCAATTTAAGCAACAGAACAACACTTGGTTCAAATCGAATTGCTGATTGTTTTCCCTGCTGGTAAGTGTGGTTTCAGAGATTAATGTGCATTGTGCTCCCCCTCAATGTAAAAACCCAAGTGTAATCTGTAATTTTGGTTCAGGGTTAGTTAAGGAAAGTTGAAGCTCTGGGCTGGACTTTGAGGATAAACCAAACATCTTTTATTCATCAGTGTTGTTTTTTGAAAATTTTTAAATGGATAAGAGAAATTTAAATGAGAGAAACTTACAGCTGTTATTTGAACATCTGTTGGAAAGTACTTTTGAACAATCACGCTTATAAAACTTGATAAGACTATAAAAGTTTTAAAATTCTAAGTACTTCATCTGGTCTAAAGTAGATGTACATGATATTTATTGGACTATATTTTATGTCACAAGTTTGAACAATATAATGAGCAGCTCTGAAATGAGTACTTACTTTTTGAATAATATGTCTTGAGTCCCACATGTAATGAAATGCCACTCAGACACACAACGAATCCCAGCCAATTAACCACGCTCATTTTGTCTCCCATCAGAGATGCTGCCAAAAGCAGAGTACACACCTCCTGCAGAAGAACAAGGAATTAAGGGAGGGTGTATCAGATGAGTCTGAACACGACCAGAACAGTGCAGCCTTTTGAGAATTTATGATGATATAATAATCTTCACTCAACAGAAAACAAAGCTGTGGGATAAATGAAAAGTTCAAAACAAACTGGAGTTTCCATGCTTCTCAAAGCCTGCACAATTAGATCCAACCTAAATCAGAATGCTATACAATAACCAGGTTTTCAGGTATATTTAGAGGAGGCACGAAACATGGTGTCTCTAAACCTGCAAAATTTAAGCCAATGTTGAAGCTTGAGAGGAAACGGCCCGACACCAAAGTGCCAGATGGTAAACAAGTGGTTTCTCATGATGGCATTGTTGGCTTTCTGTAGATATTTTAAGAAGTAGAGTCTAAACATGATTTGTGGGGAAAGCACCGCAGTGTAATTGCTGTTATGATTTGACTATGTTGTATACAATACTTTTGGGATAAAAACCTATGTGCATGAGCTAGATGGCTTAAAGGGATATTCCTGCGTAAATTTAAGTTATGGTCAAATACACCCTAACACTGAGTTAGACACCCCTTCGAGAGATGAATGTTGCTGACTGCTTGCTGCTTTAGTTATACCAACTTCAGCAAAGACCGCAGATAGCAATACACAGCGGTCTACCTCTCCACAGGCAAACCTCAACCAAAAAGCCACTCTATAGCCACAAATAATGCTCAGAACAGCACCTAACTTGATCAACAGTACATATAGGGTCCCAGCCGTAGTACTAGCCACCAAACATCTTTTTAACTTTGCCTGATTTCTTTAGCAAAGAGACTTAACACAACTCACCCACTCTCTTTTAGCAGCTGCTTGTTTGTGGGGGAGCCCTGACGAGTCGATCACAGAGTGCAGTGGATTATTTCCTTGAAGTAATAATCATCATAATGATCATTTTGCACTGCAGATGCGGTAGTTCTTCTGCCTTAGCATCTCTGTCTGATTACATTTCCATTAAGTAATAATCATATAAATGTTCTGTCTTAAGCTGCCAAACTCCAATGCACTCTGTGATCGACTCGTCAGGGCTCCCCCAATAACAAGCAGCTGCTGGAGGAGAGTGGGTGAGTTATGTTTAGTCTCTTTGCTAAAGAAATCAGGCAAAGCTAAAAAGATGTTTGGTGGCCAGTACTATGGCTGGGACCCTATATGTACTGTTGATGAAGTTAGGTGTTGTTCTGAGCATTATTTGTGGCTATAGAGTGGTGTTTTGGTTGAGGTTTGCACATGGACTGATAGACCGCTGTGTATTGCTATCTTTACTAAAGTTAGTATAACTAGAGAAGCAAGCAGTCAGCAACATTCATCTCTCAAGGGGGTGTCTAACTCCGTGCTACGGTGTGTTTGACCACAACTTAAATTTATGCCGGAATATCCCTTTAAGTTAGCACTAGAAATGAACACAGTGAACCCCAATATCAAAACTAGGTTACATTAAGAAATTCACACAGGATGCAGAAACTAAAAAGTACCTTGAAGATCCCTGATATGGATAAAGTGAGGCTGGAGGTCCGAGAGACGAGAAGGAACTCTGAGAAGCCCAAACCAAAAGCCAACGTGCCGCCAATGCTTAGTGTGAAGAGCGAATAAAGGAGAGGCGAGAGCTCTGTAACCCGGAATAACTTTTCAGAGGTGCTTATGCTGAGTGCTGCAATAAAGACACACAAAGAAAAATCAGCATGGACTTTTCTGTTGGTCGCCTGTGAGACATAATGATGCATATTACTTTTTAGTCAAATGGTCATATGGATGTTGCTTAAGAAATTGATAACACTTAGTGATGCAGCAGCCAGAATGGATCTACCTAACATTGTGTCTCTATTTAAATCTCCCCTAAGTTAGCAAAAACATCATGGGCTGTTACTGAACCACAAGACATCTTACAATCGTGCTGCAAATTTATGGAGGACCTGATTTTTACCTTCTGCTTTTAAGTGTGAAAATGTGACTCCCTTTCAACTGAGGTTTGTTAAGTCTTCATAAGCTAATGTGATATTCCCACAACTCATCTCCAATTATCTGAACTTGAATGTAATCTTCCTGATGATTGGATTATGAAATCTGACCAAAAATCACACATCAGAGTGACGTCAAACAAATCATACCATACAAGATCCTTTCATTTTTAAACAAGCTCATACTGTATCGAAAATCTTCCAGTTGCCCGTTTATGTGAACCATTGTGCAGCAATCGCTTTACATGTCAGAGAAAATCTTTTCTGCAAACTCTAAATACAAAAATGCCAATAAAATGAACATACACAACCTAAAAGCATACAGAGAAATAAAATAGTGTACATTAGAGTACTTCTCTCAGTCACCACTGTGTAGTGGTAGGCTAAACCAAACTTTTGAAGGGTAGGTATATACTGTAAATGACAGGGCTTCATATGGCTGAAATGATTGATTAAAACTGAGTATGATTATTTATGTCAAAACACAAAGCAATCAAGACAAAAGAGTGATGATTACTTTCTAATCCAGAAAAAAAATCATGGGTTTGATTTCATTTAGTTGAACTGAGTAAGTGTAACATCAAACATCATTTTAATTTTAAAGGTAGTAGGCTACCAGAGAGGATGACCAACCACAGCTTAAAACTGCACACACCTTCATTAAACAGGAAGAGAGGAAAAAGTCCAAGGAACATGAGAGGTTGTAGGTGGTACATGGCATCTATTGGGTTCTGAAGGCCTGGAAAAGCGACATGGATGAGGTTTGATGAGGAGAACATGGCAATAACTTTGCATGAAACAGTTATCTTCATATTATAATTACAGCTAAATATAATTAGAGCAAAATTCGAATCAAAAACAAATTCAGATGTTCAAATTACTTGTCCTTGTGATGGGGTTAATGATGGCCTTTTATTGAATGTACTAGTACTGCTTAGATAACAAGGTAAAAAGACAGATACTGAGAGGTTGCCATCATTAAATTCACGACTTGTGTACCCATCGCTTTATTTAGAGTCAGAGTTCACCAAACATACCAGTCAAGTAAAATGTCTGGAAACAGATTACACTGTCCACTGAACAGCTTAAATGCTGCTTACTACATTCATTACTTCTTTCTGACCTCTGATATGATGTATGATGACAACAACAACAGTCATTTTTGTAATTGACAGTAAGTCGACACTGACCCAGCTCAGCTTTCTGCATTAGGACCTGAGTCAGAGTCCAGCGGATGCCCCCTATAAAGGACGCCAGCAGCACCATGATGAAGCCTTCCAGGTTGAACTGAGTGGACTCAAATGTAAACATAAACAGACCAGATGCGATCAGCAGGACCACCAAGATCAGGAATGGATTCTGGTATGACAGAAAAAAGGAATATCAGGTGGTTATTATATTACATTGATTGTAATAATGTAGACACACAGATATATAAGGTGAACTGCTCTGTATTATCTGGTGATAAAATAGAGATGGACATATTTGTGTCATTCAGTGCTGTGCATTAAAGGTATAGTTTATGTTAAGACTTTGAGTGGGCTTGTAAAGCTGTAAAATATCATCTGGCTTCCATGTTGGACTTCCCTCCCTCTTTTCTTTTCTTGAGTGGGAGCAGAATTTGCTCCATGTTTTTGTTTTTTGTTAGCCGTGCGTGTTGTTTTTTTTTATTTTTACAACTTCTACACTTCTGCATGAAAATGTTAATTATCAGTTCTTAACCAGAAAGACCATCCTGAATACAAACAATCCTCTTTCTATTGCAGTCATCACACTTCCCTTTAGAGTGGCTGAACTTAAAACTTGCTGTTGTCTGACTGTAAACTCTGGACAAGAGAATAAAGGCAGTGTCTATGTGGTGTCTATGAGCCATTGGTAGGAAATCCCATTTGTTGAAACTTAAAAAAAAAACTATTCCTCACCGGCTCCTCCAGTTTGAAGACCAGGGAGAAAAACAAGATAAAGAGCACTGCTGAAGATTTGGTCATGGTATACCTGCAATGACACAAAATAAGAGTCACACAACAGCAGAGAACAGTTCAATATTTGTGTGAAAGGTATATTCATACCCTTATTCTCATAAATAACATTAGGTAGAAACTTACAAACTAATGGTGATGAAGAGGAAGCTCCAATTAGAAAGTCCGATATCCAGAGCTGTTGCTAAAGCTGAGTATAGGGAAAAGGATTTACAGCTGTTTAGAAACACACACATACACACACATACATACATATATATATATACATATATAAATTTTGGTATGGTGTACAGTATGGTGTTTATTCTTTCATGTGATGTAACATTGTTTAGCACTTTGAACTTTGGACAGAGTGTTGTCTTTGTAGATATCTTTCTTTAGCTCAAAACTGTGTCTGTCAATAAGCATGATAAGAACCAACTGTCAGCACACTTTTATCAGTCTCTGAACACTCTCCGCCTCTCTCTGAGCACTTCAGTCCAACTCTGAGGTCCCAGCTTCAGTCTCACCTGTGGGTGCTACCTTACGGAGGTAATCCCTCCAGCTCAGAATGATGCGTGGTTTCCCTGCCCAGCACTGCATGGCCCGTCTTGTGATGGCCGACAGGCAGAAGATGATGGTGAGATGAACCAACGTCATGAAGAGTGGGTAGTGGAAACCCTGAGGAAAAAAAAATAGAAAGGGTCATCCATGACAGCCTTACTCATCCTCCAGTGTCTGCTGGTTTTATTTGTTAGGGTGCTGAAGCCTGAGACGCTCTAAATGAACAACTCAACACCACCTCCTAGTGGGTTAAATGATATAGTTAGAACTACAGTATATGCTAAGAGTTTCATTGGCATATTGTACCAAATCTACAGATAACCGGTTTTCTGATTGCTGAAGTTCAAATTCTAACATAGAACAAGGTTGGGTCAATTCAAATTAGGTAATCAGTATGAATATAAAAAGTACTATCAGCCAACAATTTGATCATTGTGGAAAATGATGTACCCATTTGAATTAGGTGCCAATGACTTGAGAGACTGGGTCATGTGCACCGCTCAGTTTCATCACCTTTCACAACACTGCAAGGGTTTGGTGACTGAGGAGATCAACTGCCATTTTTTTGAAAGTTTAATCTTTCCTCTGTTTTGCTAAATGTAAGATTGATGTTGGATCTTAGCTGCAGTTTGGAGTCTCCTCTCCCACATTATGTCTAGTGCCAGGCCAATTTAGCACCTGGACTCTTTTGCTACAGAGCCATAGTGGTTTTTGTGCAAGAAGATTGCAGCATTTTCTCGCTCTAATATACCTTCCCTGAAAAAGATGTCATCTACTTAGCAGAAGATGTTTCTCCAAAACTTGTTTAAATGATCTATTCACAATTGTGCAGGTTACCCATGCCATGTGCTTGAATGCAACCCAATCCATCACAGATGTTGGAACTGTGTGGCGACAACAAATCAGATAGCACGCCTCTTCTTCTTAAGTCAAGAGGAAAATGCACCCATGTTTCCATCCGAATTGTCAAATGTCAAAAACTGTATAAATCTTTTAATATTATGTGCAGTAGAAGACTTAAATGCGTGGTTCTTTGTGTTTGTTGCCTTGAGAAACATTATAATTCAGTTGTTGCCAGAGCAGTATTTTTCAGAGAAGTGAAACCCTCCCAGTTTCACTTCAGAAAAACCCAGCCCTCTCTCTTGAACTATCTTTCCTACCCCATAATGTGATCAACCTGTCGCCAGTCAATTTCACTAATTGTGAAATGTTCCTCCAGGTGTTTTGAAACATTTTACACCTTGTATCCACACTTCTGTTGCAACTCTCCCAACTTCATTCAAACATATAGCTGACAGATTCCCATAAAACCCTGTAAAAATAATTGCATTTTTCTTTTTAATTTTGACAGCTGATATGTTGTCTTTCTGCTATTTTAATTAATGACTTGTTTTTTTTTTTTTACATTTCCCACGGTGTCACAACTGTCCTGGGGCAGAGTTGTGTGCAATTGTTCTCTTACCTTCATCAGCCATTTGTTGTAGAAGGTGATGCCTATAGAGAAGGCATAGTAAAGAAGGACTAATCCAACAGTGCGAAGCCCCCGGCAGAGGAACTGGACAGGGCACGCCATAAAGCGCTGCCAGGATCAGCAAATCCGTATCAGTCTGCTACTCGGCAAAGTTCATCTCCTCACTACATGTGCAGCCTTTCAGAAACCCCAGAGCAGTTCATTCTGACGAGGAAGGGAGACTGTGTGTGTGTGTGGGGGGAAGATAGTAAGAAGGTGTAGACATAGGTTAGAGATGACTTGCATGTGTATAAAATAATGCCAAAGCCGAAGAAATAGTTATTAAGAGTGTAGAACGAACATTTTTTAACAATAGTTTAGTACAAGTTTAAAATAGTCATTTGCTAACGTTAGCTTTAAAACATGACAGCTAGCAGTAAAGACGCTTAAAGTAAATGTGAACCACACGTTATTTCACATATAGTTTGTTTATTAATCATGAAGACTTAGTAAAAGCTACTTAAGCTGGATAAGTAATTCAACTGAGGCAAACAAGAATGCAACGATGGCACTCACCGGATGGTTGATCCGCTAAGTTTAACAGGTCCCATTGTTTCCAAGACGCGCTATATTATGACATCCCTATATCGGCTAGTGCCATTAGCGTACTGGGTAAAACGAAACTGTTCACCAGGCTGAATTAGAGAAGTATTTAGACGCACAAAACGCACTTATGACACGCCAAGTAATACCACGCGTAGTTAAGCTTCCACTACTATCACTTGCCCTCTGAAACTAGTGACAGAGTACACAGTGCCTCCTCCGTGTCGTCGTGTCATTTTCGTGCAGACGAAACTCCTTTGACAATATCTCCGAGAACAAAGGTTTTATTTACTCCGCATCTACAAGTCACATGCATGCTGGACAAGGGCGTCGCTCGAATCAGCGTTGACCATTCTTTAATTCGGCATCAGCATAACCCGACAGGAAGCAGTTTGGTTTGATTTATTGTGACTTTACCGTTCAGATTGCCACTGCCCGCTACCGCCCCCGCAGGTTTCATTCAAAAACACACCGAGAGCATAGGACACAATCTTATCTGTGAATAACAACTATCATAACGGCACCAAAATGACGACCAAGAACGTGGCATTTGAAAAACCTATCGTCGACCATCTCTACCACAAAGCTGAGTCACATTTGTTTACTTTTGGCACCAACATATTCTGTGGAAAATCCGCTAGAGGCAGTGTTTTCCACGGCCTGCTCCTTCTCCTGACTAGTTTACTTCCGCAGTCAAGGAAACGAGCGGAAGTAAACAGACTGCAGGAATCTTGCACTGTGAAAGGTAACAGCTTCTCCGCAGCTCTGTAGCTAATATAAAAGTATAATTCACGCGTGTTACTACTTTGTGATAAAGTTACATGTCTGTAATGTGGTTAAAAAATCTATTATTTTGACAGAATGGCGGACGAAGAAGATGAGACCGGCTTCGACGAGGAGGTGGAGGACGGGTCCAGCGGAGTGGATGTCGGCCACGGCAAGAGGAAGAGGCTCTTCTCCAAGGAGCTCCGTTGTATGATGTACGGATTTGGTGACGACCAGAACCCCTACACTGAGTCTGTGGACATTTTGGAGGACCTGGTGATTGAGTTTATCACAGAAATGACCCACAAAGCGATGTCTATTGGGCGCCAGGGCCGCGTCCAGGTGGAGGACATTGTTTTCCTGATCCGTAAAGACCCCAGGAAGTTTGCCAGAGTCAAAGACCTTCTGACCATGAACGAGGAGCTGAAGAGAGCCAGGAAAGCTTTTGACGAAGCAAATTATGGCTCATAACCTGATAGTTTGACCAATTTTTAGTTTACTGTTTAATTTTGTACGCGAATGATTTATCACAAATTCATATGCGCACAGAACTTGGCCAAACAAGTATAGTTTACACCTTGAACTGGCATTAATTATCTTGCAGAAATACAAATTGAATCAAGCTACTTCACTTCTGCCAAGTTTGATTGTTTTGTTAACCTAAGGAGGTCATTTTTATTTTAGGGCCATAATAATTTCAGTCATTTTTTTTTTTTTTAAAGAAAATTAAACGTCATCCTTCCCTACAACTTTGTCATGACTATCCATTGTTGTTTTCTCAATTGGAGAAAAGACAAAACATGGGTCTTAAGTAAAAACTTCTGACTCTGTAATGGTCCAACAATTAGTAGACAAGTTGACTTATTTATGAAGAGGTAGCATTATGCTCTGTCATATTATCAAAATAAACATAAAATCAGAATTTTCAGTTTAATGTGAGCAATGTTTCACATCATGAGGTAAATGTGTTGGAGTAATCTCAGGATAAGACTGCAGGCTGCACTAGATGGTGTGTTCATAACATCACACAAGAATTACAGGGCTTGCGGATGAACATAATACCCCCATTTTTAAAGACAGCAGCCTACAGTTAAAGTTGATGATTACTAGTTAAGGATGATAACAAACTGCATGATGTTTGACCACAGGTGGGGAGAAAGTCATAAATTCCACAGTTTAAAAAACTTGCATTCAATCATGTGTTGAATAAAAGTATTCCAGGTTTGACCCCCTTTCATATTGGCACCTTTAAAATCCTATTTTTCAGCTATCCCTGGAAATACTTTACCTGTATTTCCTCCAGTGAAACAAAGATAATACTGAGAGTTTTTCTGGAGACTAAAAAGGACAAAATAAGAGTCCGCAGGCAGTTTCAATCATTTACAGATAAAAATTGCTCATCGTGCAAGAAATCTGGGTGTAGTCGTGGATGAAAGCCCACAACCCAAATTACAATTGCAGTGTCTATAAATGTGCCAGATCAATAAAGTTGCCCTACCTTACCCTACTTTAGCTGTGGTTCAAACACAATGGACAAAAAGAAGAAACAAACAGATTTTATTGAATTCCTCAAAACAAAATTTTTACATAGACCATAAATATAACAGACCAACTACAAGTGAGCATGTGTTAGTTCATTTATTCTGTTCAAGCAAATTACTTCTTTGTACAGTGAAGTGGTTGAATTGATTGGTCTAAGCAGCAGGTCACAGGCTGCAGTTCTATCTAGACTACATCTAGATCAGAGCTTAACCAGCAGGAGGGTGGGTCACAGATGGTAAAGCAATTTCCTCACTGCATCCAAGGGCTTTCTGCTTTCACAACGCAAGCTGGGGGGAGTGTACCCCAGCTGGCGACCCACCATTGTGTGTCCTAGCTCTCTGTTGAGGATGTTTACAAGGATGGAGAAGAGAGGTGGTGAATCAGGTGGACAGGAGGGAAGACGGGGTGTGAGGGGTTGGTTTGAGTGTGTCAGTGAGGGGTAACGGGGAAGGAGGAATGTCCATGAGTCTTTCTGGTTTTACTGCACATTCTCCATCATCTTGAGGAATTCTGGAAAAGAGAAGATGGAAAGTTTCAGCAACAGGAATGATCATCATTAGCAGCAGAATTAACTAAATCAAACGAGCTGACTCTTACAACAGGTATTTCCCACTGAGCCTTGATTAAAAAATATACTCAAGTCAAAAAACTTAACTAACTGGTTCAAAACACCCAAATCATTTCGAAAAGCACACGAGTAATGTGTATGATTTCAAAATTATGATTCCTGAATATGCCTTCATATTTAAGTGGTAAATTCTCCTGTAACCGAAAATGATCAATCAAATCATCATCAACAACATCATACCGTCAAAGTCGAGCATGCCATCGGCGTTCTTGTCACCATCCTTCATCAGCTCATCAATCTCGTCCTCTGTGATTGGCTCGCCGGTGCTGCGGATGATGAGTGCGAACTCCTCTCTGTCGATGTAGCCGTCACCGTTCCTACGCATGGCGGAAATATGTTACAGAACGGTACATATGTCATTGTATGCAAAGACAATAAAATAAGTGTTGCACGAGGAAAGAACAATGTTCTGCACAGTGACACGGTGGACGTACTTGTCGAACACACGGAAGCACTCTGCCAACTCTTCCTCGCTCTTGCCGGCCTGGTCCTCCTTTAGCAGCCTCACCATCATGACCAAGAACTCCTCGAAGTCAATGGTACCGCTACCTGAGGTTATAAAATAAAACACAAACATAATTGATTAACAATAGTTCCCCCCACCATTCGTTTACGTTTGGACACGAGTTTCCATTTTTACGCATGCTTTTACGCATGAACTGAGAGGACATACGCAAACAAAATAAGTCCACATTAACATGAATTGTTAGATACAGCCTTTATTTTGAAAAAAATATATAAAAAAGGGAATAAAACAAGTCTGATAGGAAATACACGACGGCGTGGCTGTAATGACAGACGCTCTGTCTTTGAGTATGTGCCTAAAGCCAAACCACTAGGGGTTCAATTCTATACTCTGATATTCACGGAAATTCTATTGATAGTGGTTCAATCTACTCGAATATTATGTCTGTGTAGATTATCAGTATTTGTGTGTTGATTTGTTTCATTGTTTGAGCGTATAAAAGTTGCCCACCGTCCTCATCGACCTCCTCGATGATTTCATCCAACTCCTCTCTTGTCGGGTTCTGACCCAGCATCCTCATCACGGTACCCAACTCCTTGGTGCTGATATCACCGCCACCGTCGGTATCAAACATGTCGAAGGCAGCCTTGAACTCTGGAGAAAAATAAAGAATTAATGTCAAAGTGTTGCTTTGAATTGCCCGGTTATAGGAGTGTGTCTCTAGCTGAATAGCTGGTCTGTGACCTTTGAACCACTGTGATGCGCCCCATTGCCCTTGAAAGAACAAGCAGTACTTATACTGACACCAACCAAAGTATCAAGTCTGTGTTTTTGATAACTTATTCTGACAGACGTTTTAAAGTAAAGAGAGTATTTCTTGTAGAGTAATCGAATTTGTATACCAACAACTTTGCTGCCTGGAGCATTTTTCATCTGTGGTTTTGGGGCAAAGTAACGCCATCACTGAAAATAATGCGTCCCTTCAGCCTGTACTCACCAGCCAGCATTTCCTCGCTCAGGTAGGAGCGGGCCTCTTGTTGCGCGTCAGTCTGGAAGAAAACGGAAGACACCCTGTCACCTCATTCCTTTTTGTGGTTTATTATCAAATCAGTTCAAATATATTGGACTAAGCATGAACTCTAAGTCGATTGTTCCATGATGGTATTGCTAGTGGCCTGCTCTGTTAAAAGGAGCATTTCAGAGGATGACATCATAGGGAATTAAAAATTCAAGTTACCCATTTATAAAAATGATATTAGAGGTATAATACATGAATTATGGGTATTTGCTGTATAAATGGTTATATTTATGTAACTGTGTCACTGGTTTTGTAATAAGCATGTTTTCATAAGTCATGTGATGCAGCACGAAGTAGTTGCGTCTCCTTGGGATTCTTTAGCTCGGTGAAAATTAGTCCGGCTATTTCAGGCTCAACACATTAGGCTCACTGTATATGGCCTGCGGACATCCAATCCCTGGGAATTTGACGCCTAAGCAGAATCCGCACTTTAGCAGCTGACACCCATCGACTTAGCAACGCAAGTTTGTACCAGCACCAGTACTTACGCATTTATAAAGAACTGCGTTTGACATGAAGTGGAAAAGCGGTCACACTTGCTTAAAATGCAATAGCTCATTACAAAACTCAAAATGAAAAAGCTCTGCTTTAACACATAATTGAGGGAAGTTAAGATATAAAAATATGTAAATGAGAAGGGAAACACTCTTTAACCATACAGCTGACTATAATTATGACATGCTCATGCCTCTATTACTTTATCAATAATCATCCATTCACAGGCTCTCTTTTTAATTGGCTAATCAACTATTGGCTGCTGGACCGACCAATTTGGAACAGTTCAGCTTGTCATTATTTACACAAATACTTGCTCTTACCATGTTTGTGGATTAGCTTTTCCCCCCCAAATATCCAAGGAAAAAAGAAAAGCCCAAAGGTGTGGTCAATCCGCGTGCACCCCAACAGAGAGACTAGACGTCAAGTGAAGGTTCAGACACACTTTAAACGGGACAGCTAGGTCCCGCCCCCTGTCCCTCACAGGCCCTCCAGATTTAGTACCGTGAACTTTTAGGGTTCTGGGGCCACGGTGAGCCAATCATACTTTGCAGAAGAAAGCTCTCGATTCTTGAAGTTGCAGGATTAAGAATGTAAACCTTAATTTTTTAGTGCTTGGGTGATTCAGGTTAAAGCTGCAAAATCTGAAGATGAGAAAGGAGATAAAAGAGTGAATGGTGAAAAGTTTTGAGGAGAGCTCTTCAGGAGTAAAATACATTTTCCTAAGTCCATAACATGTTAAGTTTAAACTGCGGTGATCAGAGTCATGGGGGATATCTTCTATAATGTTAACACAATCAAAACTGGAAGTGGATAAAGTTTTTAAAGATTATATAAATCATCTTATTTTTTGCCTTTAAATAAATGCATGGCATCTCAGTTTAATCACCTAAAACTAAGCAACTGAACAGAAGTTTAACGAAGAATAAAAAAAAACCCACAACATTATGAATATCTATCTTGCAGCTTAGCTGTTTACATAGATTTTTTTTTCAGGCCTCAGAAAACAAAGGCAGGGGAGGGGTAGTTAAAGATTTAAGTGGGTTACGGGTTTTGTGATGATGGCGTTTAAATCTGGGCCTGAAACGTAAAACCTTCTCCCCATCTCACCATCCCCCACCTACATCCCTTCTGCCTACATGCCCTGAATAGCGGGCAGATTTTAGGCTAAGAGAGGGCAGGGACCTGAGGCAAGGACCCTCACATCCTGTTGCCCCTCTGCCTAGTAAACACGACATGATGCTCCTTATTAGGATGGCGGTTCCTGTAGGAAGGGCCTGGAGGGACAGTCGGAGAGACAGGAGAGGAGGATAGGATGCAGCGAAGGGGAGCAGCCATGGAGAAAGGGGAGGGGTGTTGCTTTTTGAGAAGTTGTGAGGGTCTAGAAGGCTATATACCCAAGAGGCAGATTTAACTCAACTGCTTTGCAGCTACTTCAGGCCTCTATTCTGACCGGCAGCTCAGTTTTGCCTCACATGCTCGGGGAGCTGATTTCTGCACTGGGGAACCACCAAAAGAATATCAGTGACAGGGAGTTAAGATTAGAGAACTAAGTAGGGGAGATCATTTGAAACTGGATTACCCAAATTTTCTCTCACTGTTACAGTTCTTGGCTCAAAGTGAATAGGGAGGTTGACAAATTGTGCATGCTAGCTGGAAAGGCAGTGTCAAGGCTAGTTCAAAGTCGCTGTGGAAAAGGGAAGTCAGACCAGTTGTCACTGAGCAAATTAGTTCAGGGAGGATTTTGTTTATGTAAAAGTGCATTTAAGTGTTGTCAGTATGTGTGGTTACTGTAATTATTTCTGTTCAAATATTTGTAGTTGAAAACCACTGCCAAACAGACAGAAGTGAGCCAAAAGCCTCAGAGAAGCCAACGACGGAGCAAATTCTACACTGAAAAATCAGACCAGATTAGACGTGTCAAGATCAAGGAGAAATTGGGTTTATTTGAAAAGCACAGAAAGAGGGTGTAACACTTGTTGAGGTTTGAAGAAGAAGGGGCTGGACCTGGAAGAGGAGGGTGTGGGTAAGAGCTAGGTGGTGTAGCATTTCTGAGGAAGGAGCAGCAGCTGCCAAGTGGACAGCTGGCTGCTTTGCCCAACGAGGCGGTCAGGGGGAAAGTGCCTTCGTCTTAAAAGGTTTGAACAGATATTTATAGATATCGCCACCAGGCTGTGAGGCTTCATGTGAGAAGGGGAACAGGGATGGGGGATGGAGGGCTGAAACAATTTCTATATTTGTATCCTTTTTGACGTCTCTGAAGGTACATCACATTCTCAAATGTTGAGGGCTTTATAGCATTCGGAGTCTGCACCAAGCAGAAGAAGGGTCACTAAGGAATGTAGAGCTGGTTTCATTATTGAACATTCTCCATCATCTTCAGGAACTCTGAAAGAAAATAAATAAATAAGAGGAGCAGTGAGTCTACCAACCACTTATGTGTGCAGTTTGTGATCTTGTTATCTTCCTGTCACACAAAAGTCTGTATTTTAAGAGGAAACTGATGCTTCCAACCTACTAGAGGCATGCTCTTTTTTTCCTTTTTTCCTTTTTATTGATAAAAGCCTATCAATTCCTGGAAGAATCTGGATCATATTCAGAGCATATCTGGAGATTTATTGATATGCTTTAAGTAAGGCAAACACTGAACAGAATCTGACACTGCATGACCTGATACATCAGATGTTACATACGCATTAGATCAAATATCCACACATGCTCCTGTTTCATACCTTGAAATATGTGGACTCAGTATTTGACTAGAGTAATAGAAAATTTGTAGCATATCATCATTCTTTCTTATTGCAGCATAAAAAAAACTGAGCTGACATTGAAATTGCAAGTGTGCAACATTCAAAATGCATCATCAGTGGTGATATATCTCAACTCTGTACTGTGATAGTATCAAAGTGGGCTGATTTCATCATATATGACTCATTCTTCCTAAAACTCTGGGTTTAAAGGTTTCTAGTGCAGAGCTGGGACTCCATCATGTTCCATGTATAAAGTCTGCTTTAGAGTGTAATACAGAGGTATTCCTAGTGAGCTGGCTTATCAATCTGTTGCTATATTTGATAGCAATAGATTCATTTGGATGTGTAATTAACATGATATCATAGGGGTCACACTAACTTGTACAGCTACTGCCCTGTTTTTCATTCATATTCATAGATGACCTTCAGAAGACTTAAAGGACATGTGTTGATTCAGCGTAGACCCCTGTGAGCTTTGATGTCTGTGTGACATGTTGAAATATAAGAGTTAGACTATGAAAATAAGAACTTGCTAACATATTATTTCAGCAGTGACAACAAAGTGTTAACTGCCTCAAGTAAGTGAGTTAGTCTGGTTTAAAGCTGTCTGTTATTTTTGTGTGTTCTACACTACACTACGCTTTTACATATGCTGATGTGTAAAATGTTTGTTCAAATAAATACAGCACATAGATGAAGAATTATCATGCTTACCTCTTTTGACTATTCAGCTTAAATAAATAAGTAATACTTATTCAAAGCTTTAAATGGGTGAGTTGTGAAATAGCAATGTGGCTTCAGCAGCTATGCTTGTGCTTGGTTAGTTTGGACTATCATGCTGGGGTCCACAGTGATATCTTTTCATGAGACCCATAAATAAGAGTTTTTGTAATCTAAGACTAGACAAATCTTTTAGAGCAGTGTATCACATTATCGTGCTAGAAGAAGGGCCCCTGCCACCAGAAATATGACAGGTCCATCCTGCAAGTTTCAGATGCCCAAGGTCATTCTCAGTCTGGTCGGATGTTTGTTATATAATTTATAATAAGTACTCCTCCAAACATGAAAGTTTAACATAGGTGATGGTGTTTAAGAATTAGATATGCATGTTACTAAACCCTGCTTTAGTAACTCATCTTATTCAAAATCAAGCTGTTCTTCTCCCCTCCTGATATCATAAACAGTATTAATATAGTAGATTATAGATAGTATATATACTATCTATAATCTACATTTATAGAGAATCTCTAACCCCCCCCCCATGTGGCCTTTTCTTACCATCAAAATCAAGCTTTCCATCTTTGTTTGTGTCTGCTTCCCCGAACATCTCATCGATATCTTCTTCCACCACTGGCTCTCCAGTGAGATGAAGAACATCTCCAAACTCCTCTCTGTCAATGAAACCATCTCCGTTCCTGCAGATCAAAAAATCTGTGATTAATTTACTGTGGGCAACATACATCTCAGGATATCAGTTCAAAATATATGATCAGTCCTCATTTAAGAAGCCACAACTGTGGTCTGTTGGCTACAGGTATCATGTGGGGACTATATTAGTGGGGACTGTTTTGGGCTCAGCAAAGCTATTTATCAATGCATTCAGCAAATACAACACTTTGATTCAAGCCCTCCAAATATCTTATATTCCACATCTTACTGCATGCCTAGTTTGTCTTTTTATGTTCAGCAGGTGGTTGTACACCAGGTTTGTCACAGCAATTCATTGTTAAAAGAGAGAGCTGCTTGCAGAAGTTGGAAATATTAATAAATTATATTCAATGGCAGTAGCCTGTCTCATTTAACAAGTTGTTTAATCAGTCAACTCTTGTGGTATTGGTCAAAACTTCATAGCAGCACTGCATTTGGTGTCTAGGCTGAGAAGTGATGGCTTGAATTCTTAAACCTCCTGTGAAAACCTACACGTTGATATCAGGGAGGTTGGTGGGGCTGAAAGTGTGCAGCACGGGTGCAGAGCCGTGGTGGCGGAGGCAGAGACAGGCAATCTTGCAGCTTAAACAGAATACTTCTGGCTATGTATGTCAGTTGACTGTAGGAACGAAGCATGGCAACTGTGAACTAGTGCAGTTAGAGAAGCCTGTGAAGATGAGCTCACATACATCACTCCATTAGTTTACTGTGGATATAACAGTACACATGTGTTCAGGTTTAAAGCAGCTTCAATCTATTTCTAATACATGAAATGCATCAAAATGCATCCTAAATGGGAAAATAAAAAAGTGGCAAGCCAGTGACACAGAATTTACAACACAGAAACTGTCAGTCTCGCTGCTGATGGTCTTTTTGCTTTTGCAGATCATAAAAAAAATGTCAGTAAATTCCAGTTTGTTTCATAACTAGATTCCATTCCTCAAAGGAGACTTAAAAATGACATGTCACACCTCCACCCTAAGTGGAAGAGAAAAAGAGTGAGTGGCGGAGCCCTCCTTTAGATATATACAAACTCCTCTTACAAAGCTACAAAAGTTGGTCTGGATTGAGTTTTTTGGTTGCCTCAAAATGCGTATTGTGGGTGAAAAATAAGCCTACCACCTCATTGCTCTTACTCCAGCCGATGTCTATTCTATTATTAGTGCTGTGATATGAAACCATGGTGACAAAAAGTTACATGTGTTGTTTTCTCTGGAGACAAGGATGTTTGTTCTGTAGTTCGCTTCTGTATTTTTAGCCTTCATCGTCATGACAGATGCATTATTCAGCTGTGAGTGAAACTACATACACAAGTCCAAGTGAGTGTTGTCACTGCGTGTCTGCTGCCCTCTAGTGGCGTAAAAACAGCTGTGAAGGTTTACGCACAAGTGCCCCCTTGGTGTAACAGAACTTCTGAACATGACGAGATTTTTTCCCCTATCTTCAACTTGGTATTTGTAAAACAAGACTCAAAGAAAGTGAGAATGAATCACACAAACTGTTAAGGTTTTCAGTGCCCATCATATCTGTTGATTTTTTTTCTAAGTCATCTCTAACATAAAAACTGAAGTGATTCATTCAGTCAAATTCTGATGGATATCCTATAAAAACTATTGTGTCAGGTGAAATTTATAAACACTGTTATCTAAATGGACCTACATATGAATATTGATTATGAGGCTTTATGATTCTTGTGTCTTACTTGTCAAAAATACGGAAGCACTCTGAGAGCTCTTCTTCACTCTTTCCAGCCTGGTCCTCCTTTAACTGTTGCACCATCATGACCAAGAACTCCTCAAAGTCAATGGTACCGCTGCCTGAAGAGGGTGGAGGAGACAAAGTGAGGATGAAGATGGTGAGACAAAAGCAAGAAAATAGAGGCAGATCTACCTTATATAGTTATGGCATAAACATTATGGCAAGAACAGGGCACTGATGAATGAGCATCAACTGCTTACTAAAAGAACACCTAATAACCCTTTACAGAACCAGGGAATGATGATTTGATTTCACTTCATATAACTGTGCATTAAGATCTTATGTCTTTTATTTCATTTTTCATTTTATTCCTGCTGTTTTCTTACCGTCCTCATCCACCTCCTCAATGATGGCATCCAGCTCCTCTCTGGATGGGTTCTGACCCAACATCCTCATCACGGTACCCAACTCCTTGGTGCTGATGTCACCGCCACCATCTGTGTCGAACATGTCGAAGGCGGCTTTGAACTCTAGACCAGAGGAGGAAATGAATACATGAAAAATAAACACAAGCAGGCCAGGACTGAATTGAAAATACAGTATAAAAATGAGAAGGACAAAAAACAGTGGAAAGTTAAGAGAAAAATCAGAGTTTGAACCTGACCTGCAATCATCTCCTCCGTAAGGAAGGAGCGGGCGTCACTTTGGGCGTCAGTGGGCTTTAGAAAAGGGGAAAAAAGGAGGCAAAAGTGAAAAAGGGTAGAGGTAGACAGACAGGAAACCCTGTTATTCCCACCATATGTATTCACCTGTATCTACAGAGTAATACTTTAAACAGTGCCAAGAGTTGAGCAGGAGGATACTAACATCTTTACCACTTACACAGTCATGCTTTCATATTTGGAGAGTGCTGTACAAGATACATTTGCACATAAGCTTTTTTTTTTTTTTTCTTTAAAGAAAGCAACATATTCATACTATGTATTTACGTATACAATGAAGGTGATCATCACTTTGATGTTGTGTAACAAAATAGCAAAATTTTATAATTTTATAAGACACACCAGTGAGAAACACAGTTTAAGGAGGTCTAAAGCCCACTTACTTTGGGCACTAACATAGGGTTAAAACTTGTATTTTTCAATTTTTCTTCTGTGTGAGAAACATACAAACATGCTCCTCCTCCAGCAGCATGTTAAATCTTTACCCATAGGTAAGCCCTGCCTCTCTACTGAGCCAAAGAAGACAGAAACCCAAGGCCTGGAACAGAGCCAGTGTAAACCAAGTGACAGCCAAAGACTGGAAATAGATTTAAATTAGGATAAAAGTTTTTTTTTTTTTTTTTTTTTAAATGTACAGTGCATGGTACAACACAGCATTTAGCAAAGACAGGTGAAAGAAAATGCAATATAATATTCATAAGTACATTTCAACTACTGTATAATACATTTTCTATAAAAATAATAATAGACTAAACCTTTCATAACCACAGGGGAGATGTTCCACAGAGACGACTATCTTGCAATGCCATGTTTCTTCACTAATAGTCCCACTGGTGTTTTTAAGCCCATTGTCAATGGTCCCCAGTGGAACTATTTATTTAAAGGCAATTTTGGTGCCCTCCTGTGGACAAATCAGTTTTTGCATATATTGCTCTCCACATGGTGACACTATCTTCTGACCGAAATCTTGTCATGCTGACTTTGACGGTCAGATGTGTCATTAATTATAAATATTTTATGAAAGAACAGGACTATTTTCTTCAGCAACTCACCTGACACTGTGCTCTCTCACCAGTTTGGGGAATTAAAATTTTATTGTAAAAATCATCTGTCTTGCCACTGAAAGTCTTGTTTGATCTATATATCACAAAAAAAACATAAATATAAATTCCAGTCTATTTCATTGGTCTCAAAAATTCCTTGCAGGAGCTTTAAATCTAACTTTTGGTCCACTGAGTGCCTGACCGTCAATCAAGTCAGTCATGCCCTAGATTACGCTAAATTCACAATCCTTCAAAACTAATGAGTTTAAAAAATAATAATAATAATTCTGGTCCTGTGCAGGCAGAACATTTCCAACCAAGTTCCTAATAATTTTTTTGGTTTTTTGAAAGCTCAATCCTGTGCGCAAACAGAGACATTCACACCACAGTTGTTTTTTTTGGGGGCAGACTGTAAACATGTTTATTTTTGGCTGTAAAGATGGGCTATATAGAATAGATCAATATGTGGTTTTGGGGGCTTTTGGAGACAGTCTCAAGCCTAAATAGCTTGGTCATCAAGTGGGCATGGCCACACTTGATGACCCCCTGGATCTGCCCCTGGGTACAAGTTTGCTGCTGTACTCAAAAACAGTCCAACAGGATGCCTGGAGGCAGTAGTTTCTTTTTGAATGTAATTTTCTTTCAAGATAAAGTTTAATCCAACCTTACTTCATCTAATGAGGCACAAAAGTTTGAAACAGTTTATCTTATGTTTGCTACAGGTCTCTGATAGGAACTTATCATATTATTGCTGACAAGAGTTATCAAAGCATTGAGGCAGAAAAAAGTTCTTAATATATAGTGCATAACCTTTCTCTTCTTTTACCCTTTTCTATTTGAAAAGACACAGAGTCAGTCTTATAACACTCGGGAAGTCTTGCTTTTGTTCCACTCACTGGTTGACTTTAAAGCTATTTTTAAGATGAGACTTGAGAGAGGATTTGACAGGGATTTTCTCAAGGTTAATTTCCAAACTTAGGACATTCAGGAAAGGCGGAATGTCGTCTCACTTTACTCAGCTGTGAGCTTTCTATCTTTAGTGTCGCTCCCTCTAATCTAAATATCAATCTGATAAAGTTCAGTCAGTAAACGATGGACCACAAAAGCAGACAAAGTCTCGTCAGGATTTCAAGGAACAGCCAAAGGAACTAAAGTCTGTTAGCATCAAAAACACAAAGACACAAACTGCAGAAGTATTATCTGCCCCGCCAAAAAATTCACAGACTCAAGAACTCCAAGAAATAAGACACCACTCATAAAAAAATCCATTAGGTAATCCGGCTCTGCTGCAGATGGGAATTACTGGGAGACAGAGAGTGAGACGGGAGAAGTTTGAATCTGCTTCAGATCATAAAATATCCATCTTCTGCCATCCTCTCAAGAAAACAACTCGGCAAAGATGATTTCAAACTACTTTCCCTTCTCCTTGTTGTTTCCTTTCGTATCCTGTTTTCAGTTTCTTACCATGTTGGCTGGCTGTGCTGAACAACAGACACCAGGAAAAACAACAGACGTCCAGGAAAGAAAGTATCCCTGCAACAAAGTCCAGGTAGCACTGGCTCCACTCTCCTCATAAGTACCCTCTCATCCCACAGGGGTTTTACAGAAAATGACTGGGATAGGGCAACAGGCAGCCAATCAAATCAAACTTCAGTGTGCGCCCTCTCACAATGTCCTGATGGACATCCCCTTGTCTGGCACTCTCTCCAATCAGCCATATTTAGAGAACAGACGGGCTCAGTGACATTTATCAGAAAAAAAGAAAACACACAGGAAAGGCACGGGGCAGCTGGAGGTTATTTTGGCTGAGGATCAACTGGGTCTTTCAGTGGAGATGGACACATGATTTTATGAACTGGACAAGAACCAGAGCCTATGCACGCTCACTCACACACAACAGACGCGCAAATACACACGCTCAGATTAACACCTCGAAGTATGCTCTGATTCTGTATGCCATTCACAGTGTCCATTAGCCATCCATCTGCCTGTCTCCATGCCCTCATTGCAGCTGACTTATCCTTGCACTTATGACATCTGTAACTTAAGAGGTGTGCAAATACGCCTGTGATCTCACACAGCTGTGTCCCACCTTTAACCATTTTTTCACTCCTGCAACAAGTAAACAAACAAAACAAACTCATAAAGCTACAAAGTGCTGACCAAGGATCAGTAAGTCAGTCATTTTGATGCTGAACGGGGAGGTCAAGTGAAGCCTCACCTCATGGGTCTTATCCCCAAGTGAATTAACAACTCTGCAAACTCTAAATTACGTGTTAACCATTGATGACAAAAATGACTTTTTCATGAAGCTTGATTGATGGATTTAACTCATTACTTTCTAAGGACACAGAGATGATGGTTGCCATACTGGAAATGCTGAATCCAAAAAACAGTTCATTTTGCTCCTCTTATGAAAAGATGTTAACAGTGTGATCATCACAACCCTCACACTTAGTGTGGGAACAGATGTCACAAAGTACATCTGCAAGAGGACATCACTCAAATTCAGAAATAACCCCAATAAGGAGCAATAAGAGTCAATATTAGAAAATCAAATATTACCAAAGTATTTACACCCACTCTGGTGAGAACACAAATCACATTACTAAAGTTATCAGCAATTTGTTGAGCAGTTTTTGAGACATACATTGCAAGCAAAGCAGAAAACACCAGTGTTGTTACAAAACAAATATACTTCCAATGTTTTTCCCTGCAGGACATAGTGTCAGCTGATAAGACACGTTTCTTGTGATATTTTAGCAGCAAGCCTCTGCAGTCTGTTGGGAATCTATTTATGACCTGTCGCATTGGCAACAACAGCTCATAACTTTGGACAGGCGTCCTATGATGAGATCAAAACACATGCACATAATATTCAGTCAATATGAGACAGCACTCATAATAAACAGGCAACGAAGGAAGGCGATAAAACCGAAATGATACGAAAGTTGAGAGCGTGTAAATGAAAAAAAAAAACAACAAAAACATTTAAACAGTTTATCCCTGCACATCTGAGTGACACAAATTACACGTATCTCTTCTGATGTTACAGTTTCAGAGCGACATTACTTTCATGTACTACCCCGGGCTGCTACAGTGTGACCTGTTGACACAGTGCTAAGGTTTTTACATACAACTACCTGTTTTTATCAAGACAGAGTCTTGTTAAAGTGTTATTAAGTTAAGGGGAAAACTGCCAACATGTAGCCATCAAAATAACTCTGTAATATTCATGGTCATTGTTAAAGGAAAATAAATGAGAGATTAACATCCAAGGTTTCCTTTCACCACAAATCTACAATATTAAGGAGGTATTTGTACAGAAACGTAACTATGGAACTCAAGCATCGTAGCATGATGATAAACTTGACCAAATATGCTTTTTATGCTATAAACTTTATCAGAGTATATGTCTCAGCTGTCTCAGTAACTTTCCCTTTGTCAAATTTTTTTTACTTCACAAGATTTAAAGCCAGGCCAAGTTCTGTAGATGCTTCACATGTGAAAAAAACAGGTGCCCCATCCATCCTTTGATTTTAAACATACAAAACCTAATTCTAATGAAGTTGGGAAGATGTGTAAATCATAAATAAAAACAGAATACGGTGATTTGCAAATCCTTTTCAACCTATATTCAATTTAATATACTACAAAGACAAGATATTTAATGTTCAAACTGATAAACTTTATTGTTTCTTTGCAAATAATAATTAACTTTAGAATTTGATGGCATCAACACTTGACAAAGAAGTTGGGAAAGGTGGCAAAAAATACTGAGAAATTTGAGGAATGCTCATCAAACACCTATTTGGAACATCCCACAGGTGAGCAGGCTAATTGGGAACAGGTGGGTGCCATGACTGGGTATAAAAGCAGCTTCCCCAAAAATTCTCAGTCATTCACAAGCAAGGATGGGGCGAGGTTCACCACTTTGTGAACAACTGCGTGAGCAAATAGTCGAACAGTTTAAGAACAATGTTTCTCAAAGTACAATTGCAAGGAATTTAGGGATTTCAACATCTACGGTTCATAATATCATCAAAAGGTTCAGAGAATCTGGAGAAATCACTGCATGTAAGCGGCACGGCCGGAAACCAACATTGAATGCACATGACCTTCGAATCTCAGGCGGCAATGTGTCAAAAACTGATGCAAAGTGGAAAAGTGTTCTGTGGTCTGATGAGTCCACATTTCAAATTGTTTTTTGAAATAGTGGACGTCGTGTCCTCCGGGCCAAAGAGGAAAAGAACCATCCAGACTGTTATCGACGCAAAGTTCAAAAGCCAGCATCTGTGATGGTATGGGTGTGCATAGGTGCCCATGGCATGGGTAACTTACACATCTGTGAAGGCAACATTAATGCTGAAAGGTACATACAGGTTTTGGAGCAACATATGCTGCCATCCAAGCAACGTCTTTTTCATGGACGGCATTCCTGCTTATTTCAGCAAGACAATGCCAAGCCACATTCTGCACATGTTACAACAGCATGGCTTCGTAGTAAAAGAGTTCAGGTACTTGACTGGCCTGCCTGCAGTCCAGACCTGTCTCCCATTGAAAATGTGTGGCGCATTATGAAGCATAAAAAACAACAACGGAGACCCCGGACTGTTGAACAGCTGAAGCTGTACATCAAGCAAGAATGGGAAAGAATTCCACCTTCAAAGCTTCAACAATTAGTCTCCTCAGTTCCCAAACATTTATTGAGTGTTGTTAAAAGGAGAGGTGATGTAACACAGTGGTAAACATGCCCCTGTCCCAACTACTTTGGCATGTGTTGCAGCCATAAAATTCTAAGTGAAATATTATTTGCAAAAAATAAAAATAAATAAATATAAATAAGTTTATGAGTTTGAACATTAAATATCTTGTCTTTGTAGTGTATTCAATTGAATATAGGTTGAAAAAGATTTGCAAATCATTGTATTCTGTTTTTATTTATGTTTATCACAGTTTCCCAACTTCAATAGAATTGGGTTTTGTACATGACCAACAACCCTTTACTTCCACGTGGATGATAACACTGTAAGATTTGTACTTAGTTGACTATTTTGTTGAAATTCTGGATTTGGCATACATACTCTGGATTTACTGTGTGGTGGTTTGTCTGCTTGTTGAGGAAATATTGTTGTCTTCCCCATACTTACACCACCCAAAACATGAAATTAGCCCACACTTCCAGTACAAAAAACCCTGGTAAATTGGATACACTGATATTAGTAGGACAGAAATTAGTTTCTATCTTCTACTCCTATTTTCATTTTGTGCTTAAAATAATGTGTTAATTACCAAAAGTTTGGATCACTTTAACGTCACAAAATCTGGCTGGTTGAAGACAAATTGAGATGAATGTGAGTATGTGAAAATCAAAACCTGAAGTTTTTATATCTAAAGTAGGCTGTAGCAAAACTGCATGGATTTAGCACAAACCCATTGTATATTGTGGAGATAAAACTATCTTAACAAAAACGTATAAGTTAACTAAATGAACTGCAAGCGGTTTTCTCAAAACTTCAGGGCTTACAGTCAACAGAGGGTGCCCCAGTAGACAAAGCATTCTTTGCTTAACTTACCATTTTCTTACTTAACTAGCATAAAATAACTCTAAAAACTCGAATCCTGTTAACTTTTGACAGCTGTATATTATTATTATTGTTATTATTATTATTACATAAAAATTATTGTAAATATCTAATGTGGAACCTGTGAAGACAGAGCTGTTTCTTTCGCTGATGGCTCACACCTACCCACTCACACTGGTCTCAAGTACTAAAATTGTCTATATAAAAATCCTCAGTCTTGTCACTGATGGTTAAGTTTGCTTTTGTATGTCATAAAATGGCATCATGATGAATTCTGGTCTGTTTCATCGACAAAAAAGAAATCCTCACAGAAGCTTTCAGGTCACCTCAAAACTCAAAAATCTTGAGCAGGAAGTTGCCTTGAAACTTTGCTAACCTTTTCAGTTTTATAGTGCTGGTATTTGCATTGGTCTTACAGCACCATAATGAATGCAGATCGCAGCAACACTTCAAGACTTTGCAATAGAAGGAATCCAATGAAATTTGTAGAAATACAGTGTAGCTCTACATTTGTACGAAATCATACTTAAGAATTTAACCATCTGAATATTGCAGCTGCTACAATGTATTCAAGTATGACAGAAACTGCTAAAAATGTAATGTCTTTGCAAATTAAATAAAAATACACTTTAGATTTTTAGGTTCAGGAGAAGTTTTAAGCCCCCTTTCTTTGTGCACATCCTTTTTTTTGTCATTTCCCTGATTCTTCCCCCCACCACCACAGTCAGAAGAGCACAGCTTGCATCTAACTCACTGATAACTTCTCTGCTGGTTAAAACTCCTCCTTTCATCACCCTTGTGCCATTTTTCATGTCCTGATCCCCACCATCTCCTCTTTCTATCTTAACCTCCTCTAACCCCTCCTGGTCATCTCCCCCTGCATATCCCTGAGGGCCGAAGTATGAGTTCAGCTTTCATGCCGTCCAACTTATGTCACCAGCTTCATCCAGTGCCTGTTCAGTGTCTGATTGACAGCACCAGCTGATGCTCTGCCCACCTCAAGATTTTCCAGAAGTCATCCTCCTCCAC